GCAGCCTGTTCGGCCTTGGTTTTGAACTCCTCAAGAGACTTGGCCTTCTTAACAGCCTCGTCACGCTCGGCGGCGGCCTGTTCAGCCTTCGTCTTGAACTCCTCCAAGGTCGAGATCTTGCTGGTCGCATCGTCACGCTCCTTCTTCACGGCTTCCAAGTCGGTGGTAGCAGAGTCGAGCTTGGTGCTCAACTCGCTCTGTGCAGCCGTGGTCTTCTCCTGCAGGTCCTTGAGGCTTGCTAGCTCGGTCTCCAGAGTCTTGGCCTTCTTAATGGCCTCGTCGCGCCCAGCAGAAGTCTGCTCTGATTTGGTCTTGAATTCTTCGAGAGCAGAAATCTTGCCAGTCGCATCATCGCGCTCCTTCTTCGCGGCTTCCAAGTCGGTCTTAGCGGCTTGCAGCTTTGAATTCAACTCATTCTGGCTGGCCACGACTGCTTTGTTCTGGGCGTCAAGGTCTGCAAGCTTGGTAGAAAGAGCGGATTTCTCCTATCACAATGTTAGCAATACTTCACAGCTGAAGCTGATATCACGCAACCAACCTCTGATGCCGCCTTCAAGTCATCCTCCGACTTCTTCGCCTTGTCTTCACTCTTAGTGGCATTCTTCYCGGCTTCGGTCAGCTTCGCTTTCGCTTCATCCTGAGCCTTGCGCAGTTCGGTAGCGTCGCTCTCGGCGGTCTTGAGCTTGCTCTGCGCATCGCTCACCAACTGGTTGAGCTTAGYAACTTCAGTCTCATGCTCAGCTTTGAGCTTCTGCTCGGCCTCGGTGGTGTCCTTGTTGCTCTTTGTCAAGCTCTCAATGTTACTGCGGTACTTTTCAATCTCAGCGGTGTGCGATACCTCGGCTGCCTTTAGTGCAGCTTCATGCTCAGCCTTGAGCTTGTTATCGGCCTCAACGACATTATCATTGCTCTTCTTGAGGCTCTCAACCTCGCCACGGTACTTCTCGATCTCGGCAGTGTATGAGGACTCAGCAGCCTTGGAAGCCTCTTTAGTCGCGGTGAGATCGCTGTTGAGCTTGTCACATGTAGCCTTGATGGAAGCAAGCTCTTCGCGAGTCTGGGTCAGGTCCTTCTGAGCCGCGGCAATAGCCTCCTCGGAGCTCTTCTTAAGACTATCGTGGGTCTTCTGGAGTGTGGCGTATTGGTCCTTCGAATCAGCAAGCTCCTTCTCGATGGCAGCCCGCTTGCTCTCGGCGTCTTGCTGAGCACCCTTGAGGTCGCTCTCCAACGCGCTGATGCGGTCCGACAGCTCAGCAGACTTTTTCTGCTCGTTCGCAACCCTCTCAGCAGACTCCTTCTCGAGCTGCTCCTTTGCTTGCAGCAGAGCRGTGTGCTTCTGGGATGTCTCCTCCAATTCCTTGGTCGCGGTACTTAGCTTGCCTTGAAGCTCCTCATGTTTGGAGTCGCTGGTCTTCTGAACCTCCGTCACCTGGGTTTGCGCCTCGGCCAGCTGTGTCTTGGCAGTTGTCAGGTCCGCATCGGCTGCGACCTTGACTTGCTGAAGCTCGCCCTTGAGCGTGGTGTGGTCTGCCTCTAGCTGCTTGTTTTTGTTGTCAGACTCGGTCAACTGTTGCTGATAGGAAGCAATCTGGGTCTTCATCTCAGTCTCAAGAGTCTTGCGAGCCTCCACGGCGGTGTCAAGGCTCTTCTTGGCGGCATCGAGCTCCTGCTGCAGGGTGGTGATGCTCTCCTTGGTGGCTTGCAGCTCCTTCTGAGCTGCGGCTAGCTCAGCGCGTGTCTGATCACGTTCCTGGATTACAGTCTGGGTGACGCGATCCAGAGCCAGTCTCTGCTGCTGGGCTTCCTCACTCTTTTGCTTGAGGTCGGCCTGCAGTTTGCTAACCTGCTCTGTGTTGTCCTTCTCCAGGGTTTTCTGATGGCTGGTCAAGTCATCGAGCTTTTTTTGGAGATCGACAACGGTCTTGCTGGTGGTCTCGTGCTGTGCCTTGACGTTCGACAGCTGCTTCTCCTTGTCGTCCAATTCGGATTGTTTTGTGATGATCAGAGAGTCTCGGAGCTTCAGTTCCTTCTCGGCCGCATCCAGCTTCTCCTGCGCCGGCTGGGAAACAAAGGCGCCCATCTTCTGAAAGAATGGGATCTTGGTTGTCGAAGATTTAGGTGCCGCAGTCTTGGGTGCCGCAGTCTTGGGTGCCGCRGTCTTGGGTGCCGGAGCAGTGGGTTTCGGAGTTGTGGGTTTGGGATTAGGAGGAGGGGTTTGGTGTCGGGGAAGAAGGGCGGATAACTTCTTCAATAATCCTATCTTGAGTGTCGAAGCGGGGTGGTGATGGGGAAACGCTGAAATCGATGGACGAGACTTTCAGGAAGGCACAATTCAAGGCGGCGGAGATGCACGTCGCAGGTGGGCGGACAAGAGATGGATGAAGCGCCAAAGTAGAGACAAAAGGCGGTGATGGGCAGTGTTTGTTGTTGTCGACGGCGTCAAGTCGGGAAAATAATTGAGCTTCTTGCAAGCGCCACCACACCCTTGCTCGTGCGTTGAACGGGTCGGCGGCAGGTGCTCGAAGCGTCGATTGTGCCCACCTTATACTTGGCTCGTGCACTTTATTCGAGGCAAGAACTCACCGTCATCTTCTATCTATCTCTACTCTTTTCAGGCACCCAGCCCGAAGCTGTTCTGTTCTCGGCCGTTCACCGTCTCTTGTCGTCCGAACCAACGTGGTTCAGGATCGTCGAGGTGCATCATAGTGCCGCCTATCGCTGACTCGGGCCGTGGGGTCAGCGACATCGAAAGACCTTGGTGGATCGCCTGGTTGTTCCTCGTAGAGTGATCAAAGAGGACAACAGCATACAGCAGGAGCGACCTGAAGTCAAGACTTGAGACGACACCTTAGCCGTAAAGAGATCGGCCTCTTGGCCGTGGTGGCATCCCGTCCCTTGCGTCACGCCGTGCCAAAAGTGCTGGGACTGGGACTGGCAGGCCCTCTTCGCAAACAATATATCGTAAACATCAACTTCGACAGTATCGATGATTACCTTGCAGCATTGACTTCAGGAGACGAAATGTATAGTCCAAACGACTGAGATCACACAGCCGCCAGGACGCAAACTCTACGTTGTTATTCCTCCTTCTCCTTTCTTAGCCGCCCATGGACCTCTTTTCATCCCAGATTCTTCACTCTTGGGCATTGCAAGCAAACATTCCGAAGAATTTCGCCCTGGTCGAAGAATTCGCGTCTCTGGAAATCGTCTCAATGGCTTCGCTTTTGAGGTTCTCGGCGATTACAATTTGGACATCCATCGAAGTACCAGGCAGTTTTCCATGGGGATAGTGTCTCCCGCCAGCTTCATCATCTTCTTCCTTCTCAGTGGACTGCGCCATCGCGGTAATGGTAGCTTGAAGTCGATGTGGAGGGAAGACCTTTGAGTCGAAGACACCGAGTGCGCGAGCGTTCTGATATACACAGTTAGCTCGCGGGCTGCTGAGCCAATCATTTTGCTACGGAGATCAAAGCAGGAATCTTGTTCAAAAGAGTGGCGCCATACCTAGGTACTCGCTTCACGCTTACTCTAAAGCGACGCAGAGTTGCGCTTTGGCACATCCATACATGCGGAAGGCTCCATCCTTGGGGAGCACACGGCGTGAAGATACTCCTACTGCGTGAAGCAGCCCACGTATTGACAGTGGCATTGAATGGATGCTGCCACTATTGAGAAGTACAACCTTCTCACGCAGAGCATTGATTCACCTTGGGCATAGCTCTATTATGAAGGATCAAGGTCTGTATTTTGGAACTCCCAGCGATCACCGTACCTGAATCGCATGCCTCGCCTATCTGCCACTGGGTCCTGGTACTTTCAAGCGATACACTTCACGAGACGATCTTCCGGACATCACATTCACAAGCGAGGATGGAAATAAGGTAAGTATACCATGTTCATAACAAAGCCATTCACAATAGTGCTGCTGCTCAAAAGGATTTTTGCTGAGTCCATCTCCTCTCCGCATATGCTCTATTGGCCTCCACGACCTCCCTTCCCGTTTCTACCCCTGCCGTTCGCATTGCGCTGAAACATATGCGATGCCTGCGCATGTCGACGTCTCATCTCCTGGACTTGGCGAGTTTGCACAGCTGATGGCTTACAGAACGTCTCCAATCCCCGCCTCTCCAGCGAAGCCTTCTCAGCGGCTCGGTCGTATGCCACTTTGTTCAGGTATAGCTTCATCGTAGACTGTGCGTCCTCGATAGGGGTATGAACCCCGCCAACCTGAACACGCCCCTCCAGCGGGAAGACTTCATCCATGAGAGCTCCCAAGTTGGTGCGCGAGTGTAAGTCTTGCGTGTCGACAACCCGCTCGGCCTCTTGGAACGGGTTGATTATTTGGCAAGCAACAAGATCACCTCCAGATCCACCATGCACAATCACCAGACGACCGCGCATGATATCAGCGAGCCAGGCCTCTGCAATCTCAGCCGGAATCGCACCATTGTTTAGTTGAAGGTCTTGCATGGAAACTCCGAATCGCTTTGGTGGCATGATGACCCGAACACCTTCCTCCCGCTCATACCGCACGAAACAGTCAAGAATAGACTCGCCTTTCGTATTCACAACTCCAATCCAGCCGAGACGATGTCGTTGCTTACTTTCACCGTTGCGTTGGAAATTCTGGAACTCGAAATCCACTGCCACGGGTTCGTCCGGTAACAGGAGATCCATGCGTGGGAAGATCTGCTGTGCTTTGCAGATTCCAGGACCGGTCTCGATTGGATGATGTCGAAATGGCGAAGATGCGCGGGGTTGAGGTGGCGTGCTTCGAGATGCTGAGGATTGAGAATTCGAGCCTTGACTCGTCGAGGAGGATGTAGAAGATTGGTCTGCGCTGGTAGAAGAGACGCAGATTGCTGAGTTTGATGGGGATCTCTTGCGCGGGGTCTGAGCGGATTTTTCGGATAGCATCTCTGCGTATGAGACTGGGAAGACCATGATGATTGAATCTTGTGAGTGTTCGAGTGTGGAGCTGTCTGTGCAGCTGCTGAGGGGTGCTGGGAGGCCCGGGTCTTGTGGGAAGGCTTCGAGATGGAGATATAAAAGTCGGATGGATCGGTATAAGTTAAAACAAGAGAAGCGTAGTATAAAAAATGGCTCGAATTAATAATCCGAACCAAGAAGTATAATGCGAAAAAAAGTATGGTATGGAATTGAGGACATCTTCCGGTACGGTAGCAAGTGACTTCCATGACGGCCTTGGCTGAAATGCTTGGCATTTGGAAAGTCAAGTGAATGTTCGTTTCCTAAGCGAATGCATCGAAGTTGATAAAAGACAATGCGCTCCAGCGATCCAGTCAGTATCATTGCAACTGATGATCAGTAGGAAGAGGCTAGAAATTTGAGGAGAATGAAAGTATGTATACATGTATCTCAGGACAACACACACGCTATATAACAACGAATGCAAACCTCTCTAGAAGCAAAGTCAAATCTCCATTATCAGAGTACAAGAGACAATCAATCCCATGGACTTCTACTCAAAGGATAAATGTGCAGTAAGTGTTTTCCCGTTTCATTTTTCGCGTGGAATACAAAGTTCAAACAATCAGCAATCCAATGGTGCTTGTCTCTAAAGAGGAGTGAGGATACATAATCTTTATTGTCTTGGATACTGTAGACTTTACATTCCCTAGCACGCTTCCATAATGCTTCTGAGGATCAGCTGTTGTATTCGAGGTATGCCGTACTTGTCGAGCCGGTCATGGATAGAAATGAAATGGCTTGGCGCTACCGTCCTCCTTGAGGGATTGATAGCAGCTCACTCAGATCCTACACTTGCTCAAAAGCAAGCATGCCCGAAAGCTTGATATTTGTACTGTAATTCGTACTGCTCAATTGTCATATCTATAGATGTTTGACTGCCCATGATCTAATCTGCTATGCGTCATGTCTGGAAGCGTCGCTTCTCTCTATCTCAACAAAATTTCCGCCGATTTCAAAAAAGCCCCGTAGTGTCATGCCTTCAAAGATGATTCCCTTCGTCGCAAAAAAAAATGGTCCACAAATAAAAACAAAAGATGGCCATCTCAATCATGTCTTTCGGTACCAGGTCACGCCCCAACCGAGAAGGCGATACACAACAATAATAACAATCATGATTCCGACCCACTGACCCTCCTTCCCTAGTGAGTATCCGTATTCGTCCAGTACAGCGGTGCCAGCAATCTTGCATTGAGATTGAAGACTGCTTGGGTACATGCATTGGCAATCTCCACTGGGGAGTGTTTCGCAATCGTAGCTTCGATTCTTGAATTCGTTGACCATCATTCCTTGAAAGACGTAGGCCTGGTAGTCGATGTAGTGGAAGACGTAGCGCCAGAAGACGTTGAGGATTGGCGTTGAGACGAGGAAACCACCGACACTCATCCAGAGACTATTCTTGTGTCAGTATGGATCTTTCGAGATGTGTTCCTGTGAAGAACTCACCCGTTGATGAAAGCAATCAGAGCGAGAGCCACGACGAAAATGGGGAAGATTGATGATATCAGCACGACAAGCGATTCTGCTGCGAGTAGGTCAAGAAATAGCCACATGACCCAGGTGAAGAAAGCACCGGCAGTAGGTCGTAGATTGATGAGCCAATATGACACAATGGAGAAACATAAGGATATCATGACTATGTCAAGATCAGTATTGTGTATCAAGACTTTTACCAACTGTGACTTACAAAGATATGGCAAGCCGATCAGGAAGTTGGAAATGAGGAATGCTGTTGGCCCGTAGATGCCGTTTGCGCGATCCTTCACGAAGATGGCCCTGTCCTCGATAAAGGAAGGAACGTATGCGACGGCCATGAATGACATAAAGGCCGAGCCGAAGAACTGCTTGWCGGTCAGCTACCACTATCTCGCCCTACAATGAGGACGTGGGCTCATGACTTACGATTGCGTTCACGAATGGCTGAATGCTCTGTTGGTCGGTGTTCAATCGTAGCCACACCGTACCCATCATAAATGCCAGACCCATGTACATTGCGAGACGAATCCAATACGTGACTATATCCCTGTAGGACTTGATGAAGGATCTGTGGAGCAATGTGATGATTTGAGCTGACATTGATGGACCTTGTGTCGGCCTATTGGAGTGAAGTTGCTTGCCGCTTAGTGTTTTGATGTCGTGCTCCAGCTGTTGATTGTGCTCTGACTTGGTCCAGCCTTCGAAGATGTTGTCCAGGCGCGCTTGATCCTGCATGTGTGAATTGGAGAAATCCACATTGGTCAAGTCTATGCATCATACTCATCAGTAGTGGCCTTACATAGTACAATCTACTTTGTTGGTGTGACCGCTTACCTAGGATATGTTCCGCCGGATTTATGTGACCGATGATGGGCATTTTGAGGCTTTCAAAGAAGCGTTCGACTTCGGCGACGGTACCATTGTAGCAAGTGTGACCTTGAGATAGGAGCATCACCTTTGAGAACAGCTCAAATGTTTTGGTGGAGGGTTGATGAATGCTGGCAATGACGATCAACTGCGTGATGTAAGTGGGTTTGTCTGATAACAACTTTCAATGACTGCTTACTCCATGCTCCCGGGCAATGTTGCGAATGAAGTTTATGACTTCGTAGCTGGCGACGGAGTCCAGTCCACTCGTTGGTTCATCGAGATACAAGATTCTCGGGCCGGTGATGAGCTGAGTGGCGACGCTGACTCGTCGCTTCTGTCCACCAGAGATTCCCTTTTGAACTGGAGTGCCGATGAGCGTGTCACGTTGCTTCCCCAATCCAAAAGATTCAATCAGCTTCGCAACACGATTCTTCGCCTCCGACTTGGTGACGTTTCTTGAGAGAGCGAGTCTGGCGGCGAACCACAGCGTCTCCTCCACGGTGAGGGAGCCGATGAGCGTATCTTCCTGTTCCACAAAGGAGCTGACTGAGCGATGAACATCAAGACCGCACTCCTCGCCGTTGATCATCACCTTTCCGGAGACGGATGCGGTCTGRCGCTGAGCAAGTGTGTTGAGCAGGGTGGTCTTGCCCGAACCACTTCCACCCATGAGAGCCATCATCTCGCCTGGACGGACAAGACCAGAAGCACCGTGGAGAATATCACGGGGTTGGCCGGTCGTACGATCCTTGACGGTGACACGAAGGTCGTGCCAGCTGAGAGATTGAACATCATCGTTGTTGAGGATGGAAGACGACGACAGTTGCTTCTCCACGTCCTGGAGGGGGATTTCGCTACTAGCTTTCGTGTTGTCTGCTTCCCCGTTGCCCATGATGAGAAGTTCCACGTCGCTGCGATAAGACTGGCGGACCAGGTCGCGCATGCGGGATTGTGTTGTGCTGTGCTGAGCTGTTTTGTGGTGACTGGAGCTGTGTGGTGTGGCGTGGTGTGGTATGGTGTGATGTGTTGCGAATTAGATTCCACAGGCAGGCGCGTTCACAAGAGTCAAATGGTTGTATTGTTAATCCTGCAAGCAAACAATCCTCATTTCCATGTCTTGCACGTCTGCATGATTTTGAACCTCGTCTCGAAGTGGCGCGGGGATCAAGGACGGGTTCTGTGGTTTTCTGACACTGCGGGCGGATAGGTGCTGGCGTCTCCTTGTCCACGCTACTTTCGGGAGCTCTACGGCACTCATCGTTGGCTCTGTTTCATCCTCAACAGGGTGGAAGAAACGCGGTCTCTGACTAGAACTACACTTGCTCGGCGACTAGACCACAGTCCCCGATGTCCCCGGCGGCGAGGAGAACAACAATCTACGACGCTTGATCAGTTCGGCGAACGCCATGACAACGTCGTCACAGACACGTTCCAATTCCCGTCCAATACAACACACATGAAGAGATTAGCGACGTCGCACGAGTTGGGTGTGACAGCGAACATCCCCGGCTCCTGGGCCTGCGCAGACCCCGGTCTTTGGCGCTTATATGCTCCATTGCTGCATCTCTGCGAATCGGCAATCGTTTCCATGCACACACAAGACCCCGCTCAACAGTCTGCATTGTTTGCCGTTGGAGGGCAGGGCAAGGCAGATGCGTGGTGGATGTCGGCAAGGCTGGACAGTGGAAGTGAAGTCGGCAAAAGATCATCACACAACGCCACATTTTGCAATGGGATCCCCGCATGAAACCTATCCACAGCTCTTCCTCCTCCACCTCCACCTCCACCTCCACCACCTTGCAACTTCTGCGCACGACACCTTCATGTACGCGTATGCTGCAGCCTGCTGAGATGCACGCTTCCGTGCAAACGACATATGGCCAGCCGTCCGACGGTGACGCATGATGATCCCTGGGGCCGATGCAAAACCACGTACCTGTCATCATGCTGCCACACCATACACCACTACCTACCTTCAACGGATCACCATGATTTCATGCTGCATGCTGCCGCAGCGGTGGATGTCCGGCTTGAGCTTCTCGCTGACAATCTCTGCCGGTTGTGGTCTGTCTCAATCCAGGAAGCCAAGACTCGATGCACCAAAAAATCTAAGCCAGCCATCGAATACCGCTCGGCGACCTTCGGTTGCACCACCAGGAGATTCAATTGGCTGAACCGCATTCTCCAGACCCTTTGATATGTATGTTGGTTGTTTCGCCTCTGCCATGTGCGGTGCGGCTGAACGTCAGATGAGGGATTAATGCCTGCTACTTGACCCTGGCTTGGGTCGGTCAATTCGTCGGTCATTGTCTTTTCGCACCTGTTGTGGTTAACATGCTTGAGATATTCATCGCCGCTCTACTGTGTCTTCCGCGGCTGGTCTCCGCGGAACCAGCTTGCGCCAGATGTCGATGCTTCCCGGGCGATGATTGCTGGCCCTCGACAATGGAGTGGAACCACTTCAATACCACTGTGAATGGCAACCTAATCGCTACAGTGCCTCTTGCGTCACCTTGCCACGAATCTTCATTCGGAATCGCCTACAATGCTTATGAGTGCTCGAAACTGCGTGAAGGGTGGAAATTACCTGCGAACCAGTGATGATCATCCCACCAAGGCTGGTGCTCAATACAAAAGCTGACTGGTGGTACGCAGTTACAATTCCTCATCTTCTGTAATGTCGCCGCTGTTTGCCAATCAAAGCTGTGACCCTTTCACCACGAGAGAAAGCCAATGTGTCCTCGGCACATACATTCAGTATGCAGTGGATGTCCACACCGAGGAGGATGTAGTAGCCACCCTTGCTTTTGTACTGAAGAACAAAATCCGCCTCGTGATTCGCAACACTGGTCATGACTACAACGGCAAGTCTACTGGCGCGGGAGCTGTGGCGATCTGGACGCATCATCTCAAAGAGATTACCGTGTTTGACTATGAAAGTTCTGTCTACACCGGAAAAGTCATGAAAATGGGCGCCGGAGTGCAGGGGTTCGAGGCATACGAAGTTGCGCATGAGCAAGATCTTGTCATTGTGGGAGGCGAGTGTCCATCAGTGGGACTTGCTGGTGGCTATGTAAGTTTTGTGTCCAATGATTGTCCATTCCTGCGGGGACGTCACCAAGCGGCGTTCCTTCGCCTTGACCACGCTCTTTGGAGACGATATGCCAAGTCATGTCGCCATCTATCTGCCCCCTTCCTCAGATCAAGCTAACGCTGAACCTTCATTCTAGACACAAGGCGGTGGTCATTCTGCTCTCTCTTCCAAATATGGACTTGGCGCTGATCAGGTTCTCGAATGGGATGTGATTGTGGCAGATGGACAACGACTCATTGCCTCTAAAGACCAGTATCCGGATCTCTTCTGGGCGCTCAGTGGCGGAGGCGGTGGCACTTTCRGCGTTGTGCTCTCGATGACCGTCAGAGCACATCCTGATGGGCCGACAACAGGTGCAAACTTATCCTTTTCGACTACGGCAATCTCGCGAGATATATATTGGGAAGCGATTGATACGCACTATAAGTCGCTACCCAGCATTGTTGACGAAGGCATCATGGCTCTGTCATTCATGAACAACGATACCTTCACGATCGGCCCGATGACCGGACCTGGAGTTAGCCCAGAAAGAATGAACGAATTGCTCGAGCCACTGACTACCAAGCTGAAAACGAGTGGCATCTCATACACAAAGCTCGTGAAGCAATTCCCGACATACTACGATCACCTCAACACCATGATCCCGGAGATTGCGGTGGGCTATGCACTTTACGGTGGTAGGTTGATCTCGCGATCGCTAGTCGTCGAGGATGTCAAGATCACCACCAACGCCTTGCGCAAGATCATCGATAATGGCGGCGCCGTGACTACCGTAGGTCTCGGGGTCTCCGAATTGGTGGTGGGGAATGTGTACAATTCCGTCAATCCTATCTGGCGCGACACACTGCTCGACACGGTGGTCACGATCCCTTACGATCTCACGGCGCCGCTTTMTGACGCCAGGGCGAGTGCGAACAAATTAACTGAAGAATTCATGCCACTACTTACGGAGATAAGCCCTGGCAGGGGTACCTATCTCAATGAGGTTCGTGCTCTGATCTCCCATTTTTCTACCAATACTAATGTGGCGGTAAAAGGCGGATTTCCAAGATCCGGATTGGAAGAGCAATTACTATGGCGTCAACTATGATCGTTTGCTGGAAATCAAGAATCGATATGATCCAGAGCACTTGTTCTAYGCGTTGACGGCTGTTGGCTCGGACTACTGGGAATTGCAGCCTGACGGTCGGTTGTGCACAGCCGTTGCTGCTTAGTTTAGGGTGGACGTTCTTTGTGTGTGTACATTATCATGGAGTCTTGCTTGCGTTGAGCAAACCCTTCTGCTATTTTGTTGAAGTGGCATTGAGCAAGCTTTTTGGTTTCTCAAGTAGACGCTTAGGAGCTCTGTATGGCTGACTTTGAGAGACAGGAGTACTCATCATCACTCATTATATACGAAAGCACCAAAGTCGTTCAGTATACACACACCTTCTTATGGCGGCCTCTCTCCTCAATGAGCTGCTTCCCGCGGATTCCCGGCCAGACTGAATCGTCAGTCCTTTTTCGAGTCTTGTATCAAGAATTACTGGGGTTTTGTCCCGCGGAAACAAGGTTTCCGAATATTCACTTCTGCCTCCTATATTCACTCCCCTCGAGGGTTTCGTGTCCCCACTACTTTCACTACTATTACAACCTCGCATTGTTCAGATCACCGCCGCTTCTTGCCAGAACCATCTGCACCCACGACCTCCCTACCGACATCTTTCGCCACTTCGAGACTTGCATTGCATTAACAACGAGTCATCAACCGCAAATCCTCTATCAATTTCATACCATGGCTCATCAACAACCAACCGCGCGCAATGTTCTCTTGGCCAAAGCAGAAGACTTACAGCGCGATGCGAATGGCCATTGGGAGTACAAAGCTGGCACTCGCGGATATCCCACACGCGCGGTACAACCCACTCCGCGCTTCGATCTCATTACACCAATAATTGCTCTCGACGGCGAGTTCCAGCTCGCCAAAGTCGAGTCAACTGGAAAACACATCCAGCGAATCGGCCGGATTTCCATCGTCAATTACTTTGGCCATGTCATCTTTGACGCATTCGTACATTATCCAGATGAGGATGGCTTCACTAAGAAACTTCCACCAAGATGCCTTGGCCTCGGGGTATACAAGCAAGACGTCCAACTTCGCAACGGTGCTCTTCCAATTCATCAGGTAGAGCAGATTGTGCGCGCAATCAGCAAAGATTGTGTCAACGTTGGCCACGCTTTCAAGAACGACATCGCTGTCTTCCATCCTTTCGTATTCGACGGCGTCAAGAAAAGAGATACTCAGATGCTGCCAGAATACCGGCAGTATGCTACTGGCTCCCGGCGATTGCCAAAGCTGAGCGTCTTGGCGAAGGAAATTCTCAACGTGGTCATCCAGGGAGTGGAACACTCAAGTGTCGAAGATGCCCAAGCAACGATGTTGCTTTACCGTCATCGCGAAGCAGAGTTCGAGGTTCTCCAGAGCCAGGATGTCCACTATGCTAGTCTGGGCGATTTGGATGAAGGCTTTGTTGACTGGGAGGATGTAGAAGGTTGCGACTTGGGTGATCTCGAGAATCAGGTGGAGGCAGGAGAAGAGTGCGAGGTCTGGGTGCTTCCTCCGATTAGGGAGGCCGAGGTTGCCAAAGCCTATCACGAGAATGCGACTTTCTGGAAGGCGAAGAGTAGTGCTCTAAAGGAGAGTCTCGCAGCAGACAAGTGCAAGAATGGGACCTTGCGCCGTCTTTCTTAAGACCAAACGAGCTCTCCACCATTGCGCAATTCACCATCCCACCTCGCGGTTCTTCTGGTGTCAGTGGGACGAACAGCGAAGCCAAGATCAGCACCACCGAATCATCCACCTCATCTAGTGATCTCGGTGCTACGCAAACCTCTCAGTCCTCTGCCAGCCCTATCTTTCTTGTAATTAGAGTAAATGTAAAGGTACAAAGCTCCACGACATTCACTTACCGATCTGCCAAGAATTTCCCAGATGCGGCGGGGAACAGAACAGCGCTATCGTGCCTGGGCTCGCAACTTAGATAAAAAAATCTGCATAGCGACTGGTCTGATGTATGTATCGAAGCATGTGATAATCTCCTTACTGCTCAGTATCAGGCTTAAATGATGCAAACTAGAAAATCGACACACATAGCAGGAGAGAAAAGGGGCTGGGAACCAACGCAACCGCACTTGCTTTCGTATCAAGACCCAGTCTTGGGACGGGCGACTTGAACCGACGGATAATGACGTCCAGCACCTTGTAGAAGTACAACCTCCACCGCGCGTTCCACTCCGTCTGTTCTCGCGTTTAGTATGATCTGGAGGCCGAGATTCAGATCCGATGCTCGKGCGAGGCAAAAAAAATTGTACGACAAGCCTGACATCATTCACTGAAGCAGAGTTACCCTTCGACGGCTTGATCACCTTTGGTCGACCGCCTTTGCGAGACTCAAATCGGAGTAAGTGCATTCAAAGTGGGAGTTTGGCGCCTGAGAGTGGAGCCGCGGCGAACTCGTAACAACATCGTTTGGAGGCCATTGATTCGCTTTTCTCGACGTGGTTGACTGGGAAGCTGGCATTATTTTAGGGAAAGTATCTGCGTCGATCAGATGAGGCGGGAAATGAGAGTTCTTGTCTTCCATGGAAGCGTCCGGTCATCAACGCTCCTGCCCTATTGGCGCAATGTTGGAAGGAACCACCAAGTTGGAGACACGTTACTTCTCAACAATACGGCTCATCACTACACAAACACAATACACAACCATCACCTCCATCAGCACCAGCCGAAGTTGCCGCGTCCCCATCAACGAGGGCGAATAAGGGAGCTCTTGTCAGGWCCGAGTCGATTGCAGTGCACAATAATTGCCCAAGACTCAAGTTCGGCTGTCATCCGCGACATCTGCTATTGGATGCCGAACAGCGCCCTGGTGGTGAACGGCGAATTGGTAGAGAGCGAGACGAAGCAACTACACATACAATGGATTGGAAGCGCGAGACAGTAAACTATCAGTTCCAGCAAGAACCGCAGGCCATGCCGTGGAATCACCACCCATTTCCTGCACACCGACCTCCATCCTTTATCCCACCTCCGCTGTTCGGCCAGTATACGCCGTTTGGTCCACCAGCACCCTCTATCCCGCCTCCGCGGTTCGGCCAATATCCGTCGTTCGGTGAACCTCCGCCATCTCGGTGCGCACCAGGTAATAGTAGCAGCGGCGCTCCAGCATTGGGCGGCGGCTATGACACATCAATGAGCGCTGAATATGCACCAGCTCCCTATTCTACATATCTACCTCCTCTGCTTCCAACACACAGTTATTATGGCAGCAGCAATGGCACAGTTTCCGATGGTGGCAATCACTATCAACGTCCAACGCCAGAGCGTGCCTATCATCAACAGCAGCCGCATTACAATTGGCGCCACTACAATTGGGACCAGTACAATTGGCAGCGGTACAATTGGCACCAGTACAGAGAACCTTCTTCCCAGCAACATTACGATGAGCGCCAGCAATCTCAGATCTCTGCAGGCCCGCGTGTGCTTGTTCCAGGAGACTTTATGTCGTCTTTCCCACTGAAATCGCTCCCGAGGGCGCCATTAAAGTCGAGGTGGGAAGAACGAGGGTTCGAGGAGCATTCTGGACCAGGCGGTCTTGTGCCAGTTGCAGGACTCATTGGAGGCGTCTCAGCGACGGTCCGCCCGACTGAGGAGAATCGTTCACGTTCAAATCCGGTGATGGGTCCTAGTGATCTGGATGGACACCGCAGAGAGGACGCTGGGCACTTTACCGCAGAGCACGATGAGATGGTCGTCAAGAATATCGACAATGACGGATCTGGCGAAGTTGAGGAGGTTAGTGCAAGAGCGGTTCGGGGTCGTGCAGAAGCACCACGGACGTTGCGTAGTACTAGCAGCGAGGCGAGCACAAGAGTTGGGAATCCCTACTCCTACCTCGAGCAGGAGATCATGGAGAGGGGTTTCGAGGCTGGTCACACCCTCAATCGGATTCTATTACTGTTGCCAGAGCCCTACATAAAGAGTCTGAAAGCCCAGCACTTGTTCTGGCGCCGGACAAAAGCAACCCCTTCGCGAGCCCGTGCGGCTATGGAAGACATGATGCGAATCATGCGATGGGACGCAGAGCACGTTGCTTATGGCGGATTTGACAAYGGATTGACAATCGAGGAGGTTCATCGAATCTTGCCAGAAGAATCGTTGCGTTGGGCATCTGAAAGGTTTGCTGAGTGGAGCAATGCTGACAAGGAGCGGTCTTCGAAGAGAAAGAGGGCGTGCAGTGAGTGGTTCCCGATTCAAGTGACATTCAACAATGCTGACATTCAGGGAAAAGGTGGAGACGAAGCCGTCGATGAGGATAAAGATGTCACGTGGATGATGATAAAGATGCCACGTCGATGAGTAGAAGTGCCAGACGTAAGACTTCCCCCAAGAAGTAGGGGATCGGCGCAGAGGTTATACCAATAAATATGCATGGTTCGATGATTGATGTTTAATGAGGTGATGGGTCCGAGGATTTGAGAAGGATGGATAATCAGCGTTGCTGGGCATGAGAACATTTCAAGGTGCTTCCGAGCATGGCCAGAATACCATTGACGATGGAGACGCCGTCGTAGCAGGAGGACAGCAGTTGATGTTATGCAAGACTTTGCTAGTACAGTCAGAAGCTGTTCTGCTCATCAGCTTTAGGTTTCGCCTTTTTTCGTATCAAACCTCCACCAAGCGTATTCACGGTCGACTCTGCCGCAGCTTGACTACCCTCTTCTACCTTGCGCTTCTTCCTCACCATGCCACCGAGATCGTTCACACCTGCATTCGTGCTTCCGTTCGCCGTAGCCACAGCAGGGCTGATCTCTACGGGCGCAAGCCCGGAAAGCCCGACTCCGAAGTCGCCGTTCAACCCGCAGACACTTGTGACTTCGGCAATCCATCGATTCGTACTCCGGATCGCTGCCTGCAGGCTCGAAAAGTCGAGATGTAGCATTGTTTGCATGGCTTTGTCGTAACCTTCTTCGGATATAACAATCCCATCACCTGAGCTGTCCGGGCTCGCAAGTTCGGAGAGTCCAGAGAGGGACGATGAGCCTCCTTTTAGTCTTGGCATTCGAGTGACGATTGGGCCGGTAAGGGGCCTTTTTTTGCGCTTTTTCGGGCTACCATAATCATCAGATTGAGAAGGTGGAATGCTGGATTGTGATGCGTCTGTTGGTAGCAGATCCTGGCTTTCAATGTTGTCTTCGTCCTGCAAAGTTGTGTCGCTCTGCTTGGGAGAGATCACCAGCCAGAGAAATCCAACGACTCTCCCTGACGAACATTCCTGTCTGAACTCCATGGCTTCCCAAAACCTGTCAAGATCTCGCACGGAATTCCACATTCCGTTCTTTGACTTTTTCGAGGGACTTGACTGCACTTTCGAATCATCTGAGAGCCCGATCTCATCATCTAGATCCTGGATGAACCTTGCCTTGGGATCGTCTGGAAAGCGCGGAAGAAAGCACCGTGTTGGGGCATGTTCTGGAACTCCTCGTGTTTGGGCCAGTTCAAGAAGCGGATGTCCAGCAAGCCATCTTGGTTGGWTCTCGGTAGACTCCGATGATGGAGGCATGAACGATCTCTTGAGCTCATTGCCCGCATAGCCTGGCACCGTAATATACCCTTGATGCGAAACTTCGGCTGCAGATGTGTGACCTCCTCTGTCGATAATAGGATCCAACACCCTGGCCCACCACTTGATCAATTGTCGATCATCCAGCACATGTTTTGACTTGTCATCTGCAGATCCTGGGAAGAGATAAGCTGACTGTGCTCGAGCGAAGAGTGAGATAACAATCTTCCTGCCAGGATGCTTCTGTCTTTCCTTGTCGATCAGCCAACGAAGGAAGGTAGTCACTGTAGTTTTTATAGGAGAAGGCCTTTGGCGAGGAATGAAGGATGTCGAATCCACCTTGCTCACGAATATCGTGGTCAGGTGTTTGGTCGCATAGACGAGAACCTCTACTGCAAAGCTGATGACATGCTTGGATCCAAAGGTATTGTCAGGGGTGATGGACGCCGCATCGACGCTCATTGTAAGGAAATGATTTGCCAGTCGTGTCTTTGCCGGTTCGTGCCCAGGAAACGTTGAGAACAGCGGATCGCATGGTTTCGATGGTGAGTGAATATATCGGATCTTTGGATTGAAGCCTGCTGGTAGTGCGACAGCTAGCTTGTCCTTGAGTGAAGGAAGAGGCTGCTGTCCTTGCGAGAATGCCATTGAAGTCTGGGAAAGAGGGTTGAATTCTGAAATCTGCAAATTATTCAAGCTAATGCGATTCCCAAATCTGTTTGTTGCGTTGACTGCTCAATGCTGAAAGTGAAGTTGACTGGACGGGCGAGCAATGTTCGCGTCAAACGGACGAGGAAGGAGACGCGGAGCGCGCCTTGAGCTCGGGGAAGAGGCTTGGCAAACCTTCTCTGAGCCCGATCCTTGAACGTCAACATCACCAAAAGTTGCCATTGCATCGCATCAATCGACCGCCCGCCATGAAGTCCGCCAACCCCTCCTATGTATGCGCAAACTGCGTACGCACTCTCAGGAGTCAGAACGCATCACAAATATCAGTCCCGGCGATACGAGCCTTCTCCAACAAGACGCCCGCACGAGGCACGACATCCCCTTCAGAACACTCTCCCCGTCTCTACCACGACCAGCCACGATGGAAACAGACGCCAGCCGCCATGAAAATGCCCATTCGTCTACGACCGCAGCCCAAGCAGCCCGTGTGGAATGTCAATGCGAATGAAGAGCGGCTCAACCACGCCTATGATCTCTTTCTGGGCAAGGATGGCAGCGCAATGCTAGATGAGGAAACAAAGGTACGGCTATACGTGACTCACCTCTAGTCATCCATTTATTAACGCGGATCTTCCAGTGGTTAGCAGTAACCCACAAATCCCACGATCACGGCCGTCAAGGCTTCAACGACCGTCTCGCCTACCTGGGAAAACGCATCGTCGACCTTCAAGCCTCCCTCGCATTGCTTGCAATGCCCATCCCGCCCTCCCTACATCTCAACCCAGAAGACGTCTTTGTGCATCCTGCATTAGAAGGTCTGGAGAACATCACCCCTTTTGCGAAACAGACTGTGCTGGACAAGAGTCGCCTGGCGCAGTTGGCTGTGAGGAAATATGGATTGGAGAAGGTGGTGCGCTGGAAGCCAAAAAAGAGCGATAATTTGGAGGGCTCGGGATTATCGGCTGTGTTGGCACATACACTCTACAGCATCATCGGTGCGGTAGCTTTGCGGCAAGGTGGTGAGGTTGCTGCGAAGACGGCAAGGGAGAAGATTCTACGACCGCTCGGGCTCGGGGTGTAAATCATAGTAAAGGAACGACGAAGCGGGATTAAATATGTATTATTCGTTGTACAGCGATATAAACTGTCCTTCTGCCACGTTTCGGCAGTGGTCATCTGAGCGATTTCGCCCATTCTGTCATCATTCGTCTCGTATCTTACAGATCTTGTGCAGATACATCTTTCCATCTTTTCATTCAGCCAGAGCGCCAAGAATGAGACTCTGCACGACGAATTCGTCATTGACAATAGTCACGTTCCCATCCGTGATCGACATCTTCAACCCGTCGTTGAACCCGGCTTCATCACCACGCTTTCTCTTCTTCCCACCGGCAGCTTTGCCACACAGCTTCGAGAAAGCCTCTTCAATCTTTCCATCGACATATATCCACTTCCAGATACGAGGCTCACTGCCCATCATGCTCTTCGCATCTTGTAAATCATTCACCCGCTCCACCCTGCCAGCACCCAGAGCGAGGGTGAGGAAAGCATAAGTCTTCCTTCGCTCCCACGCAACCTTGTCTTTCTTGGGCGCCACAATCAACACACCCTCATCGTTCAGCAGGAGAGGCCGAGTTTGAACAGTGACTCGCAACTGGCTAGATGTGGCATCATAAGGTAGCATGACACGAGAACGCACTGCACCGCCGAGGTAGCTGCTCTCGCCTGCAGGAAGCAGATACTTGCCCCAAGGAAGAGGAGCCATGTCTCGACCACCCAGGGTTGGATTCCTCTCTTGATTGAGCGAGTCTACGATCCAGCGACCGGAGAGTGTCGGCAAGTCGAGGGCAAGAGCCTGCATGTACTTTGCGCGCCTACTGTGACGGTCTGCGATGAGTGCAACGAAGCCGTAATCGGCGGATTTTGCTTTGAGATGCAGACCGAGTTCGCGCTCTTCATCTTCTGGTACCTTCTGCGGGGACTTCTTGGTGGGCGACGCGACTGGCTCAACGAGGTTGGGAATTTCGAACAGTTCGCCAAACCCATCTTCCAGGATGATGCCGCCGTTGCGTAGTATCATGCGAGTGACTTGCGCCTTTTCGGCACCATCGGAGATGTAGGTAATCGCAAATGCCATGCCAGAAAAAATGGCAGCAGATCCGGCACTCGTGGCAGAAGTCACAGATGAGTCTCGCAGGTGAGACGAAACTGCTTTCTTCCTCGATTTACCGATCGGCGGTCCGCCTCGACGAGATCTGGAGGATGGAGTGTCTCCGTCGGGTGTCTGCAAGCGACTCGAGGGAGTGCTAGCACGTGAGGTCGTTGCTCGGAGCGAAACTGGCGGGCTGAACTCGCGATCACGGTAGTGCTTCCACATACCGATAGTCAAGTAGAGATCACTTATCAACACCTCACGAACCTCGTCCGCATCTTCAGCAGAAACGTCGCCTTTGGGCATACTGTTGCGGTTTGAAACTGTCTGAACCTTGATATGTGTGTGACCGTAGGCGTCGGTGTTCGGGTCGGCGTTCATGTCGCCAACGACTTCACCGAAGCCAACGACCCGCCAGGTCTTGTTGCGCGAACCCACGTTGTCGACCTTGACTTGATCTCCTGTGCGAAAGCTGAGAGTGCGGACATGCCAGGTCTCGATGTTCGTGACTGTTCCGTCATCGAATCGAATCTTGTAAGACATGCCATCTGGGGCACTCCCGATCCAGGTGGCTGGGTAAAAGTTGGGAGGTGTGCCCCTGAATCGAGCCCATACCCTCCCAGGAGCCTTCACTGCGCCACCATCTTCTTCGTGTCCATTGACATCCTCCGCAGGCAGATCTTCCAAGGTGGGTAGAACTTGTTCGGCATCAGCTTGAAGAAGATGAACGCGCTCCGCAGGAGGAGGAGTACGATCGTTGCGATTGACGTCATCAACGAGGTCTGCTTCCTCTGCCGCCTGATCTGTGTCGAATTCTTCCTGTTCTTCCTCGTCCGTGGTAACAGCACGACGACGGCTGACCCTCGAACTCTTCTTCGATGGTCTTGCCGCGCGGTCAGACTTTCGTCGAGCCGCTTGCCCAGGAGTCTTCAGCTTGCCTTTCTTAGAGACGGGTACAGAAGATCGCGTGGTCGATATCAGCTGCGATACGTGTCGAGATCCGGCTTCTTCACGTTGCTCAGCACTATTCAGAGTTGAATTGGTTGCCTTGTGTGACTCTTCTTGCGGCGCAATTGGGAGGACGTTTGCTTTGTTCTGGCCATCCGTGAGTATATTCAAATCCGAAGCCAGTAGTTCAGGTTCAGACTCCGGAATCGTTCCCTCCATCTCCCTGGTAGCCAGAGACTCTTTCACAGACTCCTTCTCGGTATGGTGCCCAGCGTAGGCTTCCCGAGGATGCTCTGGTTGAGCAAAGCCAGGCTCAGAGTCTTGGATCGTCCGATTCGATTCGCTCAAAGTATTCTGCTGGGTCCCAGCACGCATGTCGTGGGACGGATCTGAGTGTGCGTGCCCAATCTGCAATCCGAGAGAAGCGGAACTGCTGACGTTAGTCCTCCGACGCTTTGATTTCGGCGATGACAAAACAGCCAGGATTTGCYCATCTTCCTTCGTCATGACTCCTGCCATGATGTCGTCCACGTCAACAAAATCGAAGCTGGTGTTCATCGTTCTGGGTCCATCGATCATATCGCGGAACGCCTTGCGAGGTGTTTCGTTTTGCTGACTTCGGAATGCTTTCAACGGGGATGGCTCGACATAGCTCTTCGTGGGCGAGCGCGTAGATGCAGACACATGCGTTTGGGCAGTGGAGAAGGGAATATGATTGTTGCTCTCCTCTTCGCCGGGGCCATTTGTACGATCCCGCGATTGAGGTTCTTGAAAGAGATGCTCGCCAACATCACTTTCCGGGACTTCTTGCGGTGTGGCAGAGTCTTCTCGTGTGGATTCTTGTCGGATTTGAAGCGGTTTGCGGGCCTCTCGACGACCAGAAGCTGAATCAGGCAAGTTTTCTGGGGCTTTCACGGACTCTGTCGGCAGGGGAGGGCTACTTGGTACCTTGTCTGCCTCGTTTGCCTGCGAGGCCGCCACTCGAATCTGGCTGGGGTGAGACGCTTTCAGGAATGCTTGCTCCTGGCTGGTTTTGCCAGTATATTGCGATCCCGGAATGAATGATGCCATGGACGAGTGATTCACTTGCGGAGTGGGAGTTTGATTAACAACATGGCCTTGCGCTGTTGGTTGAGAGTCAGCAATGGTAGATCTCTGCGTGTTATGTACCTCGTGCCGATGGTCTCGCGTATCAATATCTTCGGCAGCATTTTCGGCATCTTCGGGATCCTGTGTATCATCCAGCGGCTCATCTTCATTCGGAACTTCAATGCCGTGGTCCTCGACGCTACCCACGAAAGAGGCACTGTCTTCGTCGTCGTTACGATAATTGCTTTGACTGCGAATGACCTTTTCTTGAAGCTCGTCATATTGATCATCGTCGTCCCCTTGAGACTCTTCGGCTTGTTCCTCGTCGTCCTCGATGGCATCTTTGCTCTCAGGCAGCTCAGCTTGAGCCTCATCGTCTCCCGCTTCTTCCAGAATGTCTTCGAAGCTCACCCGTCTTCTAATAGTAGCGGGCGTAACGAGATCAACCACCGACTTTCTTGTGGACGACGACAGATGTGCTACACGGGATGGCGCACTAACTCTGGCAGCTTCTTTCATAGCCTGCTCGCTCCTTGCTCGTCGCATTTGCTTCGCTCTGAACCTTCTCTGCTGAGTATCGTCATCACTCTCACTGTYCAACTCATTCAATTCTKCATGCCCTTGTAGCTTTGCTCTCATGCGCTGCTCCCTCTGTTCTTGTGACTCCTTCATCCTTGTGTACTCAGATCGTGGTTCACCAAGTCCTGAAGAAGATCTGACATGCCGCGTTGCGGCTGGGGAAGACAAAAGGGTCTGTGGAGAAGACAGATCATTGATAATAGCCTCATTGGCGTTGGGTGAGGGCCGAGTCATCGCATCGTCAGAGGGGTGTCCGTTCGGGAAAGGTGATGAGTGCTCTTGCGTCTGCGCAAAAAGTTGTGTAGCACCCATCAGATTTCCTTGTGGTAGGATCTGAGAGTACTTTGTGGCCGTGGCGACGGATGTGAGTGGCTCCCCGTCACGGCCGTGCTTTTTCCCGGCCAGTGCTGGCGTCTCTGGCATGGTCGGTCTGAGCGGCTGGTAGAATTGTGTGTCCGGGCTCTTGGAAGCGTCGCCCACAAGCAACTCATCGTAGTCCGCGACCGACGTAGCCGGAGATGCAGGTTTGTCTTGCCACATGCCATCAAGATCAACGAAACCTTCTTGACCGGGCTGCAAGGTCTGCTGCGGCGTCTGGTCGTGCTCTGTGGCCATTGTTTCCGGAGACGTTCCAGCCTGTGAGTGCTGTTTCTGTGGTGTCGTGTCCTTTGGCTCGACCCTCATGGATTCCATCTCGGTGTATCGGTGGTATACTTGCGAGTCCACAGGCTGTGTATCTCCGCCATGCAAGTAGTGACCTGCGCCATTGGCAAACGACGCTGCCTTGGCCATACCTTTCGATCCCGGCGGCGACTGTGCGGATTGCACCATCATCTCCATTTCGGGTGCGGGTGCGGAATTCGAAGAAGAAAGACGCGGACGCTTGTTCGAAGACGACGGCATTGGGACGGCGCGATGTGTATCGAGAGAGTTGGGCAATTTGGCCAAGCGAGTGCCATTCACAATCCCATGGTTGTCTTCGGTCAGCTGCGTCCGGTGTTGTTCGTCCGTCTCTTGCGCGTTAGCTTGAGATTCGGCAGACTGGGATTGTGGCGTTAGTTGAGAGCAGGTCGCGAAGGTAGGTACTCCGTAGAAGGCGACGTGAATTACGTACCTGAAGAAGCCGATGCTTTTCCAGTTCGAGCGCGATGCGTTGCGCAGACGGAAGACTGTCATAGCTTTCCTCACCCGCAGACGCCATCGTAAACGCCGGAGGATGTTTTAGCACAAAAGTGACATGTCAAGTTGGTGTCGAGGCTCGCGGCAAATGTGACACGCGAGTGACGTGCCGGGGTTCGCGAGTTAGCGCGATTTCGGCAACATCCGAGCTACCTTAGTTTCAGGCTCACGGTTTGTTGCGGGATTCGAAACAGCAACAGAACTCAGGTACCTTAATGGTCAAGTGAATGGCGATCGGTGAAGTGGAAAATCCATTGCTATACAGACAGCAGATCTTTCTTTCGCTCTTTCTCTCTCGTGTTCGTTTCCACTACAATAATTTCACCACCTGTAGCCGAAGACCCTTGCAAGATCGTCCTGCCGAGACAAAGAACCAAGTCTGGAGCGCATAGAATAGGAAATTGAAAGAAAAACACGCTCCATCYGAACCTCATATGCCAACCTTCCCCATGCACGCTTGATGATGGTCCTTGCCGATGTCCGTACCGACGCCGTCGCTAAACCATCACCTCCTCTGCCCAGCGCCAACGCTAACGAGACCTTGCAACCAATCCATCCCATATGTTGCCGTGTCTTTTGTTACAATCTGMTCCTGCCCTCAAATTCAGACCATTCTCATTCTTTTGATTGTGTGATGTTTGTATGTGTCGTTTACTGTGGAGACTTGGCGCCTCCCTGGCCATTGCGGCGATTGTCGTCGTTGATACCAAGCTGACCCATGCCAGAGGACAGGAATGAGAATGGATCTGCTGAGCCCTCGTTGCCGTTATATCCACCGGTGTTGCCGTATGGGGCGCCATTAGAATAAGCACCTGCTCCGGCTTGAGCACCTGGGTTGCCCTGGTTGAAAGCTTGCTCGGTGCGGCTGTCAAAGCCTCCTTGAGACTGCATTCCTCCGTTGTTGCCACCCATCTGGGAGTAGCCGCCTGCCATGTATGGGCTCGGAGCCGCAATGCCAGATGGAAGGGCAAAAGACGATGGTGGTCCAAAAGACTGGCCGCCAAATCCACCTGGTGGACCACCCATGCCGTTTCCGCCGTAGCCGCCACTTGGCTGCTGCATCCCACCGTAGGAGCTAGAGTCCATGGGCATGTTTGGAGGTGGTCCGCCGTAGTTTGAACCAGGGAAGCTGGTCATACCACTCTCAGCAACCACAGCTGCATTGCTGCGTGAGGCACCGCATCGCAGGCAGGAAACATTCTTCGCGAAATTGTGGTAGCCGCATCCCTCATTGCCGCACTTCCAATCACCGGCACGGAATGGCACAATTCCTCCACGACCACTAGATCCACTCATGCCACCGCCACCGCCCATTCCACCTCCGAATTGAGATCCGCCATGCATGTGTCCTTGCATCATCCCTGGGTGGCCATAGTTGGCACCACCGTACGGAGTTGGCTGCATGTTGTATGGCTGGCTATAGGGGTCAGGGTTGGAAGCGCCCATTGCTGGGAAAGAGCAACGGAAGCATGCTGTACGACGCTGGAAGTTACTAAATCCACAGCTCGGGCAAGTCCAGTCACCTGGTCGTGGACGATTCTTGGATGGTGGAAATGGCGTGAGGAGGGGTGGGCCGCCTGGAGGCTGGGAGTGGGCAGCGCGGTCGAGCACTCTGCTGGATGACGGGGCAACCTCAATCGCCCTATCGTTCAATGCGCGACCGTTCATGCTGAGAGATTCGGCCGCCTGTGTAAAGTCAGCAGTGCGACGGGTAAGAAGAGCATAGTTGCGAAAGAGTGAGCGATATGAGGGGATATTGGCAGTGACGTAGAACTTGTGTTGAGTGAAGTTTCGTCACTCTGTTCCAAGCGCTGCGCACAGCAAAGACTGCACGCAACGCAGGATTGATTGGAGCAGAACAATTGGACTCACCTCTTCGTGGCTGCCGAAAACGACAAATCCGCTGCCGCTTGGCTTTCCTCCTTCGGGAGTCCTGAGTGTCCAGAAGGCAATTGGTCGTCCGCCGTACTGTGTGAACCAGCTTTCAAGCTCGCTTTGAGTAGTGTCGTGGGGCAGGCCGCTGAGATGAAGCACCTTACTCCTTTCGCCAAGGAAGGCACGAACGTCACTGCGTGCGTCAATGGGACGCTGCAGAACGTCGGGGGTTCCCTGCGGATTGGTCTGAGATGGTCGAGATTTCGTTGTGAGGGAGTTCAAGCAACGAGTCAATGTGAGAGCTTCTTCCAGTGCACGACGGGGCGAAGACGGTGCGAGAGCCTGGAGGTGAAAGGGCAGGCCACCTGTAACCTTTCCAGATGAGCGAACTTCCTCAACCTCAAGACCAGCGCAGATGGAGGACAAGCTTGTTGAGCTAAATGCAAGGGTTTCTGGGTGGTGAGATTGAAATGTCTGATATTCTCCGCGAAGTCCAAAAAGTACTGGGTGTTGAAGATATGGGGGCAGCACAACGTTCTTATCCCGGGCCTCGCGTGGCAATTGCACTCGCAAGTCCCAGGGAGTCAATGTTACGAATGCAAACGTCGGGTTGGCACTGGGACCAGCGTCTTTTGGAACGAGATGTTCAGCGGCGTATGCGTCAAAGGTGTTGATGGCGTCGCGGAATGTGCCAGCGTTCTTGACGTGTTCCCACGTCAAGGTGGTGAGAGAAGTGCAGAGCGGCGTAATGGGGGTATTGACCGGCCGGACGAGCACTGATTGGCGGTGCAACTGTGAAAGGGTTTCGTTAGCAGCCTCTTCTTCTCGATGGTGTCTCGTTCCACAGAGCTGATGCGGCCTGAAACACGGCGAGCACGTACCTCCCGCTCGGGGTTCTGCGCGTCGACAACGACCCAGCCGATCTCGATGACCTCGGCGCTGTCTTTGGTGACATAGACGCCATGCTCGTCACACGTCGTGGCGATGTGAATGATAACGAAGCGCTCGAATGGCGATGATTCAGGCCCGGGACGAGCTGAGCTTGGGTTCGAAGCCATCTTGTGGGAGCTGAAAGGATATCTGCAGTGTTCCAGCTCTTTTGCGTCTCCTCTTTCTCGACTCTGGACAGTCTATCGCGCCCTGGTTCTGCAGCCTGCAGTGTCCTTGTTCCCACAACTCCAAACGCCGCTTGAATGCTGCTATGATGGGTAAGAAGCACGAAGTCGGGGCCCGCGAAGATGGTCGGGTCGCTCGTTGGTCTCGCAAAGGGGACTTGATTGTTCGCAGCCTTCAAAAGGTCGAATCGAACTGCTGAGAGCGAGCAAAGCCCAAGCCGGAGGTTGAAACGCAATTAAGGAGCACTAGGAATAGCTTACGTCCAAGCTTCCAACAAGGGTCTATGTACGCGGTAACATCGAGTTTGAGATGCGATTTTTCACCATTTGTATGCGTGCATGCAATCAAAAGAGGCTTCCCACGTTTACGCGACTTGTTTGCATTGATGTTCTCGGAGCAACGCCATTTGAAGTGTCCCGCAAGACAGTCTACTGCCGTCCGAACATCCAATTTCAACGAACATCCTGGTTTCAGGTGTGGAGTCGGGTGCAAGCAAATGAACGTGATACCCACAGCGGCGGCATATCTTTCCGCAGCCACTTTGTCTTCGACCTGACCAAGTCCAGGCCATTGCTCACCTCGACAACCCCGAACACTGAGTGCTCTGCTATCCGACCAACAACAATTGCATCGAGGTTGATAGACCTCCAGCAGTGTTTCCAATGTACAGTGAACGCCGATCAGGATTCGTTATACGGAACAGTGGAATGTGAATCACGTGTGGGAAGGCAATATCTCCACAGAGAAGAGGAGCTGAGTGCCGACAGTTGCATGCCCTCCAGTTTTCCGCGTTTAATGGTCAAGATATGCAAGCTTTCGCTACGCACCTCAACCAATGCTATTGGCCGGCATGCAGGAGCCACATCAAACGTGGATACATGTAGGTATGCTCTCGAAACAGTCTCCGAGCGCTAAGGCAGCAGTCCGTCCGAACGTCATTCGTTGGCCGATGGCTGCTCGTTGGTTCTACCAACCACATGAACCGCTCGTGGAAGCACAGTRGAACCCAGGATACTCTGTTCCACGTGTCAAGCCGAGGGTTGCGCAGGCTGTGCTGCGAGTCACTCAAATAGGAAGCACGCTCCGTATGGGGGAGAGTGGCCGGCGTTGCGAGACCGGGTCCGCGATGCATGCCGCTGGTAATAAAACTTGCCACAACGTGCACCTATAGTGGTGTCTGAACTGGATTGACAATTCTCACACCATTAATTATTGATTCGTGGCGGCTCCTGGCCTCTTTCAGCCGCAGCTTACACCGATCCGTCGGTATTGGTACTTGCCTCGCCAAACCTTCTGCCATACATACCCAGAGCCTTGATTGGGAAGATGAACTTGTAGTTGGGGTAGGAGATCATGCTGTGGAGTCCGTGTCAGCGTGGCAAATATGGCAATCATGCACAAGTATGGAATCCGTCTCACCAGCTTTTGTTGAACACGCCTTCGATTCCTTCCTGTAACCATTCGCCATTAGGCTGCTGCCTTTGCATGAGGAGCTGAATGGCCTTGTCCATTGGCGCTCTATCCGGATAGCCTGCCTCGAGTAAGGCCAGGATAACCTGTGAAGAGTCAGTCGCCTCATCTCTGAGTTGCGCCGTCGCGATGGTCAACATACCCATGCCGTCTGTACGACCTGCGATCCTTCCGGGTGTGGACYCCAGGTACTCGTCTCACAACTTCTGTACGACTCACCCCAGCCGCCATCCTCGTTGACTCGGTCAAGGAAAAAGTGGCATGCTCTCCTCACTCTTTCACTATTCTCGTAAGTCTCACCTTGGGTAGCGAGGCTTTCAAGAGCGAACATGCCCGCGTAAGTGAAGCAAATAGCCCAGCTGCCATACCAAGACCCGTCGGCTCTCTGATCTCCTCGAATCCAATCGACCGCTCGGCTGATGAACTTTTCGATTTCCTTGGTACGATAGTTCGGATACCGCTGCTTGAAAAGATAGAGTGTAGTAACACAAGCTGTTGTGCATTCGGGATAGCCGTACTCGACCATGATCCTGCCAAAGACTTCGGCGGCGTTCAGATACTCCATCTTCTCGCTGCCTCTCTGGACTTCATAGGAGCTGCATGAACCATTCTTGTTCTGCATGGTCAGGAGGATGTCGATGGCCCATTTGATCCTCTGTTCAGATAGCAGCTCGGGGAATAGCTTCTGGTCACCATTCCGCGCGACAGGCATGGTTTGCAGCATCATTATGGCCTTGATGGCCTCGGCAGTGCAATCCGAGACCGTGTAGCCTTGCGTGCGGTTGCTAAATCCCCACGCACCTCGACGCGGATGGCGGTACCCAGCCTCTGGGCCGGTCTTTGACGTAGGAGGATCAGAATACACTGAAGAATTCTCATAGCCTACTGCGTGCTCCAGAATTTGCTGGCTTTCGAGGAATTCGAGCGACTTGAGAAGTGTCTTGTGGTACTCGGGCTTCGTTGCAAGACCGCCCTCGACGGCTGCTTGGATCAAAAACGCAGTATCCCAGTTCTGCACGCCATTCGTACCGTTCATCATCATCCCGGCTTTGGACATGAACAGATAGTCTGCCAGTCGATCTCTGTGGGCATGCACCGATTTGGCATCTGGGCCTTCTTCGATATAGCAGGCCAACATATTCATAGGGGCGTTTACAGGGGCGAGGCACGCATACTCTGTGTTTGCGTCTTCGATCTGTATCAGCTTCCATGCCCACCTCTCGGCTTTCCGAATGAGAAAGGGAAAGCGGAGATAAGGGATGAAGATCAGCACTAAGAACCAGTTGACCAAGTTGAGAACCCATGTCTTTGGATGGTAGTTATCAGCTGGGCTGATCGCATTGCGGTATCGCGACCAAGCGATTTCCTCGTGCGGTGCTGTGAACAATTCTTGACGCAGCTGTCGAATGAGCGGGTCAGAGTTTGCTTTGGGATATGACCATCCTTTCGACCAGATGTAACTCATGGGCAGAAAGACCTGCCGCATGTGAATCCACCAACGCCATGGCGAGATCGGAACCCAGTCAGGCAAAAGCCATAGCTCTGGAGGCACAGGATTCACAATGTCCCACTGCATTACTCCGAGTATTGAGAGCCAGAATTTCGCCCAATGTGGACCATTCACAGCGCCACCGAGATCGTACAGACAATTCCGTGCCTTGCGCATGCGGGGATCACTCTCCGACACTCCCAGCAAACGTAGCGCGGTGTAGTTCATCGAAGTGCCAAACACGGAAGAGTCGCCTTCGACATGGAGACCCCACCCGCCATCACCTCCATTCTTGCTGCCAACATTCTGGACGCCAAAGATGTACCTGATGATCTCGGTTTGTTCCGGTTGAGATAATGGCATATCAGTTACATAACAAGTGATGACGAGCCCAGGAAGCAGAAACATCGGGCCGCCATATTCACAGGCCCACTGTCCAGAGCCGAGCTGTAACTTGGAGAAGAACTTGAGCCCATTCTCTGCTGMTTGCAAAGCAGTCTTCGCTTTGGGCAATGTTGGGGCCCCCTGACGACTTAGTATTTGTTGACTGGTAAGGTTGTGGATTCCTTACTGTGTCTAGACCAAGATGGTGTCTGTCAGCGGTAGTCATCGGCCATGCCTTGACTTCGGCGTCGGACCGCAGATAGTGCCACGTTTGTCGTCCATTATCATCGCGTAGTCGCCATCGCAGGGGATCAGTTTGGGGATATTTGATGTCTTCAAGATTTTGGCCAGACKCGGCTCGCTTTCGAGTGACCATTGTTGACCGTCTTGTTGATCTTCCACAAGGTGTATGTATCCAAGATTATTTGACACAACGCAAAGAACAAATGATCAACAAAAAGAGGATGTACGGAGTATCGGAAAGTCGAACCAGCATGCACGGAGTACATCCCGGGATGAACCTAAAAGTTCAATGTCGAWCACGTACGATTTTCTTCTACGAAAATAACTTATGTAGACATCCTCACACGAAGGAACCAAACGCAGCCCTCACGATGCAAAATTCAACGCCGCCGGCCCTTACGTTTGACGAAGTCGACGATTTGCTATACTTCACTCGTGCGAACGAAACGCAAGATCTTCAGCAAAGTCTCAATGAGCTCGCGCAGAAATATCAGTGCAAACCTAAGGATGTTCTCGAGGCCGCCGTTGATCCCGAAACTGGCAAGACCGTCCTACATTTCTGCTCTGCAAACGGTCTGAGCGACTTGTTGGCGGTACTGTTGTCGCATTTGAAGGGTGAGGAGCACACTGTGGGGAATGATGCTGCGGTGTCCTCGTTGATCAATCATGGGAACAAGGAAGGAAACACACCACTGCACTGGGCCGCGTACAATGGTCATCTTGATGTCGTCAAGACCCTCTTGGCAGTGGGTGCTGATATGTGGGTGAAGAATTCAGCTGGACATCTGGCCATGTTTGAGGCGGAGAGGGCGGATAAGAATGACGTGGTCCAGCATTTATTGGAGGCGGGAGGCAAGGAAGTGGAGAAGGCCGGTGTTGAGGGAATGCCTTCAGCCGACGACATTGCAGAGGTGGAGGAGGATACGATGGAAGAGGCGAGTACCAGCGCGCAGGCAGGCGCAGACGTTGATGTTGACATGGACCGGYCCTCGAAYGATTGAGTGATGGCGAGTTCACAGACGTGAACATGAGACCGTCCGACCCTATTACGACTCGATGTTGGCAGCGGAACAAGCCGTGCTGCACCTCGGGAAAAGGTTCATTCTGGCAAGAATGCGGTAGACACGCCTCGGAAGTGTTCTGTGTCGAAGCTTGATGTCTCGAGCACGGCTGTCTAGGAGCAACGCAAGGACGGTACTTTGATGACCGTAAAGTGACCTACCGATTGTAAGGCATGCGGCGACTTACGATCGCCCCTGTACGACGCGGTAAGAGCGTAGTCGTCTTCTGCTCACAAACAACTTACGGTCGCCCGCTTTCGTGCCCTGCTCTGCTCGAGCGTGTCTGCATCCTCGAGGGCAGTATACTGGCAGTAGGTATATTTACATTCAAGCTTCTGTCAACGGCGGTGGTGGATTATACCTAGTTGTCTTGAATCCAGCATTACAGCTCTCACACTCTGTCAAAGCAATTCGTCCTTACGTTGCTGGCCTTGGTCTGGACTGTTCACACGTCTTGGCGCTCTCGCGATTTTTAGGGTTAGGGTTGGGGTAGTGTCTGAGCCGGTAAACACGCGGTCTTGACGTGGTAATAGCACATCGCTATTGTGTCTCGTTCTATTTTATGATACTTTGACAAACATCTTTCATTTGGAGCGCCAGCTGTTGTTTATGTGGTCAGGACCCGGATTTTCATATCTAATTCACTTGTTCTGACATTTCATTCGACTAGCGTGGTATGCCTGAGCAATCACATTTCAAACCACACATACGCTACGGCATCGCACTAGATATGGAGCACGACTCAACGTTCGCGTTCGAAGTATTTTAACGAGGTCCTTAAAACAGATCCTATCGCAGCTGTATTGCATGCCGAATCATCTGCCAGATTTCCACAGCATTGAAATGACCAAGCATACAACGGAGTAGCCGCTGATGGAATGACCTCATCTGCATATCAAGGCGTGAAAACGCCAGGGTCTCGTTGAAACAGCTGTCAACAATTCGAACGACACATTCGAGTGGGTCAACCTTTGCMGTCACACATGACGGTATTGCCGGTGATGCATCCGTCGGCCGTGATCTGCAGCACACCACACCCGTGCGCTGCAGGTGGGTGCACAGCAGGCGAGTGGGAACCCTCCACCCCGAGAGACATACCAGATGCATTCGGCGGATCACAATATACCCGCGATGGATCAGTTGGCAAGACACTAGATATAATCAATCATATAAGTCTTTCAGGATTGCACCTATGTACCGGGAGCATGATGTTTTGGAGAAACTCTTGCTCGTTCACGCCCCACAATGCCTCAACATCCATGGCTGCATATTGCATGAACGTGGAACAGGGATGGTGATTGACCATTCACTTCCCTATAGGAGTACTCTGGAGTTGTATGGCGAACCCTTGTACATTAAAAGAACAATACTTTGTAGCTGTCCATCAACATGACGACGATGATGTCGTTAATATGTAACGTCCGCCTAGAAAGGCGTTTCTGCCCCCAAGCCTCGTGCGCAGAGACCCAGTAATCTGATATCATCCCTGTTGCACGCGTCGACTGTGTACCATGTCCACACGAAGCGAAGCATTGTTAGCGTGCAGCATGACACGGGGTACCTCCTTCTTGATGTGGCAGTCGAGCCGCAAAATCCTTCGCCTCTCGTGGCGAACATGAGGCCGTTTGAGCGGAGAAATGACGTTCTGCTGTGCAGGGTCCGCCTCAAATTGTAGCAGGTAGACGTGGTTCAGAAGCGGGCTCAGGCCACGCAGCATTGCACACCCTACATCGATGTCAGCCGCTGCGTGAAGTCGCATGGCCCCGGGCATAGCGAAGAGGTGCATGTGATATGATATGGTGCTATTAGGCGTGAAGCCACTGCGTGAATCAACACCGATATCATCCTCGGAGGTTTTTTGGATGGTCTCGTCATTAATCGTCGAAATCCTAGAGGTCCATGCTTACTACGTCAACTTTGTCCGGCCGTGTTTAGATGATCGTCTGACGTCGAGCTGAACTCAGGAACGTTGACAACGGCAACGCGAGCCAAGACTTTCAAGGTTGTCTTTGACCCAAATCCGGCAAATCAGGGTCCACTATATTTTTCTTTCACATGCCGTCAATCTTCTTTTTGATTCGGAGTGCATGTGTGATCAAGCACCGTGCGAACGACCAGATACCTTCACGACTTGAGTAACTCGTGATATTAATGCACATATGATATATGCAATATCAAAAAGTCGGAACCTCGTGGTGTGTGAGCACCCTTGTTGTTGATGAAGGTGGAGTTTCACAAAAGTTCTCCACAGGGTCTCAGAAGAGAAGAGGAGGGTCCAGCAAGCCACACTTTAAAACATGCGTTTCTGCGTCATTCGCGCAGATCTTAAGCTGAACTGTTCGTCGGCTCGGAGTTGCGGGCCAGCAGACCAATCGATGATATCCGATGAGCGGGAAACCCGCGTTCTTTGTTCAATCGAGCCTGCAGAGATGGGTCCCTGGATGATGTTGTGCTCACTTACTTCATCCGGTTGGGGGTCATTTGTGTCGGTTGCCTCGTTAGCGCATCGCCTCGCACCCTGGCGGCGCGCAAGGGCATCATCACTAGCAGATCTGCTGGAACTGTGCCGGTGTCCAAGCGCGTCTTTGTTGTGGACATGTCAAAGTACATATTGAATGTCCTGCCCTTTTCGTATACGGCTATTCTCCATCGACCCTACTACCTGATCAGCAGAGGCCCAAAACAACACATTTGATCGCCCTCAACATCGACTTATTCACAATGCCAACCGCCACGCACAACATGTCTGCCACCAACGGCTTCACAGACTCTGCGAACGGTCCCGACCATTTCGAGCGCCAGTTCGGCCACCTATCAGACCCAGAAGCTGCCCGAGACTCCTATCAGAGGTGAGTTTTGTTTGACACCAAGATCCTGGTACTGTCCGCTAACCTAGTCAACAGAATCATGCATGAGCACACCAAACAACAATTCCAGCAAGCTACCGAATCATCCCGGCGAAGGTCATCCGGTCCCTCGGTTGCCTCGCTTCGAGGCGAGGATTCTGTCGATTCCGTGTCTTCAACATGATTTCAGACCCATTTTGAATTATTTTTGATTGTCCAGCAAGCGTTCAGCATGGCGCAGGAGTTCAACAGGCATAGCTAGGGATTGGTCTGACAGGGCGGACCGGCATCGATGTGGATGAGTGACAAGAATTTCGGTAACCAGAACCGAGTGGGCATATATTCGACAGCATTCAGTGTAGAGGAATGCAACAGCTTCTTCTTCACGTAAGGTTCATGTAAAGGTCCTTTTTGTCGCGAGCATCGTGTTCTTGCAAACTGTTGATGGCGTGGTGCAGTCCGATGTTGGTAATTTGACCGCCACACCAGCACTGCCCATGCCCACGCACCTCGACAGAGTTCCTTGTCGTGCTGTCGGGAGGCAACAGTGGTAATGGCCCGACTGTCTGTCAATGCGCAAAGCATCTAGCCTATCTACTGCAATGCCGGCYCAGCGGTCCAAGACCCATTCTTTATATGAGTCTTGTCATACCTGTTGCTCATGATACGAACAAGAGCATGTGGATGGTCTCGAAGTCATCATGTCGAGTCCAATCGTGACGGGGCCCGTGAAGTCGCGCACATTATGGTTGCCCTGGCCTAGTGAGGTTGGTAGACAGGAAGTATCAATCGACGGAGGCACATAACAGGTAGGTGCTGCAGACTTGATGACGAGAAGACGTTGGTGTCGGTCCTGGAGAGTCAAATTGGAAGTGAAACTCGGGCCGCCGCGGCTCCAATGCCGCGTCTTGGAGGAAGATTTTCCATCGCCCAGCCATCTCACATCCATCACACCATAACGGCAGTCATTATTACAGTACCAGCATTTTGCGTGAGCTGCAAGATTAAATTCTGTATAGCAGTCTTGGAACAAGAAGGCTGCGGACAAGAGTTGGAGTTGGAGTTGCTTGCGCGATTCTGCAGATCCTCACAACGCGAATCCGTCGCGACTTTCTTCCGCAATGTTCCCACCATCAGGGAGCTACAGCGTCGACGTGAGTAACAGCAACAGCAGCCAGACGATTTTGGGAGAGGAAGTGCTGTGCGGTAGCATCTTGGCATCGCACGTAGACGCGACAAACACAGTGAGCTAACTCTTCACAGATTGAGGCGATCTCCGGAATCTGTGGGTCAATCAGCATTGCCTGTTGGGTAGTCGTGTTTTCGCCCCAGATTGTGTATGCTTCACTGCCACTGTGCCCTCATAACGACATCTGCTAATACTCTTGCTCTATAGCGAGAACTTTCGACGCAGCTCGGCGGAAGGATTGAGTGTTGAATTCATCATCATCTGGCTCGCAGGCGATGTCTTCAACATACTTGGAGCTGTCCTTCAGGGCGTTCTCCCTACGATGATCGTACTTGCCATTTACTGTGAGTCTCTCGATCTTACCCTTCGTTGAATGCGATTGATTCTGACCGAGCGTCTGTAGACACCTTCGCGGACATTGTACTTCTTGGTCAATGCTTCTACTACCGTGGCTTCACGCTGCGAGATCCAAGGCCCGATAAACCAGGCTCAATCGAAGATGCACCAAACGAGCGCTCACCTCTCATTACGAATGGGCATGCGAACGGGCAGGTCAACGGAAACGCAGCAGCCTCACGGCCACCGAATGCCGCGGACGTGGAATACTCGTCTCGCAACAGGTCCAGATCCTCATTCCGAGAGCGCCTGTCTAGCCTAGACGCATCCTTCTTCTCCCCTGCAACGCCAATTCATCCGCAGCCCAAAGATGCTCCCGATGGCGAAGTACTAAAGCCTCAGCAAGCGCGAAGCTTGACTCATGCCATTCTCTTCAATGGCGCCGCCATTCTGGTCGTTGTTGCAGCCGGCATTGCTGGGTATTATCTCAGTCCGGCAACACCAGAAGCTGAGCGTAGTGGGTCTCCTGCAGACGACCAGGCGCAGTCTCTCAAACTCAACCTCTGGGGTCAAGTCTTTGGCTATATCTGTGCMGTCTTGTATCTTGGAAGCCGTGTGCCGCAGCTGCTATTGAACTACCGACGCAAGTCTACGGAAGGTCTGAATGCATTGTTCTTCCTGTTCGCCTGCATCGGAAACTTGACATACGTCTGGTCCATCCTCGCTTTCGAGCCCATATGCAGCCGGCATTCGCACGGACATTGGCGCGTGAGTCACTGTCATCCCGGCGAAGCCTCCTCAATCTATGGACAATACATTCTGGTGAATCTGAGCTGGTTGATCGGCAGTCTTGGTACCCTCTTCCTTGATGGCGCTGTTTTCATACAATTTTGGATGTACCGAAGTGGGAACGAGGCGATCCTCGACGACGACGACCGGGGACGGAGCGCAGTGGAGCGATGAGCGAGTCTTCGTGGCCGAAAGTGTTCATCGCGGCACTCAACACATCAACTCATTAGCTGTGCTGCCTTTCTTCTGGTGAGCGTCGAGAGGGATGCAGCATCACAGCAACAACAAATCATTACGCAAACAATCCGCGGCGTTAGAGCCTGCAGACTGCGGGAATACTTGCCAAGTCGAACTGCGAAAAACCTCCGTGCGAGGCCAACCGAAATGTCTCAACATTCCAGCGAAGTTCGGTAAAGATTATCAAAACACGGCCCGAAATGTGTCTCGACAGATGTGGACACAGCCCCAGATGATGAAACGTCGTTTTGGTATACTTTTTGCCTCCATCTTCGCCCAAAGAAAGCTATGTATCATTAACTAAAAAGAACCACAGAATCATGAACGAACATCGCGTTCAAGATCCCGTCGAAATAATCATTCTGCGAGCCTCTTGGAAGTTGGCGCCAGTGTGCTCGAATCGGCATCGGCCCGAGTCTGGAAGTGAGGATGCCGATACATTGGGGGTCATTCCTCGATCAATCAAGCCGGGCATGATTTCGCCCGATTCAGGTCTTACACCTTTCCCAGCTGCATTCCGTGTCCGTATCTGTAGCCTATCACTGATAGACAATGTCACACGGTGAGTGCAGCGTGGCACGAATGCCTCCTGAACAGAGAGGTCTGGGCATGGCATWCGAGCCTTCTCTCATGCCAAACAACACGCAAAGTCACAACAAATCTCCCCACACGCCTTCATAATGCCTTCGTTGCGCAGGGAAACGCAATTCAGTATCCCAGACCGTGTCGTCTCCTGGTCAACTAACCTGATTCCGTGCTACTGGGCTTCCCGGAATTCTTTCAGATATGGACACCATACGACTGCTAGTACTATGCCTGGGCATCGCAAGAGCACAGGTGATCAGCCTTGATGTGGGCGGCGCTGTAAATTTGCCGACTCTCACCGCATGTCAGTATATCTGAACTTCGCTTTCATCCGCTCATCCACGTGTCGGATGCTTGGTTGCACGTGTACTTTAAGCTGACCAGTTGACTGGCGTGTCCTCCTGTACTCACTGTCACCGTTCTCCCTCCAGACTATACCGGTAGCTTTACCAATCTGATCGGACTTCCAACCCTCTCCGTGCCGACAGCTCTCCCATCTTTAGATTTAGGCCTTCCCACCATTCTTCCAACAGCGCTACCCTCTTTAGTTCTACCTACAGCCATCCCTACCAACCTTTTACCCTCTGTAACCTTGGCGTTGCCAACGATATCAATCCCTGCTTCGGCGCTACTTCCCACATCTTTCCTGGCAGGTCCGACACCGACACCGGTATCTTACACCTGCCCTCAGTACGATGGCCAAACGATCTATGAAAATGGGCTGCTTTACGTTCTCAGCTGTGGAGCTCAGGCTGCTGGTACTATCTATGCCGCCGTCGAAGTCAAAGACACCTTCAACGATTGCTTCAGAGCATGTGATCAACTTGGATCTCTTGGAGGCGCTCTGTTCTGTACCGGCTTCGCATACGCCCCCGATCCTTCTGATGCTTCCGAAGGTGGGACTTGTTACTTGCAAAACAGCATTGCGCAAGACTTTCTGTCTGGTAAGTCTCAAGACTCCACAACAACTCTCAGCACTGGGGCTCATCGCTGTTGGCATCACACAACATGGTGTGACAATGAGACATCTGGCGTCAAGTAAGACGTGATTCATGCTAACATTACTCCTGCAGGCGACGTCAATCGCATCAGTGCAGTTCGCCTGCTGAACTACATTCTGGGAGGAAACCTTGTTGCCCCAGTACTWTCTGCCCTACCTACGGTGTCTTTACCAATACCCACGGATATTCCGACGATTGCACTTCCGTCGTTACCTTTGATAACCGACCTTCCCGTCACGAGTATTGTCAACGCACTTTCTAGTCAACTAGCTGGACTTACGACGGCCCTTTCTGTCCCAACTGGGCTGCCCCTGACAGACATCGCAAACGGCTTGTCAAGCCAATTGGCTGGACTCACTTCGCTCCCGTCTGATATCCCACTGACAACAATCTTGAATGGCATAACAACGGTCATTTCCGTCCCGAACCTTCCTCTATCAAGCGGTACGTCAAAGCGAAGAGCGAGGAAATAGAATCATGGAGCCGTTCGTGAGGCATGGTGCATATCATCTCTAACAGACAAGACCATGCCCTGCGAGTGGAGAGACCGCTGCACTTACGAAATGTCAGATTTTCAGAGAAAAGACTTTTCGTGAGGGGCAGCATGTTCCTTTCGTTTGAACTATGTGGCATGCGTGAGACATTGCTAACAGTTCGCGTGCGTGCAGTACTGAATGGACTATCTTCCAACCTTGAGCAATTGTCGCTCCCAACGGCCCTGCCGTCACCCACTTTGCCATCTTTGAACCTGGAGTCGATCATCCCGTCACTTACAGCAGCAATCTCCTTACCTGGCGTGTCTCTGCCCATAGCTTCAATCACTGCGCCGTCGCTGAATCTGGGATCCTCACTTCCAACGCTCACAGCTTTATTGCCCAGCATATCTCTGCCAGCTGTCTCAATCGCCACGCCCTCGCTCGGCCTGGGATTAACACTTCCGACTCTTGCAGCATCTAGCGCTCTGTCTGGCATATCTCTCCCCGCCGTGTCGGTCACTGTTCCGTCTTTCGGTCTTGGATCCCAACTCCCGACGCTTACAGCATCTCTGCCTGGCGTTTCGCTCCCTCCGGCGTCACTCGCTACGATCGTGACAGTCATAAACGGCTTGACGACGGCAATCGCAATTCCACCAGTCTCGGTAGGTACATCCAATTGGAAGACATGAGGCGTCGTCGAATGTCATCCAGCTTTCTCGTTCGCAACCGACCACTCAGGCAATGGAAGATCCTACCCATGCATGATGATTGATCGTCTCTCCGAGAGGAACACTTCGACGCATGGCGGCACTCGATTTCCCTCACAACATCTATGTCGAATGGAATATATGCTGACTTGAGTCTTTCGCTGTAGTTACCGACTATCTCTAATGTACTGCCGGTTCTATCTTCCGCCAGCGTCTCGCTGTCTCTCCCCAGCACCAACATCCTCGGTGGTCTTTCAACGGCTGTAGTGCTACCAACCACCAATATCTTGCCCGGTCTACCTGGATTTCCCACGTTGGCGCCTCCCGGCAGCGCCGCTGCGGCATCGTCCAGTGCAGTAGCAGCGGCATCCAGGTCTTCCGTGGCATCCGTGGCATCTGTAGCATCACTTGCAGCCACGAGCTCGCGTCCGCTCACTCTGCTGAGCGCAACATTACCATCTACAGCGTTGACTGTAGTACCCACAGCGACATCGGTACCTCTGTTCAGCTGCCCAAGAGATAACGGCCTGGCATACCTATCCTCCACGAATCAAGCCTTCATCGTCCAATGCGGCAAGTCATTTGTAGGCAATGACATCTCCTCCTCTTTGCAGCCCGACCTGCAGAGATGTATGGAATCCTGCGGCTCAATCCTCGGATGTACGGGCGTCACGATATCGCTCGGAATTTGCACCTACGAAACCGCAGTCGGTACAGGCATTGGTAGCCTTCTTTCTGACGGCGCGGCGCCTCTGGATCTCTCCTGCCCATCAGGAAACGGGAACACATATCTCGACTCCCTCGGTGGCAATTACCAAGTTCTCTGCAACACCACATTCCCAGATGCAACGATCATCACGCCGCCTATCATCAAGAGAGATCTGGCCATYCGAGCACCTGTTCCCGCATTAGCGCCGCCGATATCTTGCAGTAGACGCTGCACGGCCTTGGATGGGTGCGTCGGTGTCCTTTCCAGCTCAACCGGTGTCTGTACCTTCTTCAGCGCCCTAGGAAACGCAGGCGTCGGGTCAAGCACCGTTGACTCGATTGTCATGGTCGGTAAACGTATCGTTGCCGTCGTCTCGGGTAGCACAGTCACATCGACGAGCAGAGTGACGGGTGTTCCGACCTACACAACGCGCACCGGGTCCGCATACAACAATGCTGGTACAGTGACCACAACAACCGCGACATTGGCGCTGCCGAGTGTAGCAGTGTCGTTGGGGGTGACAATCGGCGCGGGCGTCAGTTTAGGTGTCGGCGGACTTCCCGCACAAGCAACGTCCACTGCTCGAGGCGGATTTGCAACGACGACTTCATCAACGACGGCTTCAATGGCACAGGCAACCACGTCCAGGGTGACTTTGGTGCTGCCTGTCACGACGATTCTTTCAACTAGTACGTTCACATCCTGCAACCAGGGGAACGATGGGTTCATTACCTGCCCCGCAATTACTGTTACCAACACTTTACTCGCCACAGGATTGRTCTGATTGATGCCGATTTCATCGACGCCATACGCGACAGCGACGTTTTAAAGGACCCTTCGTGGGCCATATTGCTTTCTGGTGTACAGCCCTGGATCATCAGGATGGTCTGATGGCGTTTTGAATTGTGGTGTACAGCAGGATAGAATGAGAAGATATCGATGGCGTTTGAAGTTGTTTGTCATCATCATCGTTCGATTACCGTAGTGAGCTGCTTCGTAATACCCTTGAAAATAGGATGCAAGGAGCATGCCGTATACTTTTCAACAAGCAAGCCTCCCGTCTCATCCGCCTCTGTTGGTGAAGTGGCATTCGCTTGCATGTCGCGACCTTCTATGATGGTTCCCTCAGGATAGTGCGGCCGCTTCCCCTCCTCAATCAGGCGAATGAACATTGGATCAATGGGTAAGCTGCCGAGGAATGGTACTTGGAACTCTGTTGCCATGACTGCCCCACCGCCTTTGGAGAAGACATTGGTGCATTCGGAACAGTTTGGACATACGAAGCCAGCCATGTTTTCAATCACGCCCAGAATACTGACGCCGACCTTCCGACAGAAGTTGATCTCCTTCTTCACGTCGCTGATACTGATGGCCTGTGGTGTTGTAACAATCACCGCTCCAGCCATCTGCTCAGGTCGGGCAGACTTGAGTAGTGTTTCCACGAGGGAAATGTGCTCGTCACTGGTTCCTGGTGGCGTATCAATGAGGAGATAGTCCATGCATCCCCACTGAACATCCGTGAGGAACTGTCGAATCATGGCAGTCTTCTTCGGTCCTCGCCAGACAACCGCATCGCCTCTGTTGGACAGGAGAAAGCCCAGGGACATGCACCTCAGCTCTCCGACCTTTTGGCTGTCTTCCCCAATCACTCTCGATTCGTGAACTGGGACCGGTAGCCAGCCTCCAGGTGCTTGTGTGACCCTTGAAGCTTCGATGCCAAAGAACCGTGGAATTGAAGGCCCTGTGAGATCGACATCTAGCACGCCGACAGAGTGACCTTGTAATGACAGCGAGAGAGCGAGTTGTGTGGTCACGCTGGATTTTCCCACGCCACCCTTGCCGGATAGAACAAGGGCGATGTGTTTGATGTCCTGCAGTGACATGGGTTCGGTGATGCTGTGGTAGAGGAGAAGGTGATGTTGAAAATGCACCTGATTAGAAATGGTAGGTAATCGATTCGGTAGGCGCGCTAGGCGCGGAACGCCACGCCGCGCCATGCCGCGCCACGAGCCTCTCGCGCGTAAATTCCAGATGAAGCGTCTGAATCCGGCCGGTCCTGATGAGCTCAACAACCATGTCCTCTATCTCTCCACCACACCCCACCTCACTCTTCCTTCTCAGCAAACAGCTGGAAATCACGGTGGACAATGGATAAATTGACGGACAAGATCGCGGCGCTGCCAGCGGACGCGACCTACTTCTCTCTTGAATTCTTCCCGCCCAAGACTCAGCAAGGTTTTGCCAATCTCAATGCTCGACTCTCGCGCATGGCGCACTCGCTGCGTCCCCTCTTTGTCAATGTTACATGGGGTGCGGGCGGCAGTACCTCTGCCAAATCCCTCGCTCTGGCCGAGCTGACCCAGCGTGAACTCGGCCTAACGACATGTCTGCACCTCACGTGCACCAACATGTCGCGAAAGCTGATCGATGAGGCTCTCGAACAAGCCAAGGTGCTGGGTGTCCGTAACATCCTTGCTCTTCGTGGCGATCCACCGCGGAGTGACGAATACCGCGATGATAGCATGCCGGACGCGGAAGGCGACGACAGCAACAAGGACTTCACTTGGGCGGTGGACTTGGTGCGGTACATCCGTAAGCAGTATGGCGAACACTTTTGCGTGGGTGTGGCCGGATACCCCGAGGGCCATTCGGATCAGTCACATCCAGAGCACCAGTCGCTGGAGCACGATCTGCCATATCTCGTGGAGAAAACGGCGGCCGGTGCGGATTTCATCATGACACAGCTCTTCTACGATGTGGAGGCGTATCAGCATTATGAGAAGCGATTGCGAGAGCATGAGTCCGGTGTCTTCAAGACCATTCCAATCATACCTGGGTTGATGCCCATCCAGAGCTATCAAATCCTGCGCAGGACAACCAAGCTAAGTCACGCTGCGCTACCTCAAGAGATGTTGAAGAGATTGGAGACCATCAAAGGTGACGACGAGGCGGTTAAGAGAGTCGGCGTGGATATACTGAGTGAGATGGTACAAGTATTGAAAGACTCTCCAGGTACTGGACCTCGAGGCTTTCACTTCTACACGCTCAACTTGGAGAAGGTAGTTGCACAGATTCTGGAGCGAACTTGCCTCATCCCACAAGAGGACGCGGTCGCAGAAGAGGAGGTAATTGCAGAGGACGATTTCRTGATTGTCGACGAGGTCAAGAAAAAGCAGCGCAGACGCAAGTCATCAATGGCCAACTCCCAGTCGAGGAATCGACTGGTTGTGAATCGAACGCGGGCCTCGAGCACGAGCAGTAATCGTACATCTGCTGTTCATGAGGTGCCGGATGACGAAGCTGGGATCCCGCGGGAGCAGATCAACAGTCGCTCAAACACGCTGGCCATATCCGAGGGTGAAGGCGCTCTAGGACGTGAGGCAACGTGGGATGACTACCCCAACGGTCGTTGGGGTGACGCACGTTCGCCTGCATATGGTGAGATTGACGGTTATGGAGTAAGCTTGCATTGTAGTGTGCCGGACGCGAGGCGACTGTGGGGTGAGCCAAAATCCGTGCATGATATCTCGGAGAGCTTCAGAAGACACCTGGAAGGCGAGATCGAAGCCATCCCTTGGTCGGAGGAAGTTTTGCAACCAGAAACTCTTGGTATCAAGAATGAACTTCTCGGGCTGATCAACAAAGGCTGGTGGACAGTCGCCTCGCAGCCCGCTGTCAACGGCGTTCGTTCTAATGACCCCACATACGGTTGGGGACCGAAGAACGGATTTGTTTTCCAGAAGCCTTTCGTCGAGCTCTTCATACCATCTGCGGACTGGAAGACTCTTTCGAACAAGCTGTGCGAACACCCACAAATCACCTACTTCGCTGGCAACGCCCAAGGTGACTTTGTCAGCTCCGGTGAGACCTCGATCAACCCTGTGACGTGGGGTACCTTTGCTGGCAAGGAGATTATCACACCGACCATCATCGAAGCCGTGTCTTTTAAAGCCTGGTGTGAAGAGGCGTTCGGGATCTGGGGAGAATGGCAAAGAGTGTACAGATCAGGCTCCGAGAGCAGCAAGCTTCTGGAGCGCATCCGAAAAGATTACTGGCTTGTGAGTGTCATTCACCACGGCTTTCTCGAAGAAGGAGCACTTTGGARCGACTTGCTCGAGGCGTAGGTTGTGGTGATGTATATTACACGACTTTCATATATCGGCGTCAGCTCCACCTTCCTTCTATCAAATGTTTCCACTCTCCAGTAATTGTCTACCAGGGTTCCTGTCGTATTTATAACGTAAAAAACTGGCGCTGAAGAGATGCACGTCTACACAGGCCGAGAGGCAAGCGAGCTTGCCCCGCTTTGATTCCGAGCTGAAGGACGTCGCATACATCCTGCATCCCTCAGCCCTTATGCAGCCCTCGCCTTGTGACGGCGGAAGTCCGGTGAGATCTGTTAGTATACTCTTTGGTTCCAATTCGCATGTCTGCAATATCGCTCGCTATACGGGGTCGACGGGTCCCACTCTCTCAGATTCTTAATCGGCTTCTTTTACAACGACATCATGTGGCTTCTCAACTCCCACAGCCTCGAACTAGAGCATTTCGAAGACGAGACGCAAAAGTATGGAAGATATGCCATCTTGAGCCACGTATGGCTTGCCAAAGATGTGGAAGTTTCATTCCAAGACCTTCGACCGGGAGGAAAGGTGGCGTACGACAAGGCTGGATGGGCGAAGATTGAGCAGACTTGTCGGAGAGCGAGGGCGGACAAGTTGGACCATTGTTGGATCGACACTTGCTGTATAGATAAGACTAGCAGCGCGGAGCTCAGCGAGGCGATTAATTCAATGTAGGTTGTTTGGTCGTGGGGGGCTTTCACGGCCAATCCTGTGGCGGGTGGCATGGTCATAGAGGCATTGAAGGACGTGTTGTGAATATACAGGGAAAAAAGAGCCCAACGCTAATGCTGTGTTCGTTCTAGGTATCGATGGTACTACCAAGCAAAAGTCTGGTGAGTTGTGGCGAGAGCAATTCCCTCTACGACGAAACGCTTACACACGTTCGCTCTGCAGTTATGCCTATTTGGCAGATGTGCCAGAGGTCTCCTTGTGTGACTCGATATGGTTTACGAGGGGCTGGTAGGTCTGCGAGTACTTCGCCATGGTGAATACATTGACTGACACTCGATTGCGCTGCTCAAGGACTTTACAAGAACTCATTGCTCCTGGATATATCGAGTTTTACAACAAAGACTGGGAACTCATGGGCAGCAAGATCTCCATGCTCAAGGAACTAGCAGAAATCACCCGAATCTGCGACGAAGTTTTGCGAGACCGTGAGGCTCTCCAGTCCATTAGTGTTGCAGCACGTATGGCATGGGCATCGGATCGTTCAACCACAAGAATAGAAGATAGAGCGTACTCTCTAATGGGCATCTTCGACGTCAACTTACCCATGCTATACGGCGAAGGCGAGAAAGCTTTTGCGCGATTACAAGAAGAGATCATCAGAACATCCACCGACCATAGCATTATCGTCTGGCAAGCCTGGCAGGAATCGCATCTTGCTATGCTCATGTCACCGTCCCCATATGGCTTCCGCCGTGCACACAATATCGTCAGTTGGTCCAATCCGATAGATGAGGCCTTCCAACTTGCGAACAAAGGCCTACGGATCTCGCTGCCTGCCGTACGAACTGCAAAAAACCCAGAACTTCTCACTGCTATTCTCAACTGCCGCTATTCTGACAACACTGGAGCYCAAATCGCCGTTATTCTACGCGAGCTTCCTCATCAGAGGACGATCCCTGCGAGAGAGGTCACCAGTACTGTCTGCGAATTGACGGCGTTGAAGACTGAAACTGGCGGGCTCTCCACTCTTCGAAATCTGGAGAGAAGACATCTCCCCTCCGCGACGTGGCAGAAACTGCTGATTTTAAAGGAGAAGCCCCGACAGCAGCGAGAAGATCCAGGCAGTGCCTGGACGCAGAAGATTAAGATCAGCAACACCGTCAGCCAACTGAGATTAATGGAAGTCTGGCCCCCAGAAGCGTACGACTCCCGAGAAGGCTCCGTGACATTCGTCTCGGAGCACGAGCGCGGATACATGATCTTTGGGGAGCGAGACGGAAAGAAGAAGTTTATTAGCCTTGCTTTTGGACAAGAATTGAAATCTGGACGTGCGGAGCCGAGGATTTGTTTGGCGAGGTATGCTTCGCTTCCGGATGTTGCGTCTGTATTTCGCTCGCTGGAGTCTTCGCGGCGTGTTAAGATTGAATTTAAAAAAGGGCTTTCGGAATTGCTTGCAGAGGTGGAGAAGCGGTTGGATAGTAATGGAGATTTGGAGTGGAGCATCAGTTTGAGGTTGGAGCATTATTCGGACCATTTGAGAAGTCATTTGAAGCAGCTTGTGCATAGATCATGAGAGTGCTTGGAAGCGGCACGGGAAGATGGTGAGTAGCCACATGCGTTACAAAATGGAAGCTTGTGAATTAATCATCAAGCATATGGGCCTGTTGAAGAGGTGCTGTGTGATGAAAAGATTCGAGGAGATCAGAGGACCGGGGCTGAGAGCCTGATGTGAAGCCGAAGGTTTCAGAGGAAACTCAACGAACGACCAGAATGCTGTCAGAAACGAGAAGACGCCGCGAAGTTATGCGCAGCCAAGAACCGAACGAAGAGAAAGTGCAAACGCAAACCACATGCCAAACGTTCAATCCAGTTCAATTAACTATTGTATGCGCACATCCATGTCGTTTTCTCCTCGCGATATCATGACGAAGCAAGACAAACTCAGTCAAAGGAACCGACCGTTAGTACATCAGACGCATGGGCAGTAAGCACAGGCATACAACATCCCCAAAGATCCAGATTTCCATGCTTTAACAAATGCAGACAACGCGKTAAAACAAGTACACCCATTCTTCCCACCCCTGATACTCCCACACAATGCGTATCCAAAATCAGATTGGAACGGCTGCAGTTGGGGCAGCCGTTCAATTATTACCCAGTGTTTTGTGCGTGTCGGTCATGCAAAAGTGGTCATGTTGAGTATGAGACCGTGGTCACGTCGTGTGTGGTGGGCAGCGAGCTCCTCAATATCTTCTCTACTTTTCTTTCATTCTCGTATCGGTCGTTCCGATCATCAAGGTCGTTGTCAAGCACAGACTCGGCAGAAGGTCGCTGTCGAGATCCGCACTTGATGATTTTTTGGTGAGATGCTAATCATGCTTCGTGGGCGATGTCTCTCATAAGTCATGCTTTCATATTTGTCTTTGTGATTGGGCGGATTGGGAGTGCAAGCGATCGGAGCAGTGCGAATCGACTTGGTCATCGGAGGGAATGTCCAAGTATTGCCACGACGGAGGCGATGACAGAATCAATGAACCAGATCATTCTAATGCTCAACCGTAATCTCAGCGGCACTGCTGCGCTGCGAAAGCTCATCCGAGTTGCGTTGCATGTGACCATTTTGCCTCCGCGGGAAGCCGGCTCCTCGCTCGGGAAGTGGTCCACGTGGTTGTCTTTCGACTCCGCCTTGTCGGTTGCCTTCATAGTTGGTGCTGAAGGACCTGTTGCTGCCGATTGGACCGGGCTGTTCGCGATCCCAGGATGGATATCCTCTGAGACCACGTGGGCTACCGCCAAAGCTGGGGCCACCAAGGTTCATGTTTCCCAAACCGTTGATRACATTGTTGGTGTTGTCACTGCGATCACCAAGGCCATTGCTGGGAGTCATCAGAGTTGGCGTCGTTGACTGCGCACCGTCTCTTCCAAATTCTTGGAGACGAGCAACATTGTGGGACAATGCAGCTGGAAAGCTCGCAGTCGAAGGGACTGGCGATGGCGTGTAAGACCGCAGATCTGCAAAAGACTTCGCCGAACGAAGGTTGCTGCCTGCAGCAAGGGTGTTCGCAGGCTCGTAGTTGCTGAGATATCCAGAGGCTTGGTGACGGAGGTTGGAGCCACCGTAGTAGTTTTCGTTAGCACGGACATCGCTGAAGTCGGTCGTGGCAGAGCGGTTCAGCGCGCGCCGGTTGTCGGCCTGAAGGTGCGGAAAGGTCTGCATGGGAGGGCTGAGACGTGGACGCGCGTTCTCCTTGAAAACATGCACTGCTCGATGGTCGGACTCGCCCTTTGATGTGTGCCCAAGTGCCATGTGGTGAGCCAGAGTGTGAACGATCCTTCGCTCGGGGGGTGACAGGCTCGGCGGGAACATGATAAGATCCCTCGTGCTGTCCTCCTTGAAGAGCAAAAGTTTCGAGTAGTACTGCAGGACTTGAGGGTCGTTGAGATCCACATCAACGCCTGGATCGGCGCTGACACTGGGGGGTGGGAAAGAGGCTCCTCCCATCTGCTGGTTGCGAGCTGACACTGGAGATGGGGATCCAGCCATGACCCGCGACGACAACGACGATGCTGAAGCCTGAGACTGCAGGGTCTGCGGCGCCATGGGTCGGTGCTGCTCCTCCAGTTGGCCACGTCGCTCGCGCYTCTCCCGTTCAATCCTTTCACGCTCCACCGCGGGGAGCATCTTCTTGTACTCGACTCGCAACTTCCGCCCGTTAAGCTCAAAGTGGTTCATAGCATCAATCACAGCGGCAGTTTCCTCGGGATTGGTGAAGTTGGCAAACGCAAGGCCGCGGAAAACACCATTGTCGAAGTGGTAGTTGAATGCGTAGGGGAGAGGAAGGCCCATCTCAGTCATGATTTGCACAAGCTGCTCTTTCTTGATCGCAAACGGGATGTTTTTGATGACAATCGCAGTGGGGATGAGTTCCTCGTCAGGCTCCGAGCTCATCTCATGCCTGCCATAGGCACCGTTATATGGGTTCATGGGCATCGGCTGGGACTGGTCCATCCAAGACTATGACACAATTAGCACATCCATCACATTGTACGCCGAGCAAGCAAAACTTACAGATGGCAAGCCCGAGCGGCCGCCTCGTGAAGGAGGCTTCCGCAGACTCGGCCCTCCGAGTCCGTTGATGGTGTTGTTCTGAGCGAAGGCGCTGGCATTCCACGCCTGTCCTCCCATATCATAGCCATTTCCATAGCCGCCCACTGTAGCATTTCTCATATCGTTGTAGCGTGGGTTGCCGTTGTATCCCGCGGCGTGATCCTCGGCGGTGTAGAGGCCTGAAGGCAGGTGGCCGTATGCCTGCTGCTCGAATTGCTGGCGCGAGCTCTGCCGGTGCAGGGAGCTCTGCCGCTGGGAGGTCGGCGAGCGGTTGGATGGATTGTCGTAGTAGGACATGTTGTCGAAGTTGTGTTGCATGTCGAGGTCGAAGGAGAAGGAATATCGGAGCGGGGAGGGATGCGCAGGCAGTGTAAGCTCTTTCACGGGGCGTGTTTCCTCGTGACCGGTATCGAGACGGAGACAGAAGCAGACAAAGAGAAGCACAGCACCGCACCGCACAGCACAGCACAGCACAGTGCACAGCGGCAGCAGTAGCGGCTTTGGGAATGGGTGGTGCTTGATGGCGGATGGCCGACGCGAAGACCTGCGGCCGTGTTGTGGAGCGGGCTTTGTTTGCGTCGAGAGAGAGAGAGAGAGAAACTCCCGCTGGGCACGGCACTTCTGCAGGGCGAGGAAGGAAAATCCTCGCGCCGTTACACTGCAGCGAGGGTCGCTGGCGTGGTCTAGTCAGTCAAGCTGCTCCAAACACAGCGGKCGTTGAGGATGGTGGTGGGGAGCGGGAGGGACTGTGAGGTGAGCTGGCTGGATGGAAGAAAAATGGGATGGTGAATCTCCTGAGTGAAGAGCCACTTCCCTGCTCTTAGATCACCACTAAACTAAGAACTAGTTTTGCTTGACGACGGGTAAGGTAAAATGATCAAAATGACGGGTGGAGTAAGAAAGGGGTGCTAATCACACCACAGGCTTCCATTTGGGCCTCGTTATTGATTTATTTCCTATCATTAACTTATTACGATGGATGATGATGATGATGAGGTGCTGCGGCTCTTGCGCTCCTTTTCCCGCCCAGCCCAAGCAATCCACCGTCACTTKAGCCCCCCAAATTTGGCCTGCGCATCAACGGCCTGCACCCTGAAAGTGCATCTCCTTCTCCTGCATCCATCCCTTCGAGTGCCGCATCTTCCAATCACTGCGTGTCCGGCTGCCAGCAGCGGCGCTGCCGTCAAACACGCGCAAAAGTCTGCGAGCCGCGGACTTCTACTGAAAGCCTTGTGCCGTATCGAACGTGGATGGCCATGTAACTAGCGAAATAGCGTGCATGTCGTCGCGTAAGAGGGCAGCGAACATCGCCATGAAACACGTCCAATTGCCATCGCCGGAGCACACCCTTTGACGAGCAGCCACCCATTCGATGCTCCTGCTCGCATGACCGCTCCGAGCGTCGAGCGAGCATCACGAATCGCGGCTTCCAATATGGCAGGCCCGGCACCTTCACCTCGCTTGCGATGATCATCTCGTTGATCACACGTGGTGATGGCTAGCCCGAATTGGCGGCCCGAAATCTTGCAACCTTGGAGATGAGATCCCGACTTTGTCCTCGCTCGCCAACCTCATACCTTATTATCCAGCTGAACTGACGGCGGCGCCTCGGGTTCGATGAAACCCCACCATTGGCGAGTGCTGGAATCGATGCAGGAGCAGCTGTAATGCGCAAGTGCGGCATATGCATACTGCAGAAGTGTTGTGGAAGAGTCGCACAGCAGGTTACCACGCACCGCTCGGACGTCTGCAGCCAACCTTGTCGCACCGCAACAGTGGCAACACCAACGCTGCGTGGTGAAATTGTTTGACTGGGCAGCCTTGTAGCGATGCGGCTATGGACGCTTTCGGCCCTGGACGACATGCCGCCTTGTTCCGACTCGTGTGAAAAAATTAAAAGACGCTGCTAGAGGGAAGCCGTGGATACTCATTTTAGAAGCAGGCAGGCATTCGTATTTGCGTGCACAGCCGCCAAGTGGTAGGTTCTGCTTGATCTATCAAGTTCTCGGAGATTTCTCGAGTAAACAAAACATCGAATGATGCATAACGTATTGGTTACAGCCGAGTCCCCGGGATCGTGACCATCAATCGATGTGTCAGACTGTATGGGAGCAAAAGACGCAAACGCAGCCACAATGGTAAGACCAGGACCGCAATGCACTTACCGACGACAACTTGATGTGACGAGTACGATGCTATGTAGCAAGAACAGTATGCTGCATCGTCCACGCATTCTGACTGCATGCTGCAAGAAGTCGATCAAACCATGCACTGCAAGTCTCGTGAGACCCACTTGAGACCGAGCCCCCGAAGCGGTATTTCGTTCGTCGTCATCAGTGGACAGGAAGGGCAAGAAAGTGACGACGGGCCGCAGATCAGATTACTCTGAGGCTGGGGATGGTACGAAATCAAAGCGAGGGATGTACAGCATCTCTCCAGCATCGGAGGTTGTTCAGACCCACAGAGTCATCTCGAGAATCTCAGCTCTAGCGTTCTAACAGCTAATCAATCCTCGGAAACTGCATCGAAAGCAGATCTTCATTAGCTATTAGGAAAAACTTCCGACGCAACGAGAAACCGGAAAGGGTCCAAGAGCTTCGCTGAGCCGGATTTGCACTGGACGATCATGTGCTTCCGTACTCGTCTGCGTGCTTCAACACTACTGCATGTCAGCCTTCGCGTCGACGATTTTTAATATTGTCTGGTGCAAGTAGCTAAGAATCAACATCCAACACGCGACTCCATTCACTATCGCCCACCCGTTTGAACTCGACCCCATCACCGAAGTAGCCAGCATCGTTCCACGCTTTCATTGTGGTCCCATCATACGGACCGTGGCTTTCACCGCCATCCCTGGCATCACTCCACCGATATTCCCAATCGGACAGCGCAGCTGTTTGGGTGTTTGCGGATCGTGCTGACTGCCACTCCTCTCCCGTATCCCTTTTGTACTGTCGCATCAAGACCTCGCGCTCTGCTTGRTAAATCTCGAGCTGGCCACGGGAGTACAGGGCATCTGAAGCTCCGGTAATAGCTTCCACCTCCTTCTTTCGGGCTTCTTCCACTGGATCTGAAGCTGCATTGGTGCTCGAGGCCGGCTCATCAACTTCCATGGCGTCCTTTCGTTGCTGCTGCTTCTTCTGCTTCCACTTCGGAACTCTGGCTTCCTTTGGCTTGGTCTTATTTAGCCTCTGTAGTGCCTCGAGCGGAGTCTCTCCAGTTTCGAGATGTTGAATTAGCGTTGATAGAATGTCGCTCGTCAGCATAGCATCATCTTCCATAGCCTTTCGTTTGCGATCGTCTTCGCGCTTCTCTTGTGCCTCCTTGGCTTTCTTCATGTCCTTCTTGCTGAGACCCTCCAACCAATTATCGTTGACAGCATCTGGATCCATAGCTTTGCGAACAAAATTCCCTGACTCGTCGTATCGACCTTCTTCTTCCTCCTGCCTAAGGTTGAAAGCGTCTAGTCGCGGCGCGTGCTTCTTCTTACCACCAGCTCCCAGCTCGGCCGCATCATCCTCCTCGATCTCCTCCGGCAGACGATCGCGCTCTTCCTCATCGCCCGATGACTCGGCATCAGAATCATCTTCCTTTGCTTTTTGCTTTCCCTTTCCACCTTGTGAAAGATCTGCAGAGACATGTCCTCCAGAGGTGCTGTTCATGACTTGTCCTTCAATGTCCGCTGCGTCCACAAACTGCACGCCTTTCTTCTTCGGCTTGCCATCTTCCGCATCCTCGTCGTCGTCGTCTCCAGCATCATCACCAAACATGTCATCATCATCGTCCGCGTCCTTGCTCGGGTTTTTGGTCCTCCGCTCGCGCTCCGCCGCTCGTGCGTCAAAGTTGTCGTTGTCCGAGTCGGACTCGTACCCATCAATGTTCACAGCATTACGCTTTGTCTGATTGCCGGATTTCCCAATCACGTCTGCATCCAAGATGAGATCCTCCTCCGGCGCATCGGCGGCGAGCGTGCTGGGATTGCGATAGTCAAAGCGCGGCTTCTTGGTGTTGTTATCGTGCGAACGCGCAAAGTCATCGCCCGCACGTTTGGGCCGCGCCGCGGATGTTGTGTTAGACATGACTGTGTCAAAGTGAAGTTGTTGCGACGGAGGAGTTCGTGCATTGAATTTAGAGGTCGACATTCACCTACGTCAGACCTTTCTACTTTCGCTTTAGCGCACGCAGGACCCGCGAGATACAGCAAGCGCGTTCCAAAGCTAAAGCCAAACTCTCTAACTGCATTTCTAGACTCTCAGATTAGAGCGCTGCTTCCAGTGTGGCAGAAAATCATGGCAATGATCGGGATTGGCGATGGTGCCGAATGTCTCATACAATGAGACTTTGATTTCAAAGTTAAAAGGGATATCCACTTCTTAAGTGAATCGATCTACTCATCGTTAGCATCAGTATCGACAGGAGCTGCTTATAAGCAGCAAGTCCACTACCTAGCATTCCACCACCATCATAACCCTCATTTAAAACATGGAACGATGAGCTCCGCCACGACACCCAACGATCCGGATAGACTCATCCACTTGGGCCAAGCCGACATTGCGTCGCAACAACTTGATGAGCAGAACACGGGTCGCACGCCCAGCAGTCAAGGCGTGCTTCCTTTCAGCAAAGTTGAAACGATATCCAGTGCTTCCACAGCCAACAAACCCGACTCGGCTTACTATGCCACCTCTGTCGGCGACAAAATCAACCCAGGCTTTAGCAGGGTTGACACAAAAAGCAATTTCAACGATCGAAGCGAAGCCGAAGTGACCACGCTTCCGGAAGGACATGGGGTCCTTTGTGGATGGGGAACGGCTGACTCATTCGGCGGATTCAACAGCGTCTGGTAAGCGTTTTGCGAGGTTGAATATACATGGCTCGATGTCAATCAGCGAAAGACCCGCAATAAAGTGATGGAAGTAAAATCAATCTCAGGCCATCTCGTCGAATGATCGTCGCACTCAAGGTCTGGTGAAATTAAAGATTGCCGCCCTACCTGCAGTATCCAAAGATCCTACGCCACCTGCAACAACGACGATACAAGTAAAAAGAGGTGGTCCCATGAGACATTTGACTCTCCGCAAGGCTGGTGCTTTTTGTTGGCGAGCATTGTCGTCAGTTCACTGCAGGAGAGCCGGCAACCTTCAATTTCACCAGCCCTTGGCCCCCTTTTCTCGAGCCGAATCAATTGCGGGGTTTTGGAGGACACGGTTCCGTGTGGTGGACCCAAGCGTGCGTCGGATATATACATAACAATGTTGGAACTCTCAGTGTTGAGGTTGAAAGATTGAGAGCCAACGTGAAAGGTCGTTTCGAATTAGGCCATGAACTGTAAGCCTTCGCCGCGATTTCCTAATACTGACAGCTTTCCACACCGGACGATTTGTACAGTCCGATGTAATCCATCCGATACTGCTCGGTGGTCGTGAAGCAAAGCTCCGTTCATTTACATTCCATTGCTTGTCATTGCCACTTTTCTCAATCCCTCCATGATGTTGATCAAATTATCCACCAGCGGAGGGTTCCTCGTCTCATTGTGATTTCGCCTCATGAGTGAGACCACAGCTCCAATGACCTCGTCTGGGTTTGCGACAAGAGCTGCACCGTCAGCGGGAGACGTGACAGCCCACGTTCGGATAGCAGCAGTTCCTTTGCCGTGGATCAGCCAGCGCTTGACGGAATGGTCTTCTTCGTCATCGAGGAATGCCATGCCATTATCCCTGACTGGAGGTCCAGGATCGGTAGCTCGAGTGATGATGCCGTACGACCAGAAAGCCAACGAAGCTTGGTAAACTGCAATCGCTGCAAAGTCACAGATCAAACCAGGCCGAAGATTCCTCGCCGCTCGTTGCACCTGGCCTGCATGCCACAGTGCCTGCCGAGCAGTCGAAGTACGGGTCCATTGAACCAGCGATGGGTACACTCTTCTCGATTCCTCTTCTCCTTCAACACCAGCGAAAAGTTGCACGTCATCCAGCGACATGTGCAAGTGCATCAGTAAGAGCTCAACAATCAATACCACCTTTGTGTCTTCCACGGAACTTATCCGAAAGCAATGCATCAGCTTTGTCAATTCTTGATGTCTGGTACTCATCAGCATGTTCCCGCTGTTCCATTGATTGTGATGATCCTTCATTGTTGAGTCGATTTGCCTGAACTCCCAGATCATTCGCCAGGCAGCTCCCAGAACAGCCATCGAAGCCTGTCGCTGGTCCACGAAGATGTCTCGTACCGCCAGGATGTCAAGATCCTGGATGCAGTCAACCAATGAAGGCTGTCGCTCATGGCGTGGACCCGAGTTTCGCATGTAGGTAGCTTTCCATGATTCAGCCGAGGGTGAATGCCAGAGACTCTCAGACTCGGGTAGCGGCAAGTACAACTCCGCATAGGAGATCAATGGACTGCTGAGAAGCGAGACCGAAGCCTCTAGATCGTGCCGAAAGAGATGCAAAGCGAAGCGTTTCCGAGRTTCTTGCTTCACCCATTGCCTCCACTTCCGTTCGAGAACTTCTCCTTGGTCTTCTGCATACGGTACGATGCGCTCGTAAGTCCCACGTCGGAAGAGGCCACCGCGCCGTGCCATGGTCACCAGGACTTGTTGAAACCCCTCTGCCAGCTCCATCTTTCGGGAATCTCCGCTCCACAAACCGATCTTCAACTGCAGCAGAGAAGCTTGCATAATCTGTAGATCGCGCATGAGCGTATTGTCCTCTTCCACCTGAACCTGCACCGCTGTTCGTATTGCTTCTTGGATTGCGTAGCYGACTTTTCGGATTGAGGAGTCGGGTGTCAATACCGCACCAGCAGCAACGATTGCAGCTAGCACTTCTGGTCGCGTCTGGCCTGCTAGAAGAGTTGGCGCATGAATCCAATGTTTGGCGTGAGATCCGGGAGACGTTAAAGAGAATTGGAATAAGCTGTCCAAAAGACCGATCGATGRAAAACATGCCACGGCGCGCGGAATGCTATTCGGTTTGCATGTGCTCAGAATCATGGCAAGTATTTTGTCTCGAGATGTTTGCGACAGTGGCTCGCACGTCACACGTCGATCGATGTCCAGGCTCGTCGGCGTCGGCAGAGAAAGGTTGACCTGTTCCGCGCTTCCAGAATCCTTCGACAATGGTCGGAACCGCCAGACAGATGCCTTAGGGAGAGCAGTGGTGTCGAGCAGCGGAGCAGGCGCAGATGTGAAGCTCGGCAYGATGTCTGATCCAGTCGTAGGGAACCCTATACTCGGAGTGCGAAGATCGAAGGGATTAGCATTGTTGTATGTATCGATGAATGTGAGATCCGTATCGTTCAGCTCCATGTTTGTGTCCACGCCAAAATCGAACAATTCTCGGGGGGTCCATGGACCTGCCTGGAAGTCGACCGCTTGCACATTTCCCTGGTTGTTGTGCGGCATCATCTTGTCTCTCAGGTAGTCAAATACGCTGKGTCCCTGAGGTGGCATCATAATCCCATCCATGCCCATTTGGCTATGCTGCATGTGTGATGGCGTCGCCTGCTCTGTGACCATCTGACCTGTCGCTCGGGATCGTCTTAGCTATCTTGATTAYATGGATACCGCTTGACGAATTCTGCTTACCCGGAAGACTAAACGAGGCGCGATGCTGCATTGACGGCGTCTGAGCTTGGTGAATTGGTTGCATGTTTTGCATGTTCCTATATGACACACTGTACTCGTCAGTTCTAATCAAACCCGAAAGCAGTGCCAAGCAATGAGGTTCCCTCGATCGGAGGCTTTAGGCATCGATGGAAAGCAAGACTAGAGGGTGGATCGAAGTAAATGTGGTCGGGTCTCTCTGGGTTTCGACTTACGAATGCGCTGTGTCATTATAGTGATGCTGCTGCTGTTGATATTGATGATGAGCCTGCTGATCTTGACGTGGGCTCTGCAGAGGTGGAGACTGTTGCATATCGTTTGGCATATAGCTGGGCGTGTAATTGCACTGAATTCCCTTCTTGGAGCATCGTTTGCACGGCTTTTCTTCCTGACAAGCAAGATGTAGCTTAGCACAGGCCTCACAAGCTTGCGATACCCGACTATGTTGAACAATTGCAGGTTTCGCTTGTGGATCGTCCTTGTTGTGGCCGAGACTATGGCGCTTGAGGAGATCTGCGCGCGCAAAGGCTTTGCTGCAGACTGTTCCGCGGATTTTTGTTAGTCTTTGTTTGAACGATGTCTATCGGGGATGTGGTATCGTGTATATGTTGATTATACATGCATGCAAGTCTATGCAGCGAATGAAGGAAACATTCTCACCTTGACATTGATACGGCTTCTCCTGCGTGTGCATACGAACGTGGCGAGATAAATGGTCTAGTCTGGCATAGCTTTTGGAACATTTACCACAACTGTACAGGCGTGTTTTGTCGGCCGTCCCGGTGCCATCTTCTGCTTGGTCGTTGTTCGTTTGCGCGGCAGCGCCAATTAGAGTATCGGCATTCGATCGGGAGCGTTTGTGAGCGGGTTCCCCAGTGTCCGAGTCAATCGTGGATCCCGCGCCTGGCAGCTGGCCTTGTGTCGCCGGATCTTGAGGAAAGGCCATGTGCAAGTGATAGGGAAGTGGAGGAGATCGTACTTGGAGCAGATCTGCTGTTGATAATTGTGGGCCTTCGCGAGAGTGGGGTAGCCGCCCGATGACAGTGGTCCCGAGGTCAACACCGCGAGTCGCGTAGAAGAAGTAGGTGGTACTGTATTCTCAAAGGCTTGTCTTCACCAATGAGCATTTCGAATCATCTGGTACTGCTAAGTTACTTCGTTGCATAGGAGATCCGAGAAGAGGTAGAAAACAATCTTGCGAGGGTTCTGCACTAGTTCTAAATCACAGAGGTCGTCAATTTGGAGGCACTAGAACTAGAATGCTTTGAATTTCGAAGTGAAGAAGACGACGATAACATTAGACACATATCCCGGGTTTTCGTACACAGCGAGACGAGTACCGACAGCATCGCTTTTGCATCGGACATGTTACCTGATAGCCAAACATCCGCTTTCGCTGTGGTTTTGCGGGAATTCATTCATCTCCAACGCACCACAGCTAGGATGCTCGAGAGGACTGTGTGGACGTGAATGACCTCCGATGGTGCCTCCTAGCTGCGACATTCAGAACCACTGCAGATCGAACACCAACTCCCGAATATTTTCCAATTTGAGTATGAAAGTGCATCATCTTGCTCTTTGTTGATCTCATTTAATCGCAATAGAAGCTTCGAGCCTGTGACGTGGTTGTCGGCGCTTAACAAGCAGCAAAAGACGTGCGAACGACGGATGTTGCAGCTTTAATATGCAGGAAGCTCTCCATCGRGTAATAGAAGTGATCGTCTTTTGTTTGAATTGGTTGTTAGATTTGTTGTTGTATTCTTTCCACGTGCAACCCCTTCAAGGCCGTCCGCGCGTTTCAGATTTAGCGTCACCGCTTGCTCGGTACTGTATTGTGCCTCTTGCGCCCACGAGTTTGACAACCTTGTAGGGAGGCCTCGTTTACTTGTTTCTACACTCTTAACGAGTGTGCGTGCGCTCTCCGAGCGGTCCTTCCTTGGTGCTGACCTCTACAGTCATGGAAAATGAGATACGAGACTCAACACATCATATTGAGACCGTGAACGGGACAGGCACGGAAATGGCCAGCAACATGATCAACAGCTCTTCACCAGCGAGCCCGGGGCTCTCAGGTGGAATGTCAAGGAGAGCAGACTTCCAGAGTCACGGTCGGGCTCTATCAATGGTGACTGGATCATCGGCTCCCGTTCGGCCTAATCGACTGTCTGTTCAATTCCCCATTCAACGCTCGAGTATGAACAGCCCAGTGGTGGGAACTATGTCATCGCCTCGAGACTCGACTATGCCTACACCGGAGCAGCTGGTAGACCCAAGCGAACCGCTAGACGGCAATTTCCTCCATGCAATCGCGACTTCAGAGCGTAAAGTTCTTGAGCTAAAAGAGGAGCTGCAACGGGCACAGGCGGATCTAGAGAAGCTGAAGAAGCAGTGGGCTAGACATGAGGCGCAAAAAAAGAGAGAAGATGTCAAACATGTCACGAAAATGCAGTCTCTGCAGACGTCGCCGCGTGTTGGGGACAGGGAGGATGATGCAGATGGTTCGAGTGCATGGATGCAACAGGAAATGGAACGACGGAAAGCATTGATGTCGGCGAGCAAGACCAGCAGTAGGACAGTCCTCCCCGGACAACGGCATACCAGAACCCTCTCGCTGCTATCGTCGCCCAGAGACATGCCGGGGACCACGCCCACCATGCAACCACCTCGGCCACCTCGGCGAGACAGTCTGAAGCATGTCACGAGACACAGCGCGGATGGAGACATGCAATCAAGAAGGCCTGCGCCGTTGAGTCGGACGTCCACGGCAATCGACACGGGCAGCAATTCTACCGTAGGACGAAGAAGTGCAGATGCAATAATGCCGGACAAGAGCATCGACCAAGAGCTGCTTCTGCGTACTGGCAAGGAGCTCGCCACCAATTTCAARGACGGACTGTGGACATTTTGGGAAGACTTACGTCAAGCCACGGTAGGCGAGGATACCGTGGCGGTGGCCCCTCCAACAAGGAAAAGCTCGACCCAGACATTGGGTAAACCGAGGAAGCAGAACAGCAGAGGCAGTCTACGACCATCCTCGAGGGAATCGTCGGTTGCGAGTAAGGCTTCTACAGAAAGGCCGAACCCGCCCAACACATCAACAGGAGCACTCCCTGATCTGGCGGACCCTACATTCTGGAGTTCGAACCAAGAAGCGAAGCCCGCTCCAACGAGGAAGGCCACGGTCTCAAAACACGCTAAATCAAGTTCAGTGAAGAGGCTGTCCGTCGTCTCAAATGAGCCGTGGGATACATGGGACGACAGTCCAGTAGCGTCTCGATCAGGCTCAAGCGTCACGTCCGAGTCCAACACCATACCATCAACAGTATCCGGTAGTCCATACACTGCTGTGCATTGCGATTCGCAAGACGTCCCAAAGAAGGATCCGATCCCATGGCCAGTGCTGAGGAAGACATCAGGCGGGCTAGGCACACTGCGAAGAACAGCTTCTACATTGATGAAGGAATGGGAGACAAGCTTAAGACCGTCACCTGGAGAGGAATACAATGGGAACGATGACTTCCTAGGCGCCAACGCAGACGCCATTACTTTCGGGACGAAAGCCAAGTCCCCCTGAGGGCTTGGTTGAAATGGAGGAGATGAGACTTAGAGCAGTAAGGGCTACATGAGTGCTCGAATACAATGGGATTATGGTCTATATATGTACTTTTAGATGAGGACACGGCTGGGATGTATAAATGTGAACAAGACACGATTTGCACAAAGATTTATGTCAAAGCGGAACAGATCTCCTTCTGGTTATCGCAGCCGAGATATTTACTTTCACTTCACTTTCACCTTCGAGGGCTCCTACTCCGCGAGTTATCTCACATCAAACAACGCTTCGCATCTACACTTGCTTTGTTCCAGCCAAAAGTTTCCCAAATATGTCGTTTCCAGGTATGCCTCCGGTCAGTGGTGCTGCCGGCAGCATGGATCCTCAGGAGTTGCAGCAGCAGCAGATGATCAAAATGGTACGCCTTAGGTTCCTTATTACCATTGAAAGCCACTAATCAGATATCATATAGATGCAAGGTGCAATGGAATCATGTCCTGCGAAAACGGTCCTTGCTGGAACCATGGGATTCGGTCTTGGAGGTGTCTTTGGTCTCTTCATGTCTTCGATGCGCTACGATACCCCCATGTCCTCTGGACTCGGACCCCAAGCAAAAGACATCCCGATGCGCGAACAACTGAAGATTGGGTTCAAAGATATGGGGAAAGCGTCTTGGTCATCAGCAAAAAGCTTCGGATATATCGGTGCCCTCTTCGCGGGTTCCGAGTGTGTGATTGAGGGATACAGAGGGAAGAATGACTTGACAAATGGTGTCGCGGCGGGTTGCTTTACCGGTGCTTTCCTGGCAAAGAACTCGGGTCCACAGGCTATGGCGGTGGGCTGTGCGGGCTTTGCTGCTTTCTCGGCAGCCATTGATGCGTATATGCGCATGGAGAGCAATGATGTCGCTGCGGATCCGATTATATGAGAAGAGATGGGAGATGCATGACACCACATACCGCCGGGTACGCTACTCTACACCGGATTGTCGCGTGGAGCAGCTCTCGTTGCGAAACCATCTGTCATCGCAGTATTGTCGTACCGGCTCGCCACACTGGAATCCCTGATACGATTGCCTGACTTCGCCTGAGGGACACCAGAAAGCCGATTCGCGCAGAGAGCTGCGTATGAGAAACGAACTCCACTTACACGTTGCCTAGAAAGACGATATGCCGACCCGCAGATCCGATATTGGACCACATCGCTCCGACAGACTGAGAGCGCAGCCCAGCAACGGCGAACTACCTTGAATGCAAGGATTAGAGGCACACGAACGATCCGACATGATTAGCCCATGTAATATTGTATAATAGATATGCTCTTATATTTGGAGCTCCTACAACTTCCGATGGCTGCCCAGTTCTGTAAACTGAACTCACAAATGCGAATGGGATATCCATGGAGCGCCTGATCCAGTACATTTGTATCWAACTACAAGCTGAATCGAGTGCGTACCTTCTCGTCACCAGCCTTCCACTCCCACTCTTGTCCACTCGCACGCTGAATACCCTTGTCTACTCGTCGGAGCTTCATGGTGAACCTGGGACCCAACTCCTGCAGGCCTGCACGAATGTCTTCCACGCCCTTCATCAGCTTGCCGTCCGTTCCCTGTATGCTCTTCTCGGTGCCCCTTTTATCTCGGAACACATAGCGATGTCGCCGCATGAAGATGTAATCACGCTGATTGTGGAGTGTGACAACCTGTCTTCCTTGAATCTCCGGATGTGGCGGAAATAGAGATTTGAAGAGATGTGCAGTCACCAGACCGAGCTGCGTACGGAAGCCATTTAGAATGAGTTCCGGGTAGTGGTTGGTGGAGTTTCCATGGCCCGGAATCTTCTTCCCTGGTATCCAATTCGAAATGCTGAAGTGGAACATTGGTCCTGTCGGGAGATGTATGATGTCTATGCCTTTGGGTCTTTTGAGATCTTCATTCAGTATGACGAGATGTGTGTAGCCGCGTTCGGGAGCAGAGGCATAGCTAGCGATTTCGCGTATGCTGTATTTGTAGCTGTGAAAATGTGCGGTTCGTCGGATGTAGGTGCTGTTAGGGAAAAGCTGTGTCAGAAGCTCTGCTTCCTGGTATAGGGTGGAGTTGATTGATGTGGTGATCAACACTTTGGGCTCTTTGTCGGTATCTTCGAATAATGAGGGGAATTTAGCTTTGAGAGCCTCCGGTCGAGCTGTGAGATCCGTAGCAACAGTCACAGCTGACGGTGCTGGGCTGGGTGCGCGAGCGGCTCGGTCTCGTAATGCGGCCTCCATGCCCAACTCTTCACCATCGTCTTCCTCCTGCTCCGAGTCCGAGTCGAGCATACTGTCACGATCATTCTCTTCTTCCGCATCATCCTCCACGTCTGCCGGAACGACCACGTCCACCTCATCGTCTACCGCATCGCCTACGACACTTTCCAATTTCCTCCGCTTGGGGTTTAACACGTTGAAGCTCTTCCCAAGCTGCGCATCGCCCTCATCCCCAGAATCTACATCGTCCCACACACGCTTGCTATCAATCGTTGCGGGAACATTCTTTGCAAGTCGCTGCTCTCGTAAATGTGGGTTCTTGTCTTCATGTCTCTTTCTTCGCATGCGCTCGTCCCGCTTTTCATTCTCCTTCTCCTTCTTCAACTTCAGCTGATGTGACTGTCTCTTCAGCTTGTTGCCGATTTTGAGCGGATTTGAGCCAGGCATTTTGATGTGCATGCAATGTGGCAGTTATGTAGAGACTGAATCGCGACCAAAAAAAGTTACTGGACCGACAAAAGATCGACCTCGCTAAGTTTATAGTACTGGGAAAGCATGTTCATGACTTTTGACAACCTTGGCATTGTTTGCTATGAGCTTCGTTCGAGTTAACATTTTTTACGACTCATACYGCGCTCGAATCTCTCATTGTCCAACTGATTGAGTGTACCAACGTCTTTGCAAGTTTCGCTCAGATCACAGATTGAAGTCTGTGTGTTCGTGGCCCTTCGCAACATCACCGCTCGTTGAATGACCAGACTAGCAATCACAAGCATCAATCTCTGGAAGAACACTTTCAAAAGCGGACTAAATCAGCCCAATCGCCTGGTTACTCCCACTTGCACCCGCCACTTCACTTCTTCAGCTCCTCTTGATAGATTCCAAGTCCCGATACGGACACGGAATAAGGGATCTTCCGCCATGGCGACCGACTACAAGACCTTGGCTGGCGATGACTTTGATCGCACCGCATTCGACTCCCTCATTCGCCGCAAGCTCTTCTACTGGCAGTCGTTCGAGCCTTATGGTGCGACCAAGGGTCTCTTCGATTATGGCCCGCCCCTCGAGATTCTGGAAAATGAAGTTCTGAACATCTGGAGAGACCACTTCATCCGCACAGAGCAAATGATGGCATTGAAGTGCTCAATGCTTACTCCTTATCCTGTGCTCAAGGCTTCCGGCCACGTCGACAAATTCGCGGACTACATGTGCAAGKACCCTAAGAATGGCGAGATTCTCCGAGCAGACCATCTGATCAAAGATGTCATTGAGACTCGCCTGAAGGGTGATCGCGAGGCTCGCGGAGAGAACGTGAGTGATGAGCCAGAGGACCCGAAGAAGAAGAAGAAGGCTTCCAAAGTCTCCAAGACTGCCGTCAAGCTCGATGAGAGTGTAAAGCAGGAGTACGAGCACCTTCTGGCTAACCTGGACGACTGCACTGGCGATGACATGGGTGCGTTGATCAAGAAACATGACATTCGCAATCCTACCACCGGCAACGAGGTCGAGCCTCCAGTCTCCGTCAATCTGATGTTCCAGACTCAGATCGGTGCCTCTGGAAAGGAACCTGCATTCCTCCGCCCGGAAACTGCTCAGGGACAATTCCTCTCGTTTCCAAAGCTGCTTGAGTACAGCGATGGACAGTTGCCCTTTGCTTCTGCGTCCATTGGATACTCCTTCCGCAACGAGCTCTCCCCTCGTTCCGGACTGCTGCGAGTGCGCGAGTTCATCATGGCTGAGATCGAGCACTTCGTTGACCCCGAGAGCGGCAAGAAGCATTCAAAGTTTGCCTCTRTCAAGGACGTCAAGCTTCCTCTACTAGCACGCGACGCGCAGAAAGAGGGCGGTTCGACACCGGTTGAGATCTCCATTGGTCAGGCGGTTGAGACAAAGCTCGTCGATAACGAGACGCTCGGCTACTTCATGGTCCGCATCTACCTCTTCATGCAGAAGATTGGAATCGACATGAAGAAGCTGCGGTTCCGTCAACACATGGCAAACGAAATGGCACATTACGCTACCGACTGCTGGGATTGTGAGCTGTTCACTTCTTACAAGTGGATCGAGTGTGTCGGCTGCGCTGACCGAAGTGCCTACGATTTGGAGGTTCACATGAAGGRGACCGGCGTACCTCTCCAAGTCCGTGAGCCGTTGAAGGAGCCCATCCGTATCGAAGAGTATGTTGCGCAGCTCGATAAGAAGAAGTCTGGCCCGAAGTTCAAGAAGGATGCCGGAAAGGTGCAAAGCGCGCTCGACGCTCTGACACAAGACATCAAGGAGAAGCTCAGCATCAGCATGGAGAGCGACGGAAAGGTGGAAGTGGAGGTTCCAGATATGGGCAAGGTGCAGCTCGAGAAGGACATTGTCACCATCCAGAAGGAGGTGCGCACGGAGACAATGCGGACTTACATCCCCAATGTCATTGAGCCATCGTTCGGAATTGGCCGAATTCTGTACGCCTTGATGGAGCACGTTTACTGGGTCAGAGATGGTGACGCTGCGCGATCGGTAAGTCGTCCTGTTCTCAGTTTAATGTTACACTTGCTAACACAAACAGGTCATGTCCTTCAAGCCTACCGTCGCTCCTGTCAAGGTGTTGGTCGTTCCACTCCAGAAAGACGTTCGGTTCGCAGATCTCTTGCAGAAGCTTGAGCAGCGTCTCAGCGACGATGCGCTTTCCTACAAGGTCGATCAGTCGGGCGTGAGCATCGGCAAGCGCTACTCGCGCAACGACGAGGCCGGCATCCCGTTCGGTATTACTCTCGATTACGAAAGCTTGGAAGACAACACTTTCACTCTTCGTGACCGCGACTCTACTAAGCAGGTTCGTGCCAGCCTGGATCAGATCCTCGAGGCAGTAAGCAAGATGGTCAAGGGCAAGGAGACTTGGGCTGAGGTACAAAGCCGTCTGCCTGCGTTCGAAGGCAAAGCCGACAAGGACGAGGAGTAAAGCGCGAGCCATTCCGCTATATGCATGCGGTGTCGAGCCATCTGGCGTAGGAGACACAGTAGCTAGCGCAGGACTGCAATCCTCATCACGCCGCTCTCTCTCGTTCAAACAGAACAGGAGCGGTGGAGATGAGGTCGCGAGTAGCAATGATGAATTCATGATGCACCAAGGCCTGATGGAAATTAAGGTCGCCTCTCTACCTGTAGTAGTGGAAGGGTTTTCACACAGTTGAGCAGATATCTTCCCGTCCAACTCTCGTAAGTCTGCTTCTTTCGATGCCTACCTTACAGCTACCTCATCGCGAGAACTCAGCAAGCTTCGATTTCACCATCCCTTGCACACATATTTGCGCATGACCACCTCCCCAGTAGGCACCTCCCTGCCCCATGAGTGGTGAATGATACATGCTCGAGCGGTATGATTCTCGGGTACCTGCAAGAGCCCGCTCAATGTTGGGTACCTGCTTCGCACACGTAGGACTATCGGGCTCCCCGCTCGAACAATGTGGCGCAGTGATCGTTCCAACCACATGTCGGTGAAACAAACTTGACAGCGCATTCAACCTGCGCGGGATGGGCATCCGAATCCACTTGCCAGCTCAGTTGCCACGTTCTAACTTCCCTTCCGACACAAGCCTCTCAGGCGTCATGCCAAAGATGCCACTGTAATAAATTTAGGAATCGACCGTGCGTCAGTTCGCATCGAGGCGCTGCGTGTTGCAGACGGCATCTAGTCTTGATCCATGAACGCCGCATATGCAGCATCTAGTTCTATCGTAGTCTGCGAGCATCGTCTGTCCCCAGCTCGCCCCGACACGCTTCTCCTTTTGCCATTCAAAGAAAGCTTCTCCAACATCCCCGACCATTTTCGGTATTTTGATAGTTTCTGCAATAATAACGAATCAACGATCTTGCAATATCCAAGCTGCAGCTGCAGCTGGAGCGGAGAGCGGGGTCAAGTCTTCCGTTCTGGTCCTCTCATCCGTCTCTCACCCTTGGAGCCCTTCCGCGTCCCTTTGGTCTTCTTATTGGCTTATTGAACAGCCAATGAAGACTGATTTCCTCGACGACCGTGAGTATCCATCAAACTACCATCACAAACAAGGGCAAAGCAGATAGCATGCGCGCATACGCCGCCGTCGCAAACCACGATGCAGCTCCAGTCGCGCCTGCCTCTGCTTTGYCGCGACGACGACGCGGGCTGACAATAATGGCTCTTGTAAACAGACATCGATCGAGCACCAACCAAGAAGCTATCAACATAGCATCGCTATAGCGCTATCGTCCCGCCTGCGAGGTTTGAAGAGCATCGAGCGACTGAGTTTCCATCCAGCAGCAAGCTACACCGCTATACACCATCCGGCGCATTGAGGGACTCTGCTTAACATCCCAAAGATGCAAGCTCCTCCATACGGCATGCAGCCTCAGCAGCCACCTCCAGTCGCCGCGCCCAAGCGTTACGACGGCAAGAATGGAACACCCATGTACGATCAAAATCACGGAGGACACTATGGAGCAAGCGCAGGCATTGCTGCCAGTGGACACGCGCCGCCGCCAGAGACGTTCACTGGCCACTGGCAAAATGTGGGTTGACGCGTCGCTACCCTCCGGGATGGAGAACTTGCGTTGACATTGTGTTACAGGTGTCGCAAGGATTGAATGGACAGTACAGGGACATTCTCAACACATACTGGCAAAACCAAGTGACGAAGCTGGAAACCGAAGAACACGACTATAAGCTACATCAACTACCCTTGGCCCGGATAAAGAAGGTCATGAAGGCGGATCCTGAAGTCAAGATGATCAGCGCGGAAGCCCCGATTCTGTTCGCCAAGGGTTGCGACATTTTCATCACCGAACTTACCATGCGTGCTTGGATCCACGCGGAGGAGAACAAGAGACGGACTCTGCAGCGGAGCGACATCGCATCTGCCCTCGCTAAGAGCGACATGTTTGATTTCCTGATTGACATTGTTCCCCGCGAGGATGCCACTCCCCAGCACAAACGGCGACCAGAGTTTGCGGCGCAGGGCACATATGCTCTTCCAGAGACTGCACAAAGCGGCCATGGGGGCGCTGGGATGCCCCCAGAGCAGGCGCAGATGGGCGGTCCCCAAGACTTTGGTGGCGCGGATCAACAGCACATGCCACAGCAGCAATATCAGCAGCAGATGGGTTCATATCCTCCGCCTCAACCCCCTCAGCAGTATGGAGGCCAGAATATGTTTGATCCCAACATCTATGGATCCCAGCCTCCTGGATATTCAATGGGTCAGATGCAGGGAATGTCACAACAGGCGGTAAGTCAAGTTTCTGGCCCTATCGAGGACTACACTGACGAATGCCGTAGATGTACCAACCGTCCCAGCCTCCCCAGCATGCACAGATGACGCAGCCATACCGTTCAGAACAGCAGAGCGGTGTTGACGATCAAGATGCCGACAACGAGCAGGACTTTGGAGCCAACGGTTAGAAGCCTGCGGTGAAAGGAGGCGCTGCCGGAAGATATCGCGTCGAACCTTCAACATCGTCCTCTGCCTCGGCAGATCATGTGCAGACTGCGCAGCCGAGAGTGTCTACGCGGGAGAAGTCGGCGAGCTCGAGCACCAAAACGGTTTTCGCCGGCCCTGATGAGTGAACTGCGTCCTAAGTCTGGCGTTAATTATTAGGATTACGTGTAGTCTCCGGCTGGAGGACTGCTGTAAGAACTTAATTGATGAAACCAATAATGATATCACATTGCATTTTTGTTGCAGACAGCGATGATTTTGTTGGGATCCATCCCGATAAAGTGTACCCATGCCAGTCTTATGCTTGAGAGCAGATTTGAGTACGACTTTTGACTGTACAGGTAGAGAGGACGGTATACGAAAGCGAGGTATACTAACGCTTCTTTGTTGTGATTCCTTGCTTTTGCTTCAAGCGGCACATAAAGATATTGGATATCGACATCAGGTCGAGCTGTAACTCCAAGATCCGATGGAAACTCATGCGACGCCGAGATCTAGGTGCGGGGCTTTTTAGAGGGGCAGTTGTTGATCAACCTAATACCTTACCTCAAGGTACCTTTACTTCTCGAACTCGCCAGACTCGATTCTCACTACATTCACCAACACTTTCTGTTCAACCTCACAATAACACACCTTTGATCACCTTACCCTAGGCTCCCATCACTACTACAAACTCGCAGATCTCGCCATCATGGTCAAGGCCGGTACGTAGCAACCACCGCAACACTCTCGCAGTGAAGCATGCATTACATCGACTCGACAAATTCAATGGGGCCACATGGTTCCATATCGAGAGAACCATATGCTCTCTCAAGTCGCCGGCTTCATGATGAGTCGAGTCGAAGACGACGGGGCTCCAGCATATTCCGAGCACATGTTCATTCAAGCCACGAGCGTTATCATCCAACTCAAAAAGCACATGCTGATCTCCGCCTTCTCCCACAGTCGTCGCAGGAGCTTCTGGCGGTATCGGACAGCCACTGTCCCTCCTCCTCAAGGCCAGCCCTCTGGTCGACCACCTCTCGCTCTACGATGTCGTCAACACACCCGGTGTTACCGCCGACCTCTCTCACATCTCATCCATTGCCACCATCGATGGTTTCCTCCCCGACAACGGCAATGGAATCAAGCAGGCCTTGAAGGGTGCAGACATTGTCGTCATCCCAGCTGGAATTCCTCGTGAGTACACACATGGCGAATGATTGGAGAAGAGATGGGCGAGTCCAGAAGCGGAAGCGGAAGAAACGGATTAGCTGACATGAAGATACCTTCTTCAGGCAAGCCAGGCATGACCCGTGACGACCTCTTCAAGATCAATGCTGGTATCGTGCAGGGCCTAGTCCAGGGAATCGCTGAGAACTGCCCCGAGGCGTTCATCCTCATCATCTCCAACCCAGTCAACAGCACCGTCCCAATCGCCGCAGAGGTCCTCAAGAAGGCCGGTGTCTTCAACCCAAAGAAGCTGTTCGGTGTTACCACCCTTGATGTTGTCCGCGCCGAGACTTTCGTACAGTCTCTCACCGGCACCAAGGACCCAGCCAAGACTGTCATTCCAGTCATCGGTGGCCACTCTGGCGAGACTATTGTGCCCCTCTTCTCCCAGGCCAAGCCAGCAGTGAACATTCCTGCTGACAAGCTTGATGCACTGACCAACCGTAAGTTGTCGATAATCACCTTGGATGTTCCTAGCTGACGATTGGTACAAGGCGTGCAATTTGGTGGTGACGAGGTCGTCAAGGCCAAGGATGGTGCCGGGTCTGCCACCCTTTCCATGGCATATGCCGGATTCCGCTTCGCTGAGAAGGTCATCCAGGCGATCAAGGGACAGTCTGGAATCGTTGAGCCAACCTTTGTCTACCTACCTGGTGTTACTGGAGGTGACGAGATTGTCAAGGAGACTGGCCTCGAGTACTTCTCCGTCCCCGTCGAGCYTGGCAAGGACGGAGCAACCAAGGCGCACAACGTTGTGAAGGATGCAAACGATTACGAGAAGAAGCTCCTCGTGGAGTGCTACAAGGGTCTGAAGGGCAACATTGAGAAGGGTATCGAGTTCGTCAAGAACCCACCACCAAAGTGAGTATGCATGCTATCGGTCGCTCTCCCCAAAGATCATCGACGAATCTGCTACTGGGCGACGCCCTCGAAGTGCATGAATCGATCCTCGCGCGAGATTGCTGTTAGCGAAAATATGCTAATAGCGATCTCCAGATAGATGAAGGCAACGTCATAGGCGATCTGATTCGGATTTGATGTCCTAACTGTCACGACGTGACGCGCAATACATAGCAGCAGAGAGTTGGGAAGTCCATAGCCTTGATACCAAAAGCTGCTCCTTTGGATGACCTTCTTCCCGTCTCTGTACTTGTGTGGAGGTCTCACTTGAAGGCGCCAACAATCGCGGAACCCACGGGCATTTCGTGGAGCTCGACGGGAGACTGCCCCGTTTGGATAGGTTTGGACAGAGGTCTCTCGATGGCTTTATGGCGTGAGAAAGAGCGGTGCTGATGCCACTTCATGATTTGGCTCCTTTGGTCTTGATCTGGAACGTAGCCGCAGGTATATCTGCTGTGTCGGCTGTAACGGTGACTTCCATGCCCAGTCCTGCAAGCGCGCCCCTGATGACGCCGCAGGGAAAGTAGAGATACTGCTCAACATGTTAGTTCGCAGAACATTCATGAAGAGAGTACGTAACATACAGTCTGTGCCTTGCGCAAAGCCTCTTCGCCGGCTTTTGATCCCGCTCTTCGATCCACACTCATCCTGCTCAGTGGCTGGAATCTCGAGTCTGTAAGCACAAAGACGCCGCGGTGATTTGTCTTCAGGTTGTCGATTTGTTTGCGGAACAACAACGTCCAAAGGTCCTTGCAGATGAACTTGATGGCATCCAATGGTGTTTGCGGTCTGGGTTTCCCCACGGAGAATCTACCATGGCCTCATGATTAGTCCCATGTCCAATGTCCGCTCGATGGCTGTAGTTGTGTGGATCGGCATACCTACCGCTCAGCAAGGCCTTGTCCAACTCGATATCCCAACCCATCTAATCGCCAGAACATCGCCTCTCTCGTCGCCTCGTCCATTCCCGTCGGTGCATTCCCCGGTCCACCAACGCTACTCCTCCCATCTCCTACTGTCGTGCTCACTTCCGACCCTTTCACCGAAGACGCATTCCCTTCAGTGACTGTAATCGCCGGAACATTGCTATCTCTAGGCGCGGGCTTGCCTGTCACAGCAATAGTGCTCGTGTCGTTTGCTTTTCCATGATTGAAGATTTTACTCCTGCTGAAGTCGTCGAGCAGAGCTTGTTCGCGGGCGTGCAATTGATCGGTGATTCTTTGCGCCAGAGGGACGAGTTCTATCAGGAGGAAATCGAGGCATGAGACTGCGACTTTCGGGTTTGTGAGGTCGTCATTGTCGGGTTGCGGAGCGGCTTTGTTCGACATTATGGTTTGGGGGGAAAGGGTTGTTTTCTTGGGAGGGCGTTGTTATTAGGGTGGATATCGTTCTATTGATTCCATTGGGCTAGTGTTCGGATCTAAGAGCACGTTGACGTTGTGAGGTGATCAGTAGTGTATGGAGTTGCGCTTGAGGTGGACCTGCCGGCTTGAGATGGCTGTATACGAGTATACGAGCTGAGCGCGGATTGCGAGTCGATAGACATTTCCTTCGCGTTCTTCCTTCTACCGGATCTATTTGCACTGGATGTTGTTTAGACCTACAGAGCCCTCTCGAGAATTTTAATTCTAGTCCTTCAGCACCGAAAGCGGATCTTTGGCTATCAGGAATGAATCCCGATGCACATAGATGCTGTGCATGCTCTCTGACCATGAGCCGCTCGCCTTGCTCCCTATTCAACCACCTTTTAATTCCACTTCACATCACCGCCCCACGGCCGGCCTTGCCGTTGCTCTGCAGCATCCGCATCCAGTAGCAGTCTTYCGTAGCAGATGCTAACATGGACTCCCTACTCGTTATCAAAGGATGTCCTGGAATTCATATGCAGCATGTCATGGCGGAATTAGCATGAGAGCCTGCCAAGAGGTCATTCCGCAGTCTCTGCGTATGCAAACCCCCCCGAACCGGCGACTTGCGTACAGAAGGGTCCCTCGCAGTCATGGTTGCGATTGGACCGCCTCTACGGCGCGTTCGACCTCGTCACGCCGGATGCTGTGCTCAGGAGCTCCAGACGGGGTTGCTAATATGTGCGGCCTCTTGTATGTTGCTTCTATACATGTCAGCGGAAGTCTAACCAGGCCCACTTGAACCAGAGGATTCCTCTCGCGATCGCTCAATCCGTAGAGCAGACTCCAGGTCCATGGAGTCTTCATAACCAGGCTTCGACCAGTCCCTCACGAAGACCGAGTCAACTGCAGGTGGTTGCTGCCGCTCTGCTCTCTTGTGCCGAGCTTGTTCCACGTCTTGGAAATCTCCTCTTACACCATCGCTCAGAACGGAACCCATCCTTGCCATCTTATACTCCTTGAGGCGGTCCAGGGCGGTCTTGAAGTCGTCTAGTACCATAGTATCGGAAAGACACTTGAACACAAACGACAACTTCCAAAACGGGTTGATGCCATCCGGCAGGTTATTCTCGGGCAGGACATGCGTAACAGCCAGGATGTCGACTATTATAAATCCAACGCTGACCATCATGGCACCAAGAAGAACTCCAAATCGTGGAGATACTCTCATAAGCTCCAGGTATCCGAATTCATACCGTGACTTAATGTTCCACAGCAGACTTGCAGATGTGTAAATCCACCACGGGTCCCGGAAGAGTGCTTCATATGGTCGAGTATAAGTGAATAGTCTGCTCTGGCCATTGAAGTAAAGCTGAAGACGTCAGAAAGCTGCTCGCAGATCGGCTGGAAAAAACATACGAAGTTGGCGACGATTTCGAGAATCCAATATGGTTGGACGAGGATAACAGTGCCGATGTAGAACAAGCTGGCTTTCCGTCCGAAGAATGGCTTGTTCTTGATCCAAGCGATGACATTATGAAGGCTCCAGCTAGCATTGAGCAAGATCGCCGTCGTGCTATACGTCTGTCAGCTCGGTAGGCCGTTGGGGCTAGTGTGGGTTCCATACGATAGGTACCAGTTGTAGACGGGAGGATCTTAATCACGAGTCAGATCAAAGAGTTTACTGCGATCAACCTTGCAACTTACTGGTAAAGATAAACGTCCCGTGGAAGAACCCTAAAAGAAGCTGCAGAACACCAACAGAGTGAGAAGGCTGCATGAAATGTCGCTTAAGCTCAAAGTTTGAAAATGTTTTACCTCAACCACGATCAACTTGTGCRGTAGAACATGTCTGCGCATATTCGCAATGGCGATACAGGTCATGACTATCAAGGAGCCCGCCATGAAACCCTGCGCCCATGCCTCGATCGTAACGCCAGCGGGATCGACAGGTTTCGCAACGTCCAAGGCCATTTCGAGATTTCGTGTTCAAGGTTTGGGAGGCGCCAGCGTGGCAATAATGTGAAAGTGGAGAAGAGGGACCAGGGTATTCGAGATGAATCCTGTATTCAATCGATCCATTACTTCTGCTGTGTTCAATACATGTGGAGGCTGATGTGGTGAGGCTGTAGCCATCGAAGGAAAATGTTGGAGATGAAGACGTTCTCTAGCGGGGTTAACTGTGGAGAAGTGTGACATCGACATCGAGGAGGATTCAAAGCCACGAGGCAGACCGCGGAGGCGGAAGCGAGCCGTTGGTGAGTGTGAAGCGAGAGCCTTTGGTGAGTGGTGGCCCCGGGGTGCCTCGTGCGTGGAAAAGTTTGACCACTTACCTACCCGAGACTTCGACCATAGTAAGCTGCATAGAACATCACGCGACCTGACAGTCGTATACTGCTACTTCATGCGTGCTGTATGCATGTTATTCGAGGCCTCCAACAGCTAGCTCGTTGGTGGCACACATTCGGATTTTGTTCGTCCAGCCGCAAGAGATGGCGTCTCACCCCGGAAATCCTGGTGACGAAATGCTTGGCTTTTGGCCTTTCACGGCCATCATAAGGACTCGTGAAGTCCGGGGCTTGCCATTCCGGTCTCATCCATAACGGCATGCGGCATCATTCATGCTCTCAGTGAGGCGTTCCAGTAGATGTTGCGCTGGTCCCTCCGTGCTATCGGAGCGTCTTTTTGCTGCAAGATACCTCCTCGATACCCAAAGGCCAGTGGTATAACGGAGAAGACTTTCGGTGATAGAGCACCCCAATGCGACATCACTTAAGGTAGCGGTCGAATCTGTCAGATTTGATGCCGCTCTCTCATGTACCACATCCTTGCAGGCTAGAGTGGTTGTCGATGCTGCACCTGCTTGCCGGATGACATGGAAAGATATTTTTGCGTCCTTTAGCTTGGCTCAGGATGCGTGCATCTCTCCAGCTTATTACTCTGCAGCTTGCCTTCTCTTCCCATCAGCCGTCGACTCGATCCGGCCATGTCCAGACGTCCCGATGACCGCCACTCTACTCATGAGGGGGGTTTCTATGCTTTGTATGGGGTCCGATCGTGCGCTGGGCTCCCCTCTCACCATCAATGTGTGCGTATTTACACACCGCCGAGCATTTCATTTGTCCGGGAATAGCACCAAGATCCACCTGCAGCCATGTTGCCATGTCGCCATGACGCCAACCGCATGAAGTGTGACATGCATGGAGCAGCGTGTCATTCGGCAGTCTATATATACTTCGGGAGGTTCGCTCGTCCTTTCCTAAAGCTCCCCTGTTTACGTTCCTGTGTAGGTTCTCACAACCTCGCATCATAGTCTTCTGCATTTCACTGCCACCATGGCCATCACATTTCTGCCATTCTATCTGATATGGCTACTATTCCAACATGTGGCGAGCGCTCCAGTCGTTGACACACTCGTTGGAGCTACCTTTAAAAGGGCAACGGTCGGGCCTAAGATGAATGGCGTCAACTTTCCCGGTGAGAATGCTGTATCAGAACGGTCGAGGGGGTCCAACATCCAGCTGACTTGGAGAACAGACCCAACAATCATTCAGGCCGGCGCTTGGTACAGCTTCGGAACAAGAACTATAGGAAGTAGCATTCACATCCAAATCGCCACCTCGACGGACTTTAATGCGTGGAACATCGCATACAACGAGGATGGCTCCCAAAAGGACGCACTACCAACTCTACCCGTGTGGGTTGCCAACAAGACTGCTGGGGCAAGCAATGTATGGGCGCCAGACATCAATGTGCTGGTAGGTAATAGAGTCTCCGTTGTGCTTCGACGGCTTCTAATTCTACTTGATCCCATAGGACGATGGAAGCTACATAATCTATTACAGCGCTAGTACAGCCGCTGATCCTACAAAACACTGTGTAGGTGCAGCGACTTCGAGAGACATAGTATACGCTACCAAGATCCTGCCGATGGCAAGCGGTATGTTATTTACAAAGTTGACGGTAATTCCATTGGGCATGGAGGCGCTTGTGGCAACACTGGTTTGACATCTACTTCTTGCGACGAAGCATTTGGGCAGAAATCTTTCGCTGACGACGATGACTTTAGTTGCGCCTCTGGTCCCTACGCCACTCGTCTTGCAGCCCGTGGCCTCCGATGGCYTCACTCTGGCAGGCTCGGCTACAACGTTATTGGACCACAGTGGAACTTCCCGGAATGCAGACGGGACTGATGACGGTATTGTTGAGGCCCCAGTCTTGTTCAAGGCTGGCTCGATATACTTCCTATTCTTCTCTCCTGGGTACGTCCAGCAAGACAATTTAACACAGTGGTCGAACTCCTAGCTAATAAGCACTTCGAGAAGTGCACCTCATTTCTCATTCTGGACCATTTTCACCGCTTCTTCCAATGCAGGTCTCAGACAGCAAGCCATTGTGACTTTCCTGCCCCAAAGCATGCCGTTTGACGACGCAATGGCAACGTTAWCGTAATCCGGAGCATCGTTTGTCAGGTCATACCCGATGATCTCATCACTCACCCCAGCGACTCTGGTTGCTCTCCATCCACCGTTGTTGAGGACGATTGTCAAGACGGGAGTTTGCAAGCGTTTTTGGGCCCAGTATGTCGCACAGGGGCTTCCAAACATGAAGGCTCCATCTCCAGTGATGCTCACGATGAGTGGTTGTGTCACCATGCCAGAATCTTGCTGTCTAGAACGCAATAATGGTCTGTGATCACATGCATAGTTCTTCATGGCCAAGCTGACTCCAATAGCAGCGCCGCCAGCCCATCCAAGTCCGCTGCCACCCTTTCCAAGCGCTGTGCCCGGATTGGTGAGTTGAAGCTGCTCGAACAGCTGTCTTGTATTGGTAACTGCATCGTGAACATACGTCGTATCGCCCGGCAATGTTTGACGCAGCATGGCAAAAAGATGATCGCTCGACACCGAACCGTCTACTTTCACCTCTGCACGCTGCGCCAATATACGCAATCGTGTGTCATAGTCACGTTCGCGATTGTGCTTCAACCATCTCTCCGCTTGGCGTTGTGGAAAATGCTCATGATTTGCGATGGAGTTATTGATTCTCTCCAGGGCAAGCCCACAGTCTGCGTTGAAGGAGGCATCCGCGAACAAGTCAAACATCTGCATCTTCTTCTTCGTAACATCCATGTCGATGTGTATGATTCGAGCAGTCGGATGAGGTTTGCAGTTGATGGGGATCCATGGCACGTCCGAGTCGAGTACCAGGATGACATCGGCGGACTCAATCGCTGCTGACCCTCCGGTTGACATGGTCGCCCAAGCAGGATGATTCGCCGGGAACGACACCTCTCTGAACTCGGTGTCAATGACCATCAAGTTCTGTATGAGGGTGGCAAGGTGTCTTAGCTCGATGAAAGCATTGGTATGGCGACCGAGGTACCCAGTTATAACGATGGGTTTCTGCGCAAAGAGCAGGAGGCCTCCAATGTCTGCAATGACTTTGTCCGTAGGAAAACACGCTCGTATTCGGGGAATTCGTTGCCGTTTCTGAGCAATGGCTTCAGCAGCTAAGACCTCGTTTGCGGCAGTGATATATGTTGGGCCAGGAGGATCAGATTGTGCCAAGAACAAAGCTCTGTTCACAATGTCCACCACGTGGTGAGCTGATTTGATTTCGTTGGAGTAGCTCACGTACGGGGCCACAATCGACGACTGGTTCGGGATATCTTGCATCCACTGCACGTGTTCGCTTCTGGATCCTGGGATCTCTCCGCGCATCGTAAAAGGTGCAAGGCCAGCGAAAATCAGCACGGGTGCTCGTCCGGCCGACGCGTTGTGGAGGCCTTGACCCAAGGCGGCGGTCCCAACATCGGTATGCACAAGCACACACTGTGCTTTATGGGTCATGCGAGCATAGCCGTCGGCAGCTGAGATGGCTACCATCTAGCATGGTTACCGTTGTTAGCGCTTATAACAGTGCTCTGGGGAGGAAGGTGGATCACTTCGTGTTGAAACAGCAGCATACGCGGCCATTGTGTAGCCTTGTCACTCTGTCGCCGTGCATATGCTTCGATGATGCTTGGATGGTCAGAGCCAAGCACTGCGAAGATGTAGTCCACTCCTGCCTGAGAGCGGTGATTAGAGGTGGTAACAAATCGACGGGAGAAAAACATACATCGGCCAGAGCTTGGAGGAAGAGATCGGCGACCAGATATACCGGTGTAGTTGCTGCTGGGAGAGACATTGTCAATGCTGGATGTGAGTGAGATCACTTGTTGTTTGGTGGGGTTCGATGCTGATGGAAGGTCGATCGGGAGCTGGTGCGATGGAGGGCAAGAGGTATGCAGTCCTGCCATTGATTGTTTCGAGCAAGCGTCACCCCCTCGTGATGGTTGCTAGTATCAATGGTCACAAGACATGCACCGTGGTTCTACACGTGAGTCTCATTGATTTCAAGTCGACACTGTCAGGATCTAATGCGAGACCTAATCGGCCCGTCAGATGAAAAGATAAGATGCAAGCGCAATTTTGTAGCGATGCTCAAATTCACATGTGATCGGCCCTGCCTGGTCTCGGCGTCCCTGCGTTTGTGTTTGCCTTGGAGTCCAGTCGGCTATCGCTGACAGTCATCATCTGCCTCTACACGGTCTCTTCTGCGATATTCGAGCGCCTCGGATCGGAGACTTCGATCTTCCCCTCCACAAGGAACGACGCCATGGTGTCTACAATGTCTCTCTCTCCGCAGCCGATGTATCTGGACCCGAAGATTGAGAAACGCATGCTCCGCAAGCTCGACCTCACCCTAATTCCAATGCTGTGGTTCCTATTCGTGGTATCATTCGCTGACAGGTCTAATATTGGTCAGTATCACGATTCTACGGTGAAATGGAGACTGACTGAACCTCAGGAAATGCGAGAATACAGGGCATGGACAAGGACCTCGACTTGACCGGCCATCGCTACAACATCGCAGTCATGACTTTCACTGTTGCCTATGTCAGTTTCGGCGTGCCGGCCAATATCGTCGTCAAGATGTATGGTAGCAGCACCCTGGCCGCTATGATGTTCCTCTGGTAGGTGTGGTCAGCAGTGGATGAAGTGGACGAACACTTGACTGACGCTCGGTCCAGGGGTATCTGCGCACTCTGTCAAGGCTTGGTGCAGACATATGCACAGCTTGTGATTTGTAGATTCTTACTGGGCGTGTTCGAGGTCAGTTCAATCCGCAGCTTACTTCTTGCTGGACTCTTTCACCCTGCTCCATTTGGCATAAAGCTGACGGATAGGGTAGGCTGGCTTCGTCCCCGGGTGCGCCTATCTCATCGGCTCGTACTACACTAGAAACGAATTTCTGAAACGATACACCGTCTTCTTCTCTGGGGCGATCATTGCTGGTGCTTTCAACGGATTCCTATCCTACCTTCTTGCCAAGGCAGACGGCACAGCAAACCTTGCAGGTTGGAGGTGGATCTTCCTGGTAGGCCTCGCMCGAGTATGAAACGCATATACCACTGACGACTGACGGAACCTAAGATTGAAGGCGTGATTACATGCCTCGTAGCTCTTCCAACCTTTTTCCTGCTGCCATCATTTCCGGAATCAACGGGGATGTTCAGGGGCGAGGAGAAGGTGGTTCTACTAGAGAGGCTACGACAGGATGGAATCGTAGAGCCAAGACCCGCCAGCATTAAGCCTCARGTATTGGAAGCACTTCTTGATTGGAAGATATGGCTCGCGTGAGTCTCCCGATGCGCTGCGATGGTTAAAAGCTAACAGCAAGACCACAGCACCATTGCATATATCGGCGTTGAAGAGAACGCAATCTCGATCACGGCGTTTCTGTGAGTTGCTCCGCCGGAAAGCTTCAGATCACCAACATACTGACACGATCACTTAGTCCCTCGATCCTGAAAGGTTTCGGCTATACCAGATCAGAAGCCCAGATCCACTCCATACCAGTCTACTGTACTGCGTTCGTAATCACACTCGTCTGCGCATACGTTAGCGAACGTCTCCGCCAGAGGTATCTCTTCGCCATGTTTGGAGCAGGGCTGAACGTGATTGGACTTTCGATGTTACTCTCATCGAACTCGCTCGGTGTGAAGTACGCTGGAACCTTCTTCTTGRCTACTGGCAGCTATGTTGCGATGCCCATTCTGGTATGTCCTCACATTCTGGGGGAGTTCGCTAGTGGGCAGCTACATGTACGCAGACATTGCTGACTACTTGTCCATTCATAGGTGGTCTGGAATGCCATTAACACTCCTAGAGATGGTAAGCCACGCTCCTTTCCTGACAGATACTCGCGGTATTGAGGAACGAGAACATGATGCTGATTGAATAGGGTATGCACGTGTTGTGGCCTTCGCCATGAGCACAGCGGTGGGAAACTGCGGCGCGTTTGTAGGCGCGAACGTCTTCTTGATACATGAAGCGCCCAGATACCCAACAGGTCCGTATCGAATCTTGCGCTTCCACTGCCAGTAGATGTACTAACGCAATGCAGGTTTTGCTGTTGGAATGGGCATGACTTGTCTTTCAATTGCATCAATGACAGCTCTCTTCATTGGGCTGGTGATGGGTAACTCTCGTTACAAACAGGCGCAGCAGGCTCCCGTGGAACGGTGCATTTCAGGGAACTTGGATCATCATAGAGAAGACAATAGCCCCGATCGTAGATATCAGCTTTAGTGTGGTAGCACGCAAGTATCGTCACCTCAAACACCCGAACTCCGAAGGGGTCGACCAAACGACTGCCACTCATTTATCCCAGTGCTCAAAGTTCCTCAAAATCACCTCCTCGTCCTTTTTGGCCACCAGCTTTCCAACCCGGTGTACCTTTTCACCTGCACCTTCGAGTGCCTTGGTTGCTTCTGCAACAAGTGACTCCTGCACAACGATGACCATTCCGAGACCAGTATTCCATGTCCGAGCGAATTCGCGGCTGGACACGTTTCCTGCTTGCTTGAGCCAGAGTAAGACGGCAGGTACAGTCCAGCTTGAGGCATCAACCTCAGCAGCGAGGTGCTTGGGTAGCATGCGAGGAATGTTGTCTTCCAAACCACCTCCTGTGATATGCGCCATTCCAAGCAAAAGGTCCTTCTCGACTGCGGCGAGAAGAGGCTTCACGTAGATACGAGTCGGAGTCAACAAACTCTCACCTACAGTCTTGCTGCTATCCCAAGGCGCTGTGTCGGAGAATTGAAGACCTCTCCTCTCGATGATCTTGCGGACCAGAGAGAAACCGTTCGAGTGTACGCCGTTGCTTGACAGACCGAGCAACACATCGCCTTCCTTCATCGCTGCTTTGTCAGGAAGGATCTTCTGACCGCGCTTGATGGCTCCTGTTGCCGCGCCGCCTGCATCGAATTCGTTGTCTTGGTACATTCCTGGCATTTCTGCGGTCTCGCCTCCTACGAGTGCACATCCTGCTTCTCTGCAACCGCGAGCTACGCCTTCGACGAAAGAGACGGCATCGGGGATGTTCAAGGTCGAGCAAGCGTAGTAGTCCATGAATGTCAGAGGTTCAGCTCCTTGGACGACAAGATCGTTGACGTTCATCGCAACAAGATCTATTCCAACTGTGGAAWAGTCGTTCATTGCGAATGCAATCTTCAGCTTCGTGCCGATACCGTCAATGGCTTGGATGATGATAGGTGCTTCCTTGTAGCCTGCAGCTGCGAGATCGAGAGCACCGCCAAAGCCACCGATCTCAGCGTCGGCACCTGGTCTTCGAGTGGATGCCACAGCAGCCTTGATAGATTTGACAAGTTCGTTGCCAGCATCGATGGAAACACCGGCGTCGGCGTAGGTCATTGCTGCTTGAGCCTTTGGTTCTTGTGACGTTTCGTATGAGACTGTGAGACCGTCGTATGCAGGTTCCAAAAGCTTCCATTCGCAGGTAATGTTCTCCTTCTTGAACTGTTCGATGATGTGCGTAGCGATCTGCTCAAAGTTGGTCGTAGCGAGGGCAAGGATCGTCGGTCCGGCTCCAGATAGACAGATTCCGAGAAGTCCGGGGTGCGATTCTGGAGTTACAGAATGCAGGATCTCTGTCAGACCAGGAATCAACGTCTTGCGGTAAGGCTGGTGCACCTTGTCCTGCATGCCATCGTAGATCATCTCAGCGTTTGGTGGACTTTGGCCAAGTGCTGTCGTCAATAGTGCCACTCGTTGTAGGTTGTAGACAACGTCAGCCATCTCGTACGACGTGGGAAGGACACTTCGCGCTTTGGCCGTAGCGACCTCAAAGTCGGGGATGATGGCAATGCACTTGATCTCTTTTGCCCAGGGGAAGCGAATGTGCTTGCCGATGTTGAGCGGTGGAATTGGTGGCTGAAGTCCAGTGTCCTCACCACCCTGGGGTGCTGGGAGTACTTCTGCCAGAGGGATCTCCTTGCGCTTCATATCCTCCGGGTTGAGTTCCTTGAGATAGCTGCCAACGAAGCCACCGAAAAGAGCAGCAGCAACATTGTCTGGATGGCGTTCAATCATGAGACAGAAGTCCAAGATACGATCTTTTGATAGATCCAGCTTTCCAGCTACGTTCCCGAGGGCGACACCGGCGACAACGGCCGCGCCTGAGGAACCCAGACCTCTTCCCAATGGGATGGGGTTGATGATGTGGACATGAGTGTTTGGTGGGAACGATCGCTGGCCATGACATCGCAGAACGTATAACGCAGTTTGGGTGATGAGGTTTCGGTCCGGGGCAAGGTCGACGTTTTCTTTGCCGAGACCTTCATATGTGACCCGGCAGTTGTAAGGTGATCCGGAAGATTGCTCGCCTCCAAAAGTGACCTTCACTTCAAGCCAGACTGAAAGAGCCAAACCGATGACATCGAAACCAGGGCCTGCAAGTGTCAGGGTTGAGCAATATTTTCGTTGTGAGATGATGTTTACCGATGTTTGCGGACGAGCACGGCACCCCTGCGATCGTCAGTCTGGAGACCAAATGTGAGGATTGGAAGAAGTACTGATAGTAGCGGCCATGGTTGCAAACCAATTGCAATCTTGATGAATGTGGTTGAACGAATGTCGTGTGGAAAAGTCAACAATTGTGACAAGACTTTCCCCGTTGCTTTGAGGTTATGACTACGAAGGTGAGGTTAATTTTTCGTCCCCAGTCCAAACCTAAAATTATTGCGTAGCCTTGGCAGATTCAGTCGTGGGTGCAAGCTTCACTTCACTTGCGCATTATTGTTTGTCCCATCTCACTTTCATGCTCTCAAAATGTTGCTAAACAGACGATGCGAAGACATTTGGTCCAAGAAAGCAAATGCGTTACAAAAATGAAGCTTCTGCGTCCACAAAAGCTTGCTTTCGTTGTCATATCGTCTTTCCTGGCTCTTACAAGCTGACACTCCTTTTGGTACATCTGAACTTTTGTTCAGTAAAGACACTGAGGCAGGGAATAATGCGCTTTGCCTCTCTCCAGCGCTCGTCAGCTGTCTGTCTCAAAGCAACCCACTGCGCGCCAAATCATCATACACTTTCTTCGGCATGACATTGCCCTCGTGATCTTCCATCTCCACCACGCCCTCCCCATTCTCTCCACCCTTCCGCTGTATCTCCTTCAGTCGGTCGCTTTCCAGCTTCGCCCACAGCTTTTCCGCCTGCTGAATCTCTGTGATCTCCCTGAACAGCCCCGTTGATCTCGTGATGCCTAGACATTGAAGACCGTAGACGTGCCGAGCTTCCGAAAAGTGCTTGTCGAATGCTCTGCGACCCATGTAGACAAAGTTTCCGCAAATCTCGCACGGAAACTCGACTCCGAGACCATGCAGTTTGAATAGCCAGTATGGAATGGGCTTGCCATCCCAGGCTAGCGGGAGCTTGAGAGGATTGTACACCTTCTCGACCTCGTCGTCGGAGTTGGCGTCCTCGCCTCCGTTGGCAGCCGCAGCCGCAAATTCTTCGTCTGCGTAAAGCATAGCGTTGGCTTCTTGTTGACGCTCCTTGTCTGTCATGCCCGCTTTGCGCTCCACGTTTACCCTGGTGTCTTCACGCTCGGTCTGCATTGTAGATGCAAGTTTTCGAATGCGGTGCTCCCGATCGGCGACAGCGCGTTCTTTCAGTCTAGCGATCGCTGCAGATGCGCCATTGGTATTGGGTGCTGTGGAACCTGATGCTGTTCTTGACTCCACGGCTTTGATGTGCCTCTTGCCCGTAAGATGGGCCTTGTAGACGTTGTCATTCTTGAATTCCTTTGCGCAGTCTGGACACCATACACCTTCCCCGGTGCCTTCCGTGACTGGTGCCGAAGATGTAGATGACGACTTTATGCTTTCCCATCCAGGCACTTTATCCTCCTCCCATTCCTTCTCAAACTCCTCCTCATAGCTTCTCAGCAGTCGGTCGGAGTCCTCCAGCGGCTTTGTCTTCCGTAGAAATGTCTCGAGGTATTCCGAAAGCGAGCCAAGGTATGCAAAGTAGTCCTCTGTCATCTTGTCCTGGCGCGTGATGTTGCATTTGGGCGGCGTGAATGCGTCAAAGATGTCCAGATATTGCAAGTATGACACTTTCCGCACACCCTTCACCCCAGGCAGATTGAGAAACTGCTCGTGTAATGAAATCAAGTCAAAGAATCTGCCGTATGCCTCCTCGCTGTTGAACATGACTTCCATGTCACCAGCGAAACCCGCCTGAGGTCCTCCATCTTCTGGTCGCTTATATGCTCGCTCCAAGTTCTCCACCGGCTCGCCGGGATTCCGCTCGTGAAAGGCCTTGATCTTGCTTACTTCCTCGCGAAATGTCTCAAAGTTGTCGCCGGTGCTGATGGCTTGCACTTCCTGTGTGCGCGCTTCTCGATCTTCGTAGATTCGGAGAGCACTTTGCGACTGTGACTGGATGCGATCAAGGAAGTTGCGAATTTCATGGTCGCGTACGAGGCGGCTGCGGATCTGTGAGTTGTAAGTCCTGTTGTATGGGGAGCGGGGGAATCTGTGTGATGCTCACGTGTTTGGGCTCTTCGAGCACGCGGTCGGCCACTGCCTGCTCCAACCGCTCAATGTCCTCGTGCAATCCTCGTAGTTCCTCGTAGATCATGGCGAGATGGTGATGTGGTGGTTGCGACGTGGAGGACTTTGAAGGTTTTGGAGAAGCGATGGCGCCGTCGGAGATCTCTCGATTTCTCCGCAGCTTCACCTTGACTTCAACCTTTGTGCTTTCTGCTTTCCACTTTGCTCCCTCTACCACACCCTCCATCACATCCACACAGCAGCAACCATGGCGGACGAAGGAATCGATCGCAAGGCGGAGGAGCGGATGGAGTTCTCCACGTCCAAGGAGGTCAGCGTTGCCCCGACGTTCGAGGCGATGCACCTGAAGGAAAACTTGTTGCGCGGCATCTATGCCTACGGATACGAATCGCCCTCGGCCGTCCAGTCGCGTGCCATTGTACAGATCTGCAAAGGCCGTGACACCATTGCTCAGGCGCAGTCTGGTAYAGGAAAGACGGCCACATTCAGCATCTCCACGCTCCAGGTGATCGACACGGCTGTGCGCGAGACTCAAGGTAGGAGCATGTGAAGATTCTATGCTCAAGAAGACGGTATGCTGATACAGTCTTGGACAGCCCTCGTGCTATCGCCAACCCGCGAACTTGCGACTCAGATTCAATCCGTTCTGCTTGCGCTTGGCGACTACATGAACGTGCAGTGCCACGCCTGTATCGGAGGCACCAACGTCGGCGAGGATATTCGCAAGCTTGACTACGGTCAGCATGTAGTCTCTGGAACGCCCGGCCGCGTCGCCGACATGATCCGCCGACGCAATCTGCGCACCCGTAACATCAAGATGCTCATCCTGGACGAAGCCGACGAGCTCCTCAACAGGGGTTTCCGAGAGCAGATCTACGATGTGTATCGTTATCTCCCCCCAGCCACGCAGGTTGTCGTCGTGAGCGCCACACTTCCTTACGATGTCCTCGACATGACAACCAAGTTCATGACCGATCCAGTCCGCATTCTGGTCAAGCGTGATGAACTGACCCTCGAGGGATTGAAGCAATACTTTATTGCGGTCGAAAAGGAAGAGTGGAAGTTCGACACTMTTTGCGATTTGTACGACACTCTGACCATTACGCAAGCCGTCATCTTCTGCAACACGCGCCGCAAGGTCGATTGGCTTACAGACAAGATGCGCGATGCAAACTTCACAGTCTCCAGCATGCACGGTGAGATGCCTCAGAAGGAACGCGACTCTATTATGGGCGAGTTCCGACAGGGCAATAGCCGCGTGTTGATCAGCACGGACGTGTGGGCGCGCGGTATCGATGTGCAGCAGGTCAGTCTAGTTATTAATTACGACTTGCCTAGCAACAGAGAGAACTACATCCACCGGATCGGCAGATCGGGACGTTTCGGCCGCAAGGGTGTCGCCATCAACTTCGTCACCAGCGAGGACGTGAGGATTCTGAGAGACATTGAATGTGAGCTGCAAATTGGGAAAAAGCGTCGTGAGAGCTCGGACTGACAAAATGCAGTGTACTACTCGACCCAGATCGACGAGATGCCGATGAACGTGGCCGATCTGCTGGCTTGATGACCCAGCTAGGATTCATCGGCGGAGCTCGTACAAACGCGCAGCTCCTGCATCATGCGATACCCAAGAATGGCGGCGAATGATACTGATGAGAGCGACTGACTTTGCTTTCACACGGCGTACGGCCACTGGGGATGGAAATGGGCACATGTAACGATACAGTAAGTTACAAGATCGTGCTGTCTATCTAGGCAACATCACTGACAGACACCGTATAGATGACATTGCACAAGCAAAAAGCCCTCGTTTTCCAAAAGCATATTCCTCGAACAACGCAGATGATAGCCATCACTACGCCGATACCGTCACGCCACACCGGTATCCTTGCAAGGTGCGTCTTTGGCAATATCGTGAGCTGCTGACCTGTCCCGTCTCTCATGCCGCCACTGTGTGGTTCGGCCAACAACACGTGACAGCTCGCCCCGAGGTCCGGTGCATTTCTTGCCGTGCTCCTGTCTTTTTCCGCAACAAAGCAGAGGATGCATTCCTGGATTGAGGCACATGAGAGCGCTGCTCACGTTTCCACAAGGCTCGAGCCTAGCCCAATTCTAGTTGTGTAATGGCATGAGGCATGCCGTGGCGAGAAATTTCAGTCGCGGTTTCCGTCAGATTCATGGCAGGAAAGATTGGTGCTGCTTAACAACATGTTAGCATCTTGCCGGATCGCTTGCTTTTAATGACCATGCCACATACCTGTGAATTATAGGCCGACTCGCCTTGGGTGGTGTACATTGGCCAGGGCTGCACTGCAAGTCTTGCATCGTTGCTCCTCAGCTCTGCTATGCTGTCCAACTCCCGGTCAAGATGAGCATCCCGGGCACTGGCGCGGGTAAATCGTTTCCCGCAGAGCTGGCAAGAGATGCGTCCCGAATCCAGCAGCTTCTTCTCTCTGCAATGTCTTCGATAATTGCTGAGTGTAGAGAAGATGCGGCCGCCGCAACCGTGGTCCCAGCACTGGAAGATTCTCCTGTGTACGACCATTTGATTACCGAGCTCGTCCGTCTTGATCGAAGACTCGATTACGGTGTTGCCGGTGCTTGACTTTCGATCAACCCATCCTTGTTCATCGCTCGTGAACCTCAGGGCTGGCACGGGTTGTTGTAGTAACAGCGTGGGTGAGGAGATTGAGCTTTCGCTGTTGGTTGAAGACATGGTTCTTCTTCTCGAAACACGATGACGTTCCGGGGCGTCGTCCATCGTGGCATGTACCATCAGTGACTGTGAGGGCTGCTGGAAATATTGCTCAGTCGACCACTCTTGTGGGGACCAGGGAGAGGATGTGTGAAATGCCATATTTTCCGGATGTGCTTGCTGGATGGATTCTGCAATGGCCTTGTGCTAATAGATATATGGCACTCCAACAGCGCGAAGGATTCGCTTCATCACAACACATGTTGTGGTACTGTTGGTTATCCACGCACGCTATGGCAAACAAGGTTGACGTGGGATGAATCTACAGCGATCAGTCCTGTCCTTCTGTTGGTGAGTGTTGGACCACCCGAACTCTAATGAGTGAGATTCAATTCAATTCGCATCACCATTTTTCAACATCTTCTAGTATAGAGGAGTCCGAGAGGATTGCGTCGCAATGAGAAGATGCACTATCTCTGCCAATACAGCAGCATTCTATCGATTCCCGAGGTTCTTTACTTATCCGACTATTCGAAATACACGGCCATTGATTTCTTGCATGAGGTACTTGTTAGCCACACGTGGGAGTGCCACATGGCCCTCTGATCGGCGGTCGGTCCCGCAGTGATCGTCGAAGGATCAGTAGGGTATGCCAACGAAGGATCAGTAGGGTACGCCAAGGTGTAGCCCTAGAGGATTCCATATATACTTCAGTTCACTAACGTACATTGTTGTTTGTGGACAAAGATCGCGTCACTTAGGGCAAGGACATTCATTAAGTGAGGCTTTTTCCAAAAAAAAAACTTGAAACTCGGTCCTTCGAGATAGAGTGTCTTTGCCGCGTGGCAATGGAAGCGGCCGCGGGGAACGCCCACGTGGGGACGAGGTGCGTCGAGGACTGGATACATATCAGGAACTATGCGAGGCTATCGCTTCTTGCCGTGGAAGTCTAAGGGATGTTGGGAGGGTCTCGATTCCGGTGGAGAGCTCGGCAATACCTGTGTGATGGTCGAGAATGTGGTGATGGTCCTTTTCCGAGCCTTGACCGAGATTTTGATGCCAAGTATTTCTGGTATGCTCGTTGAACGAACAAGGCTGGTCAGACATTTGCAACCGGACGACCGCAATTGTAATGGCTGTATCGTGAGACGTAGAGCTCGTTCCACGTGTGAGCAACAAGTGGAAGGCGATCGACAGGCACGTTGAAGATGAAGTGGCATTGCGTCTGCAGAGTCATCACAGATACCGTGGACTGGCCATGAAGAGCCCCCTCGCCGATGGCTTGATTCCTCCAATTGCAGGCTGTCGTGGCGTTCGATAGCACGTTCTTCTCCACGGAGCACAATCAGGTGCCCTCATGATCCTGATCGGCATCGAGTCAAGCTTTCCGGCCGGCCTGGATCTTCTGGGTTTTGTGCTTATCAGTCATGACAAGCAATCCAAGATTCTTGATAGAGTTGCAGCTCTCAGTGGGAGAAAGCGTATGTTCAGCAAGCTAAGGTACCTTCCGAATGTTGGGATCATCATGTTCAACCACCTCCTTCGGACTAGTAGAGCGGAGATATGGGAGAAACGTGGATATTTTAGGTTACTGGAAGCGCCCGTTTGACGACACAGCTCGAGTAAAACAATGTGATGAAATTCGAAGCTTGGATCGAAGTTGCGATCGAYTGACTGAATTCACTTGACTAAAGAGACTAGACGAGCCCCTATCCAAGCAAGCTACGACTGCCCCTTTTCAGACCGATGACAAGACAGCCTGAATTACGACGAGGATCGAGAACCAAGAAGCCAACACCCTATTGAAAGTCCTCCCAGGCGCTGATATTGAAGCCACCTAGCTTTACTGACTCTGATCTCGACCAAGCGTGAATCAAGCTCTGTGCAACTAGGAAACATTAGTCAGACTTGAAATACTGCACTCAGACTCTAGCATCACCTTACCTCGCGTCTAATCATCCTTGTGGCTGTTAACGATACGCTGCTGATCAGAAACGGCATCCAAGGCTTGCTGCTTGGTATCGACACCACCATTCTTGCAGACGATAGTGATGGTGTTTCTTCCAATCGACTTCTTCTTGGCCTCGTATTTGCCATCAGACCAATCTTCCATCTTGTCCTCGATCTTGTCGGCGAAGTCCTCGCTGACTTTACCTGCGAGCTTGGATTCATTGTTGCCATTCTTGTTGATACCGCCGGTTTTGTTGTAGCAGGAGTATGTGAGTAGGTAGTCGGATGCTAGAGCTCCGGCGACGAAGAAGAGGAGTCCGACTGAGAGGAACTTCATGATGAGTGGTTGTTTTTTTAGCTGGGAGGACTGAAGGGTGGTTGGTTTGGAGTAGAGTGAGTGGTTGCTGTATGATGAGGAATAATAGCTGGCTGCTGGCACCTGGAGACTGTTATATATCCTCAAGCAGTTGACATCGGATCGAGTGATTTGTGGTCAAGTTCGACCATTCAGTAGCACGTTGACGACACTTCGCATATCCAGTCGATCAACATCCTTCATTTCATCTTGAAGTAGGGCTAGTCTACTGCAATGCATGTCCTTCTGATCCATTTGTTATGGGARTTAGCGCAATTTGAAGTAGGGCTGGTCGACTGCAGTGCATGTCCTTCTGATCCATTTGTTATGGGAATGAGCGCGAGATACTGCGGCCCAAAGATCTTTCAGTCTGAGGCGCCAATGTCGATAGGTCGTAGGATTGAGTCGACGCCACTGGTGGATCTAATCATCGGTCTTGATACCAGCTTGAGCTACGTTTGTTCGTGTCTTGTAGGCTAGCCATTATGACACTTGCGATTCTGATCATCTACTGGATTGGTGATAGAGGCAGTCACCGGTTTTTGAGGTGATGTACATAAAGGCCTTTCTTTGAGTTCGATCAAGCTTGCTGGGCTACATTGCAGTTACGGTAGCTTCTATTCCCACTAAAATGTATTCCAAGAGACCTTCCATGCTTCCCGTAAGATGAGAGCGGAATCATACAATAAGGAGGTAATGAGAATTCAAGCAGGCTTTGGCTGCAGATGGATGTCACTGCGATCAAATTGGCCACCCTTTCTTGAGAACAGTGCGGAGCTACTCAACTCCACGGGCTATCTTTCCATGATTTGACTTCTGAGAAGCAGTTGCTTCRAGTCAAGGCCAGTTCGCGCGTGTTCAGATGCACAAGCTCGATGTCCAAATCGGACCGGCTTGTTGAAGATCTAGGATCGTCGAGGCCGGCAGCAAGCTGTCTCATCATTGCAAGCACTTTTTCATCCCCAGAGGTCTCCCATTCTCGCTGAGAGCTTCGCCACGAGAGTCGAGCAAGGTAGCCATCTTCAAGGTCCAGAGGGATGTGTTTGCTGGCATTCTCAAGCTCTTTGAGGCTGTATGCGCTATCACATGCCACATCGACCAAGTAAAATTGATATATGGGAGCGCTGATATCAATAATGCCTTCCAGTTCTTCTTTCAAAAACTTGAGTCCGGGAGCCGTGATCGCAAGGCGTTGCAGGAGCGGATAGTCGGTAGAGTAGTGGTGACCTTCTACATCTGGCTCACTCAAGCGGTCTGACTGGTCCACGATGAAAGTCTCGATCTCAGGCGTCGGGAGAAACATAGTGTCTGTCCTTGAATCGAAGTGTCGTAGAAAAGTGAAGTCGGATTGAGTACTGCCTCGCGGGATTGACAGCTTTTGCTCGCGGACGTACTTAATTGCAACCTCGCGTGCTTCGCGATTGACAGCAGCAAGAGGCAGCTTGATTTGAAGTGGATCAAGCCGACTGGTGTGGAATTCCAGGCGAAGATCCTCTCCGTCCGGACCTGGCTCCAGCCCTTTCTCCTCCACCACCCAGCAGCCCTTCTTGTAGGGGTAAAGAGGCCTTCTCAAAGGAGCAGGCAGGGCAAGCCGCCAGATCTCCAGGCGTAGCTCGGTAATCAGCTGTGAGAAGATGGTGAACTCGGTCGCCATGTTATAGTATATGGAAGTGACGAATTGGACTTGTTGTTGTTGCTGCAAAGGGTCAGGGGCTAATCAAGTGAGAGAACTGCTGATGAGCGGACGGCAGATTTCGATTTTCAACAGAAATATGGCAAAGGATATGTCCAAGGAGGAAACGGGGTGCAACGCATCGCTGCGAACATGAGCCTCACCCTCTCCTTCTCATGCTTGATGACAGAAAGCAAAGCCACGCCGCTTGTCGATGTTTCATGGAGGATGCGCCGATCATGATGTAATCAAGTGAAGTCAAATTCTCAGAGCTAATTCCTTCCGACTCCTTCCCTTCGCCTTCCTTCATTCCTTCATTCCTTCATCCTTCAACATCTTGCAATTTTGAAGGCTCTTCAACCCGGGAATTTCACGCTTTCTCGTCCGAAAATGGCCCAAGTCCCCTACCACGCTCCGTTTCGTCTTCACTAGCCTTCAGTTGTGTCGCGCTAATTCCTCCTCTGATACACCAGTCATGAGTGCTCTCACTCCCAAGAGCACTCACCGTGGCATATCACCTTCCACTGCTAGCCAAGCGTTCTGGAAACCTGCACTAGTTCCGCCCACTAAGTTTCTGTGGCTTCGCAGTGCACGTTCATCTGGAGACCCAAAGGGAGAAGTGCGTGAGCTTAGGTACTTTTGATGAAGTTGCACCATCGACTGAGTGATATAAGAAAAACGTGTCCGGATTTACTTTATTCCCTCCAGATTCCCAAGCACTCACTTTTCATCACGCTCCAAAGCACAGTACAGTCATCAACATGAAGCTCACTATCAGCGCATTTCTCCTTTCCATGGCCTTTGCTACTCTGGCGGAGGCAAAAATTGCGACCTTCACCTACTCAGGAATCGTCACAAAGAAAGGGGGTGTAAAGTGCTCCGGTCGTATCGGGGTGAGTAGCCTCGCGAGGCAAAGAGCTCGCTCATACTTCATGGACTCTGTCCTGCCTGCAACATTTCATTCAGTTCTCGACAGATCTGGGCATTGCTAACGTTTGAAAAGTACCAAGTCAACGACGACGGCAACGCAGCGCCATATAAGGGCTCCTTTGCAATCGACGGCTGCATCGGAGGCCACAAGACACTGGACGATGGGGTCTTCACCCTCGACATCAACGCCAACGATCGTACGGCTACTCTCAGGGAGAAGTCTACCGGTCTTGAACTGAAAGGAAGTGAGAGTGAGCACGTTGGTACCCAAGCACCTTGCCGTAATTCTTCGTGCCCTATCGCTACCAAGCAGACCTGTTATTTCGGGGCATCAGAAGGGACTCAGCYGACGACGAAGACTTGTGGCTTGAGCGGATGATTCGGCGTTTTGATTTAGTGATCTGTTGGCGCTAATGGATGGTGGAAGCCTATGTAGGAGGGTCGTCTAGCACAAGGTTTTGAACATCATCGCAACATCATTGAGTCTCCTCATGTCAATTATGTGGTGTGTCGTTATTTTTGCTTTGTTTACACCGCAAGTCAGCTCGCCGAAGACTGCATTTTGTTTCTCTTGAAGTCCAATTACTCAAGATATTGTACATTGGCCGCGCTGTTCAGCAGATGCGGCATATTAAGAATTGTCTTCGACGAGGATCTACCTTCGCACGACAAGCTCCTGATTCACATTCACTCAACTTCTTGGCACATGCGCTAAGCTCTGAGGTCCACTCACTCAAACATGGGACGTGCACTTTTCGACTCTTACCTAACCGCTTGATCGGAAACTATCTWCAACATGCATCTTACTTCCAACGTCAACCATTCCTTGACCAAATCCTGCTCCGACACTACAGCCCTAACAGCAAAGCTACCACCAACATACACGATCAAATCATGCAATCTCGTCCTCCTTGCGAACGTTTTCGCCGAGACACGCTTGACCTGGGCAGTCAAGGTTACCTTATCTTGGGCCTGTAAGGGTCCAACTTGGTCATGTGCGGGAGACAACATGCTATTTTTGGTAAGAAGCAATACTTTCCAGCGTGCGTATGGATAGACATGAAAACAAAGGTTCATCTCGTATATCAAAATTTGCGTGGCTGTATGGGCTCTATGTGGCATTGCTTTGTAGGCCACCGCCTGATGGGAACATTCCCATTCAGCCACCTCTTCTGAGATGTGCACATTCGTYCAGTGTCCAAGTAAGGTAGCTCAATTTAATGGTCTGTACTTGCAGGAAAAGCTGTCCAGGCCATGGCGTAACTTTCTGTGGTGGTAATGAACTGCTGAGGTGAAAAGCTTCATGCAGTCGATATATACTGTGCGTTAGATACCGAGCCAATAAGACCTCATCCTGGGTTGGAGTTGAAGAAGCCTGGCCTGGTATCCAGTGCTGTTCCGACGGTCTCATCGGGCGAGTCACGAGATGGATGTAGTATTGGTCGCACTGGCTGATGTTGTATCACGTCGTGGTAAGATACCTGATTTCCATGTGTTGGGCCTCGCTCGTTCGTGCATGGTACGATTAACCAGCGAAAGCAATGTATGGAGTCGAGGCCGCGTGAGTTTGCAAGCTGTGGCAACACACGCCGCATACCAAGGCAGTCGCCTTCACGCCTCCTCTACACACCGCCCGATGGTGTGGTATCACAACGCTTCGGGCGAAGCGCCACTAAGTTGCCTTTGTAATGTTCCAGCAACAAGTTGTTTAGTGGCTCATGATCGCAACTCAACGTCTTTGCGCCATCTGCGATACATGCCGCAGCGAGTACTCTCGTCTAAGGGATGAGGCTTTCAGTGCCACTCAAGCAGGGTCATCGATCGAGTTCTCGATAGGAGTGATGGGGGAYCCAGCGCTTGCGGGAGATACTGGATGAGTGTTCCGCCCCGTCACCTCCACATCGTCGCCCACTCTTAGCACGGCTCCGCTCGGACCAGCGCATGCGTACTGGCCGAACACAGGCTTGTCTACAGGACGTCAGTCAGTCTTCAAACGTGTGTAATCGATTGTCCAGAGAGACTCACGGGGAAACAGCTCATTGACTCTCCTGTCCCTGGCGAGCAGCCCGTAGAGTTGGCGATTTGTTGTGATCATGGTTCCATGCGCAAGATCTGCGTTAAGACTGAGGCATCTCACAGTTCTGAATAGACAGCGTACCGTCACCTCTTGTGCTCTATCGGCTCTTGATCTGATGGTCAAGATATCCCAGCTGTCTTCGTCGAATGCCTTTTGCTCCTCGCCGACATCAACGTGGATGTTTGGTCGAAACCTGACGATGACATCTTCATTACGACCCGATGGTGGCAGTCGCCGTCGAGCCTCTTCCTCGGAAGCACTCGATGTGATCAGCAATGGTGCCGCATCTGCGAAACGTACCTAAAAAATGTTCAGTGCTGATCGTTTGAGAGGCGCTCAAGTACAGGCTTTGATTCCGAATGCTTGAGCACTTTCGCCTCAGTGGCGTTAGCATGCTTACTCTCTGCGGCTGTAGTTTGTCGTTGACAGCAATAGACAAGGCCCTGTACTTGTGTTTGGGCATGAAGACTGCGCCAGGAATCTCTCGTTGACCATTGCCTCCAATGTACAGTAGTCGTACAGGTTTCTTGAGATGAAAAGAGAAGAACTCGGCGACTTCCTCTCCCATGTCGATGCCTGGAGCCTTGGTCCCGAAAATGGATACCTGATAGACATCCGCATTGAACAAGCTCATGGGAGACGGAGATAGGGGCAAGGTGATGGAGCTATGTTCTTCCGCGTGTACATGGGTGATGGTCAGCTTCGACCAAGCTGCATCGATCATGGTGTGGAATAGGCCAAGGGAGAAGTGATTCTTGATGGTAATGTGCTCGGCAAGTCCAGCAGTCTCTGCAGAAGGCCGTTTGGCGAGCACATATTGGCGATCGAACCGTAGCCCTTCATTTGTAATCTCCGCAGCGGTGACTTCCACAGGTCGTAGGCTCTTGACCGGGTATATGAAGRGCTGTTGTCGTTTTCAGCGGGGGCCTCAAATGGGAGCGACTGTCGACAGCATACCCGTTGAATCTTCATCGCAATGAATTGCCGTCCGGCATGCTATCTCGATCGTCGGGGAAATGTAAGATCAACGAGGGAATGGAACAATAGATATCATGCTTGCGACAGCCACATGGACTGAATGGTGTGTGGTTGGTTGGTTGGTTGGTTGGTTGGTTGGTGCTCCGAGATCGCGATCGTCCCGTCCCGTTGCCCGACTACTCGYCCGGGCGAATGTGTAGGCCACCGTAAAAAGGCGTCATGTAAGCGACTTTAGAGTGTCTCTCTCTGGTCTAAATAATCCCACCACACTTCGATTCAATGCTGCAAGGCACTCCTTCATGTCAAGTGATGACAATGAAGCCAAGTGATTGACAAAATCCGCGGAATAGTATGATCGGGATACGTCGCTTAACATCAACCGACTGTGTGAGGAAGGTGATTCCAACCGGACCGCTCATCTGCGCCCTACCCTACAATCTTGAATGGCTCAAGAAGGGACAACCGAAAGGGMTTGCGACAGGTGTAGGGAGCGGCGTGTCAAGGTCAGTCCCTTATCCATTTCTAGAGAAATGTACAAACATAACGACTGACATGAATCAATTACAGTGCGATAAGCGTCTTCCTGCTTGCTTGCGTTGCGAAAAGCTAGGCAAGCCATGCCCGGGATACGACAAGAAACGAAAGTTTGTCGACGAAGGCGTGTCTCTACGAAAAAAATACCAGTCAACGAATGACCGCCCGAGTAGCAGCGGCGCTGCTGCTGCCATCTCGCCAGCAAATGTCGCTCCCAGCGAGCCAGTTGGCACTCTACAATCTACCTCATCATCTCTTCCACATGCCGAGCCCGATCTACCGAATGCACCGATTAGCAATCCGTCGAGTATTGTGCCACCACAGGCAATGTCTATCTTAACAGTTGATCCAGTTCCGGGTCCAGTAATGCTCGCCCATCCCCAGCTCAATCTTCCAGACCCCTCCGTGATGGACGATCTGTGGCAGAACGAGACTTATGATCCAGAGTGGTTCGACTTGGAGCCAGAGAAATACTACTCTCTAGCTGGCAACACCTGTGGATTCATCCCAAACATCCCAAACATAGTAGACGAGGTAGACCAGAGCGATGTGCTGATGAACAATTCCGCCTCAGCCACGCCTCTGTCGACAGGACTTGGCTCGACGGGACTGTTCTCTGACAGCAACTTGTGGGCTCCCGATTCACAGCTTCAAACATCCGCACTTATAACACACGAACGAGATCACGAAATAGCATATCTCGTCAGACATTTTACCGAGTCTCTGGGACCATGGTAACGACCATTCATTGCTGGTGGGGAATTGCAGCTGATCTCTCGCAGGATGGACTTGTTCGATAAAGACAAGCACTTTACCCATCTTGTTCCTATAAAAGCCCTTCGTGATGCTCTTCTCAGAAACGCAATAGCCGCAGTTGCTGCTAAGCAACTCGGGCGTGTCTTTGGCGCAAAACCTTTTGTTGGACTGCAAGCTCAGAAACCTTCATCCATGGAGGTGCTTGATGAGGCCGTCGAAGTCGACTGGTTCTACAAGGCCGCAAACTACTACGACAAAGCTATCGCGTTCTCGCGTCAGTATCTCCAGGCCGTTTCTGGCAGTCTGAGCAACCCTCCCACGCCAAACGCTCAAATGGCGCTCTCCATGGCCAATTCAGATGATTTGCTGGTGGCCATATCGTTGTTCTCAATGTACGAGTCTCTGGATAACCTAGACTCGGGCTGGCTGCAGTAAGTTCCCCAAATTACACCCGCTGGTTATGTGCTGACAATTCTTCAGACATCTTGCGGGCTTAAAGTCCCTACTCGTGGCTGTAAGTCCTAAACAGCAAGTCCAGAACCAGATAACGCCATCTGTCACGGTCGGGCATTTGGCGTCGTTCTGGAACTTTGCCAGAGCCGACTATCAAGCAGCGTTCCTCAATGACCAACTCACCCTTCTTGACACGGGAGATTTGAGAATGTGGAACTCATGCGGTCTTCAACTGCAAGACTCCGGGGCGCTTTACGCATCAACTGACTCCATTCGTAACGATCCTRCCCACTGTCGAGCAATTGTGGAACTCGTCGCCCACACACTCCTATGGCTGGTTCTGAAGGTGGTAAACTACCGCGCCGGCAACGACCCAAAATCGAATGGCAACCAAGAGGAGTGGGATACATTGACACGGCAGCTAGACCACTGGTATGGCAATCTTCCCGCAACATATCAACCATGCGCAACGATCCGCCATAGGGGTAGCATTGCCGGTCGATCACCATTTACGGAAGTCTTCTACAGTATAGATGTGTGTGCAGCGACTATGCAGCTATATCACTTCGCCAGGATGAATCTGCTACTACACCGACCGGTGGGGAACAAGACCGGCAAGCTCGGCAGTCGCTTGAAAGCATATCGGGAGGTCTCCACGGAGGCTATTCGTCATGCGCATGAGATCATCGGAATCGCGTTGGGTCGGCCTCCACCTGCGATACGTGTGGAAATGCTGTTGCCCTTGTGTCTGGCGGGAGCATGCTTAGAGGCGGATGAGGAGAGGAAAGTGGTATTGGAATTGCTGGAAGCGATTGAAAAGGACACGGGCTGTAATACGGCCACACGACGTGATAATCTCGTACAAGAATGGGGCTGGGTTAGGGAGCCCCAAGGAGTCGCGTGAGCATGAGCAGAGAGCCAAGCGAGACATCCATGCGATCCGATCATCGCCCTTTGCGCCTCGGACTCCCCGCGGCGAAGAACTCCGCGGCGGTGGGATCCCGCTGCACTTCCGTTAGTGTTTGTGGGACGTGTGCGAATGGAAAGGAAGCGTTGGAACGGGGAGTGCGGATACTGGTGTTGTTGGAACAATGGAATCTACCCACACCGTACACTACCCTGCAGGACCAGAGGACTCGTGATGAACTCCTCGGAGGTGGACTTCCGTCGCACATTGACTAGTGTGAAGAAGAAGATGGCGAATGGCAGACAATCTGTATTGCACAGACTGGGATGATCTGCTGATCGAATTTGCACTTCGCATCATCTCGAATAAATCAACGGCTTCACTTGCTTTGAGATGACTCTTTGAGGAAGAGGGTGGACGGCGGAGTCGCTGACTCACTATGATGTCGTAATTGAGCAGAATGGATCGATGATACAGAACAAAGACTTTTCGTGCTTCGCCGTTCATAGACCCGACAATTACAATCACACGCCTCTGCCATTATGCCGCTCCTCGACGGTACAGAAATGGGGGAAACGCTTGATGAGGTTGATCAACTTGATGTGGCCGTGACCGACGTTGCCTCGAGTCTTGGCAGAAGTCATCAAGCGCGACTGGAACCGCGTCGATCTTCCATCTCGAAAGTCGTGACAAGCACCAAATCCAAGAAAAAGCAGCACCTGCACAAGCTTGTGAAAGTCGTCACAAGTGAAGGCATCACAACGACTGCCACCTCCCTACCCAAGTCAATGCTCGCCAGCCGGCCGTTGCCGCTGCTCGTCTGCAGCGTCGGCAACCCAGGCTCTCAATTCGCCAATACCCTCCACAGCGCCGGCCACACCGTCCTCAACCGTCTCGCCGATCGACTAGGCTATCCCGGATTTCACAAAGACAGGCAACACGGCAATGGTCTCATTAGCAAACCTTCCATTATCCCGGGCGGCAGCGGCGACTGGACCCTATGGCAGAGCACGGCCTACATGAATGATTCCGGCAAAGGCGTTCGAGCTGCATACATGGCTTGGGCGAAGAATATTGTCGATGGGGAGGGACGGCTGGTGATTGTTCATGATGAGCTGGAGAAGCCGCTGGGGGCTGTTACGTTGAAGACTGGACAGGGGTTGAGCGCAAAGGGACATAATGGACTCAAAAGCATCATGTCTGTCATGGGCAACACTCCTTTTGTGAGGATTGGTATTGGTATTGGGAGACCTGTTAGCAGGGAGAGCAATGATGTCGCTCGCTATGTGCTGAAGAAAATGGATGCTGGTGAGAAGTCTGCTGTCGAGGGCTCGATTGATCAAGTCATTGCCAAGTTGAAGCAATTGGAGACTGGGTGAGCAAAGCCCGAGGAACTCGACATCCACATTATGATCGCGGAGGGAGTGTCCAATCAGCCACATGTCCGGCCATCTTCACATGCCCAGGAGACCTGAACCGGAACTGCCTGTCAGAGTACAGCAGTCATGCCTTGGCACACTCGCCGAGATTGGAAACATTCCGCGGTCGGTAAGTCATTCTTTTGACGACTTACTGTTGCAATGCGTTTCTACAATTAGAAAGACACGCGGCGCTCTGTGTGTAAGCATCAAGAAGCTCTGTCGGCATGAAAGTCCAGCATGGACTATCTCGCCCCTTGCTCTGCATCTTGGAAACCCGCCATGTTCTTCGAACAGCCAAATACCATCTCAGCGCGCTAGCATTTTCCGACGAGTGAGTTCAAGTTCACGCAGGCTTGGTACTTGCAATGTCTCGATGGTCTCAATGATCCCACCGTCGAGCCAAGAGTTAGAAAACACCTGTTATTTATCCCATCTATACTTACTACCTTCACAAAGCATCTCTCTGTTCTTGCAGATTCTTCAGTCCATCCCACAAAAGTCAAATCTCGCAAAACCTCATCTCATCACGCCTGAGACATTCCTCGGCCTCGCTCCAACCTCGTATTCCCCTGAAACATGAAACAAAAACAACTTCTCCATGTCCACGTTCGCATGGCATTTCTGATGGCGTGTTTCTATGAGCCAGGGTTTCGTTCTTTGATGGATAAATAATTGAATAGTTCTTGATTCGAATTCCGAAAAAATAAACTCGGACGATCTCCTGCATACACGCCATCCGAACGACGACATATCCCTTTTTCTCACATCCCCGAAAGCCACGAATTTTAATTAAACCCACGCGAGGAAGAGGCGTTTTTTAAGGTAACGCAAATCTCCTCCGCGGAATGAGGATCACAATCACCACAATGGGCATATTGGAGGTGCAATTGGCTCTGAAACCTCWCAGACTAAGGGATGTCGAGAAATTGTCGGGCGAGACATTAGCTAAGGTAGACGATTGCCCATCGCAACGACGGCGTTCCCGGCTTGAGACATGCGAACATGGTTGTCTACCCTGTCAATCTTACGGGGAGATGCGCGGCGAGGTGCGTGGCACTGCGTGGTGAGTGAGTGGGGACTCCGGGGAGTCATTATGTTAGGGGTGAGTAAGTAACGTGTTACGAGGTTCAGTTCTTTCCAAGGTGAAGGCTTGGTGATGTTGAGGATACCAATATGCAGGAGCTTTCTCAGCTATGCTACCTCTATCTTACATAGACCGACGCCTCCTTGTGATGAAGAGCCGCTATCATGCAAATATCCCAGCACCTGTAGTTCAGATGAAGGACTCTTATCCATGACAAGAGTCCAATGGCGACCAACTCTATCCACCGCCATGATCGGAGTCCCCAGCAGCCGCAACAGTGTCGTCAGCCATGGAAGTATCGCCGCCATTCACGGCCGGCACCTCTTGTTCCTCGTCCTCGTCATCGTCGTCTAAGATACGAGTCGCCTTCTTTCGTTGTGCAGGCCGGGCAACAGCTTCGTCTTCGTCTTCATCGCCGCCAGTGGCCATCGTCTCGTCCACTGCGTCGCTCGCCCCTGGCGTGWCCGCATCTGCATCCACATCCGCCGAGGACTTGGGTGCAGCAGCCTCGATACCGGCATTGTCATCCTCATCCGAATCTTGCACGGTTTCCGCACTCTTATACTTGGAATTTGGGACCGCCTTGCCCTTTCTCTCCAAGCGTCTCTTCTTCTTCTTTCGCGGCGCCTCTCCATCGCTACCCGTCGCGCTTGCAGCCTTGCTCCGGGGTCGGCTTCGTCTCCCTTCCTCACCAGAAGCATAGAGTGCACCTTCATCCGTGTCGCTGTCTTCGCCCTTCTTTTTCCGCTTCGGGCGCTTCTCCTTGGGCCGCTTCTCCCGCTTCTTTCGCTCTCCAGTGTCAGGGTCCGTGGTGTACTCTGCCTCTTCCCTCGCCTTCTCCTCCTCAAGTCGCTTGGCAATTTGCTCGCGATCTTCTTGTGCGATCTTCTCACGCTGGGCAGCGATCTCACGCTTCCTCTCCTCAGCCTTCTCCAAATCGATTCGCTTCTGTTCCTCGCGTTTGCGAATTTCCTCTTCTCGACGCTTCCTCGCCTCTTCCAGGCGAGTGGCATTCTTGCGCTCGTACTCGGCTTGTTTCTCCATTGCACCTGCAAGCTGGCGCTTCATGGTATTCCGACCCATGTTCGCGCGTTGTTCGATATCGTTCCTGGGGAAAGGCGGATTGGGACCCTTGGCGATTTGAATGAAAGATTCAATGGCGGAATCCAAGCCTTTGCTCGCAACCTCCACATCTGCGAGTGTCTTGTTGGATTCGGGCTGCGAAATCATCTGCTGCGCGATCTGAATTTGCACAAAAGCCACGTTGAACTTGAAATTGATGTTCTCCGGAGCTTGCTGCAGTGCTTGCACGGAATACTCCAGACTCGTCTTGTACGCAACCAAGTCTCGTTCAACCTTGGCTCGCATCAGCCAAGCCCGTCCTAGACAAGCCATGATATGGGGATCTGCGTCTCTTGACTTTTGCAGGGCAAGCTCATAGTTTTCAATGGCACGGCTGAATTGCTTCAGCTCGCAGAAGACGTGTCCCAAGTTGATGTGCACGGAGGCGTCCTTGATGCTCTCTCTCACTTTCGAGAAGATCTGAATGGCTGCGCTTGTTTCCTTCTTCTCTTCGACCATGGCGATTCCCATTCCTTGCGCAGCAAAGGCATTCTTGGGATCTAGCGATAGGACCTTGTCGAAGAACTCCACCGCCCGCATGTAGGTCTTGCTGCGGCGCTCCTTGTGCTGGTCGGTGTCTTTGGGCATTTCTCTTGCCACTGCGAGATGCAGATTGCCCATGCCAGTGAGGGAGTATATGTCGTGCTTGTCCTTCTCCATCAGGGTGTGCTTGTAATGTCGCTGCTCCTGATCTTCTGGCAGAGCCAATGTGCGCTTCTTGTGTCGATTTATGTACCATCCGTACAAGCTGCGAACTTCGAGATTGTCAGGTTCTGCCTGTAGAAGTTGCTTGATGGCCTCTGCGCCCTTTGCTGGATCAGATCGAAGAGCGATGTAAGCCATACGAGCTCGGGCATCGACATAATCCGGGTGTCGAGTAAGCAAGCCGTTGTATATATTCTGTGCTTCATCATCCATGCCCTCGGCCYCGTATGTTCGAGCAAAGTTGAAGCTGATGGTGGAAACGAGAGTGTCTGTATCAATCGAGTTGTCCTTATTGCTGATCGAAACACTTGACCGGAGGGCTGCCTGAAAGTATTCTCTGGCCGTTAAGAACTTTTCGGCTTGGAAATGAAAGCAGCCGATGTTGTTCAGCAGTTGCGGGCTCAGCATGTCTCTCTTCGCGCTTTCGATTGCAGCGGGGCCCTCAGCGATGTCCTCTGGCAAGTCGTCCTCCGAAATGTCGTCCATCTCCATGTGCTCAACCTGCTGCAGGCATGCTAGTGCCTTTTCCGGTTGGTCCAGCTCATACAATCTCGCAAGATTCAGCAAGACGTTGTTGTCCGGCGTGATCTTTTTCTTGCCATCTTTCCACGCCACGCGTACTGATTCTAGCAAAGCAATTGCCTTTTTCCGCTCCGCGCTCTTGTCATCCTTGGACTCCGAGGCTTGGCTTGTGAAGACCTCCTCTGCGTGTAGTATGCCAAGTAGCGTCATTGCTTCCACGCTCTTGTTGGTCGACATCATCTTCTCGAGTCGGAACTTGGCACCGTCGTAATCGTGCATCAATGTCTTGAGCTGCGCAACTCCGAATTTGGCCGGTAGGTACCCTCGGTCGTCACCGCCGCGTGCTTGATCTGCCTTGTTGTAGTGGTCCTGTGCCTTTGCCAAGTCACCCTCGTAATGGTCTTTTCGCGCGAGCAGATACCACCCGTCACTGGCAATAGCGTTGACGTCGGTATGCTCAATCGCGCGTCTGGCCAAGCGCTCCACATTTGGCCATGTCTTTCGGAGCAGGAAGTATCCGCCGAACGTGGAGCAAGAARGCGCGTGCRTGTCATCGATCTTGAAGGCCGTTTGTGTGTAGGTTGTCATGGCCTTTCGGTAGATTGGTGCAAACTCGGGATCGTTGGAGTTGTAGTGGCCGCTCTCGTCCAGGTGATACAGTCCCAGCAGGATATTCGCGCTCTTCGAGTCCTTATTCAGAACCAAAGCACGCTCCCACGCCTCCTTCGCATTGACCTTGTGGCCGAGCTGCCAAAGACAGCAGCCAAGACCAATGCGCGGATCTGGGTCTATCATGTCCGGCGCCCGCTCGAGGGCTGTTTGGTACAACACATATGCCTCCGCAAATTTACCCATCGAGAAAATCGCCTTTGCCCTTCCAATGATTGCCAATATGTTCTTCTGCCCCGACACTCTGTACGCATCGTCAAAGCATTTGGTAGCCTGCTTGAGTGTCTCATTCCGATCGGACAGCTCAGAGCCAGGGCCGTATTTGACTGGTTGTAAAGAGGCGCGTAGGAGATAGAGAGTTCCTCTAGCAAGGAACAATGGTGGGTACGAAGGGCTGATCCTCGAAGCATCGTTGAGGATGCTAGTCGCAGCGGACAACCAATGCTCCTTCGTCCGGTCATCGCCGGCACCCTGAGTTGGTTTCACTCTGGGTGCTCGACGGCACTTCCACAAGAACAGCCAGCAGAGACAAGCCAAAATGCTCAGGCGATCCTCCGCCGGCCCTTGTGCCTGGGCGTCCAATCCTCTCTGCAGGATTTCAATCGCAAAGTCCGCATTGTTCTGTTTCGCGTAGGAGAAGGCAATGGTGATCCAGTAATTGCGCGCGGCATTCTCGTTTTGGAGCAAATCACACAGTTCGTTCACGTCGTCCAGCTGTTCTGTCAAGTCAATGTTGACAGCTTCATCACCATCGCCCGCATCTGCTCCCACTGGGACATCAATCGCGGTCGGGACGTCGGAGAATCGCGCGAAAGATTTGATCTTGGAGTGACCATTGACGCCATTCGTGTGGCCATGTGCCGTAGCGGCCATGTTCGCGGCGGAGATCGCGGAAGTGGTGATAGAAGCTGGAGCACCGGGACGCTCCTTCGTGTGGTTTGTTCCAGCGGCGTTCAAGGAATCATGTCAGCGCATGTGTCAGCCGTGTCCAGTCGCGGCGACGTGTTGCGAGTGAGGACGAATCGATGTGGAGGGTCGCGTAGCAAGATGGAGATGGAAATGGAGATGCAGATGCACAAAGTTAATAATGTTCGTCGCGAAGCCGTACCTAGCCCAGCGGACGGGAAGTCCGGGTTGTCGGATTGGTGATCCGTGCAGCTGCATGAACGTCCTGGGCAACTGACAGGTGAGATGCACCTCCTACCTACCTAGTGACTTTTGATTGTTCCCACCTTTGTCGAGTCACAGGTACATCTTTTGGTGAGCGGCACGGAAGACACCTGAAACGGATTATCTTCACAACATGATACAGCAGATGTGACTTCCTCTGGCCAGCATCCTTCACATCGCGAGCCAGGAAGCCATCCGGCCATGTCGTGGATGCGACAACCCCCGAATGGAAACGCGCCGCATTTGAACGGAGGAGGACGATTCGAGTTCGATAGCAGTCGGGAGACCAGTGCAGATGAGCGTAGCCAGTCGCGCGGGCCGCGAGGAGGTTATGGTGGACCGCCGCAGCCTCCGGCGCATGGCATACCACGGCTAGGCAGAAACAATGCCAATAGGCGGAGCAAAGATATTGAAAGCAGCCATAGTCGGAGCAGAAGCAGAGCGACGGCTCGATATGGTCCTGCGAGCGGTCAGGTCGAAGGTCAGTCGTTTCCCTAGATCTTGGGTGGAAATTTGAATGCGCAATGGGCTAGGACATTGGAACAACCCCTGGATTGGCTTCTTCTGCTTGAAGAGATCACATTCTCTTCCCGGAAATAGACGCTCACCAATAGGACAGATATCCTACGCTATATTGAGCAACAGTGGAGCTTCATGTCATCCGATGATTGTATTCCAGTAAAAGTTGCCCTGCAGCTCATGGACCCATCCTCACTTGGCCTGGCGGATCAGTATGGTAAATTCCAAGAAGTACACAAGCAGCTGCAGAATGCGCTCAAGGTCATCGTAAACGAACATCACCAGGGTTTCAACAGCAGCATTGGTACATTCCACAAGATTCAGGCCGCTATTCATGCATCCCAGCTGCGTGTACGGACACTCCGAGCGGGCTTGGTCCAAGCGAAGAGCAGTCTGGCGAGTGCCAGGCCAGAGCTCAAAGCCTTCGCACAAAGCAGCCAGAGCTACGACCAGATGCTACAAGTTCTGGGCACCATTGAGCAACTGCAGGCGGTACCGGAAGAACTGGAGGCTCAGATCTCGGAGAAGCGCTTCCTGGGTGCGGTTGATACATTGCAGGATGCCCTGAAGCTGATCCGGAAGCCCGAAATGGAGGACATTGGTGCTCTGAGTGATTTGCGTGTGTATCTGAGCAACCAGGAACATTCGCTCACCGACATCCTGGTTGAGGAACTGCACAACCACCTCTATCTCAAAAGTCCATACTGTGAAGAGAGATGGAAATCACACATGAAGCGGGACATCTCCAGTTCAACCATTGATGAGGGAGAACGAGCGATGCACCAGTTTCTGGAGTCCTACGATGGGAGCAAACGAATGACAGAAGACACGACTCGAAACCCGGAAGCGGACACCTTTTGTTATATTCAGTTGTTAGTGGAGTCATTAAACAAGATGTCACGTCTAGATGTGGCGGTAGACGCCATCGAGCACCGACTTCCTGTGGAGCTCTTTACCGTTGTCGAACGTTCGCATATGGAAGTCGAACAGAGACATCCTGCGATTCTACGTGCCGCGAGAAACGGACAAAGAAAAGGGTCTGTGAATGCAGGACCCGATGGAGAACGACAAGCGACGTTGGAAGACTTACTCACTACGTTGTATGCGAGATATGAAGCCATCGCAGAGGGTCACCGTGTTCTCCACGATGTCACGGGTGCAATAATACGCCGAGAAGCGCATGAAGACCCTGGGCTAAACCGAAGTTTCCGCGAGTTATGGAAGCTTTTGCAAAGTGAGATCAGATCTTTATTGCACGATCATCTCGCAACCAATGGCAACCTTGGACATCGTTCTCGGAAGGACAACGACCCAAATGCTAATATTTTCCAACCTCAGCCGCGAGATAGAAGCAGAAAGCTGTTCAAGATGTCTGACACCGACAGCAAATCGACCGAGCTGGCAACAGATCGGGAGGACTTGGAAATGATCCTCAAGCAGTCAGTGCCTGGGCTTGTCGGGAGCAGTATACAGAGCGCAAAGCAGGAACGTGGTATCGTTGCAGACGTATCAGCAACCGGGCACAAGCTGCTCGTCGAGCCCAGCGTCTTCAATATGGGGATTTTGCTCAAGCCCTCGCTCGATTTCCTCACCAGACTGCGGGATGTCGTCCCGCCTAATTCTGGGGTCGTTTCCAGTACTCTAACCTCCTTTCTGGATGACTTCCTCATCAACGTGTTTTATCCTCAACTCGATGAGACCTTGCTCGAGCTCTGCAACCGCAGCACGACAGAGATGGACGCTTTCCAGGCAGATCCACAATGGCAGATGCATGCGCAGAAACCTGTATTCAAAGGCACTGTCCGCTTTTACGAACTAATCGAAGCATTCTGCGTCATGCTGGACAGCCTCCCGCATGACCAAAGCTTCAGCCAACTTGTCATCACCCAGATGAGAGGCTACTATGATAAATGCTATCAGTGGTCCAAGACTTTACTCCAGCGTGCACAGCTGGCTCAAGAGGGCAATGTGAAGATGAGACTCGCTGCGCAGCTGGCCACCTCTGGCGAAGTGAATAAGACAGTCGTGGAACTTACCAAAGCCGATACTCATGACGCTGTGGTACTGGCTGAGAAGGAAGCTGCCCTTCTCCTGAATGCCACAAAGACGCGTACCAYTGAGGAGGCTGATTTGATCCATGACCGCAAGGCCCTCGCCGCACTTTGCACACTGCATGTCTCCATGAAATGGCTCGCATCTCGTTGCCAACAGCTCCGGTACATTTCGCCTTTAGCTGTGGATACTTCCAACATGCAAGCGCATGATCGCCGACGTTGGACACAAAATCTCTCCCTCAACACCGCGCCCTCGAATGCGTATCTCCCTCTGGACCCACAGACAGCAGAGGCCTTCGATGGCGTTGTGGCTTCCTTCACAGAGCTCTCATCCTTGATTCTACGAACGCTTCACATCGATCTCCGCCTTCACCTCATGCACGGGATCTATAGTGCTCTGGACACAACCTATGCCCTCGGCCAACCCTACAACGACCCAGACCCTGCAATCCTCAGCCTGTCAACTGCACTAGGAACATACGACACCGCRATCGCAGCCAACCTCTTACAGCCGCAATATGACTTCCTCACTGCCAAGCTGGACATACTAGCCAACAAAGCTCTAGTCAGCCTTGTGGGTTGTATTCGTGGTCTGGACAAATTTGGCATCGAGCGCATGGGTTTGAATGCAATGGTTCTGCAGCAGACACTCAAGACTGCGATGCAGCAAGATGCGAGTTTGGATCACGCGGCCAGGTTCTATGAATTGGCGAGGGGTGCGAGGATCCTACTAAAGGAAGGGAGGAAGGCCGGTTATGCCAAGGAGGATTTGAAGGCGCTGCTTAGGTTATCGTGGATTGAGAAAAGGGATGGTGCGGAGGGGTCGTTGGAGGATGCTGTTGCTAGGATTGAGTGATGTAGATGGAACAATTCCAGTGCCCACCAATAGCAAATCAGTGCTTTGAATTCTCATTGTGAAAATACATTGTGCTCCGTTGGGCTGTGCAGTACGGTCAGATCTGCATTGTATGTTCGATAGTCTCGAACTCATGACAGTTGGTCGAAGAATGTCAAAAACCGAGACTATTCAAATGAAAGGGCCAAACACAACAAATCATCATCAACAACGTCCTACATACTCAAGCCCATTTCCGGAAGATTCTTACCATATTCCTGTTGCAATACATGCAATCTCTCAAAACTTACAACGAGTCTGGACATCGACAAGATATCGGAGCACTACCCCAACCCTGACCCTATGCGCGCTGCCATAGTCGACGATCGGTTCGTGTTCGTCTCCCACAACAATGCAAGTACGTGGTTCTCTCCCTTTGACCTGCATCTCTAGCCTTCTCTCTGCCTCGAGATGGTTTCACATATCTCGTTGCTACCCACCGCTCAACATCTGAGAGTCTATCGCGATCCGCTAGGCCATGATGCTTCGAAATCTAGTATTGCCGCTTCCGACGAGATGGTGCACTGCGCAGGCGACACGCAAATACGACTCTTGATGAGATTGCAAGACTCATATTGGCGAAGTCCAGAACTTCAATGCATGTATGTTTGAACAGGAAAGTACATATAAGGTAGTTCGTCGACAGATCAATGGATCGCCAAACCGCCATTGCTCTCCTTCTTCAATGGCTCATCATCCTCACTCATGAGACCCTCGAGCTCGAACTCTTCGGCATCCTGTGCCTGGCGATCTGCCGCGCTTGGAATTCGAGTACTCCTTGGGCCTCTCGCGTGGCCGTTGGTATGCGGCATTTCTTCGTCGTCAATCTTGACGCTTGGTAAGGGTTCTTGTGAGTAGGATGAGTAAAGACGTAGCAGCACGAGTGTGACTGTGTGGCCATTAGCAAAATTGCAGGTAGAATGATCATTGAGTACTTACAGAGGAACAGCAAGAAACTGACGCTGTAAAGAATCAAAATATATGCGACGTGCGTGACGCCGGCATTACTCAGACTTTCCATCTGTTCCTCGGTAGCTCCCATGAACAGGAAGCCAGATGCGTAAAGGAGGAATGGTGTCAGGTACTGGAAGCTGTTGATCTCGGCGTCAACGTCACCTCCTTCGGGCCCGACAAGTGTCGTCCGGTCTTTCAGCACAAAGCTGATCTCGACGATGCGAGCGAAACCGGCAGCCATAAGAGAGTAGCCAAAGATGGTGTGCACCATCGTACTCAGCATGAGCTCCTGGGGATGTGCGCTCATTGCCCAACCTGTCATAGCAATCACGATACCCGGGATGATGTTTCGCCTCGGACGTCCGTGTCTGTCCCTCGAAAGCCAAACCCCGACGAGTCCAGCTGACCACCAGATGATGCCCATGGTAGTGTGTTGGAGGTCATTCCTCACCCAAGCCGTTCCCCAGCGATGTTCTGTGAATGTGTTGACGCAACCCCATACTGAAATAACCAAACTGTCCCAGAACTCCTGGCTCTTGCCTGTCCGGGCGAGGAAGGCCTGTCCGTTCACCAGAAGCACGGTGAGGACCATCCCGTAGCCCACAAAGGCAGATCCCATGATGAAATGCGCAGCACATTGTCCAGTGTGTTCTCCCTGACAAAAGCCTTGACTCGCAATAGCRCCAAACAGCATCTGCACCCACGCAGCGACTGGTATAAGCCCTCCTAGCACTCCATGGCCCTTCACCAGGACTTTTCGAATCGATCCCAGAAATCCGCGCTCGATGTGCAGTCTCAGCCAGATGCCCACGACAACTTGCACAATCATCATGAGCATCAGCCAATTCGCAAACTTGGCGTGCACATTTGGACCGAACTGGCGGCCTTTGTGTAGATGGCCCAGAAAGTATCCAAGAACTGCGATCGCTGATCCGAGTATCTGAACGGGAACGTGGAGGCGAGAGCGAACGAATCCAAGCACCATACCAGTGGGAAATATGATGCCCCAGGCCAGAGATTGCAGCAAGATGTGTGTCCAAAGGACCGAGTCCATGGGTTCTGTCGTAACGGCATCGCCTTCAGGTACCTTGTCGTGACCACCATGTGCGGATACGCTGTGTATTAGGGCGAGCACAAGAGCTGCCAGTGCCGGCCTGGTGCGAAAGGTGGCCATTGCGGAATCAGAGGGCAGAGTCTTGAGGAAGAGAAGGACTGGCGGCGGGCGGCGAAACAGGGAGGTGTTATGCTTACCTTACGCAGATCTGATCTAAGGTACTAAAGAAGCTTTCGGCAGCGGATGCCGGCGGACAGCGGACCCTGGTCTTGGACACACGGCAGGCGCGTCCAACTTCACGCGTCTTTCGGTCTCTTATTTTAGACAACAATAATGTCGTCTCAGGAGTTGCCGGCAGTCCAGAAGATGGAGCCCCCGTCGTCAGACACTCTCACTCCCAGCTCACCCTCACGACCTGCGCCCGGAGAACAGGTACCACCCCCACCATCGGAAGCAGAACCCAGCTCCAATACTTTTCACCACTCAAATCAGGCAGAGCCGGCGCGAGAGAATCTCCACATGACAGCGCTCAGTCTCAAACGCTCAAATCTAGCCGCCAAGCTTGAGGCGTCACAAGCAGAACGTGATGTCCTCGTAGCTCAAAGCACTCTCCCTTCAGGCCTTCCATTTCCTTCAGATTGGACCGATGAGCAGAGAGCCAAGCAAGCCCTCGAGTCTGCGAACGCAGTCATCAAGGAGCATATTTCGCTGCTGCACGGCTACAACGAAATCAAGGACATTGGACAGGGTCTGCTAGGGTTGGTGGCAGAGAAGCGAGGTGTGAGAGTGAAGGACATCATGGAGGAGTTCGGTGTTGGCATTAATGACTGAAAGAATGGCTAGGCTTCTGGTTGAGAATGAGTGACTCTGGAGATGAAATCACGCAATAGCTGAACGATGCTACGAAGGTACGAACACTGGCTAGATGAATGGAACGGTTCGTGTGAGCCCTGATCATTGACTCCATTTACCCGATCAGTGTCGGCAGGTTGCATTCAGTGATGTGATATGGTGGTTTTGTGGCTGTCCGTTAATTCTGCTGCTGTGGCCGCGGGCTCGCCATCCGGATACACGACATGAAATGAAAAATGTTCGCTTGCTGATTCTGCGCAGCATATGAGGTAGAATCTAAGAGACATCGCCGTCCAGCCAGTTCCGATTACAATGATTGCGGAAACGTGGCAGAGACGATCGATGTATTGTTTGCTGGCAGGAACCATGCCTTGGGTCATGCTAGCCGCATTATTAACCGTCGCATTCTTGACCCGGAAAAAAGATAAAATCAACCATCGTTCAAACACTCTCACGACTAGCAATCACCACACATCGAAGACATCTTTTACTCGCCGAAGAAGCAGACATTCCCAGCATTCGAACAAACATTCGTGTACCAAGAACCAGATGGAGCAAACAAAGCCAAAAGTCAACACGCCCGTCGTTGCCACATCACAGGGTGCAAGCGACTCTCCTTGCCACGCTGCAACCAATGACCCTGTCAGAAAGAGCAACGCAAGCGGTTATGAGGACATGAGGCAGTCCGCGCCTGCTGATCAAGAAGCCGAGAGACAGCATGAGGCTGTTGAAGCGTTGAACAATACAAGCTCACCACCCCGGTGGATCGTCAGTGGTCCTTCTCCACCACCCGCGGATGCTGAGCCAGCTCTCGAAAATGAGTATGGCGGCGAATCATCTGGCTCCACGCAGCTTAAGCCAAGAGCGTTTTCGAGCGACTCAGATGTCAGCTTTCTGATGCTGGCACCACATCCAGCTAACAACATGCCGACCGCCGCCTTTCCACAACCTCCCACTCGGTCAAATCTCCTGGCCCCACCGCCACCCGGAAACGTTCACGCGTCTGCTGCAAGCACAAGCACAGATGTGGACGGGCCTTCTGGAACGAACATACCTTACGGCCTGCGACCTACCGAGCACGATACGCCCCACGTACCACATCCGCTCGATGGCCCACGACACGAATCGCGATGCGGCATCGTTGACAACAGCGACTTTGCCGAACGTTGTTCAAAGTACGGGCAGTGGCTTATTGATCGTCCGGCCGATCCGCACACCGCCGCCAAGATTGGACACGGAGCTGGCGTGGCGTTCACATTCTTCGAAGCTGAGTTCCTAGACTTTCCGGGCGTGAAAGCCATCAAGATTGTCCATCCTCTTTGTGAGGTACAGCTGAGGAGTATTGATTGGGACACTTTACGAGCGGTTGCGTTCCATCTACGCCAGTACGTTGGCAAGCGAGCAGTGTCAACCTCGAAAAGGAATGCAGCCGTACAGAAAGCCGAGAGTTCAAGTGTAGCGATGGTGGAGCGGGAGATTGAAGCTAGAAGGTGGGAGAAGAAGAGAGCAGCGGATCACTCCAGCTCTGAAAGTCTCAGTACAATGAGTGGGACGCCTCGAGACGAGCGCCCACCTCAGGACCAACATACGCCCGCTCCACTGCAGCGCAAAGACTCACCGATCATGCATGCGTCCTCTATGCCTCGTGGAATCGCAACTCCCCCTAGCAGAATGAATAGACCCGAGTTCAACACTCGGCGCTGTCAACGTCTGACCAGGATTCTGGCTGAACCCGAGGCGGATGACGTCGCAAACACTCAGTCCCAGGACGAGCATAGCGAGAGCAGTCCTGTCTAAGCGTACCAGGGCGAAATTCCTACTTATACGCACGAGGCGCATGAATCGCCTTGATGAAAAGCCGGCCAGGATCCTGTAAACGAGCAGAATGTGGGAACGTTGAGATCTTCAAGGCAGCATCCGTGGGTTGAAAATCAGGCGGATGATATGCTTGGGTACAACTATGTCTGTATGAGGAGGTTCCGACCTGATTGATGGATGATGGCGTATCGCTAGAGAGACAATAGCGGTGCGAGCTAAGAGTACTTATGTTCATTCAACTGTTGAAATGCACTTGAGTCCAGTGACAGCGAAGTGCCTTGTTACTCCAAGTATATTTGTCGTGGGTTGTGCGAGTTTCGATACTGTTGCGCGTGACAGTATGTCGGAGGGCGCTTGAGAAAATAATCAAGCAAAAAGGACGCATATTGCAGGATATCGACATGATTGATTGTGTTTTGTATTATAATGCAGCATCATGCAGCATCGTACGCTAGGTACCCAAGAAGACCCGCTTTTCATACCCAGAGTTCTAARAGGGGAACTTGGAACCTTCACAACACAACACCACAAGCACAATGTCACCACCATTCTCACTAGACTTTGGTCTTCAAGGAAGCCACGTTCTCGTCACTGGAGGCTGTGGTCTGATAGGCAGAGTCGTCGTCCAAGCCTTCCTAGCCGCCGGCGCCAACGTCTCAATCATCGATCTCGCAGAATCCACAAGAGCTCTGGCCGATTCAGCAGAAGAAGCTGCACTACTCGGCAACGCAGTGATTTATACCGCGGACATTTCCCAACCCGATGAAGTCGACATTGCTTTTACACATATGGAAGGGAAATACGGGCCGGTGGAATGTTGCATTGCATTAGCTAGTATAGATCTCTCATCTCTACCCCAGACAGAGTCAATCTGCGATATGGATCCTGCAGTCTGGCAGAAAGTTTTTGATGTGAATATCAATGGCACGTTCTTGACTTGTCAGCGATGGCTGCGTGGAATTCGATCCGCATCGCAGGACCCAGAGAAAGCGTCAAAGCTGAGGAATGTCAATCTCGTCATTATGGGTAGCGATTCGGGCAGATTTGGAGTCCGCACGATGGCTGCGTACGCGGCAGGGAAAGCTGCTGTACAGTATGGTCTACTCCAGAGTCTGGCCAAGGATGTGCCCAAGGTGTATCTCAGAGGTCGAGTGAATGCTGTGGCACCGGGGGCTGTCGATACTGCCAGATTCAGAGATGAATGTGAGCGCTTCGGAAAGCAGTGGGCTTGGGAGGAGTACGAGGCGACGTGAGTGCATGGCCTCAAGTCAAAGTCTTGCATGTTTTGACTGACTGTGCGATAGTGTTGGTATGGCTAAGCCTCCAGCAACGGAGGATGTAGCGAGGACGTTCTTGTTCCTGGCTAGTGATGCCTTCAGTGGAAGCACACATGGCCAGATAATTCACGTTGATGGAGGGAAGATGGGAAGCGTGCAGTGGATGCCAAATGAGATCGATGGGCGGCGATGATCTTCGCTATGCCTTCCAGATTCATGTGTATAGAATCCTTCATCATGGAACTGGCCACTCAATCCAGGTCTTGCTCAGTCACGTTGTCGCCGCCTTCTTCGTCCGTATCTTGCAGACTTAATCTCGCCCTCACATCTTTAACCAAGCTTTTCGCATCCTCAACCTCCACGCCATCTTGGCAGAGCTCATTGGCAAGCTCCATGGTCCTTTGCCACTCTCCACACTGGTAACTCCACCTTGCAAGCCAGAGTCGCGCCCTTGATGTGATTTGAGTAACACCCAGACCCTCATCGCCTTCTTCTGGCCCTTCCTCTTGCGCGAGCGTGAGCTCCATGTATGCGGCAGCTTCATCCATCTGGTGAACTTTTTCATACAGAAGCGCGATGTCGTATAATATTTGCGGGTCTAGAGCACCRCCGACCGCTCCTGCAAGAGGATCCGATGCTCCGCTTCCAAAGCTAGCGCCCGCTTCGACCTGGCTGCCTACGATTAATGCTCTCTTGAAAGCTTGAAGAGCGTTTGTTGTCTTGCCGCACTTGCTGTATGCATTGCCGACGGCCGCCCACATTTTCGGATCTCCACCGCAAAGGGACGCAGCGCGTTGGTAGTAGAAAAGACTGTAGCTGTGACACTCGAGCATTTCGTAACCCTGACCCAAGCCGTACCAGGCGCGGTAATCCTTGCGGTTCGTATCGACAGCACGACGGTAAGACTCGATCGCGGCTTGGGTGTTCTTCAGCTCGATATACTCATGACCCATGAGAGTCCATGCCGCCTGGAAATTCCGATCTAATGAAAGGGCGCGTCGGAAATGGAGAACGGCTTTCTCGTGCTCGGATATAAGACTATAATAGTTGCCCAGGATGCAGTTCGTTTCTGGTCGGAATTTGTCGGTTTCACTCGCCAGGGCTGCCAGTGTAGCTAGCTTGGGCCGATTCGGAAGGACGTATAGCAGGTTGCTATAGATTTCCATCCCATCCAGGCGGTGAGGGTGACTCCTCAATAGACTATCGAAGAGCTCCATTGCAGCATCGTGGTCCCTTGCGTGGTAGAGGAGAAGTGCCTTTTGCTGCTGTAGAAATGCTGACCGAGGGAAGATGGCCTGCATGTGTGAAAGGGTGTTGTAGACTTCGGGCTCCTGTTGGAACAACTCTTGGCTGCAGTGAATGTGAAAGAAGAACGTGGTGACATTTCGCGGCAGGTATTGGCTGACTTGCTGTAGATCTTCAAGGCCGTCGATGAGCGAGGCCAATTCCAGCCATGCGGACCAATTGTAGGGATTGATGTTGACGCTACGCAGTAGCCACTGCTTCGCGAGCGGTTCCGATTTTGACTTGATCAATATGATTCCATATAGGTAGTCGAGCCATCCTTGGGAGTTGTTCGTGTTTTGTAGGCCACCACGAGCTTCAAAGTACTCCTCGAGAATGGCAGAAATTGTGGCCACCTCCTTGTTGGCACTTGAAGGTCCATCATGCGGCCCAAGTATCGCCTCAGATTCCTCGTTCTTCCGCTTCTCACCCGAGAGATATCTCGCGTAAAGCGCTAGGAAAAGTGATTTCTGACTGAGTTTCCGGGGGAGAGTTGGCGGCTGTGGTTTAGCTGCAGAAGGAGTTCGATGGTGCTTTGATTTTGGTACTACTTGTACCTTCGAAGGCGAAAGTGGTTTGGTCGCGGGAATGCTATGTGGAACTTGACCAGGTAAGAAGACGGCAGCACAACGATCGAACTCTCGGCAGTCGAAGAATGACTTGGCCATGAGGTAGCGAGGCAGCTCCTTGGCTTCCAATCTCGCCTCATTGCGGTCTTTGTTGGCAGGTGGTGGAGGGAGGTCATCATCTTCATCGATTTCCGTATCCGAGGTATCAGGATACGACTCGGGCTCGGCGAAGGAGTTGAGCAGCTCTGCAGACCTTGAGTCCTCGTGTCAGAGGAAGTTTCTCATGGTATAGGAAGCAGATGAGAGGGATACCACTTGGCGGCGAAGTAAAGACATCGTTCGTTGCAGGCAGTGATTGCCTGTTGCAGCTGACTTTGCAACTCGGCTTGCTGCTCGTCGGAAAATGCCATTTTGTCCGGAGTGCAATGGTTGTGATGATATTGTGTTCCAATGTTTGGTGTTGACATTTGAGCGGAAGCAGCCGCAAAACGCGTCGGATGGAGAAGTGCGCACGGGCCACAGCTATTTCGTGAGGTAGAACTAGAGAACAATTCAATCAGACCATTTCTGGAAGCAGACAATCCTCGAATCATATTTCGACCTTTGTTAGGTCTCCACAGTACAATCGCTCGCACATACACCGCTTGTTGACAGGCTTCGCCTTCCCACTGCTGCTTAGAACTCGAGTCACCTTGTTGCCGTTGCCAATCCCCAATCGCACCCCGCATACACATCCAATACCCCTCGTTCCACCGCCGAAATGCCCGCAACATTGAAGGAATTCGAGACGGTCTTCCCCAAGCTGGTGGAAGACTTGAAAGAGCATTGCCAACAGTACAAGCTACCACAGACAGCCCTGACCTGGTTCGAGGAGGTATAAATGCCACATCTTCATTGAATACCCTCAAGGACTTCATTGACTGATCATAGCCCATGTGATAGTCTCTCAACCACAACACACTCGGCGGAAAGTGCAATCGCGGACTCTCTGTTATTGATACAACGTCTCTCTTGCTCGGCCGTAAGCTCAGCGACGATGAGTTTTTCAAGACGGCCACGCTTGGCTGGCTCATTGAGCTGCTGCAAGCCTTTTTTCTGGTTAGCGACGACATCATGGATAGCAGCAAGACCCGCCGTGGCCAGCCATGTTGGTATCTGATGCCCAAGATCGGCATGATTGCCATCAACGATGCCTTCATGCTCGAGTCCTCAATCTACCTCCTACTGCGCAAGTACTTTCGTCAGGAGAAGTACTATCTGGACGTGATCGAGCTCTTCCACGATGTCACCTTTCAGACTGAACTCGGCCAGGCTTGCGATTTGATCACCGCACCAGAAGACCAGGTCGATCTCAGTAAATTCAGCCTGGAAAAGTATACCTTTATTGTCATCTACAAGACGGCGTACTACAGCTTCTACCTCCCCGTCGCACTTGCGCTCCACTTTGCCGGTATGGCAACCCCAAAGAACCTCAAGCAATCCGAGGACATTCTGGTTCCCATGGGCGAGTATTTCCAGGTTCAGGACGACTACCTGGACAACTTTGCCGACCCAACGACGTTGGGCAAGATCGGGACGGATATTCAGGACAACAAGTGCGGTTGGTTGATCAACCAGGCCCTGAAGATCGCCTCTCCCGAGCAGAGAAAGGTGCTGGACGATAACTACGGGCAGAAGGACAGCAAGGCGGAGGCGCAGGTGAAGAAGATCTTTGACGATTTGGAGCTGGAGAGAATCTTCCACGAGTATGAGGAGAAGCGAGTGGGCGAAATTCGGGAGAAGATTGCCAATGTCGATGAGAGCGAGGGCTTGAAGAAGGAGGTATTCGAGGAATTCCTCCGGAAGATCTACAAGCGAAGCAAATAGATCAGAGGGGTAAAACATAGACCAGTTGGCTAAATGCAAAATCAAAGCTTCAAGGAACGCATCACAGGTGGAAATGCTCACTCAAGTAAGATCGCAAAGTTTTCAACACGACCTTTTGCTAATATGCAGCAGTCACCAAATGGGCAAACAAATGTCTATCCCGGCAAAGGCAAGTTCTCTCAAACACCCTTTGTATTCACGCAACGATTGGCACTTCATTCGTACACCACTCCACATATCTCAAACATCCTCTGGTAACTCCTTCTTGGAGCCATCTTTTGATGCCTCGCGCGCGCAGTAGCATCATTTTCTCCAAGTTCCCATGTTTATGTCTCTGATCTGCCGCTTCATTTTATCAACGCTGCGCACCCCTTTCAAAGTTTCACAGCCAACCGCCTCCAATACCGGTCCCGTATGGCGTCTCATCGAATTCATCGCTATCGTAATCATCATCATCCTCCGAATCATAGTCTGAGTACTCCTGGTCAGAAGGCGGACGGAGGTTTTCCTCGCGCTTGTCGGCGTCTCTGTCTTGGCTGCTGTCGTTGCCGATACTCTTGCCCTCTTCTTTGCCCTCATTTTTGATGCCTTCCTTGCTATCCTTTCTCTCGATCTCCACAGCGTCTGACCTACTTGATATTCCGACCCAGTCGATCCTCCCTCTCCGTCATTCGGCAGCGCGCCACTCATCAAGTACGTCTCCGCATCCTCGTCTTCCTCCTGCAGAGGCAGCAGGTCGCGGGTCAGCGCCGCCAGCCGGGTGTCTTCATCCTGCGACTCCGAGTCCTCGAGGTTGAGCCACTCCATCAGGCWGGTTGTATCGTCGCTCTCGGTGTAGTCTTTGAAATCTGCATCTGGAAAGGCTTCCCTCAGCGTGGTGGTGTAGTTCCAAGCTTTCCTGTTGACTGACGAGGTGAGGACTGGAGTGACGGTTGTGGTTGGATGGGGCACTCCGGGAACCATTGGTGATGTTGAGTCGGATATTGGCAGCTTGGAGGTGGTGGTCTGCTGTGGTGTATGATCTTGCTGCGTGTCCTGGTAGGTACCAAGGAAGACTTCGTCGAAACTCAGCTCGAGGTCGTCCATATTGAGGTATGTGTGCAGGAGTTGAGGTATGAGAGGACTTGGATTGCGAGGGTGAGCGCTTTTGTTTGTTATTGGAAAGTATGAACTGATGGAGAATATTCAAATCACGCGCTYGTCGCGTCTTGTGAGAACAGACTGTGGGGGAAATGGTCCGTGACTGGTGAGCTTTGGAGTGAATGAATGACCCGACCCAACCCACCTTCGACCTCATCCGCTGACTTGTGCTCCAGATTGGCAAACGCGACTGCTCGTGTTGCGAACCTTCCCAAATGACTTGCTTGGGAAGTCGCCCCTGCCTTTGAGATCGTTGAATKAATGAAACTAACTTTGCAAACACCTGCAGTCCGCACGTTGGTGCCGTTCTCGCTGTCGGCTACCTTTTGGATGATTCCACACCGTCGACGAAACAGATCTGATCCACCATCAAGACTTGAGTCTTGTCCGTCTTACTTTCGCTCATCAAACATCTACGCAGGAAAAGTCTCAAGACTGTTTTCGATGGCATTCGATCCAGGCGCTCGTGGTGAGGTTGTCGTATCGTCTGTGGAAAATTCTGAACGACTTCACGAAGAAACACAACATCAGACTATGCTCGATCGAGTTTTAATTTTAACATCTAGAGACAAGCCAGATGTAGGCCATTATGTCCCTTGATACCCTTTGCGACCAAACTCGCCTAGAATGGAAGGAAATCCTCATCACTCATCTTCCTCGCAATGCCAGCGCAGGAACAATGGCATCCCGATTTCCACTGCCATGACGCCACAAAACAGAGTCGCCATTGTACTAGAGATCTCTGTGCTTAAAAGAACCACAAGCTCTATCCTAAGTTGGCCATATCCAGCCCAGTAATCAAAGAAGTCCGCCGAACTGGAGGCGATGCCCTTGAAAATCCGGAGCTGCGGCTCGTCTGGGCGCGCAATACACGTTGCGAGGTTCAACGAACGAGCTCTTTTCAGCATCAAAGGACAAAGAATTGATGGACACGGATGCAGAAGGCATGAGATCATCGCCCACGGGCATACGAGCAGAGTCAAACCTGCTTCAGTGTCATTGAAAGAAGCACATCCCGAATCCGCGTGGACTCACCATTGCAGCCGCCAATGAAGGAGTCCATTGCTTGCGTGCCCACTGCCAAGCTCGGCGACGAAGACAGGCCAGTGGCTGTGTTTAGGGTCACGGAAGGGTTGGATGGCGCCGCGACCAACACCAAAATCGTAATTGAGGCGTCAATGAATCTTCACGGTCAAGCTGTCGATCACATTTGTTGCTGATACAAACAAGATAGCTACTGCGCATACCAACGCGGCAGACGAAAAGCTGACATCCTGTTCGGCCATCTCACTCTCGCCATGCAAGCACCAGCAATGAATGCAGCGGTAATGTTGAACCAGGTCATGTCTCGACCAGGAAGCGCGATTCGAGTTCGCTGTACAGGCTTCACTGTGCTAGGACGACTGGAAGGACCGTCTGAAAGCAGGACTTGCATTGTGCAGTGCTCCTCTCCACACACATCGCCCAAATTCGCTGGCGGAAGAAAGACATCAACATCCTTCGATCGTCCTATCATCTTGCCATCTATTCCAATCGCTTCAACATATCCTCCTTGCACAAACTTTCCAGCATCAAGATGTGTCTCGAATCCGGTGTTCTCAGTCCTGCCAAGTACCACAGATGATGTCGCGTATACGACCCACTCCTTTACTTCCGTCGCCCCATTCCAACTTACCCAGAAATGAGTCGAGCTACTCGCATTCCGAGCATAAAGATACAAGGCAATAGCCTCGACCTGCGGCGATCCGGTCCACTCCGCTCTGCTCACGCGATAAACTCGCATAGTGGGATCCACGAACGCAACATCCAGAACCCGAGTGCCGTAGTTGTCGAACTCCGAGAACTCAGCTGTCAACCCCCAGCTCACAAAAGTGTGACCATTGGGGAGATTCTGCATGGAGCCCTGATTCTGAGCTAGTCCACCTTTCAATGGAAAGAAACGCTTCGACAAACGAGCCGTCATGAGCCGGAGATTCAGCTCGATGATGATGGTGGAAGAGACTCTGCTCGTCTGTGCCATACCATTATAGGCATTGTCGAAGAGGCTAATGAAAATCAGCTCAGAACTCTCCGAGACGATTCGGGCGTCATGCTGGGCGGAAAAGATGAAATCAATCATTTCGAACGACGAGTTGATTCCCCCAAGACGCCATACGATGGATCCATCTTTGCCAGAAATTCGATACACCGTGTTTGTGTGTCGTGCAGAGAGAAGCCAATCTCCATTCWCGAACCGATCGAGGGAGTTAATGTGGCTGCCCATAATCGTAAGTATACAGCTTTCTCCGACAGCAGGATTTGTCGAACTCACAAATAATCGTAAGCTGCACCATAGCTCATCCCAGCATATCGATTTGAGCTCGGTGGTAGCACACTCTCGTTGAGAGGGATATGCTCACTGGCCCTCCATTCAAACACCACGTCATCATCATCTTCGAGATTCGTAACATGAAACACAGAATCTAATAACCAGCCAACTCCGTCCTTGATATCGTGAACAGATAAGTCTGTCTGAATTGGCTGTAGCGATACTGTCACAGCAGTATGTCCATTATCCAGTAGTAAGAATTCGTGAAAATCGTAGGCCCATCTTGCGAATTCCGGGGACGAGATGGTCCGAATGAGTTGATAGGAAGAGTCGAATAAAGCGACTTGACCTTTTCCACGACCACGGCTAGAGATTCCTCGGAAAACACTCAGAATGGTACTTCCATTTGAGAACCCATGGGTCTGGAAGTTGAAATATCTGTTCGTTGGATCGGTATGTTGGTAGCCGGAGTAAACTAGTTCCTATCCATCAGGAATGTCAGTGGCGGAATAACAAGCAAGACGACGAGTGAAAAAGGCATACACCCTCGGTTGTGTAAATATATGGTCCATTCTGAAGCACCCCATCCGAATCATCAGACCATGTAGAAAGAAAAATGTAACCGGGCGAAGTGGCCGTGTCATTATAAACCCTGACATCGAGAGCCGGAGCGAAAATGTCAGGACGCTGTTGATAAATCACGTATCAGCGATGTATAGATTGTGTATGCTTGCTTTCTCAATTGTGTATACGACGTACCGATACGTAGGATAGATATGCTGGTTTCTGTGGGTGACATGATGTTCTTACGATGCACAGGCAAGCGAAAAGGGGTAGCGCCAAGAATAACATGGTCGAGGGGCTGGGCTGCTTGCTGCTGCATGGAAGGAGGACGGACGGGATTATTCGCGAATCCCGAGACGCAATACCTCGTGATGTTTATACTTATGTACAGTAAGCCTCACTCTTTTCTACCTTACGGAGTTACAGTACCTTAGGCGAGCACGCTAGAAGGTACGGTCTGAGTCAGGGCGTGTTTTATAGTATTCCCCGACTTTTACGCGGTGCTTGTGAACGAATTTGGAGGGGCTGTGTATAAGACAGACAAAAATCAAACATGCTTGCTTGAATTTCGCACGCCGAGTTTTCATAGACAGAGAAGCACAGTCCTGTGGTATCATGACAACGTTGCATATGAACTCTGATCTACTGAAACTGATAGGAAAATCCCCGGGCCAAGGAAAGCTTCTAGCTCTAGTCCGGCCCAATTCCTCCATGAAGCTAAGGCTGCCTTGATCGCAGAGCGAAGCATCGATCGCTCACCACGGGCCGATCTATGCGGAAGCTTCGCCGGTTCAGTTCTTCTGCGTGTAGATGTAGTCGGTAGTGAGGACATCCGCATCGTCACGCTTCTTCTGCGTGTAAATGTAGTCGGTGGTGAGAACGTCCGCATCATCACGCTTCTTCTGCGTGTAAATGTAGTCGGTGGTGAGAACGTCCGCATCGTCACGCTTCTTCTGCGTGTAGATATAGTCGGTGGTGAGAACGTCCGCATCATCACGCTTCTTCTGCGTGTAGATGTAGTCGGTGGTGAGAACGTCCGCATCATCACGCTTCTTCTGCGTGTAGATGTAGTCGGTGGTGAGAACATCCGCATCGTCKCGCTTCTGGGTGTAGATGTAGTCGGTAGTGAGGACCTCCGCATCGTCACGCTTCATCTGAGCGTCGGTGGGACCAGTGATTGCATCGGCATTTGGAGTTCTGACTTGCACGATGTTGGCATTCTTGCCGACTGGTGCAGCGAGAATGGTGCCAGACAGGCAGAGAAGGGTGGCACAGGTCTTGATCTGCATGGTTGCGGTGTCTTGCGAGTTGCTGTGGATATGCTCGGGATATTGGTGATCTGAATCGAACGTCTTGAGCAAGAAAGAGAGGTGTTTTATATTGCCAGGAAAAGCAGATGGAACACKCCGCACAAGCCTCTTATCATCAACAGACTAAAGGCACGGCGCCCCTTAGCTTGCGATTGAGGAATTTCTTACCTGCCCAACCACTGCTGAAACAAGTCCGCGCACTTCACTCCACATCGAGCTTGCTCATGCTCAAACGAGGGGAAGTCTGGACTCTGTAGCTCTGCCCACTATGCTCAAGACGCAGTCAGCTCCGGAGAGTTTCTTACGCACGTGGTCCTCAGCCACGCTTTGTTCGAAGTGAGCAAGGGAGTCATGGAGTGACATGCACGGATGTTTCGGGTGAGACACATGGATCGTTAGCGGGCTGTGTCCATGTGTCAGCTAGTGAGCAAAGCCAAGCCTCGTCTCGAAAGATGCAGGCCTCATTAGCCTATAAGCAGAAGTAGCCGGAGGTTTGAGACGTTCTCAGCAGGTTGTCGCATCGTCCGAATGTCATATTGCCGCAATTTCGCCATGTCGAGTTTTGGGTGTCGAAGGCCAGTGTCCTGTCGTCGAGATAGAATTTGCAGCCTGACGTCACTACAGAGGATAGCGAGGTCCCGGGTAAGCGAGTGAAGATCTTAAGGTAGACGTCTTTTACACGGGAATCGGGCGTTCAGTTCCTTCGCAACTTGCAAGTCGGCCGGCTTGGTAGATGTCCCATGTCTTCGTGTAGTCGAAGCGCCCGGCCGTCCGTCTATATACATAAAGAGCCCCTGCTCTCTGATTGCGAGGCTCAGAGCCGTCGCGAGAAAGATGCAGATGCCGAGAAGTAGCTGATATCTGCCTTGCCCTGCTCTTTGACTGTCAGACCGCCGAGACTGAGACTGCTGTATGTCTCCACGATTCAACTTGTGAGAGCAATGAAGTGTGGACGGATGGCAAGCTCGAAGAAAAGCCTCAGCGAGAAGCTTCGTTGTTATTCCGCCTTCTCCAGGTCCACCACCGACACACCTTGAGATTTTGCGACCTCGTGGAAAACTTGGCGGACCTTGTCGTTGTATGCCTGCATGCCATCGACCTTCGCTTTGATGAACTCCGAGACGTTCTCGCCCCAGAGCTGTGCTAACGGCCATGCATCGGTTTCAAAATGCCAATCCTCAAATTATCTGGGGTCGAAGGTTTCGATTGAATATTGAAGGGTAGGCATTGATGCTGTCCAGCGCAAGTACATACCAATACCTCCCAGAAGTCCAGTCTTCCCGCAGACGCTGACTGAAAGCGTCGCTCTGCTGCTTTTCTTTCTCTTGATCGGCAACCGCCTCTACAAAAGCATCGTAACGAAGCTTGAACGGTTCCTCATTTTGGCCATACAGCTGATCTACGCCGCGGCCAGTAAGCCAAGCTGGGACATGAACAAGCTCAATCGGGGCGGAGTAGGCAAATTCAAGATCAATAATAAGCCGAGTGATGTTCCAATCTTTGTCCACGAAAATGTTGCTCTGGTGCATATCAGTGAAGTTCATGACAAAGTGTCCACGATTCAAGCGTGCGTTGAAGAGCCGAGGGAATATTGCCCGTAGTCCCACCAGGGCAGAGAGTTGAGATACGCCGTCGTCCCTGTCCAGGATCGAGTTTGGTTGATGTTCCATGCGAACATCTTGGTAAGCCAAAAGGTCAGGGAGAAACGAGTCCGCTGACGAATACGTCATGCCCTAGACCAAGTGTCAGAGATTGTAGACATGGTCGGACTTCTGGTCGAGGATTATGCAACTCACCCTGGGTAGGTGTAATGGAATGTTATGTCGATTCCAGAATGCCGTGAGATCATGAAACGGACGATTGGTGAGRGTAATGTTTCCATCATCGTTCATCGTCCACGAGCCAATTCGTGGCTGTTTAATCCCACCGAGGTCCAGCATGATTTTGGCAATGCTGGAGTAAAGGTTTTTGTTCTTTTCCGATTCTTCGCAATGGTCATTCCAGCTGGACGAAAGCATAACACCATCTTCAACATATTCGATAAGTAGATAGCCAAGATGTTGCAAAGTAGCGCGATTGTGCCCAACGAACCTAGGAAGAGTGCTCCCTTGGAACCATGCTATAGCTCGATGTACATGCCAGATTGTCCAATTCAGCCACGACTCATTCTCGACGCTCGAAAACTGAGTTGATGTCAAAAGCGAGCAAAGACACAGTAGGTGAGATGAAGTATACCGTTTTGGATCCAGGGAATCAATCCCATGCCGAGCAGTCGAGGAATTGGAATAGTGGGACATTCCCTTTCCAGCCAGACGTAAGTAGCAGCCTCGCAGCGAACCTTCTCATCAACGGCACCCCGAACATAGGATTCACCTATCTATCGCGTGCGGCATCGCAAAACGGATGAGGGCCTTCCGAGGCAGCCTGGTCGAGAGTGTATCGTGAATGTCAATTGGCAAACATATGTTGAAGCCGCCATTGATCGATCCATTGCGAAGGGTGAGCCAACACAAACTTTGTCAGTGGAATGTTCAGGTGACGGGAGATGATAGATTCAATGTCCGACCGACGCGCCTCGAGCTTGTCGCGACGGAAGCTAATAAATAGTATCTCGGAGGGCCGTGAGGGTGGGCAAGATATCAGTGTCGGTATCTAGAGCGGCCTCACCTCAAGGGTAAGAGGGCCGCTTGAAGACGCGATGGCCATGTCGCGGCGGCAGGACGACCGGAAGATGGGAAGGAACTACTATCTATGAGCCCGTGGATAAGAAGTATCTACGCGTCGACAATAACGTGTCAATAAGTCGAGGTAACGGACGGACGAGTTGGAGGTGACATATCCAGATCGGGACGGCGCTAGACCCGATCGGCTCTCCCAGGGGGGTAAGGTGCACGCTGTATCTCCGAGCGTACGCTTGCTTCTTTTGCTTTCCTACCTGCAAGATCGACATCCGGACGAGTGTGATTCGGCGACTTGACCAGAAGGAGGCCATCCGTTGCCGTTGCATTCGTGAGGAGATGGAGGATGATGAGGACAATGGAACCTCTCGTCTTGTATTCTCGGATTCGGAATGCCCCATTCATTGACCGAACAGCCAAACCAAGAGGCAAGAGCCCAACAAGGCGGAGATATGTATGCATGCTGTGCTGTGTAGGAACAAGAACGAGAAACGTGCCAGACCTAACATGAGTGGAAAATGTTGACTGCCTTATCTATGTAGGTTGCCGTTGAACTAATCAGAGATGTTCGGACCAAGGGACGCACTGTGAGACTTTGGTTAGGTTCTATCGGGGCAGCCATGACGGCTTCGTATTGTGATGGAGTCGTCACGATGTAATGGGGTATGTATGTTGCTTTCCCAAATTACAAGATACCACCGACCACGCCAAACCTTGCTTGCGCGAGTCAGGTCAGACCATGTCGGCCAGCCAAGTTTCACCGTAAGGTACATGTGAGATTGCTCACACAATTACTATTCTCGACTTGCATCATTACGGCTCGCCGTCAAGTCGCCAGATTCGTTCGGCCTTGCAGCTATGCTGACTTTCGGCTTATTGCTTCTTTCTGGGGCTTCGAGCCTTGTGTATGCTCAATTTCTTCATCCAGAAGGTATAACCATCGTAAAAGGCGCCGAGCCTGGAGTTTCGATATCCTACAAAGAGACCGGCATTTGCGAGACGACACCAGGAGTCAAGAACTATGCCGGTTACGTGCATCTTCCAGCGGGCATCTCTTATGACAGAGGAGAGCCGACCGACTACCCGATAAACACGTTCTTCTGGTGAGCCGCCCTGAAATCGAACTCAAGATGGGGGAATACACTGACCGAGTATGCTTCAACGTGCAGGTTCTTTGAAAGTCGAACGTGAGTTGAAGATCCGCGAACATCATGGGCAAAGCGACAAAAGGCTGACTTTTGCTCAGAGATCCCGCCAATGCTCCGACAAGCGTCTGGTTGAATGGCGGTCCAGGAAGCTCTTCAATGCTGGGACTTCTGGCAGAGAATGGACCGTGTCAGGCAAGTAGCTTACAATAATGTGTACCTGTACCAAGTGACACGGGTTAAAGAGTGCTACAGGTTAATTCGGACTCCAATTCAACCAGGCTTAACGAATGGTCCTGGAATAATGAGGCCAACGTCATGTGGATCGATCAGCCGGTTCAAGTAGGATGGCCTCGCCAAAGATCATGGGCTATGCGTTGACACTGGGACAGGTTGGATTTTCCTACGACGTTCTCACGAACATCACCAAGAACCTCTTGAATGGACATGTCACTGTGCTCAACGCTACAGATCCTATTCCAGAGCAGAACTCAACCTTCCTAGTTGGTACTTATGGGTCACAGGACGTCAATCATACTTCGCACGGCTCAGTCAACGGTGCTGCCGCCCTATGGCACTTTGCACAGGTAATCGCGACATGCCAGTTTTGTGAACGTCCTACTGACTCCGCCTGATAGTCATGGTTCCAGGAGTTCCCAGAATACAAGCCCAATAACAACCGCATCAGTCTCACGACCGAGTCGTACGGTGGCAGATATGGACCTGCCATATTCGTGTACTTTCAGGAACAGAACGAACTCATCCAGAATGGAACACTTTCTGACCAGGACTACTCGGTCATTGAGTTGGACACCTTGATGTTCGTCAACTCTTGCATCGATCGTCTGGTACAATGGCCATCTTACGTTCAAATCGTGCGCAACAACACCTACGGTCTCGAGCTTGTCAATGCTACCGTCCAGGAGCAAATGCGTGATGCGCTCTACCGCAAAGGCGGATGCCAAGATCAGATCTACGCTTGTCGTAACGCTTCTATCGCTTTCGATCCCGAGAACACTGGAATCAACAGCACAGTCAACCAATTATGCCGCAAGGCCGAGTCTTTCTGTAGTCAGAACATTAAAGATCCTTATCAAGAGTAAGAAAAGCTTACCTGCAAACTTTGTCCGAACAACATCTGACGAATACTAGCTACTCTGGCCGGAACTATTACGACTATGGTTCCATCGACCCATACAACTTCCCCTATCCCTTCTACCAGGGGTACTTACAGCAGCCACATGTTCAAGCCGCTCTCGGGGTACCTCTCAATTTTTCGCAATCCTCTGCTGCATCAGGCTCAGCAGTCAGAAGTATAGGGGACTACGTACGTCCGGGCTGGTTGGAGGACTTGGCCTACCTGCTCGAAAATGGCGTCAAGGTTGCGTTGATGTATGGTGACAGAGACTTTGCTTGCGTAGGTCACACTGATTGACTGACTGTTGAGACTGAACTTACGCTAATGTAATGCCCCAGAACTGGATTGGAGGTGAGGCTATTTCCCTCGCAGTCAACTACACCGAAGCATCCAAGTTTCATGCCGCGGGATACACTGCGATTCAGACCAACGACAGCTTCTCTGGAGGCCAGGTCAGACAGTATGGCAACCTCAGTTTCAGCAGAGTCTACCAATCGGGTCACGAGGTGCCAGCCTATTCTCCCGAAACTTCATACCGCATCTTCATGAGGACATTGAGCAATGTGGACACTGCAACAGGCAAAATTCCAGTCACCAGTGAAGATGGCTCTGTTTACAGTTCAGAAGGCCCTGCAGATACTTGGGCTATTGAGAATGATCCTCCGGAACAGAGACTCCAGTGGTGCTATCTTTTCGATCTGGATACCTGCACCGAAGAGCAGATTGCGAGAATTGAGAATGGGACTGCGGTTTTGCAGAATTATATCTATGTGAGTAAAAGTTTGACGTTGTTGACATTTCACCATTCCTGACTGTGGTTCAGGTTGATGCCAATAGCACGAAGTTGTTTCCGGAGACTCTTGGAGGTAATGGCACWCCAGGGGATGTGTAGTATCCACCACTTGCATATTCTGGAGAAACATCAGCGTCGAGACTGGTGGCATCCGGCTCGAATATGGTTTCTGTTGCCGTAAGCCTTGCATAGACGCTCTTACAGCCGGAAGACAAAGGTTTTGGCACATCCTTTGGCACGAAACTGCGAGTGTGAACCCTGCGACCTCATCTGCTGAATGCTGGCAAGAAGAAGATGGATCGATGGAATATTTGGTACGTAACAATGAGCCATGTCACCACATACAACTCGACTTATTCGCAATCGTGGCTCTGTCGAAAGATTTTATCACAAACCATTCGAGCCAAGCTCTCGCGCACGCTGGCTTTTTATGTTGTCAGCCTCCGCATGCTAGAAACACGTCTGACTTGCCGAAAAGGGGTCTGGTCGCTTAAATCGCTATGTAACGCTGCAGCACTTGGAGATCCTCGATCAACGTCTATCGACCTTCCCGGTAACATGGACATCAGCGACATCGTCCTCACTGATCCTATCAAGTGCTCTCGTCCGCGCGTCCTCAACCTCCGAAGCAGATCTGGTTTCAAACAAGCTTTCAATCTCCTCCAGAGAGCGTCCCTTTGTCTCTTTGAGGAAGAAATAGACAAGGCCGGCCATGATGACATCGAGAGCGGCATAGAAGAGGAAAACATAGCTTCCCCATGCTGCGATCATGTATGGCGTTACCAAAGAGAACAAAAAGTTGAAGAGCCACTGTGTGCTGACACCGACCGATGTGCCGACTTCACGGATTCGAGAGGGAAAGATCTGGAATGTTGGTTAGTTGCAGCCTCGAGTGAAAGGTCATTGATGATGCATGCTTACTTCCGAAGCATAGGGCCACGGAACCGGACCCCAGCTGAACTGGTAGATTGAGTTGGTAAGGAAGATCATGGCGACAGTAGCGATCCCAGCTGGGGAGGCACTGTTGGCGATGGGTACTGGCGTGGTATTGTTGATCACCGTGACGATGAGGAAGCAGACCGACATCAATAGCGCCGCAACCCAAAGCGTGGGCCGACGATTCCACATCTCGCTAAAGAAGAGGATATAGGTTCCAACCATGATGAACTTCTCGGCACCAAATAGACCTGTAATGAGGAGCAGGTTCGACGAAGAAGATCCAACGAGCAGCTTGAAGAACTGGGGCCCGAAGTAGGCGAGTGCCGTCATTCCGGTACACTGTTGGCCAAGGAAGACTCCAACGGCAAGAGATAGGCGGTACCGATTTGCGGGCTCGAGAAGCTCTCGGTGGCTGAATCCCTCGCGAGCACGGGATTCCTCCACCAATGAAGTCTTGATTTCGTTGAACTCGGCCATGACCTCCGGGCTGTCGTCAGCACGCATCCATTTCAGGTTGGCGAGTGCCTCGTCATAGCGACCCTTCTTTGCCAACCATCGAATGCTCTCCTTTTGGAAGAAAAGTCCGAAGCCAAGGATGAATGCGGGAACGATTTGCAGACCGACAGGTATCTGCCACTGTGCGGAAGAAACGGGGAGACTCTTCACCGTAGCGTAGTCCACCTGGGGAGAATTAGCGATGCCTGGTCCTGAAGTTGTCTTACAAGAGCCTCTGCTCTTCACTGTCTTACCCAGTAGGAGATCATCACACCAAGCGCAAACAGCCATTGCATTCCGCTCCCGAGTTTGCCTCGAATCTCCTTTGGCGCCTGCTCTGCGTTGTAGGAGGGAGCAACCGCAGTAGCTCCACCAAGCCCAAGTCCTGCAACAAACCGACCGATGTAGAAGCAAACCAAAGAGTGCGAGGGGATGACTTGCAGAATCACGCCAAGGATGAAGACGATACAAGCAACTGCAAGCCGTTAGCYCGAGTCAAGTCCAGGGCAAACTTGTGCCAAGTTCCAACCTTGAATGGTCTTCTTCCTTCCAAATCGTTCACTGATTGGGAAGATGCCAAGAGCGGCCAGGAAAGCACCAACATTCTGGAGAGAGACCATGACGGCAGCAACTGTCGTGTTGTCTGTGTAACCAAAGTCACGCTTGTAACTCTCCATCGTTAAAACGCCGCCAACGATTCCGGTATCATATCCGAACAGAAATCCGGACAGACAGATGAAGAACCCAAAGGAGTAGCTGCAAGCCATTAGCTCGAGTCGAGTCAAGTCAAAGACAAACATGTGCCAAGTTCCAACTTACGCGCGGAACGCACCCAGCCTGGTACCTCGGAGCTTCGCCATGTTGTCAGATGTAGCGAACGAGGTACCGGAGTCTTGCAGATGATGAGTGAACCAAATGGACCAGATGTTTACTCAGCCGGACTTGGCATGTGGTTGATGGAGAGTTTGGATTGCGTTCAGGAAGCTTTTCTTGTCAGAAAGTCTGATGTGGAAAGAGAGGTGGTGACACCGTGGTGGTACCAAGATTAGGCTGTTCCTRCCCTTGATGAACGCACATGGCACGCCATCGGTCACGCCATATGAGCCCTGCTTGGCAACACTTTTGGAAAGTCCCAATCGGGAAGGAAGGTGGAGGATGACATATACCCACAACACGCTGCGTTGAAATTTACATTCCTTGGTCGGACGAGCAACATCTCCAATCGATGTTTCGAATAAGTTGACTCAACACGCTGTACTGCGATAACCAAGCGGAGAAAGAAAAGCTTGATGCCACAGGCCGGTTGGCTTGGCATGGCCCGGTTGTGCCATGTGCAAATGTCAACCATTTCTTGATTCGACCAATTACATTCRATACAAGAGAAGAGGGTAGCTAAGTCCAGATGATGAGTTTGCTTAAAATCAATAAGTTTCATGGTGGAGCTAGGGTACTAATTATTGGATTACACGGTTTCCGCCCAGCGCAGTATTTTCTAGCAATTCTTCGGGCTCTCTGTCGCAATGAGGCAATGATCCCAAGCTGATGCAGTTGCTTGCGATTCGGGGAGATCGAATTACGACCAAGTCTTCTCCACTTGACGTGGAGGGCTTCTGACGATCGAAAGACCACTCTCCCGTAAGATGTCTCAGTTGGGCTCGGCCTTGCTTGCCGCAACCAGATCGTCCATGGCGAATAACAGAGTACGAGCGCTTTTATCCCTTAACTTCCCGGTCCGTTTCATAGAGGTCGCGTAGTCTACACTAAACGCTGCTGGTAAGTTTACCCAAGTTGGTTTGGTCAACTTTTGCCGCTGGTTCATCTCGACTTTCAAGACGTCGTTTGCTCGATCTTCTTCGGAGTAGGCGGTCTTGTCCTCCTGGTAGTTCACAATCTTCTTGAGCTCTTTAACATCGTCTGCAGTCTTTTTTGTGACGCCATTTTTGTCGAAACCGTAGAATGGAGCGACGATCATCTTGCGGTTAAACTTCCAAAGTACGACTACATTACGGTATTTGGAGTAGACGGCGCCGGCAAATGTCAGTTTGCAGTATCCGCCAGCTTTCTCTGCTGCTTCAGCTGAATCTAGTCTCTCGTCCAGGTTCGGCCTGCGATTTATTCGTCAGTATTGGACCATCACAGGCTAGGCTGTCTTACATGTGGTATGGAACACTCCAGACATCTCCTCTGGCAAAGTCACGTTTCTGCCATCTTGCTTCCGTAAACCAAGCCTCTTTGCCGCCAGTTCCTCCTCCGGCTCCTCCTCCGGCTCCTCCTCCGGCTCCACCTCCGCCTCTGCCGCCTCCTCCGCCGCCTCTGCCCCCTCTGCCGCCTCCCCCTCTGTCGCCTCCCCCTCTGTCGCCTCCCCCTCTGCCGCCTCGCCCTCTGTCGCCTCGCCCTCTGCCGCCTCGCCCTCTGTCGCCTCGCCCTTTGCCTCCTCTATTTCCGCCTCTCGGTCTGTTGTTACCTCGTTGTACCCCTTGAAAACCATTTTCACCATCGGGATCGGCATCGACTGCTTCTCCACCGATCCCGGTATCATCAAATCCTAGACTACTTATGTTCAATATGCCTCCTTCCTTACTACTGGACCCTTCCCCTGCATCTCCAACATTACTGGGCTCTCCGCCCGCATCTCCAGTAGCGACCCTTTCAATCAATGCAATTTTTTTTTTCGATATGGCACTGTTTAATGCGCGTTTGTGGGCTGGTTTACTCGGGGCCTTGATATGTGTATTCGCCTTCGCTTCCACGCCTCCCCTGGCTCCCGAATGGGCGGTCTTGTGCCCTGGCTTCTTGCATTCTTCTCCTTGTCCAACTGCGCTGATTTGGTATATGTTACAATTTCGAGGGCTTCCCCGGTGGTTGAGTCGAATGGGAGCCAACATAGCTCCTTGCGATAACGTCTAGGGTGATTGTGGAGTGATGATACCTCGAGATTGCCGTGGTCGCGCTTGTGCGGTCTCCTTGTAATAATCACAATGCAATACGCATAACAAAGACTTTCGAGGTCGCCCTTGAGATGCTCGCCGCATCCGGCTCCAAGCAAAGGCGTGAAAGAAGCACGCTCCAACGACAGCACATCAACAAAGAAATGCTGTATATTTTGAAGATCCCGTGCTGTCGTGTTTGTCCACGATGTAGTTGAAAGAAAACCATGCAAGCGGTGACGTCGAATGGAATCAGCGACTGCATCGCATCGGGATTCCAAAATTGCACAATAATCCCCAATACATGCGAGTTCGACGGTATTTCTCTACTCAGGACTCTTTGGCCACACTTTGAGCTTTGATCTGTACATCAACTCCGACGTCCACCTCCCCAGGGCAGCTGAAAGGTGAAAGGTGGTGACAATGCGATTCCGCGTAGCTGCTACAATGTGATCGTCAAGCCGACGTTCCCACCTTCTGAATCTTGTATGGAGACTCCGTTGGCTCTTTCCCGTCTCCTGTGGAACCGAGGTCTGCCTCGATTGCTAGAACAAGGTGATTGACGAGGTTGTTTCCTTTGTTCGGCGCAGTGGAAAAGTTGTCTTTGCAGCTGACGATAGAGTACTATCTCATTCATTCACCTCGGATGTACCAGCGCCAGTAGGACGGCACGGGGGATCCTGCTACCACCATGGAAGCTACATCCATGGATTTCAGTGGGCCCAGCTCTTGAGCAGGTTTCTCTGCGCTCCGGATGAGTGTGAGTTGAGATGCATGTGCGCACGTGGAGATCGAGTAAAAATCTCGATGCGAGATTTCGGTTCGCACAACATGCTATCAAGACAGCCGCAGTGATAATATAGCTGCGCTGAAGAAGATGATCTAAGTCCTCTTCGAACTCTGGTGTTGTTTGTGGGTGAATAAGGTGAAGAGGAAGAGGTCTTTAAATTGAAGCGACTTGATTCGACGCGACGGCAGCTCCCGTGGCGTGGAGACGACGGACCTCACTGCTTGCGACTCCCAGCGCACCTCTACCCATATCACCAACGACACCATGCTGCAACGAAGTGCCTGCAGGATCGTGCCTGCCATCACCCGCAGAGCTCTCCCTTCCGTCTCTGCCAAATACTCGACTCAGACCGACAACCCAGTCCCTGCCAACAACCCGAACCCCAAGGAGCGGAGATCGCCCGTCTCCAACACCAATGCCCTTCCCACACATGCATTCGGCCAACAGGRCAAGGCACTGGTAGAAGACCCAGTCGCCGGGGAGGAGAAGCGGGTCGCGCAATCGCCCAACCGCGAGACGACTTGGAGCAGAAGCCAGCAGCCACGCGCAAAGGCCATGGTCGGCCCACGTTTTGAGCAGACGATCATGGAGGATCAGGTATGGATATCGTGGCATTGGATATGAAGAAGGAGGCGATGAGAGACACCGATCAGGGACCGTCAATGGCTAACATATCGCTTTCCAGCCCCGGCCATACGCAGCCATTGATCTGATCCACCAGCAGCCCGTCACCTGGACCAAGAAGAAGGTCGTGTCCTGTGACGGCGGTGGTGGACCATTGGGACACCCCAGAATCTTCATCAACACAGACAAGCCACAGATTTGCTGGTGCACGTACTGCGGTCTGCCATTTGTATGCCACGCCTCGTTACGACCGGGTCGTGAACACGCTGCTAACAAGAGATGACAGGCACACGAGCACCACCGCAAGCATCTTGAAAGCCTGCCCTCGACCTCATACCCGCTTGCTCCAACTGGAAGCGCAGCAGAGATTCCCGCAGCACATTTGAATGCAGGCGGCGCGGAGACGGGGGCCACTACGCCTTTACAGACGGCAAGCGGCGCGCCCTATGAGCAGAGATGAGAAATGTCAGTAGCAATAGCAGTTGTAAGGTATTGTACATTCAATCTCACCCGTTGGTGTTCCTTCCAAAGTTGTGCATTCCGTGCGTAGGAGGGCATGATCTCCAGCGAAAGGTAAGCGTAGGTAGGTGCGGTCACTGCGAAGCCACGTTGGTGGTCTTTCCCGTGAAGTACCTTAGCCGTCACCTCCTGCTCTGCTACGTCTAGTCGCTAGGTCTTTCCCATATGTACCTTACTTCCTTCCACACCAGCACTGCTGTCTGTCAAAACAAACCCGCGAGTCGGAGCACTGAAACGCTAACCACTGAACACACGAATATAGGTACTCTCGCCGCCATCGATCAAGAATAATTATTCGCAACGACATAACTTGAACATGTCGATCCTGGCCTTACCCCCGGTCCCGCTCGCCATGGTCGCTGAAAACCTTCCCAGCAGCGACCTAATCCACATCAGGCGAGCACACCGCATCTTCCGTGATGTCACGCAACGACGGTYCGGCAGAACGTATTTTGCCAATCTCAGTCACATCTTCACAGAGCAAAGTCTGAGGGTACTTCTCGGCATTGCTCGCATCCCAGAATTCCGGAAACAAGTAGAAGTTGTGTGAGTGACCTACTGCACAAGGACCGCTGAACCGGGAGCTAATCTTCACAGATCTTTCACGGCAGTGATGGTAGAAGAAGAAAAATTTGACTCCATGCCACCTGGCTGGAAGACGATGGTGCAACTCGGGTGGCCTCTACAATGCCCGGAGTTGGGAGGTGTTGGCCAGATACGCAGCTCAGAGATCCAATCTCGCCTTCTGAGGGATGCGCTGCGGTGCTTCGCAGCGAATAGTGAACCACCACAAATCTTGTACCAGAGCCAAGACGATATGCCGTACGCCACGGGTCTGAACCGCTTGCGCCGGGATCTCAATATCGCCCCCTCGGACCTAAAGCCAACTGGCGGAGATTCGCCACCCACAACATTGATGAACGGCATATTCACAGCTGGCTACCCGCTTGAATCTTTGGAATTCGATTTAGCTTCAAACTTCTATTCGCTCTCCTGTCGAGTCTTCGATGGATACCATCACAACAGAGCAAGAGCAGCGGGATGCTGGCACAGCTTGACCAGCCTTTCTCTTGCCTTGGTACCGCCTTCAGATGAATGGGCATTCAACAGCACTGTGGCGATTCGGGGTGTTCTAGCGGATGTCCACAATTTGACAGACTTGACTCTACAATCCAACGAGGCAGACGACCTCTCGGTTCCCATGACGGAGACACCGGAGAACTTTATGTCAGTGATTGTGGCATCGGTCGCATCCAGACGGCTTGATACCGTCTCCCTGACTGGATTTTGGACTAAATTAGCGGATCTCCGGACGTTTGTCGAATCTCATCGGCATACGTTACGAGACCTCAAACTGTTCCTGTTGAGCCTGTCGGAGAACGAGTCTTGGAAGACATTTCTTACCTTGCTTGCGGAGCGTGCACATTTGGAGAATCTGGACTTCAACGATCTGTTAAAAGGCGATGATCCCGCTTATCACGACCAGGAGTTCATTCACCGCGGCTCCGCCTCCGACAATTACAACCATGGGCAGTGGGTCCGTCTGATCGGAAGGGAACTGGTTCGGTCTCGGCTGCGAGTAATAGTTCGGGAGGGAGAGTACATAAAGGTGTAAACTAGGAGGTACACTATAGAACAGTAGGGAATATGAGCCCGCCGAGTCGATTGAAACTTCGGCGCAGGCCTCTCCACCTCCCTACATCGAACTTCCCCCAAGACACCCAAATCCCATCTATCGTGATGTAGAGGTGTGGACCCAGCCTGCTGTTGTGCAATCCCCGAACCGCTTCAGAAACTCCATGATAACTGGTGTCCTTTATGCTTTGGCACTGGCATATGTATTCGGACCGGTTTGAGTATGGAGTTAACCCGAGTGAGGAGCGTAAGGTACTTAGGAATTGATGGAAGAGCTGAGAGAATCGAGCCCCTTCGCTACTTCTGCTGAAAGTTTGGCGCTCGAGGTGCATCTTGATAGAAGGAGCCGGAGCCGGAGCGTGAGTGGACCACCTCACATCATATCCAAGTCGGACGTCTCGAGTAGCTGGGAGCTGGATATGCGCGGGACTGCTCGAGCATCTCGAGCTATGATCGCTGCCTGTCAGTGAATGAAAGGCTGGTGAAAATGGGATTCACGTACGAGTTGTAATCAATCTCCCCATTTACGTCAACCTCGAGGCGCATCACATGCCCGCCCACCCACGTCTGTCTTGATTCTTGAATGCTCACCACGACTTCAACCCGAATCAACATGTGCATGTGGCCATTTGCAGACGTCTGGCTAGAGCCACCTCCATCTCCCCAATATTCGCGCTCGCCGCCGCCGGTGGCCCGAAGATATCGTCGCAAAGAGAGGGTGAAAGAGGTGAGGACGCAGCAGCGGCACCGGCACCATCAACACGAACGCGAGCACAGAGTGGTGCGCCACGAGCGACAGGAGCCGATTCCCGAATCTGTAAGTCTGCATTGTAATCTTTGTTTCACCTGCTGCTGCCTTGCAGTTATGCGTCACTTCACTTCACTTTCCCACAGCAGCCAAGCTTTTGACGTTCTTCTTCCGCCCACCTACCTCCATCTTCAACACACACTCCTTCATCCTCCACCTCCACCACTCCCCTTCAACTCCAACACCCTCCACCACCTCTCACAAACACACAATGCCTTCCACCACTGCCTCCGACGACTACGAGCACTGGCCCGACGACAGCAAGTACTGGTCCAAGGACGCCGGCGCGGCGCCAGGCTACGACGACAACAACGGACTTCAGTCTCACTCGTACCTCGCTGCCAAGTCTCCACCTCCCGCCAAATCTCCTTCTCCCGCCGCGGAGGAGGAGAAGAGTGAGGCTGCTGATGACGCCGCCGCTGCTCCGACCTTCTTCGCTCCTCAGCCGCTGTACATCCCACAGCCATCGAGCCTCGCTCACCCAACCCCACAGTTCTACTCTCACCCACAGCCAATGTACGGCGCCTTCCCACCTCAGGGATACTACACCTACGCCTCGCCCGTCCCACCCGTCGTCGTCGCGGCTTCCAAGCCCAAGACTCCCAAGCCAGCCGCTGCAGTCATCACTGCTCCGGCTCCCGCCAACTACCACGTCTACACGCCAGCATTCCATGGGGCTCCCGCCGTCGAAGTCGAGGAGCCCAAGCAGCCACAGCCCAATGTCTGGCAGGGACGTACCAAGGCTCAAGTCCAGGAAGACAACATGAAGTACGCGAAGACCGAAGGTGCCTGGGACCCACGCAAGGTCGCTCCTGTCGGTCTCGCCGATGAGCAAATGTGCTGGGTCATTGAGCTCGACGGTTCTCACACTCTGCGGTGAGCGCTCCTTCCACCATTTCTACTTTCTGACTTACTGACGATATTCTCAGCTCCTTCATCACCATCAAGGAGTTCAGCGGCGAGTGGAAGCTGGATCCTCGCTTCGAGGGCTCGTACTACTTCGTCCGCGAGGAGGAAGAGAAGAAGGAAGGCAAATGATGCGGTCTGAATTCTAACCATCGAGCATGGCGAACGAGATTAATTTGTGTGCTGCAAAGAGGCAAGCGATGGAGGTCTACATCTCTGGAGTGCTGCCTCGAGACCTGATTTACTTGATTTCTTGATGATGATGAAGGAGTTTGGATGCTGCTCAAGGAGGAGTAAGCCATCATCAATCAAGCGAGTGAATGGCAGAGGCTTTTAGCCTCACAGAACGCGACACGACAAAGCAAAGGAGCAAATGAAAATTGTTTTTGAGAAATCGATGTCAACGTGAATGTCGCGTCTTCGGGTGAGGTCGCTCTTTTCCCGGTGACCCAAACATCCGATATGAGACCATACCCCCGGAGGCATATACGTCACTTAATAACAAGAGCGCAACATCGAAGCATTGACTCTCAAAAAGATATTCTTCGACCTGGTAATGCCCAACGATAACAACCTCCGCAACACACTCCTCTTCCTCTCCATTTTCATCCTCGCCTTCTTCCCCTCAGCCTTCCAACTCCTCCTCAAACCTCTCATCTACCCACTCGAACTCCTCGGAGCGGAATTCTCCCCCAAGAAATTCGAACTTCCAATTTGCAATTGTTGTCCACGAGACGATTGTCCTACTTCCACATCATCCCTCCCCACATCAACCACCATGTCCTCCTCCTGGACGCAAAAGACATTTACCCTTCCGGCGAAATCTCGAGGTTCATATCTCATCACAGATGAAGTGATCAAAGCCGTGCCTGAGATCAAGAACTACAAAGTCGGCATCTTGCATCTTTTCATCCAACATACGTCTTGCGCGCTCAGTTTGAATGAGAATTGTGATCCCGATGTGCGACATGATATGAGTATGTCTTTCCCCTCCTCCTCCTTCCATCCATCTTCCAATTCTCAATAACTGACCGACCCTTCCAGGCAACGCCCTCGACCGACTCGCGCCCGAAGACCCTCAAGGCAAACTCTACGAACATGCGGATGAGGGACTCGATGATATGCCCGCACACATTAAGTCCTCGCTCATGGGAGCCAGTGTCAGTGTTCCGATTACAGAGGGGAGATTGGCGACGGGGACGTGGCAGGGGATCTGGTATTTGGAATTTCGGGCGAGTAAAATGGCGAGAAGGGTTGTTGCTACTGTGCAGGGGGAGGTTAGGAAGTAGGTTGAGGGCGGTGGGGATGGGAGGTTGTTGTGCTTGAGGAATAAGGATGAGGATGAGTGGTATGGTAGGATGATGAATGATGAGATATGTGYGCGAGTGCTGTGGCTGCGGCTTTGCTGGATGATACTGCATGACCTCTTCAACTTCCGGCTTTCAATGATCTCACTTGAACAGGAATTGAGGGTCTGGATTTGACATGTTTGGCCATGAAGCCCATCGTGTGGATCATTGAAGCAGAATAGGGAGCATTCCAATGCTTCATTTGGCAATACAGCACCCGCGAACCAGCTAGTAGCATGCGGATGGTTTGTCGTATATTGTACATGATTCCTGCCATCGCTGAACGCCATGCCTGCAGCTTGATCTCTATGGATGTACGACATGCCTGCGACTTGATCTCCATCTCCATCATCCATCATCGTCATCATCACTCTGCAGCACCTCCAGCAGGTCTGTTGGCAAGGACTTGTGCAGGAGCGGCATCGCCAGCCRCAGCGCCACCCCTAGGGCCCCTCCGACTAGCATTTGCCTCTGCCGCAGCATCCTTATCCGCATTGATCTTCTCGACAATCTTCTCTACTTCCTCCACGGCCAACATCTCCACACCCTTACCGGGAGCCATGATGGCAATCTCGATATTCTTCGCGCCAGTCTGGACAACTTCCAGCAAGGACTTGATGGTCAGCTCGATGGTGTCGGGGCGGGACATGGCGTCTTTGTGGTTGCGTTCGAGGAATTCGCGGACCGTCTTGGAGGAGCGACCGATGGCGTTTGCTTTCCTGTGATTAAACGGTCAGAATATGATGGATAATTGAGACGATGAGACGATGAGACGATTCCTTACCATGCAGAGTAAATGCCAGAAGGCTCCGTCTGGTACAATCTCGCCTCCTTGCTACCCGGATCGAACCCAACAATCAATGTCGAAATGCCGAACGGCCTCACACCTCCACTCTGCGTGTACCGCTGCTGCACACCCGCCACATATTTGGTGATGTACTCAATTGATACCGGATCCTCGACCGTCAAACGATGTGATTGCGCTTCGAGACGGGCTTTGTCGACGAGAATACGAGCATCGGCATTGAGACCTGCGAAGGCGAGACAGACGTGGGTATCGACCATGGAGATTTTGGAGGGCGTGATGCGCGTGTCTTGCAGTTTGAGGGCGGAGCGCTTTTCACAGCCTAGAACAACGACATCGGCGCCTTTGACAGCCACGGCGCAGGTGCCGCGTTTGACGGCTTCGAGGGCATATTCGACTTGGAAGACGTGGCCGTCGGGGGAGAAGACGGAGAGGGCGCGGTCGTAGCCGCTGGCCATGATGGGTGGTGGTGGATTGGGAGATGATCAATTCGAAAGGGATGGTCTGTCTCGTGTTGATTGGGAGGTTTTCTCAGATGATGGAGGTGGAGCGTTTGTTGAATGGCGAGATTAGATGTTGGATGTTTCTTGATGAAGCTCGGAGCTCTGAAGTCAAGTCCGTCGAGCTGTCGTCTCCAGGCAAACGATGGACGCGAAGCTTGTCCGAGATCCCGCCTCCACATGTAGATTTAGACAAGAGATGACGTGAAGTGAAGGGTTGCTTCTAATCAAACAATTGATGAAGACAAAGTAAGCTCCTCAATTCCTTGTTGACCACCACCAACGGAAGTTCAGCACACGAAAGATGCTGCCGGTCAATCGCTGTCTACGGCTACCCGCCCTGCGACGCCTGCGGGTTGCGAATGCTGCCTTTCAGCAAGCCTCGCCCTCTACAACTCAATATCAACGACGCTGGAAGTCGGAAGCCACAACAACCGCCTCCAACAACGACGACCAAGCACCTCCACCTTCACGATCGGGCATCACCAGTCAGAAGAACATTTCCTACACCTCGGACTCCTACCCCAACATCAAGAGAGACGAACGCTTCAAGGAAATCGACGCCGAGGATGTCAAGTTCTTCCGCGACGTGCTAGGTGTGGACAATGCCCTCATCGATGGAGTCAATCAGGACGCATTCGACGAGTTGGAGGCGTACAATGCCGATTGGATGAGGAAATACCGCGGACACACTCGTCTGGTCCYCAAACCCGACTCCACCCAGCAGGTCAGCAAGATCTTGAAGTACTGCAATGACCACCTTATCGCCGTCAACCCCMAGGGTGGCAATACGGGTCTCGTTGGTGGTTCCGTCCCCGTCTTCGACKAAATAGTCGTCAATCTCTCCCGCATGTCCAAGATCCGCTCGTTTGACGATGTATCAGGCGTGTTGGTCGTGGATGGTGGCGTGGTGCTGGAAAATGCCGACAACTACCTCAAGGAACGTGATCACGTCTTTCCTCTCGATCTCGGCGCCAAAGGGACATGTCAAATTGGTGGAAATGTCGCCACCAACGCGGGAGGTCTCCGTCTGCTTCGATATGGCTCCCTTCATGGAAACGTTCTCGGTCTGGAAGCTGTCCTACCCGACGGCACCATCCTCGACGATCTTTCCAAACTTCGCAAGAACAACACTGGCTACGACATTAAACAGCTCTTCATTGGTGGCGAAGGAACAATCGGAATCATCACCGGGGTGTCAATCCTCTGCCCGCAACGAAGTCCCGCCGTCAACGTCGCATACTTTGGTCTTGAATCCTATGAAAAAGTCCAATCAGCCTTTAAAGAAGMGAAGAAGTCTCTTCAAGAAATCCTGTCCGCTTTTGAACTCATGGATGGACAATCCCAAAAGCTCTACAAGTCCGCCTCGGGAGCTAAACTTCCCTTGGAAAATGACTACCCATTCTACGCTCTCATCGAAACTTCCGGCTCCAACTCTGACCACGACAGCGAGAAGCTCACAGCCTTCTTGGAACATGTCATGGGCGAAGGCATCGTAGAAGATGGTGTCGTCGCCGAAAACGAAACCCAATCTCAAAATCTCTGGGCCTGTCGCGAAGGAATCTCCGAAGCCTCTCAACATTTCGGCGGAGTCTACAAATACGACCTTTCCATCCCTCTCCCAGAACTCTACTCTCTTGTCGACGAATGCCGGCAAAAGTTCATCGAAAATGGAATGATGTCTGAAACTGATGAGAACTGTCCCGTCAAGGATGTGGTCGGGTATGGACACATGGGAGACTCAAATCTACATCTTAATGTTGCTACGCGGAGGTACGATAAAGCCGTGGAGAAGGTCTTGGAACCCTGGGTGTTTGAGTGGGTCAGTAAGAGGGAAGGGAGTATCAGTGCCGAGCATGGCTTAGGGTTGAGTAAGAAGGAGTTTGTGGGGTATTCGAGGAGCGAGACAATGGTGGGCTTGATGAGGGGTGTGAAGGGGTTGTACGATCCGGTGAGTACCTCCGTTATCCTTGAAGCAATCAAAGGTGTGATTCGATGAGTGATGGATGATTGCTGACTTGCGTGCAGAATGGGATCATGAATCCTTATAAATACATCTAGACCACCGCATCGATCCAGAGATGCTGGAGCGTTTTTGTACAGCGAGATACCGACAACCATGAGATTTCGAAAACTTGGGGCATACTGTTTGGCATCCTCTTTACCACCATAAGACTAGTAAGTGGCTGGCTGTGAACTTGCCAGCTGACATTTGCTTTCATCCATGCTAAGTGTTCATGCGCTTGCTTCATTTCCTCCTCTTTAGCACATGTGTCTCTTGTCGCATCACGATCCGCTTACATGTCCGCAAGTTTTGGAAGAGGAGCCTGGAACTGGGGTTAGTCATCATCCACTCAAGGCCTGTGTCATGGTTCCTCACGCGAAATGGATCGCGGTTCATGCAGGGTGCCAATCCCTTGTTTTGCCGGCGGAGATATTTGATCCTGGTGGTGCGGAAGCGGTGTTTGCTTCAGTCTCCAACTTGGTCCAACCGCGATCTCGACCAATGACTTCAACCACGATTTCCCAGGTCAATTGAGAGGAGACAGTTGTAATCCCGTGGGACCAGTTCGCTCAGGATTAGCTCTTTATTCCATCTACTCCTGTCATGCCAAGCGCAGGAGAGTTTCTATACGCCTCAATGGAAAGTTCAGCCACGCACTACTGCAATGCGACTACCATCCGCGGATGGTGTTCTTGCATGCTCGGAAATGGAAAAAGAGTCGGCTGGATTGTGAACCCTCACGGAAGGCTGCGAGAGATCCTGGTTAAAATCCTTTGGTCGCTTTGCTGTTGTTCTTCGATTGGATCAGGGGAGCTGCGAGAAGAAGAAATTCGGCGGCGGTGAGTCTTACGCGGATTGTTTCGAWTGCTGTTTTTGCAAGTTTCCTGCTCACATCCTGACAGAACGTTAATCGCGGAGCGGCAACGCTGTTTGTTTTCAATCTCCACCAGTYGCTTTAAAAGCTGGTAGGGACATGACGAATATGGACAGATCAGCCACGAAGATGTCTTGCTTGCGACCTGGTGTGACAGAGCTGCAAGATAATCTAGGACCGGAAACGTTTTTGGCTTTGCTCCCTGTTTCCATCATTTCACTCTGCCGCGAGAGAGACGGGAAGTCGCAGTTGATGTTATCGGACTCTTTGAAAATGCGGTGAGCTTCCCGAAATGGATCTAATCGATGTTGATGCAGGTTTCCGGCTCAATTTTCCTGTGGATTCTTGATTCCGGTGCGGAAACACTGTTTGCCTGGAATTCTACATAAATCTACTAGGATGTCGATGAGGAGGCCAGCCACGGTTTTCTTGGGTCGAGCTGGGTCACGGAGATGGTTCGCGCGCAGGGACTGTAGTGTATTCCAAGGTTGCTTAGTAGTAAGTGGGTCAAGCAGGCTGAGCTCGCTTTCTTGCTAATTTAATGGCAAGAGCAGGTGTTGGGAGTGTCTTGACGTGACCGAGCTCCGCAAGCAAGCACTGTTTCAATCCGGACGACCAGTGCGCAATCCTCCGCGGTTCTATGCCCTCCATCAGCCATTGTCTGAGATGAGGTAATATGCCCTAAAAGCGCTCCCGGCGCTTGATAAGGCCCAAATGGTTCTTCCGCGCTGCTCGGGAGGCAATTCTCATCACGCATCTTTCCGCAGAATCCACCCGCGAGTGGTTGGAGAAGGACTGTAGCCGGCCCGAGCTGGAAGATGGCATCAAGCGGTGAAGAGAGCTGCTTTGGTCGATTCTACCATTAGTTTCAGTATGCTCCCGCTTATCTGGAAACCCTCCACTTCCATCTCTGCTGATATCACCATCCGCACCAAGTTCAACGCGGACAAAAGGGCAACTTTCACCTGGAACAAGCCAATTCAAGCATTCTCAATCCGCCCAAATTGAGCCTGCTCATCGCCAGCCAATCTTCCCTTTCGATATATCTGCAATCTATTCACTCAAGTCGTTAGCCGAACCAATCACGGAATCACCATGTGTCCAACTTACGATCAGGTATCCATCACGGAGAAAACCGAATGGGAGAGGTTGTGCGTCAACGCCGTCGTCCCGCCGGGCACCAGAGATAAGGACAGGGACACTACTGAGAGGACCGTTCGCTGCGGGAGAGTACCTCACCACTTACGACGACATGCATCGAACAGCGATAAGCTGAAGTTCTGGAAAATACGACATGAGATTCTTCACCATCGGGTAGAATTCGCCGATGAAGCAGAATTAATGGAGAAGGCCTCCGAATTGGGACTTTATAGCTGCTGTCATACATGCCGTGACAACGAGGAGGAAATGGACGAGGTTGCGGCGAACATTGCTAAGGATCTCCACACCATCGACCACCGTGTGATTCAGCCACCGCCAGTATGCTATCACTATGGCGAGCAACACTTCCCTGCTGGAAGTACCATCGTCAAGTCCGAGGACGGGAGGATGTGGAAAACCTGCAGGAAGAGAATCGGCGACTCCGGAAGCAGAACCTGAACCTCGAACGCAAGTTGCAGGCGTCCCAGGAGCGCGAGTGGGATGCTGAACAAGATTACCAGCATGAAAAGGAGAAAAGGAAGTCTGCCGACAAAGCGCTGAAAACATGCATGGAGCAGCTGAACCGTTGCAAGATATCGTTCAAACGGGTGACGGCGGGTACTCTCGACAGAATTGGGGTGTCGCGGAGGAGGAAGGATTCTGCTTCTGATAGCAGCAGTGTCTACTCTGGCGACGATAGCAGCAGTGTCTACTCTGGTGATGATAGCGGCAGTGAGGTTGTCATTTTTTAGCTAACCGGATGGCTAGGAGGTCGAKGAGGACGAAGACTTTGAGGGCTAGTGGAGTTAGTATAGAGCTTTTCAGGAAGGCAGCGGAGAGCAGGAAGCAGAGGATGGTGGGGAGGAAGAAGAGGATAGCATGTCATGACTGGGAAGGTCGGGAACGATATGGAAATGGCCGGCTATTCTGTACAATAACTAGCAGTAATGACTCTACTGTACTATATTTTTCTAGAGGCGTGCTTTTTCAAAAACACGTAACCTGTCTCAACATCATTACCGCTCCTTCTAGAATTGTAGCCGCGTCGGAAGACATCTTCTCCTCTTCACAGATCGAGAAGCAATCTGTTTCGAGGGCTCGTGACAGAATACCTCAAGCCACTACGTATACATGTACATCTCGTAGTACCTTTGTCACGTGTTCCTCCTACTACACGACACGACAGACGATCAATGTCCATGTCGATGCTTTACAAATGGAAGCAAATCACGGCCACAAGTCGACAGCACATACTGTCACAATCATCGGCAGCAATTGAATATTTGAAGATAAGGCTACTCTGCACATCATCATACACCGACGTCGCACAAAAAACATTTCGAAACCACTGAGCCGATTACTCCTCTCCACTCACTGTTGTGAAGACCCATTGCCCCTTCTCCCACTGTATGTGATCCGTCCGAAAGCAGCACAAAAACAACTCCATACGCACGACAATGCTCCCGAATGCTGCTACCTCGACAACGCCAGAAAAAAGTGAAGATGAGCCTTTCTCAAGCTACAGGCACGCACCACACATTAGCTGTATCCCTCATGCCAGGATTGCCACTAGCCCTGTGCCGCTGAAGATGATTGTGCCTGCAACGAGTCGCCTTCGCCCACTTGGTTATCATCCGTGTTGGCTGGAGCGGAGATCTCCTCCCAAGTTGGTGGAGGGTTATATTTCGCCTCCTGGGATGGTTGATGGACATCGCTCGCGCCATCGTTTCCGCCCATCCCATCGTCTTGATCGTGCACCAAGTCCGCAAACACATTGTCCATGTTATGCTGGCTGCCACCGTAGCCAGGGCTGTTGATCCCAGCACTGCCAGCGAAGCCTTGGGAAATCGCCGGGTCTGTGACTGGCTGCTTAGGAGAGTCAAACATACCCGCCGGCATGCCGCTGGGAATATTACTGCCACCGCTAGCTCTACCGCCAAAATCGGAAGATGTGGCACCGTCCATGTGACCAGATCTGTCTTCTGAACGCGTTTGAGGTGGAGTGTCGAATATATTGCCTGCACCTGTATGGAACATTTGAGCGCCGAATTGGGCGGGTGGGGGGGAATGACCGCCAGGAGGTGGAGGATAGGCAAAATTTGCCGGAGAACCCAAACGTGCTGGTTGACTAGGCGCGCGGACGTACTCATTGTTTGGAGCGGAGGAGAATGTGGATGAAGAGCCATTTGTCGCAAGCGCAGCGGGTACGTAGTTGTGTGAAGCAGGTGTGGGAACGGCGTTGACCCGCGACTTGAAAGTCTCCAGATCGACCATGGCGTCGGGATCGTTCATTTCCACCACAGCTTTGACCTTCATCAATCGATCTCGGTTGGCGTGTGGTTCGGATGCCAAGAACTCGTCAACGATATCAACACCAGCTGAGGTGCCGAGAACTTGTAGTGCTAGCGGCGTCAGATGTTTACGTGGCTGGTGTGGCTGATCGGTTGTTGGATATGGCAGCCCTGACCCGCGTGGACCTGGTGTCATCGAACCAGTTGGCGAAGCACTGGAGCCTTCACCTGCAAGGTGGTGCGGTGCACCGGCCCCGACACCAGACTGCTTACGCTTCACAGAATGCGGCTTCATCTTATATTCCTTGGGGAGATGATCTGGATTGGTGATGCCCAAGTGTGCCATGAGCTTCTGCTGTTTGGTAGGACGCGGCTTGCGGGTTGACCCAGAGGCCTCAATCACAGGTGGCGGAATCGGTGCGACTGGCGCGAATGCGTGTAGCTCACGTCGCAGATAATTCGTCTCCTCCGTCAAGAGGATATCGGCGCCTTCGATTTTCCTCAGGTAGAATCTCATCATACCGACCTCATCGGCGGTTGCTGGCATCGCAGGCTCCACGTAAGGCTTGATATACTCTCGGAATGCCTGGCCTTGCTCACAGATGTTGTTAAGCGTTTGCTCCTCATCAGGCTGGAAGGGAAGCGTTTCAAGGTCATCTTGCCAAGCTTGCAGATCTTCCAATCTCGGACGAGCTGCGTCTCGAGGAATCTTGACACGCCAATCGCAAATCGGGCAAGTGTACTTGTCATCCTCCTTGACTTTGCCGCGAGCGATCTTCAGACACTTTCCGTGGTACCACTCGTGGCATAACTCGCATTCGATCATCATACCAGCCTCGGGTTTGCGACAAATGCAGAACACATCTCTGCTAGAGGTGCTTCCTTCTGTCCGCAAAACATGATCATTKCCATCCTCCGGTGTCGCAGCACGAGAAGAAGGCTCCACCGGTCCGCGGGGCTTGTCACTGAGATCAAAGCACGATTCGTTCCTCCTGTCCACGATTTTCATGTGCTGGAGTAGAATGTGCAGAGGAGCATTTGCTTTGCCGAAAAGCTTCTTTCCTTTTCGCATCCAGTCCTCGTGTCGCTTCGACTCCTTCTCGAGATCAATGGTTCCGGTTGGCTTGCTTTGCAGCTGTTCGAGTGCGTCCATTACAGCCTTCATCTCCTGGTAATGAGGCCTGTTGCGGAACTCGGGATCCTTGCTTCGCTCGACGAGTGACTGAATCTTGTCTTGAACCTCGCGCTGCTTCTTGAGGATAGCGTCGACCTGCTCGAGGGTCTCGGATGTCACCGGCAACGTTGACGCCTGGCGGGACAGCGCGTCGAGTTGTTGATAGTGAACCTGCTCAACCGACATGAGCTCTTTTGCTTTCTGCTCCCACAGCTCTCCTTGCGCCTTGTGCTCTTTGAAAAAGGCCATGTCAGGGTTGGTGTCCGGGACATTGAGCTCAACGCCCTGTGCGAGGAACTGTTCAATATCACCGAGTGTTTGATCTTGTTGTCCAGTCTCGGAATTGGGACGTTTCGCTTTGCCAAGATCGTTCCATCTCAGCCGCTTGAGTACTCTGTCAAGTGTCTCAATCTCGGGAATGTCCACGTGGAAGTCGCGGCCCCGCTCTGCCAGCTCCTCGAAATCTTGCGTCGTCTTGGAATGTATGTCGCCCAGCGCGACACTGGCGTCCTTTTGGAACTCCTCGATACTCTCCAGACGATCTCGCAAGGTGGTGATCTCAGGGCAATCGAAGGAAAGCTTATCAGCCGAGGCTAGTAGCCTCCGAATGTTGGCCACGTTCCGGAGCTCCTTGTCAACCTCAGCAGCTTTGGCCGTAGCTTTCCTTCCGGCCTTTTCGCTCTTGCGTCGACCCGTCTGCTTGCGAGTGATGTAGAAAGTGGCCTCCTCGACCCACTCGTTGCACCGCTCCACGAAACGTCGCAGATCTGGAAGTTGGGGAAGCTCATACTGAATCTTCTCACCCTCAGTCAAAAGCGTGCGCAAATGCTTCAGCGATGGTCGAGGGTTCTCCTCGAGCTCATTGTCGACTTTAGCGGCCCAAACTTCAGGGATATTAGCCTTATCGACCACCTTGCGAACAGTTGCATTCAAAGCCTCTTGCGTCATGCGATAGTAAAGGACGTGCTCGCCGTTCGCTCCCGAGTATCGCTCAACGTCTGACGAGTCGCAGCATTCGTATCCGCCAGCATGGAGTAGACACATGACCTTGCCCGACTTTTTACAAACGAATCGCGAAAGGTGGCAGTAGCTTTTGCAGAAGGTACAGATCACCTCTTCTTCTTCGGTATCTGGATCGATAATCTCCGCGGGCAATTGGTAGCGAGGAGCCGACGGGGTGGTGAGTTCGGGGTTGAGAAATTGCTGTCGTGCTTCTAGCTCATCATCGCGCATGCGTTCCATGGCTGGCGCAAGCCACTTCGCGGTACGAATGTTATTATCGCGCGAAGCAGCGGTTAGCAGCAGCTCGTCGTGGGAGAAACAAGGCTGTTTCCTGTAGTCTCTCAGTCGCTTCACGCCTTCCTCGCCAAATGGCTCCCAATCGTGCGGTGCAAAGTTGACTGCTTCATTGAAGTTGAAGCCATGATTGAACCCTGCGTGGTATGCTCTTGGGAACGTGACCACGAATTCTCCTGCATGCTGGTCGATGGCATACACCCGCACGCCAGCCCTGCGCAGCTTATCTGGCTTTGCAAGGGTTACAAGCTGGAAAAGAAGATCTGGCTGCGTCTCGAACAACTCTGGCATGTCGTCTTTCAGAGCCTGCTCGAACTTCTCCGAATCTTCACCAGGAATGCCATACCAAGTCTTGKTCTCACCAAAGTGCTGGTAGTTTGCGGAATACGTATAGTGATCCTCGTTGTGCCAGCAAAAGGTGGAGAAGATCATACCGACGTACAGCCACGGGACAGTCATGCCAGAAACGTCTGATTTGATGTGCCGAAACAAGGACTCCTTATCCAGGGGAAGAATGTTGAGGTTCCACCCGTCAATRGAGTAAGGATCTCTCGGGTGCTTCTCGATGGTAGGGAAGCCGCTGCCGTGAGTAGTGGTGTGGATGTCGGCGCCATATTCCACTTCTGTCGAATCAGACAAGTCATCGACCAGCCTCCAGAATTCACGCTCCACGTCGTCTTCCTCGAGGTGATTCTTGTTCTCATTGAAGGGGGAGAACTGCCGCGGTATACTACTGAAGTGGTAGTTTTTGAACTCGTTCGCTCTCCTCTGGAATCCACCTAGCGAATAGACATCGCCTTCTTCGAATCCATATTCATTGGTACCGACCAGACACCGAGGGCAGTGCCATTCGTGCTCGGGCGCCATTTGCCGGGGAGGATCAAGGCAAGCCATGTGGTAAACACAATCGCAGCTCTCACATCTCAGCTGCTTGTGGGGCTCTTCGGACTTGCCGCAAGTTTCACACATCTCACCGGGCTTGAAGTCAACTCTGTCCCGAACTGCTTGCAGACGAGYAGATGACATCCGCGAGTGGTGCATATTGCTGCCGGCGACAGTCGGAACATCTTTGCGCAGTCTCTTACTACGCCGGCTCATGAGGTCGACTTCATCAGGAGTTAGCTCCGAGTGTTGTCGCTTGAGCGCAGCCACACCGCTGGGATGCGGCGCGATGTACTGTGGGCCAGTTGATGGAGGCGGTGTCTCGATGGAAGCATGCGGCTGCTGGGGCGTCGAGTGGTTGGGGTGATGATAGCCATTTGGTCCATTAACGGGCACGAAAGAAGGTTGTGGTGGGGTCGGCGCATTCATCGGCATGTACGCGTTGCCGCCAGCGTTGACAGGAGTAAAGCCACCGGTGGTTGGAGGCTGTGGAACGTACGGCGCAGGTTGTGGAGTTACATGCTGTGGCGGTAGCGGCGGCTGGATATGTAGCGGACTCTGGCCATAGCCACCATTCAGGGAGGCGTTAAGAGCCGCGGAAGCTTGCAAAGTGGGTGCATGCTCTTGAGGCGTTGATCCTGGAGGCTTCTTGATGGGAGACGGACCAGGCGAGGGTGTGTATGGACCGCCGTTGAGCATTTCCATCTGGTGCTGTACGCCGGGCTTTGCGACCCTCAAGTATTCCTCATACGGCAGAAGCCACTTCTGGTAGGAATTCTTCAACGACGTTGACAGTGATGACATGATCTTGCCGCTGTACCCAAGATCGCGTCCAACTTCCGCCCATCTCTTAGCCTTGCACACATGATCGAAACCACCCTTGCGCTCCACGGTCTTTTTGAGTCGATAGAGGTCCAATGGTCGTTTGTCTACGCTCGGAAAGCGGTTGAGATTGTGGCCGTGCTGCTTGTGGAACTTTGCAAGCTGATCTAGGTAATCGTTATTGACCCGGTTGCCTCCTTCGACCGAGTTCAGCTCTTGTCGTCGAGTCCTGAAATGAAAACGCTATGTCAACCGCACGTTAGCATGTGTTGGCAGTTATGCATGCAGCAATTGCGCGATGTACCTCTGTATTGATCGCGAACGGAGGATTCCAGGTCTCGGGCGGAATGATCTTCACAATGCCGTACTTGCTGCCCTCTGGCGCTATCTTGCGCATATACTCCATGGGATCGCGGAACTCCTCCTCGGAAGGACGGTAGATGGGTGCCTCGGGAAGATCGAACGGGCGATTCTTTCGTGGTCTATCCTGTCGCATACCAGGCTGTCCCCGACGCTCGACGGTCGACATATCAAGCGGCTCGGCTCGGCGTGCACTGAGCGGTATGGCATGGTTGTTGCCGGAAGGCGGACCATGCAGCGTTCCTGGCACTGCCGGTGTCAGACCCTTCATCGGCATCTTTGCAGCGGCACCTGCAATGGTCGAAGGGCCTGCTACCACGGCGGAGGGTGACGGACGAGCAGCGGGCATTGCGGGCGGCGGCGGCGCTGGCCCCATGTTCGGAGGAACGACCATGTTGGCGAGTTTCGGGCACTACGGCCCAAGCAGTGTAGTCGGTCAGCTGGTGGCGTATGTTGTTGTGGTATCGTTGCGCATTCGTTGTGGTGGAGGGTGTGGACCACGTCGCAGCATGAGACGGATCGTCTAGGGACGCCGCTGGTTGGCTGCCGTGACGATCGATAATGTCGTACAGCGGGATGCGCGCAATGTATTCGCCGTTTGTGTGATCGAGACAGCTGCTGTGTCCGTTCTGATGGAATCGGTCGGGTTAGCAAGGCAGACAAACAGGCGTGTGTGGTGGAATGTGTGTGGAAGGAACCAAAGCACGATCCAGATTCGTCCAACCAACTAGCTTTCGAGGGTGGTCCGTGGTCCGTGGTCATATACCYGCAAACCCGCGAATTAAAAGCTCACGAGGACTAATCAATCCATTCAACTTGGACAGAAGACACTATGCTTGTTTGCGAACAATTATACCAGGCATGTACTCGTCCTGCATCTTAAGGGTGCCAAACGACGGTAAAGTCGAGAGATGGACACGTTCGCTCCTTCCGTAGAATGAATCATGAAACACACTCTTGGTCCCGCCAAACCGAAAACAGGTGACGTGACGTTCGACCAGCTATGGCCCGAGCGCGGAGTTCTCGACATCAGCTCGCAGATCGTAAGGGCAGAGGTAACATGGCACGCGTCTGAATCCCTGCATTGAACGTCATGGAGAAAGGCATACCACCGATCCCAGCGCTCTATGCATGCTATCTACTGCGCTCTATAGCGCGACACTCTTCGACTTATATCGGCTCTACGCCTAATCCACCGCGTCGTCTCAAGCAGCACAATGGAGAATCCAAAGGTGGAGCTGTTCGCACATCAAGGGACACGCTTCGCCCGTGGGAGATGACATGTCTTGTGACGGGTTTCCCAAGCAAGATCGCTGCTCTGCAATTCGAGTGAGTACTGAACGTGCAGGCTGTGCAAAGGCATCGCGTCTCGATTTCCTTGCCTCTTTCAAGAAATTCCTTCTTCAAAATATACTTATCAATGCACTTAGGTGGGCATGGCAGAACCCAAATCTAACCCGACACATATCCCCAAGCTCTCGTATAACACAAACAAAGCAGACTTCTCGGATTTCTCCCAGAACTGGCAAAGTCCGAAAGCGTGCTGCGCGGCCTCGATTATGCTTGACGGACCGATTGGCAAATCTTCATCTCCTCTTGCGGGCGACCAGCTTTGAGAGATGGCCGCTCAAAGTCACCTTCTTCTCGGAGGATGTTCATCGAATGTGGCTCAGATGGACAACGCAGCAGTTTGAGAAGCTCAGGCCCTGGATCGACATTACTATGGATGAGTCTAGCTGTGCTCCCAAGAAAGGTCAGACCGAAGCCGTCCCGTCGGATCCAAGTCCTAAAGGTATTCATGCGCTGGATCTTGGCTACACTGGTCTGAAACCACAAATTGAGAAATGCCGTGAGCTGTTTGACGTGCACAGGAGCGTCGAGTGCTCAATATGCTGCAAAGAGACCCCTAGCACGGGCTTTGGCACTCTGGTCTGCCCTCATGAAGGCTGCAGATCGGTCTCGCATTTGCAGTGTCTCGCGTCTTCCTTTCTCAAGGCTGAAGGAGCAAGCGCGAACGGKGCTATTGTCCCCACGAGCGGCAGCTGTCCAACATGCAACACAAAGCTCATGTGGATTGACCTMGTGAGAGATCTCAGCTTGCGAATGCGCGGGGAGAAAGAGATCAAGGCTATCTACAAACCCAAACGCGCGAAAAAAGGCGCGGCCGCTGTAGATGATGATTCGGAGCCCGTCTCCGATGACGATGTGCCGGACAATGTGCTACTAGAAGAGGACGGGTAGCATCAGCTTCTGGATAGCAGCGATGATGAGGTTGATGTGAGGAACACGAAAAGCGACCCTGCTCCCAAAGCTGCACGATTCCAGCGATTGAGTACCGCACAGAGCCATTCGGAGCCTGTCATCCAGGACAGCGAGTCAGATGGCGCGGAGATTCTGCATTGACGGCCTGCCATTTAACGAGACTTGGACGATTCACGACAGTAACGCTGAAGGTGGCTGAATGGATGGGCATGCGAAACGCAGGCAAAGGTTGGGCGCAAGGAGATCAACGTCAGCGATAAGAACAGCCAAGCGTTTCATTCACAACAAGTCGCAGGTGCAGTACAGCGGGGAGCGCTCAACACCGGAATACATGGGAAGTTCAGAAAGAATTGCATATTTGTGCACCGCAGGTTATCGTTGTATTTCCCTGGAAGTTCGTCGTCATTCATCAATCACATGAAACGTGAGGCCTCAAGATCCCATCAATCTTTGGCATCCCAACCAAATCCGTACGGCGCGTTCTGAACTTCGAAGACGCCATTCGGGCCAGCAAGCAAGTAGGCGTTCTTGCCGATGAGTGTCCAGTCCTCCGCATTGTACTGGGTATCGAAGTCAGCGCTGGCCCAGATCCACCATGGAAGAGAAACGTACTGTGCYCGGCTCCGAAGCAACGATCAGATGTTCTCCATGCGATTCCTCAGGCAAACCAATTTCGCGTCCCGGAACGTGGGCACCATCTGCATTATCTGGATACTTTCGGTTGAGAGTCATACCGGCCTGGACTGGTTAGATGCTACCTCAAGAGATCCATATCTTGGATATCTGGCCTACCTTGGTGCTGTAGTATAAGCTCGGCGGTTGCGATGTCTGATGGTTTCGGAAGCGATAAGCAACTAGCGATAACCCATCTGTTGCACAGAGGTTCAGGCTGTTTGGCTTCTTATCGTCACCGAGCAGCTTGTGCTGCAAGCCAACAATTGTCGCTACCGCTCTGTGCATCGMTTGAACCATTTCGTCTCCTGGATACACATTTTCGAACGAAGAGGCATCACCACCTTTGGTCAAGTAAGTCATGTACAGTGCAGCGATGTGTCTGAATTGCGAGTCAGCTACAATGATWCGGACGTGATGATGGTTGGCATACTCAGAATCCGTCCCTCCCAAAACATTTGCATACGCGGCCTCGCTCATCTCGTTCACGACAGCTCGCTTGATCTGTTGGAAATTGCTGGCTGCTCCGTTGTGCATGAACGTATGTCTGCCGAACACAAAGGGATGATTGTTGACTTGAGCAATTGCAGTCCCCGATGAGGCACGTATGTGGCCAAAGCATACACGAGACTCGGTGTTGGCGCATATCGAGAGGAAGTTGGTATCGTTGTGTGGAGGCTGAATGGTCTTGTACATGGCCGGTCGCAAGCCCTGTCGACTGATCGTCAGCGGTTCGATCACACATCAACTGATGCTTCGTACTTCTCTCTGGTTGCCATCACTGCTCTCGCCAGTGTTACCCTTTTCAAAGTCCGCGTTGGATGAGGTATACCAGACAACGCCGAGGCCATCGAAATTCATTACGATATTTCGTGCTTTCACATCGTTCTCGGACTTGTCGTCGTGTTCATGTGGAAGTAGCTTTGGAAGATAGTGGTCGGATACTTGCTTGACCAGCGAATGTTTCGGGCTGACGAGAACATCTTCCAGCAGACATGGTTCAGTCGCCGAGATGTAGGCAAACCATCTGGTGTCGCCTTGGAGTTAACAGGTGTCCATCTCTCTTGCGGAATGTCTAGAGCATATCAAGATTAAGATAAGGTTGCACTTGCCGGCACATTACAAAAATGTTATGGATTGTCCGAAGGCGACCGAGTATTGATTGGATTGACGATCTTTGGGAGCGTTCTAATCAGGAGTATGAAGAATCAAATAGGTAGTAACAAATGTGCTGCCGCGACGTCGTTGCAGGTGACCGTTATTGTACATGTGCTGGGATGCACGTTAGCGTACGGAATCCGGCAAGGTTCCCGTCCCGTTCGCCTCGCTTCGCGCTACGCGGGTGAATCCAAGCTCACTTCTATGAGTGAGCTCCCCAAGCTCCATACCAGTAGCATTCATTCCCGGCATTGAGTCAACAATGGCAACAGTCCCGCCCAAGCACCAGCAATCCACGGTCCCGCCGCGTGCGACCCTACCTTTCGACCAGCGCCAGCAACCGACCATACGACTGTTTCCTCTGAGCAATTACACGTTTGGCACAAAAGAGACGCAGCCGGAGGAGGRCCCGTCAGTGAAGGATCGATTGCGCAGACTGGAGGAGCACTACGACAAACATGGCATGCGAAGGACTTGTGAAGCTATCCTCGTCTGTCATGAGCACAATCMTCCGCATGTTTTGATGCTGCAGATTGCAAATGCCTTCTTCAAGCTGTGAGTGAACGACAAGATACACATCATGTTTGAGATGTTTGCTGACGGATTGCAGCCCAGGGGATTATCTACCGCACAACGTCGATGAAATCGAGGGACTCAAAGTTCGGCTGAACGAACGACTGGCTCCCACCGGGTCATTGAGCACATCGGAAGACGCGGACAACGACTGGGAGATTGGCGACACGCTTGCGCAGTGGTACAGACCGAACTTCGAGACCTTCATGTATCCGTTCCTGCCTCCACATGTAACGCGGCCGAAGGAGTGCAAAAAGCTCTACCTCATTCAGCTACCCAAGGCCAAAGTGTTGAGCGTGCCGAAGAACATGAAACTGCTTGCAGTGCCTCTGTTTGAGCTTTATGATAACAGCCAGCGGTACGGCCCTCAGTTGAGTGCCATTCCMCACTATCTCAGTCGTTATCGGTGGGAGTTTGTAGATGAGGATGGGGAGGTTGTGTCCTACACACCAGGAGGACCTGTGGATGAAAGAGTAAAAACGAAGATACTTGCGGGAGGCTCAGAGCAAGCCACAGGCGACGAAGGCGAGCAAGCTGTCGAGGCTGCCGATGCGATGGAGCAGTCGTAAGAGCTTGCCCCGACCACTAGCGAGATTACGCACGAAGTGGTCATACATTCACGCTCATGCCGAGAGACAGTGTCCTCGGGTCTGTGAATGCTTGGACGGTTCCGCTGTCCCGCTGCTCTTACTTGCCTTCTCTCCAGCTGGACGAATTTCGAAAATCGAGAACCTGAAAATCAGATCTACACGGGAGTCATCATTCCCAATCGGGCCGTGCATCGCATATACGAGCACGAAAAGTCGCTACCGACAGGGCGATCGAATTTGTGCCTTTTTCCGATGCGCCCAAGCATCGGCGCACGTATTTCCCCGTAGGATTTCCCATACCAGCGTTGCAGTGGACAACTAGCCATGGTTTCTGATGATACACATCAGACTATGAGAGTTTCCTGGCCAGACTTCTGCTGAGCAGCACAAGTTTTGTTGACCGCCTGTTTGTCGCAACAATACTGGCTGCGGATTTGGTGCCTGCAGCCGTGGCCTCGAATCTGCAGGCACGTTGCTGACACGAAAGTCGCCTTCTTGAGCGCAGGGACCTCCGTGGGACGGGCTGGCTTCCAGTAGATGTGGTTTGTGGATGCTACACTACCAGAATGGTTACAGCGTTGTACGTGGGCGGGTACGAGCCCACGAGCTGAAGTCTGGAAGACGGCGTTCTTGTGCCCCTGGAGATGCATCCGYCTTCCTACGCAAGTCCGATGAGCGACGAGCAATTTTTGACGATGACCAGAGCGGGCACCAATAGAAGAGAATTATGCGGCGGCGCAGTCTGCGATGGAAAACTATAGCGAATGCCCAGCCTGATGAGGCCGGGTAGGCGCGCCTGCACATGCCAACCAAGTATGCTCACTCTCCGATTCTATGACTACAAGAATGCTAGGACACTCGAACTMCACGGGCCATATTACGCCTACACACACATTTCACGTGCGCGCACAAGGATTGCAATATTCTTTCTCAGCCTCGCTCACTCTCAATCTCGCTTCACGACAATCAACGATAATAAAATGTCCTCGAAAAAGATGTCTATACACTAGGAGCTAGGTATGTTCTCGAATTCTCTCTCGTATTGCCTGGCTTTCTGGGTTACACAACAGCTATAAGCCCTGGTGGGTCTCCTGAGAGGTGGGCCTTGCCTCTGTCGTGTAACCAACGTCACCGAGCTGTAATTCTCATGCACTCCACTTTCCATCTCCATGGGACTCTGGACCATCGATACTCATACGGGCAAGCACAGGTCGACGCGACGCACACACCAGCTCTTCGACGTGGACATTGCTGTCAGCATGGTACATTGTCGTACCCACGGTGCCTGTCCCCTATCTTTAGATATTTAGTCTTCCGCGACGTGCACGCCACAGCTGACTGACGGAATCGTAGAGCATTTCATGGCCTATCAAGTGTTGTGTCATGCCACATGGTATGTTGCACTCCGCGCCGTGTGTGCTTCGAATATTCCCGTTTCTGGACAGAGCCCCATCCACCATGCCTGTCGGACGGGACAACGAAAAGACTTGGAGATTTTGTCAAGGTTGCTACCCTCGTGCGCCTTGGCAAGTCTAGGTTGATTCTGCTCCTTGATCGTGACAGCCACATGCAGACTTCCAATATACCACTGCATCTTTGCCCCACGATCAACCGGACGCTGCATTGCATTGCTCGAGCCACTTACCAATCGCCGGACAGAGCTACCCATCGGATGCATCGATCCTGACCATACCGCAGATCGATTGCATGTATGCTCCGAAGGACACCAGCGAAGCACGCCGAAATGTCTATTCTCGTATGCATATCGCCTGAGCGAAGATGCAAAAACAGAGGACAGCAAGTTCAAATTGGGAGGTATAAAGGTCAAGAGACTCTCCCGCTTGTATTGTCCTTCATCACCAACAGTATCACCCAGTCTACTACACCATACTCACCCATACTTCGCTTTTCAACTCATTACATTCGCTCAAACATCAAAAATGCATTCTCCAATCCAGCTCGCAGCCGTTGTCCTCCTCGCCATGAGCGGTGTTGTCTCTGCCGTTCCTGGCAAGACCACAACCCCAGCCGCTCCCCCAGTCTATGGCGGAACTTCGACCACTTCTACTAAGAAGGCCAGCCCCACTTGCAGTCTCAGTACCATTACTGACAAATCCGTTGGATATTCTACCTACAGTGAGCATTAAGAAATACCACCTCCTTTCTCCTGCTAATTTCCTTGTAGCCACTGCCAAGCTCATTACCAAGCATGTACCCACCACAGTAGTCACGCCATGGACCTCCGAGAAGGTCAAGACTATTCCCTACACTACTACAATCACGAAACACGTGCCATACACCTCTACGAAGACTGTGACAGTCACCAAATCCACTTCAAAGGTCACCAAGAGCACCACAAAGGTCGGCGTGCCAACCACTGTTTGGTCCACGTACACCACCAGCAAGCCCGTTGTGCAGACCAAATACACAGACAGTGTCATCGAGGTCACTGCACCTTGCACCACTGTCATCGAGACGGTCACCACGGAGACTGGCTCTCATCCCAGCACCATTGTTTCCACCGGAGCATCTGTCACGACCAAGCACGAGACTGGAGCATCGAGCTACACCACCAAGGCACCAAGCGTCAGCACCTCGATCTGCACCGAGTCCAAGCCATTCACCACCACAAAGTACACTACGACGAGCATCTGTGGTCCTAAGCCATACTAGAGGAGAGACATGACGGTAATGGCGGCGGAATGATGAAAATTGGTGAGCCACGCGTGGGCTATGAAATGATGTTTACTTTCTTGGGCGGACTTTGAACATACGAATGATTGACGACACTCTTTTACAGCTAGAACTAGATCATTTATCTAACGACGATTGAATGGGGAGGTTTTCGACTTGTTTCATCTTCTCATTTGTCATTTTTCGCAGGAATGCCGTTCAAGATGGCTTTCATTGAGATATCTACAGCGGAGCTGTCGATATGAGGATTATTCATGGGGACAAGACATCCTCATTCATCCCCACAATGTTCTAAGGCCTCGCTCTCTACAGACTTGTCGATTCTAGGCCTGCTATAATACTGACTACTAGTAGAGTAGTCTGCCAATCAATCGAGGGAGCAGTTCAGTGCGCCGCTCTTGTTGATGATTTCTCATATCGACAGGTGTGATCTACAGCTTGCTCTTCGGCTCCACCAGCTCTTCCACTCGAGCAAACTGGTAGTAGAAATTCAAGCATTCCTTGTTCGCCAGAGTATCAGAAGGTTTTATCGTCTTTCCAGACACGATCTGCTTGATAGGCAGTTCCACCTTCTTCAAATTAATCGTAGTCTATGATTCCGTCAGCAACAGATTCCCCCATCAACGAAAGACAAGACACTTACCGGAATCTCTGGAGTCTCAAAGATATATTTCGGCACATATCTCCTTCCACAATCCCTCGCAACAGCATCCTTGACTTTCTTCACCAATTCTGCGGTGAATTTCTTCCCGGGCTTCATCAGTAGGAACAGCATGACGCTTTCGTCCATGTCCTGAGGTCTTCTCTGTCCCACGCAAATGGAATCTTGGACGTCGTCGGGGAAGTTGAGATCAATGACATTGTAGATTTCTGCTGAGCCGAATCGGACTCCGCTTGGGTTGAGGACGCCGTCTGCTCGGCCGTGGAGGTATACACCTATACGAAGTCAGCTTCAATTTGAATAGTTGAGTCCGACCGATGTGAATATCTCAAGGCAACCGCTTTTTGGTGACGTGTGATCCCTATAACCAGCGAAGATGTGGGAGTGATTACCTCCTGTTTTTGGGTGGATGGAGATGAAATCTCCATGTGTCCAGACCTAGAGGAAAGAATGTCAGCAGGGCCATGGCCCATCCAAATGTACACCACTTGATTGACGAATCCACTTACATTGTCAAATCGCTCAAAGTAGGATTTGAAGTACTTCTCCCCGTTTGTATCGCCCCAGAATCGAGCAGGCTGAGTTGGAAATCCTGCAGTTGATCGCATTAGCACCACATACATATTCAGTAGCATGGCAGAGTGCGTTAAACTCTGATCAACAGCATCTTCCGTACTTACCTCGTGTGCAGACCATCTCTCCACTCTCTCCAATCGGAAGCGGTCGACCTTTGACGCCTTTCCCTCCTTCAACCGTCTGATCATAAGCTTCAACTTTCATTCCCAAAGCCGGGGAAACGGTGCCACCACAATAAACAGGCTGCATTCGATTGCCCATAGTAAAACAAGCAGCCAAATCCGTCCCGCCACTGATATTGTCCAGTTGAACATGCTCAGGGAATCCTTGGTCGTAGAACCATTCAAATTGTGCTTCTGAAAGAACCATACCGGTACTTGTCACATGACGGAGTCGACTCAAATCAACCACTTCCCGAGGAAGAACTGGAGGCTTTGCCGTGGCCAGCGTCTGCATGTAGCGTGGTGAAATGCCCAAATCCGTTACTTTCAGATCCTGGACAATCTTGAGGAAAGAGACGAGATCAGGTTGGAATGGTGATCCATCGTAGAGAATGACGCGAGCGCCATTGACGAGATTGAGACAGCTGCTCAGGTACATGATCCAGCCCGTGGTGGTGAACTGCAAAGCACACATGTCCTTGGTTTCTGCAGCGTCTCGATGCAAGTTTCCTTCTTTCCTGGCGTTGAGGAGTACGCCTCCTACATTGTGGACAATGCATTTCGGCATTCCTGTCGTTCCGCTGGAGTACACGATCAAAAACGGATCCTTGAATTCCACGCGATCGAAGCGGAGGGTCTTGTCTCCTCGAGCGGCCTGGAGGAAGTTCGCCAGAGTCTCACACCTCTTTACTCCGGACACATCTATCGGCTTCCCCTGAGTCCTGGGCATGCTCACAATCCCGTTCAGTTCCGAGACATCCTCCATGCCCTCTACAATCTCGTCCATCTTGGGTCTAAGATCGAGCGTCTTGCCGTTATACAGAGCCCAGTCGTCAACAAAAACATATCGAGGCTTGATCTGTTTCAGTCGGTCCAGCACACCCTTCGTTCCCATATCCGTGGAACTCGAGGAGAAGATTCCGCCAACAGCTGTAGTAGCGAACATGACCACCATAGTATCGATCGAGTTACTCGCAACAACAGCAACTCGATCGCCTTTCCTCACACCTCTCGCTCGCAAGGCATTGGAAAGATGAGCGACTCTCTCGCGAAGTTCTCTCCAAGTACAGTCTCGAATCTCAGTTCCTCCCTCTCTGACTTCCGTGCACGCTACCTTCTGGTCATGTTTCCTGGAAGTGATTCCTTTACTCGGATCCTTGGGATCAGGATCAAGGAGAATCGTTTCGGCAAAATTGACCTTGACTCCTTCAAACCAAGGAGGAATCGAATCCATACCTACACCAACATTAGATCGAAGATGAAAAGTCGCTGTATATTTGACTTACGAGCATCCTCATCAACAACCTTAGAATAACTCCCAGAGTGAATAATTGGCTGCTGAACAAACACTTCCTCCCAAAAAGCAGACCTTTGTTCCACAGACCAAGCATGAAGATCCTGCCATGATTGCAGGTTAGTACCACGCTTTCGGTTGACTTCTTGCATAAACTTGTAGGCCATGGAGTTCTGTGGGTCTGGAGGAGTCCACAGTTTACGAGGCATCGGCATGTCTGCCATGATTGCGGTCGAAGCTGATGTTGCCGGTAAAAGACAAACTCAAAGAAGCGACAATTTAGTCGAGTTCTACTCAACGTAGATCAAATACACATTCGCCCAATGCAAGAGATGGTTTTGGTTTTGGTAGCCGGAGCTGACCGAGGCAAACCCCCAGCCAGGGTGAGTGAGGAGTCTCGGTTCAACAAGTGCCGATGCCATGCAGGTCGGTCGAAGCGAGCAATAATAACAAGGCTGGCAAGAGGCCACAGGATGCTTGGAGTGAGTCGTGACACGACCCAGTAGACAGCCCATATACACACAATTTGCTAACTAACATCATCTGCAGGGACAAGCTCCCAACACTACCAAAGTTCTCAATTTCGTCTCGCTCTCTCTCTCGCTCTCTCTCAGTCAGAGTAGTGGTACAGATATATGCAAATATGATGATGCTATGCGAGCTGCCGTAGAAACTGAACCCTTCTCACTCAACAGGATCCAACACCGCCCAATTACTCAACTTTTCTCCACGTGATGCACTCATCTCAATGAGGTCAATCATTGAATGGTACTTGCGCTCGCGAGAACACCACGATCCGGCAAATCCATAGTACCGTTACCATTAGATAGGGTAGGGGTCGCCGCTCCGCTGCCGTCTGCGCTCTTGGTCTTTGTCTTGAGGGYGAGTGGGAATGGGTAGTCCTCGACCTCCTCCTGTGAATGAGTTAGTAAGCTGCGTCAACTTTGGCCATTCTTGTAGTTTGCTGTACTAACCTCTTCGGGCAACTTCCAGGCAATGTAGTCCTCTGTGCTCAGACCTTCGCGACCTTCCTGCAGTGAGGCAAAGTCGCCAGGAGTCATCATCCCGCTTCGCTCTCTTGGGCTGCCGGGCGCTGACAGAGGTCTCGAAATCTTGATGCTCTCAGTGCCGTCGAAGAAGCCGGGCTCGTCATCACTCTTCTCAAAGCTAGCAGGGTATGCTCTCCTCAAAGCCAATTGCCGCGCCTTGACATACTCCATACCCATGCGCTTCCAGTCCAAGAGATCGCTCAGACGTTCCGTTCGGTTACGCTGGTTGATGCGCTGACGCTTGCTCTTCTGCGTGAACTGGAACATGAACTCTGAAAGCTGGTTCACGCTGTCATCAATGCCCTTCATTCTCCGGTCTACAATGTAGATGCCGTAGTCCTGTGCGTTTTCGATGAGCTCCTCCATGTAGCAGCCGAATCCGGAAAGGTTGGTGGTGATTGAAGGCACACCCATGACGGTGCATTCTGCAGGTGTGTAGCCCCAAGGCTCGTAGTAGGAGCTGAAAACACCCATGTGCGTTCCTCGGACGAAGTCGTCGTAATCCATTGGCAGGACCGGGTTGCCCGAGCTCAAGAACTCTGGGTGGAAAATGACCTTGACGCGATCGGATGGGTGGTTGAAGAGCTGGCATCGGCGGATCTGGTTGAGAATTGGGTCTTCGGCGTCGTTGACGAGGTTGTGTGTGACGATGGGTGGGAGTGTGTTGCGCTTCATGGCAAAGAGTCGTCTCCGAAGCATGATCTTGTCCTGAGATGTGATGAGGTCCTTCTCGTCTGGCACCTCGGCGCCCTCATGCCAAGCGAGTGCCTTTTCGAAAAGCTTCTTGCCAACGCTCTTCTCGATGTGACCCACGGATTCGCGTAGCGACTTGATCACCGCCTGTCCCTTCAAAGCTTCCACAGCCAAGGATGTTGTCTGTGCAGGCATGATGATGAAGGCAACCACTGTCATGTCTGATCCCGCGCTCTTCATCCGGTGGTTCAAACGAGCCAGCGACTCAATGAACATGTCAACTCCCTTATTGCGGTACTCGTATCGGCCCGCGGTGAAGAAGTACAAGGTCTTGTCGGGGTCAAAGTCATTGTGTCCGTAGAAATGACCTCGGATAAAGTCCGTGATGCGTTCCTTGTTGGTCTGGTGCAAGTTTTGGAATTCATGGGTTGCAGAAAACTTCTTGACGTTCAAGCCGTTGGGAAGCACGCCGTCAGGCTTCCTCTTGAGCAAGTGCTCACTCTCGTAGGCCGTGATATGGCTGACAGTGGTGAACACATCTGCACTGTGTGCAGCTCCGCGCTCGATGCAGTATCGGTGGTAGATGCCGCGCTTGCCCGCCTCGGCGTCGACATCGAAGTATTGCAGGTTGTTGTAGAAATCGACAGAGCCAGCGCAGAGGTAGCGTCCGAGGAGGGTGGCATGGGTGGTGAAGATGGTCGTCACATCAATCTTCCGCTTCTTGCAGAGGGGTAGAGCAACACCAGCCAACCACTCGTGAAACTGAGCAATGACAGCGCGCTCTTTCTCGTGGTAGACGTACTGAAATATGGTGTTAGCTTCGCAATGGGTGATTTATATCCCAAGCTGGGGAAGACTCACCTCGCCAAGGAACCAAGCAATGAGGTACCCAAAGACAATGGCCTCGTTAGTCTCATGGTCATCTGGAGGACTGGGAATGCCGGCCGTCGACCACAAATCGCCCTTCCACTCGTCGAGCTTGTAGTATCCCGTGCTAGTGTCAAATAGCAAGACTCGAGGAGCGCCATCAATGAGCCATCGTCCGTACAATGTCTTGATGCCGCGGTCGTTCATGCTGCGGATCGTGGCAATCATTGCAGGATCTCTGGGCTCAATCTCTTCAACCTCTACGGCCGCCGACGCGCGGTTGAGAGGTCCCAGCAGGGTGTACATGGAGCCATACTCGGCGGTTGTGACCTGCGCCTTGGACTTGAGCACGCTGTAGATGCCACCAACACGGTTGGCGACTTCTGTGGCGATCTCGAAGAGGACGTGGTTGCGCACGTCGCGGTGCGGGGTCTGGTCGCCCATGTTGGGGGTGGTCGCCGAAGCGAATTCGAGGGTGGAGGAGGAGAAAATGGTGGGCGACGGTGTGCTGGTCTACAATAAGTTGCTGAAGAAAGGTCAGAGGATGTTGGAACTGCGATCAAGGGAGCCGCGAGGTGGGTGGCTTGTAAGTTGTGGAGAGGAAGGTGCGTCGGCGTGCTCGTGAAGGGCGGAGCATCCTCGCTTCTCCACGCTCGAGGGAAGGGAAGTGGGCCATTGGAGGTCGTACCTTGTATCTCTCACCGCAGCCTTGCACAATGAAGCTGCTTGAACGTCGGATGCTATCTGTCTGGAATGGACAGAATGAAGAGAGTGAGGTCGAGGATGTATGTTTGGTGGGGAACAGAGGTGGTGGTCTAGAAACAAAGCTGAACTACATAATAATACGGCGGCTGGTGCTCGACAGCTGCTAGTCTCCGTAAGGTTGGCGGGCTCGCGCGAAGCTCCGGGCTTTCGTCCCAGCGGGTAGTGACGTTGAATTCAGTGATCTCCTCCAAGATCCTCAATGATTTCTCGCCCGCGCGTTGAGCAAAATCTTCCTGGGGAGAAACCGAGACAAACCTACGCCTMGGAGCATCCATCAATTGCTCAAACTAAATCTCCGTCGCATCCCCAACCCTTCAAAGGCGGTTGGAAAAGGTCGTCATCAAAATGCCACAGCAACGAGCGCTCTCAATTTTTAGTCACTACCTACCTATGCTCCACCATCCAAGCTCTCCCCGCGTGGAGACCGAATCTAACGCCGGCCAAGCATCCAAATCTGATCCAATCATCCACCGCGGCAGTATCGGGCCTTTTGCACGCCTCACTCCGCCTTCCCCATGTCAGGCCTATCCCCTCCCCATACGAACGAGCATCGCTTGTCGAGTCCCCGTGATCGCGTGCCATGCGGATTGGTGCAGCAAAGGGCGACAACATACCTAAGGTAATGCCGTGCCTCATCGGCTTGCCATCGATCGGCGGCTACGTACTTGCCGACCGTGCTGCCATGTGCAGCGCGCGAACGGGTGTTCCGCAGTACCACGGGTGCAGCTGATTTCAACATTTTGTCGATGAGACATGGATGTGCATCGCTGCCGAGTCGTGTATACTGGAGGCAGGTAATTACGTAGGTCAGAGTACGTCTTTCAATATCCGCGCTGAGCCGTTAATAGCATTGCTTTCCTTTCCATCGTCTTTCTGCGTCTGCCGATCTTATAACRTTATCTGTAGGTAGGGTAGTGGACACCCACAAGCTCCCCCTCTCTCTCACCAGAGTCACCACTCTGGCCTCAACCACACACCCAAATCCCGCTCGCGTGCTGAAATTTGCCGCCATCCAACACCCCAGTCCCAACGCACGTCGTCTCTTCTCCATTGGGGATTGGAATCACCAGCTGGACTGCCCCCGTTCCGTCCGGACCGGGATCGCAACCAGCGTTGCCCATGAACAGCACGAAGCTGCAGCTACCGTAATCCGTCTGCTGGAGTCCAATGGCGGCGGTGCGAAGGTTGATGCAGGTGCCTTGTTGGATCGTGTCATGGCCAACTATCATGCCGCAGACTCCGATGTCGCGGCTCTGAAGAGCGTTGAGATTCGACTCAATGACCAGGTCTCGTCCAATGTTTCCKTGCGCAAGCGCAGTGCCTTGATAAAAGGTAATTGTGGTGTTGGAAGGGAAGAGCGGGGTGGCAGTGCCGGTAGTGACTTGTGGGAGCGCCAGAGCAGAGGCATGGTAGGATAGGGCCAGGACTGAAAGGGCGAGTGTCTGCTGCATGGTTCTTGTTTCTTCGGTAGTGGTTCTGCGAGGTATGTGGACTGCGTTCTGTTGGTTCGACTGAGATTATCTTTGATGTTGTGTAGGAAGTAGGAATCAAAGGCAAGATGGAGCTGGTCGTCCTCTTATATGAGATCGATAAAGGGAGAAGAAAGAGCAAACCCATCAAGGCAACTACCTACTCGCTCAGGATTCGAATTGCCACTACCAGGCATGTCGCATTATGCTGATATGGACTGCAACCTCGCTCTCGTCCTGGCCACAAATGCAACGCAAACGTCGCACTCAAATCTCAGTCAGGTATTCTTCTAGTTGGCTTCCGATCCGATGGAAGGCTGGAAAGGATAGGACGTTCCAATGCAGCTGCGAGGTGGCATGACGTGAATGTGTACACACTCAGTGACGGTGCTGTATCTCTGGATACCGACGACGGAGCTTTTCGACGTTGCAGTACATTAGCTGCGGACGAAATCGGGCGGAGTGGGTTGCCTCGACCATCGAGATCGCGTCTTGAAGTCACCTCATGTTGTGCTCTTGCCGACCATGCGACGATGACAAGAAGTGCTCTGGTCGTACTTGAACTGTCTCCGCGTGAGCTTGGAGCCAAGGCGGCCATGGCATGGCTGTGCTCCCTTCTTGCCTAGGCTTTCGTAAAGACACGATGTTCGCGGAACATCAACAAGAAGCGTCATGTCTCGTGTTTCACTGCATCCGATTGTTCCACAGTTCTCGCCTGACGAACACACCGCAAGGGCAAAAATAGCTAGCCCTCGGCAGCCACATGTCATTTTTTTCTCGAGACAGGAATTTCAAGACCTCCGCCGATGGTCTCCTAGCACTGACAGGACGTGACCAAGATCTCTCCTACGCCGACCAGTGTTCAATACGTTCGATTGTTGCATTGGGGCACTACTCCTTCGGCGAGCATTGCGAGTCGCAAGACGATAGCATCTATTTTGGCTTCTTCCCGTATTATCAGCCCGGCCTCGATGATGTTTGCTACTGGCACCACAAGTTTGCCGTGAATTTGCCTCGAGCCAGACTGAATTATCCTCACCGAGAAGCACAAGGGTTGAGGATTTTGAAATTTCGAGCATTTTCATTCGAGAACATCTATCCGATACAATTTCAATCGGCCTCTGCTACAAATCTCAATCAGCCTCTCCTTTTTCAATCACAACTTTGTTCCCAACATCTCCTTCACCTCCCGCAATATCGTCTCAGCCTCCGCAAGTTTTCCTTCCCACTTCTTCCTCAAGATGGCATTTTACTGGCCCAGAAACATGTGACGAGCATATACCACCTTCTTTGCAGCCCCAATAACCTCCGTCCGCTCATCTGGCGAGAGGCAATCCTCAGGCCCAAGAAATGGCGGCTCCTCCTCCTCCTCTTCGCTCTCACTCTCACTCTCACTCTCGTCATTTGACATCATACTATCAGAATCCCCCAGATATGCAGACACATTGCGAGCAAGGAAGGGCAACTCCTCGTCGTGACTTTGCATCAAATAGTCCATGTCGTCGGAAAGTTCACTCTCGCAATCCGAGTCCCAAAGACCATCGTTCTCGGTCTCAGAGAATCCCTTTTCGTCATCATACTCGCTGTCTGTGTCCCAATCTAACATTGTGTTGATCATGTTCGTCTTGACTTTATACTCGAGAGCGTCAGAAAATGCATGGGGCACCTGGGACGTGGCGTCGGTGGATTTTGGGTCTCTTGAGTTGCCGGTGGCGTTGTCGGCGACTTGCTCGTACTCGTAATTTTCGCAAAGCTCCATGGTGCGATGCATGGTTGGTTTTTGAGAGGGTTGTTGGGTAGATATGGAAGGGTTCGTTCTGTGCGAGACCAAGGGGGGATTTTTTTTTGTGATTCGAGTTGTTATGGTGCTTGACTGTTTATGGTGGTTGATTTGATGAGATGGTGACTTGTGTCGTGGTTGAATTGTGTTGTGTTTGACTTGTGCTGTGATTGACTTGTGTGGGTACAGTATTGTGTGTAGTGGTTTGTAGAGAAGAAGAGAAAATGAATCGCGAGAATAAAGGCTGCCATATACTGGCTGGACGCTGGCTTTGAGGACGTACCGAGACTGACTTTTGAGGACGTCCCGGGAATGACTTTTGAGGGCATGATGAGGGTGTTTTGGAAACTTTGGCGTAGACTTTCTGATGCATGCCGTGAGCTTGAGGAAGAGCGGCATCCGCGAAATTGCGGGAAATGGGGGTACGATGACTTGAGGATGATCAATAGGGAGGCCTCTTTCTCTCTCGTTCTGGCATCGTCGGGACGAGTGGTGTTGTTGTGGTGCGTACAATGCCTAGATGAGGGCAGGATAAATGCCAAGACAATTAAGATTCAGAAATTGGCGTGGACGAACTACACCAGCTGCTCTGCGTCCTTCATTGCCACAGGAACAAGCATAAGCGAAGCACCATCGAGAAGCTCGGWATGATCGGCTCAGTCAATCGGTCGTCCAGCGCGAGGCCTGAACGCTGGGCCAAAGTGAGATGCTCTGATTGGCGTGGTTTAAAGTTCAAGTGATTTGCTGTACAGATAGTATACATACATACACGTTGTACACAAGGCATCGAACTGATACCAGCGGCGCGTCCCGCGATCAGATACGGCTTTTGAGTTAACGGCGGTGACAAGGAATCTCAATATCCGGGTCTTGTCGGGTTTCGCTGTGGATCAAATCCGAATCGTCTGCTGCAGGATGACTGTCCATACTTCGTCGGTGGTGCATGTTCATGTCGCATCGGGCTTATGCCTCCTTCCYGCTTGTTTACTCCCGGATGCAAGATTTCCAAGCGTCCACGGCCTGCGCAGGATAGCTTCCTACTGTCGGACTTTGCGCCTCAAGCTCCGAGACAGCGTTTGAGATGGCGCCCTCGTAGCTTGCGAGCGCTTCGCGAGCGACGTTCGGGTTCGGCATTTCATTTCCAAGCAATTTTTGTGCGAGGTAAAGGCCGTGCCAGACAGGAATGGCCTGAAGTATCGGCCACTGCATTCCCTTCTCCAAGACTGTGATCTGCGGTGGCTGTTCACGCGTTAGCAATTCCCATGTCGGATTGTGCTGGCCTGTTCTAACTCACCTCTGTCCCACTCTCAGCCAACCTTGAGAGCAGCCTCGCTGTATACGTCTTCACTACGCCCTCCGCACTGTCCTTTCCTCCTTGATATTTGTATGCATAGGCCGCGACCAGCTCCAGCCATGTTCCCAATACAAATGGCCGTGTCCGCGGATCATTCTCGCTCATCACCGACTGGGTGCCATGATCCGCGCTCTCCAACATCAGCGCCACAACGTTTGAGTCTCTGATTGCTTTCTCCAGCGAGCCCTTGTTCCATCCATTCCTCGCCCCTGAAGCATGCAGGCCCAACACAACACACCTCAAGATTGCCTCATTCTTCAAGGTCATGTTCGTCTTGCTTGCTCGTTGCATACAAGGCAGGACTGTGCCCAGCTTACCCATCTCAGCCGCTTTCCGGAGAACCTTCTCCATGAGGGCTGTGTCCACGCTCTTCTTCACGCCTTCGTTTAATCCTTGTAGCAACGCCGGTAGATTCTTTCCCCAATCTTTCGTCTCGGACGCCAGCATCAGATTGATGGCCTTGGTGATGAGTGCATTGCGATTGGGAATTTCCCGTCTTCGGTTGATCCATTGCAGCTGGATTTCCTCGTCACCAAGCACAACGGATTGCGGGTTATCGATCAGATTCTGTCGGTTCTTGTCACCGAAAATGGCACGACGCTCACGGTTTCGGAGATATGCTGGGATAAAGTGCTTGGAGCGGATGGTGGAGAGGATGTCGTTGAGCTCTGGGTTGGCTGTTTCTGCGAAAGTCGGAACGGCGCGTTTGAAGGATGGCGTGCTGCTGAAGGAGCGTGTTGTTGTTGGTGATGAAGATGAAGATGCACGTTGTATCCGCAAGGCACAGCGGGTGCAGATGGAAGGCGACGCCATGATTTGGGGCTTTCAATGGCAGTCCCAAGGTGTTGAAGTGGACTTTGAGATGTGAGGTGCAGGGAGCGAAGGCGTCCGGCTTTTCTTCGCGAGAACTGGGCGACATCGACATCAACTTCAAGACATCGACTTCAGCGGATCGCCGTCAGTCAAGATCAACATCAACATCGCCAGGAATACAGGACAGCATCCAAACTTCTGGAAAAGCAATGTACTTCCCTTTCATCCATCAAGATTCATTCCAACACTAGAGACCGATGAGAAGGTGCGCTTCTGTCATGTCCACAGGGCACCATGCTCGCTACCAACTTCGATACACTGCCAGTGGAACTGCTGTCGTACATCTGCGAACTCATCTGCCACTCACACAGCCCTAGCTTATGCGCTTTGACACTCGTAAACAAAAATTGCGAGTCGATAGCGAGCAAACAGCTCTTCCGCGACATCTGGGTCTCGTTTAAACGCCTTGAGGATGGACGCGTCTTAACAGACTTTGAGACATGGGAGGCTCTACTTGAGCGTAGAGAATGTTTCGAGAGTGTGCGATCCATATCTGTCCGTGGCACGCTCTCGCCAGCTACACCTGTGAGGTTTTATCACAATCGTAAAGCTATGATTGAGCAGGCAGAGTGGCTAGAAGACGATTTCGATGCGTTCAGCATCCAAGAGCCAGAAATGGACGAGAGTGAGGGAAGTATATTTGTGGCGCTGGTTGGGCTGATAGAGAAGCTCTCGTTCCTCAAAACGCTACGCTGGGCTGCCTTCGAGCAATTACCGAATTGCATACTGATGACTTTGCCTGGGCTGCGCAAAGACTGTGGACTCGAAATGCCTGAGTTCATAAGTCGTCACGCGGACGCTGAGCCTAGGCAAGATCAGGTCTTGTTGACTAACTGTACAAAGCTTCGAAGTATCACGGCAAGGACTGTCTCGGGAGACAGAAACGAACATTTGCTGCTGCATATGCTCAGCGGTGCTACTCCTTCTCTCAAGGAAGTTCGACTCGTCAAATGCGAGGTGTTGACTGCTTTCGGCGTTGACGCTTCCGAAGAAGTACTTCATAGGAGGTCCAGAGCTATTTATGAACGAAATGAGCTAAAATCAAGGGCGAGACCCACACTGTTCTCCATTCACGGTAAAGATCCCATCGAGCGACTGGAACTCGAGCGCTGGTTTGAAGCGGCTGACATGTCGTCGCTACGGCGCCTTGAGCTCCGCTCTGGCGTTAATTCTGCTGAGGTATGGAGTCGCATGATGCGAGCTCAGTTCCTACCACACCTTCGGGAGCTGCTGCTTGGGTTCCCCTTCGACTGTACCACTGAACAGCATGACGCGGCGACAGTATGGATGCGAGACTTGTTTAAAGTAAACAATGTCGCATTGCAAAAGCTCGAGCTCCGTGGAAACATCCCACCCAGCCTGGTCAATGTCACTGTACATTCGCACGGCAAGACATTGCGAAAGCTGATCCTCATTCCTGAAGCTCATCAGGGTCACTCATACCTCAGGTTCTCGTCTCGTGATCTACAGAACATCAACACATTGTGTCCAGCTTTGGAGGAACTTGCTGTTCCCCTCGAAAGAGGACGTGCGGTCGGCAATGAGTTCCATGAAGCACACAGTTACGCTGCTTTGGGTCAATTCGCCAGTCTGACACATCTGCATGTGATCCTGGACTGCTCGCGATGGGGTGAACTGCGACCCGACTGGATACTCCAAGGCTCTGGAGATGACGAGTTCGACGGCCGGACCTACTTTTCCCTCGACGCAAGACCTATTCTTCACAGGAACGTTCGCTACGCTCTTGTGAACTCTGCTGTGGATGAGACTTTGGCCAGAACTGTCTGGGGTCTTATCACGGCGCGAAAACTTGGCCTACCACTTCACGAATTGTATGTTCAGCCTGCTGGAAGCATGGAGCTCATTACAGGCTTTCGACCCGATGATAGGCCGGAGCTTGCCAGTCGGTTAGTCGATCTCTATGCCATGCTCAGGGAGGTCAGCAGGTCCTATAAGATCACTCGGCATGTTAGAGATGATTTCGATGAGCTTGTGGTGAGGGAGCCTCCCAATTCGATCCCGCGCGGCCACTGGTCGAAGCTTGATAGAGAGGAGCGGGACAGGCAGGAAGTTGTTTGTCACTTGAATGGCGTTGAGATGGAGATTTTCCGCCGGATTTGGCCGAGTAGAAGTCTTAGTTGGAGAGATGATTGGTGCAGTCTGCAGCTACCGATGCCAGAGCTGTCGACATGAGATCTCATGCCGGATGGCTCTTTCGTGGCAGGCCTCTCCATGATTTGATGGGCGGCTCTACTAATGGGAAAAGCTTTGGCAGCTCCTGAAATGACTAGCATATCGTGACTGCGGGCATGGAGTACAAAATCTGGGACAGTATATTCAGGGCGTGAAGCTCAGTCTCTTTCACGTAAGAGGTCAATTTCAACGAACAACAGCAGCTAAATCAAAGGGGACAAAAACCGTCAAAGTACTCCTGCGAGCCAATGCTCAAGTATGCTGAAACTAAACCCCGTGCCTGCCGCTAATCGATTTGCAGCCAGTAGGTAGTTTTCTGTCGCCCTTGCCTGCAGATTATCGCATCTACATCTGCTCGTACAACTTCCATTCTTTCACTCCCCTCATCACTCGCTCATCAAATCTCCCATTTGATTCCTCGTCATCAGCGTCGTTTTCGCTGTCTTCCTCCTCGCCGTCTTCTTCCACGCCGCCTTCCTCGTCGCCGTCTTCCTCCTCGCCGTCTTCCTCTTCATCGGTGTCCTCGATCTCGGGGTCTTCGATCTCAGCAGTGTCACAACCAATACCAATCTTCGAGATTGATACCATCTGGCTCTCCACCTCACCCTCTGTCACATGAAGGTGATAGCTATCACGACCGTTGGGAAGAAAATACCTCTTATGCCCCGAATGCTGGGACCACGCGAGCAGGCAGAAGAGCCTCAGGTCCTTCAAGTTTAAGCACTTGGATGCAACACCGAAGAATAGTTTCCACAACTCCCAATTTTCGGGCTCGTCTGCCGTCCCCAGCAGCAATTCGCCGAAGTCCAGGATCTCCAGACTTTTGCTTTGACGAGCGACAAATCGGACGAGTTCTTCGTACTCGCAATCCATCTGAAGGATCAAAACAGACTTCAGTTGGTTTCTGCGAAGATTCTGGTCGAACACTTGCAAGTAGGCTGCGTGGCGAGAATTAATGCCGATCTCGTCCAGTCCCGTAGCCGAGCTGAGTAAAGCCGAGAGAGATTTCGAAGGAACAGCTGCCTCAAATGCAAGCCTTAGAGATTTGAGACTCGACCATGACGCCGAAAGGCTTGCGAGCTGGGAATTAGAGAGCTCCCAGAAGTTGGTCTGCTGCTCATGATAACCAGTGCCATCGCATCCTAGGTCCAACCACTCCATCGCATGTTCAGTGCGGATCAGTGCGTCTTTGACGCCTTGAGCTGCAAAACTGATGCTTCCGTATTCGATTTGAGGAAGAGTCGCCCATGGATAAACATGCGCAATGAAGTATGACGTGCCGTAGACATATGTGGGTCTCTTGTAGCGCGCGCAGTCCTCGCTGCCATCCTTGATCTGTTGAACATCATCACCTGGCCTCGTATCCCACAGTCTACCCATGATTTCCAGGCTTCGACCCACTCCGAGTTTCTTCAAATTGGTGAAGATTTGTTGGAGGTATGTGGTTCCGTTGGCTTGGATATTGTGGCGCTCCTCCTCGTACCAGAGTCTCTCTGAGTCCGCAGTCGCGAGATCCTTCTTAGAAATGAGACAAGATGGAGGCGAGCTACGCTGATTTTCAACACCAACGACGACCAGCGTGATGAATTTCATGTGGCGCGCGAGTTTTGTCGTCTCCGTGATGTCGCGCAGAGCCAGAAGCGAGTGTGTAGTGTACAGGTGTGTGCGATGTAGGAAGTACTCTTTACCAAAGTGGTCCATAGTATTGACGGCGAGCTCGCGACAGCACAAGCGTAGCGCGCTCAGAGCGTCACTGTCGAGCTGTCTTGCAATTTCGATCTGCAATTCGACTGGTAGGCCGAGTAAGGTAGGTGAGTTGACCATAGTCGCCAATGCGCGCGGCGAGATTTTGCGATTCTTGGTTGATGAAATGTCGAGACGGTAAGATTTCAATTGATGTGGTGGAGGATTTTGTTTGCAAGTGGGGTTAGCTGACTCGGAAAGAGAAGATTCAAGTAGCGTCATTTCGGGCGGGAGGTTCCGGTTGCCGAAGCTCGAGTGAATGAAAAGTCGGACACCTCAACCATGTCGATCTGACTTGACTTTTCGTGTGACTTGTACAGACTGCGATATGAATGTTGTAGATCTTTTCAAATTTGGCAGATAATGTGATTGGCAAAGCGCTGAATGTCTAGCAGAGAGAAAAAAAGTGACACATGCAGTCCTTTGATTTTTAGATCAGAGCTATCGATGTGAACACTACACGGTCATCATGCCAGTCCTCTCAGAGACTCCATGCATTGAGCTGTGGCATCATTCTAACGTGCACGAAGCTGTCAACGATCGCATTCTGCATGTTCATGTCCTACTCTCCATCTCCAAGCCCTCATTTCCGTTGTCGTCCTCCTGGTTATCGCTGCTCGAAGTTTTCTGGACTTACGGGACTTCGAGGACTTTCGGTACGAAGTTCTTCAAGTGCTCTGTGCAAGGATTCCACATCTCATTGCGATTGAGCTCTTGCAAGCAACGCCAGATGCTCTTCTGCCCATGAAGCTCCAATTTGCACCAATCCCAAGGTTCTCGATCTTTCGAAAGGACCATCATACTCGGAATATTCCGCACACTGTGTTGGTTTCTTTGCATCACATTGTGGAGAGTGRGCTGGTTGAGCTTTTCGAGGGGATATGGACCCCTGAGGAATTTCAGGAGGCCTTTCCATTCACTTTTGTAGAGCATAACGACCCCGAGTAGATGGACCGATTGAAGCGTTCTCCGTTGTTGCTCCAGAAATCTCTGCAATAGATCTCCTGTTGTGCGAGTGCGTTCTATACGGATCCTAACCAAGCAGCGCGTCGCGATGCTACAAGTGACGAGCTCCCATGTATCAAAGTTGGCCATGTTTTCTAGGACGCTAAGTTCAAGCTCCTTGAGGTTGGTCGTTGATTGCAGTAAGTCAAGATATTCCAATCTGCTGTCACGGACTCCAGCTGTGTTAGCGCTGCCCAGCACCAGAGCAAGAGATGACAGGCTGTTCCAGGTTGACTGTAATGATTGCCACGGAAGATCAAAGGCATCTCGGTGCAGCATCCGATTGTAGTACACCGACAGATCGAGCTTGGTGAGGGGCGCATCCGAAGTTGCACTAGCGCTCAGTATTGAACGCACGGTGAAAGGAGCATCATGCCTCGTCGCAGGTCCCAGGTCCTTGTTCGCCCAAAACCTGTCCGAATGCGCCCGTTTGATGCGAACTATTGGAGAGCACTTGGCGGCTCCAAGATTGTTGAAGGCATTTTGCAGAAATTCCAAGTCTTGTCCGGTCGCCAAGAGCGTCTCATGCTCATGCTGGCGTCGCTCGTTTTGATTCCACCTGAGATCAGGCACGGTCCATTGGCGCCGTGGAGGTGAGAGCATACTGTAGAATGAATTACCAGTGGGGCTTCGCATCACCCGGCTAAGCTTAGCAACTTCAAAGGATACCATGTCGAGCTTTTTGAGAAGATGCGGCTGGGCTGTGATGTCAACCAGCCTTTGTAGACCAGTGCGACTGTAGTCAACACGTAGCGACTTGAAATGCTGGGCGCAGAACTCATCCAGACACGCTCTCGAGAGCCTGTGGGATACGAAACGCATAGCGAACTCTTCAGGAGTATCCAACATGTTCATGATGTGGACGAGCAACTCGTTTGGCAGTGATAAAAGTGGCATGTTCGATGGACCGAATACGGTGTCTGAGGCATGCGTCTTCTTCGAGACGAGGGTATGCAAGAGCGATGGTGTAAAGGAGGGATCGGAGGGTAAATTGAGTAACGAACAGCCCTCTTGTTTGTTTGCAAAGTCCAAACTTCTTGAGATTTCTCTTGTTTTCTGGCCCATTCCTCTACCGCCTTCGGACAGCGAGTGAACTCCCTCGGGAGCTGTTGAAAGAGTGACAAGAGAAGTTGACGGGCGGAACGAGGTTTTCGATCTACTTACGGTGTACCTTATCATGTGTCAGTCGACGGCAGCACTGATTTTGTCTTTTCTGATCAGCGATAAAACCCGCTCCGGTATAGCCTAAGCCCTGACTGAAATCCTTGCGCCGCCCAGCTTCTTCGAAAGGGGTTTTCGCAGGGCCGTTTTACGCTCCTGAAAAGCAGTCTTCCGCCTGGCCGTCGTCTTTCCTGCTACCTCAATTGCCATGTCATACCGAAGGAGTTCAGTTTCCATCGTCTTCGGCATCGGCATCTTCGTCACCATCTGTATCCGAATCTGCGCCTATTCCTTCTAGTCCTTCGTCGTCTGCAATGCCCGTCCATATCTCCTGAGGATTGTTGTCGTTGTAATCCGTGAATTGGGCGTCGTCTGCGAGCTCGACTAKGACTTCTTGCACCCCTTTCTTACCAGATACCATCAAACACGCCTTCTGCGTCCGTGCCACGGTCGAAGCGAGCTCCCATTCGTCGCCGTAGACATTCAAGTAGTGAAAGCGAATGAAGTCGAGCGAAAAGCCTACGCTGAGGCTCGAAAATATGTCTTTCCAAACACGCTGATCATTGACGGCTATCAATGCCAACGTCAAGCGCTTCAGGGTGCTGCGTTGCTTTCCCAGAAAACACATGATTCGTTCGCTATGTTCGTTTAGACCGACAAGCTCGACCGAGCGCAATCTGCATTCATCGAAATTGGTGCTAATCATGTCAAAATCGATTAATGGTGATGTAAACTGGAAGATGCTGAGCTTTTGCAGCTTCGTGGCCGACTTCAAGAGCTTCATTAGTCCAGCAACTGCAGGAGACCGCGAATCGTAGCTCTCTTCGGGCGTATCAAAGGTCCCAAGCTCAAGTGCTGTGAGCTGTGACCACGCTCTTTGAAGCGTCGCATCCGGTAGTTTGTCAAAAGTCTTTTCGCCCAGCAGTTCCAGGACGCTGCTCGAATTAAGTTTGACAATCGGGGTTGCAGACTGAGCGCTGGCGGCTGTCAAGGCTCGTAGCGCGGATGGCGGCGAGCGTGCTTGTTGGACATGATCGATTGCTTCTTGTTTGCCAAGAAGTGCCTCCAGCCCTGAAAATCCGGCAGTCCTTTTGATCCTACCGGCGGCAAGACTCACGTCAGAGAGTATGATAGACGGATATACCTTGCAGGCTGCGAGGTTATCCAGAAGTTGTGCGAGAAGTTCGCTCTCGATACCGCTATCTCTGAAGTCGCTCGCTTCGGAATTCCAGATTTTCTTCAAGGGCTTGATGTCGTTTGCGTTTGTCGAGGTCAAGCGCACAGGAACGAGCCGAATTGTCTTGAGTTTGGTGCGAAAGCCTGACTGTGTAGTGATGTCCACGAGCTGTTGCAGTCCGGTGCGAGTGAATAGATGTATGCGATGTTCGAAGAAGCGGGAGGTGAACGTGTCGAAGCAAGCAGCAGATAGATCTCGGCACGTCAGTCGCAATGACAGAACATCTGGACCGTCAGCAACTTCGGCGATGGCGCAGTGTATTTCAGCAGGCAGGCCCATGAATGTCGCGGGCGTTTTCATGTTTGCTGCACCCGAGCGCTGTGCAGCGGCCATGTCCATGGCGAGGCGGTATTGTGGTGGCGAGTGATGATGGCAAGACTACCGCAGCTGGAAGCGATGTGTTTGGACGTTGACGCGGCGGTGATGCTTTGGGGGAAAGCCGGACTTGGTGAGGACTGGACCTTTGGATTACGGCGCGTGTTTAGGTTTCCCAAGGTTGGCCGAATTCAGCGTGATAACACATCTCCTCCCGGACTGCGATGACAGGACACGTGCCATCTCCAACATGACGGCGCCTAGACGAGCGGGATGCTCTGGAGTAGAAGCAGTGCCATATGGCTATCTACACCGGTCTGACACATAAGATATACAAGTACCGTTTTGTACAGGTTTCCCTCCTCAACGCCATCGCTATGCCTGATTCATATCTTGGCATCGCTACCTCTTCTTCTTCCCGCTGACCTTGCGCCTCCCAGAGTTCGCATCCCGGCCTTTGACATCCTTACTACCAACACCTCCACCGGCCTTGTTTCTCAAGTATTGCCTTACAATGTTCTCCACACTGCCCACATCGTGCTTGGGGTTACGCATGTAATAGAGCTTCGCACGTCTCGCTCTCTTCGCCTTCCGCTGCACAATCTCAATCCCCTCCACATTTGGCGAATAAACCTTGAACCACACCTCCACCGCCACTCTTGTGAGCTGATTCCTCAGCAGAATTGAAGTATCAATTGGCGAATTGCGCTTTCTGATGACAAGACAGACTCCACTGACAGGGTCGCCGGACTTGAGGCGCACGTGCAGAATATCACCAGGCTGCACCCGTTCGGCATTGGAGTCTGCGAAGAGTCGTGTTCGGGCTCCTGTGGGATCTAGCACGGCAAGTTGTGCTTGTGTGACTGCTGCTATGGGGTCTGGGCATGCTTTGACGGTTGATCGGGGAGGAGGTATGCTGGGAATCTTGCGCATGCTTTCTTCGAAGCCTACATACATCATAAATTAGTTTCGAGCGCCCTCTTYCATCCAATGACGGGCGACATACGGTTCTGCTTTATCGCCTGCGAAGGCCGGAATCCTGAAGAGGGAGGATTGATCGGTCGGGGCTCCAGTGACGGATATTTGACTGGTGGGAGCACGAGATCGGGCTGGTGAGTGATGGGTCTCAATGGCGCAGTTGCATAGCTTCGACTGCGCTCACGCTCTGCGCGACATTGCCGCAGCGCCTGTTTGAGGCTGCCTAGCGGCCGGATGGGGGTGGCCATGGTGGAATAATGGGATCCAGATATGAGTTGACGATGCGGGAGTCTTGCGGAGGTGAAGCTGGCCGCCTCAGATTGAGTTTGCCAAGCTTGCAGGGAACGAGGCTCCCCGTCAGCACGACGACGACATGACTTTCATCAGCAATTCAGCGTCGCTCCGGATTCCAACATTCATTTGACACGGCCATACGATCGTGCATCTGGAAGTGATGTCCTACCTATCGCGCATACACATGAGCTGGACGAAAACGAAGACACATCCAGCTCAAAGCCAAGAACAATGGTGTCTCTACCGCCCAAGGACCATACACCCTCGAGTACAGCTGCCTCCTAGGCGATACACGGACGCTCGCTACTCCAGGAATCTAGCGGATAGACGTGTGATTGTCTCGAAACCCCTTTTTGCAATTGCGTTTSTGTTCAATTAGCTGGGAAACCGTAACTTTGAGCAGCGAACAGCGATCCAATCGGAGCGGGTGGTCGTCACAGCCATCTTCTTATACTCGGTCTCGAAGCTGGTACAGGTTTGTGGATTCATCACTAAGCTTCTACACATAATGTCAAGGCTATGATTGACGACAAAGGACGAGTCTATCACTCCAGCCGTCAATTCCTCGGTTGATAAGGAGCAAGATGATCGACCGCTATTTCCGCAAAAACAAGTTCATAGAGTTCAGATTGGACCAAAGGCAGCGCTAAGGTAGCCGTCCCCGAGACCCTCACTCTAGTCTCTATATACCTCAACGACTTTCATCATCAAGATTTCCTAATTTGTCCCTTGTCGCAACAACATGGAAAACCTCCTCACCTGGAAACGATTTTCCTTCCTCTTGCTAGGACTTCTAACAGCCATCATCCTCTGGCCCACGACCAAATCTGCTTATGAAGGATTTAACCTCCCGAAAGGTCCCGCCATATCTTCACTGAGGTCGAGTGAACTTCCGCTGGATGCTCACCACGACATCGTCGACACCTTGACTGCCGATCAATGCGATTCCGCATTTCCAGGTCTTTTCTATGAAGTAGATCGAGCAGCCGAACACTTCCGCGAGTCCCGAACTTCAATCACCAAAGAGGACGTCAACATCACGTGGCGATATGGCGAAGAAGGGCAGGTCGCCGGTGCTATGCGGATTCTAATACACGACAATCAACTTCGTATCCTCGAGACGCGCCAAATTATTGATTCTCTCGGCTATGCCGGCCGTGGCCTTCCTCTTCTAAACATGCTTCAACGGGCCGTGGACTCCGCAACAGCAGGCGGAGAGAAACTTCCCACCATCGAGGCAGCTATCATAGTGGAGGACATTTCAGACCCCCCTGAGAATGGCACACACTCCTTCTGGACTTTCGCGCGTAGTTTGACGAAAGAATCCCACCAGCGGCTCTGGTTGGTGCCGAACTTCGACTTTTATGTTCAGAGCGAGGGCGCCTTTGAGGAGGTTCGCAGACGAGGTGCTGCTCGGGATGCTCCTTTCACCGAGAAGATTCAAAAAGCCATCTGGAGAGGTCAAGCTTGGGTCAACCACCCACTTCGTGATAGTTTGCTTGATGCCGGCAAGGGCAAACCCTGGGCCGACTTCATAGACACTCAAATGGATCATACAGCCTGGTTGAAGCCTGATGAGGTATGCAAGTATGCTATGAATGTGCATACCGAGGGAGTCTCCTATTCTGGACGATTGGCGAGTCTATCGCTGTGCAATTCTCTGACTTTTGTCCACGATTTGGAATGGACGGCACACTTCTATAATTTACTGAAACCGGATGGACCGGAGCAAAACTACGTACCTGTTAAGCGGGACTGGACAGACCTAGAGGAGAAGATACAACATTACATGAATAACCCGAGGGAGGCAGAAAAGATCATTCAGAATTCCGTGGACGTACTTCGGAGCAAGGCACTCTCAAGAGCGGGCACATCGTGCTACTTCAGGAAGCTGATACAGGGGTACAGCACCGTATCATTCACGCCAGAAGTCTACAGACCAGTCAAACAAGGCCAGTTGCCGAGACGAAGAGGACTTTCATTCGAGGCTTTCATGACGATGAGGAACGATTTGCACCATGAAGACATGGATTTGTTGGATGTTCTGGAGGGAATTAATGCGGGAACTGATTGAGTTTATGTGATTTGTTATGTGAGACGAGAGCCTTAGATACCCATTCAGATAAGAGAGAATATGCAAGGGGCCGGTAATGACCAATATTTCTCTTCTTCGATCAAGTCTCACGGCAATGGGAACAACCACGAGCTAGAGCTCCATACCTTGGCAGCACATAGCGATGATATTCCCGCGAGGGTAACAGGATTGGGATGACGCTGGAATGACAAGGTGTGGTGCGAATGAAGACGAACAGCTCTTGTAACAAGTTCCACGGCTACAGAAGGTGTGTATAAATGATGCCAGATCATCGTTCCTCGTTCCTCGTGGCGCGTTTCAAAGCATCACCTACCTCAACTCCACCGCCCCGAAGAAGCGACAGCCTCCGTAGCCTTTCGCTATGACAGACTGCAGATCCACATTGCTACGGTTCGCCCATACTTTCAACAGCACGAATCTGCCTGAGATAGGTGGCTCAAATCCGATGGCGACCTTGTACTTCCCGTTACGAATGTGAAAGCGGGCCCGCGTGACGTTTGGATCATTCAGACCGTCATCATACCGCTCTGATCCGTCCAAGGGAGGTTCGGGGGGTGCGTCTCCAGACTCATCTTGCAGATTTCTCTGTTCCCGGAATCGTATTCTAGGGTCTCTTCTTTCATATGTGTATGTGCGATCGTCCGAAGCCTCGTTACGCCGAGGGGAGTCGTCCATGCGAGATCGGGCCATCATGGAATCCAGATGTCGGAGATTCCATGAAGAGTCACGCTCTGCGGCTTCGCCGTCTACGAGCACGGTGTTGGGTCGATTCCACCTCGCTTCATCGTCTCGATTATCAGAATCGAATCTGCGACGCATGCTCATGGCCCTCAGTCTTTGCTGGCGAAAATCAAGGACTTCTTGAGACGAGCTCTCTTCTGGATCAGGCTCGTCGTCACTCAAAACAGTGACTGGAACACTACCGTCATCGGCAGGTACAAGTATGTTTTCGGCTTCAGCGGCAGATGGCAATTCGCAATGAGACTCTGCGTCCATGTCTTGCCTGTAGTAATCATCATCTGCGGTACCATACGACGCAATGGCACGGAGGCCCATGCGAGTGTAATGTTCTCGTTGCCGTTCCTCTACACCCTCGTTGACCTCGGGGTCCCTCAGGGCTTCGGATAGTGTTATACGTTCGTCTGAGTGTCTAATACTGCGTTGTCGGCGGTACGGCGGAGTATGGACACCACGCACCCTGGCATGCTGCGGCGGGTCTATGTATTTCTTCAAGTCATCAAGCGTCATTGCAACGTACACGATTCCCTCACGAACGCTGTTTTCACATTAGTGGAAATTGCGGGTGCGCTGCAGGGACAATCTTACGGTGCAGTAAAACCGTGCTCTGGTCCTACAATGTGCAGCTTCTCCATACAGAAAGGAGTGTCGTCCGAATGTCTCRGCAAGATGCTACTACTTGGCCTATCCGAGCAGTAGACGCTCTTATCGTGTCTGAGCAAATTCTCGGGACCCAAATAGGTACTCGGGTGTTTGGGATCCCAGTGCTCGCCACCATCACAGCTGATAATGTCGAGTGCYAACCTCCCTGGCTCGACTTGTCCGTAACGTCCGTATTTGATGGGCTCCTTGGGAGTAAGAGTCGATTCGGAGTCCAGCTTTCTACGCTTTGGCCGTCGTCTTCTGATATCCTCGCTTCCTACATCTCTTGGGTCTGTGGCGGGAGAGCCGTTGACGGGAGATCGTTGTCGACGACGCTGGAGTGGACCAAGCTGAGCACGGCGCGATGGATGGGTAGAGGCCCCCATCTCGGCGAGATCATTGGCAGCCATGTCCTCCGTCGCCCTTAATGCTTGATGAAGTCGTGTGCGGCGTGTGCGAGGTGTAGAGGATTCGCTCGCCGGTGGGTTGTCGTRCTGGCCATGCTGTCCACCCTGTCAGCTGACCGTTCGCCATGACCTCACTACCGCCGTCACCAGCTTTTGACGTACACGCAGCGTTCTTAATCGTGGATCAGGAGGTGGAAGCCGCGGGTCCATGATAATTGATCTCGATCTCGCCCACACTGTCGTCCTTTCTGCTTGCTCTGGTCCTACTGTATGTAGCAGGGAGTGCTATCCCGTTCGAAACAGCATTAATCCTACCGAGGAGTGCTGATTTGATTAGTGAAGACGAAGCTGCCGTCTATTCACTCTGAATTGTTCTACGTGAAGAAGCAGAGTGCCATATGCGAGTGAGAAGTGAGGTGTCACTGCCATACTGGCGAATGATGAATGATGCCGATGGCCGGTTGCGGGGCTCAGGGTTTCTCGGATCCCGGCCAAATCACGTGGCTTTGCAAAGGTTCGTTCTTGCCTTTTGGATCTTGCATTGACATCGACATCAACATCAACACCGCAACCTATATTCCGAGCTGTCTTTGTGAGGTGAAAGTTCGTTCTGAGAATCCTAAGAAGACAAGCCTGCTGAGTAGCCAGAATACGCCGCAGTGGAGCGTTTCCTTCTAGCTCMATCTTAAGCGAAGCAACATGCATGTGAAGTGAAAGCGCTACGAGTGCAGCACTCTTCTCGCCATCGTTTTCGATCAAACACCTACAACCACAATGGCCGCACCTGTCAGTTCTCAGCAAGGTGCTGCAGTCCCGGCCCACACTTCAAATGGCCACAACGGCACCAACGGCACCACCACCACAGCAATCCCCACCACAAACGGCACAGGGGAGAGTAACGCAACGACCGCCATGCCAGGCTTGAGTGCTGAGGAAATGGCACAGTATGACCGTCAGATCCGTCTTTGGGGCGCCGAAGCGCAGCAGCGGATACGATCCGCCAACATTCTGCTCATCTCTCTACGCGCATTGGGAACAGAGATTGCCAAGAACCTCACGCTGGCCGGAGTTGAATCACTCACCATCGTCGATGAGGGTCTCGTTGTTGAGGAGGATCTCGGTGCGCAATTTTTCGTGCGCGAGGAGGACATCGGCAAGCCGGTAAGTATTTAACGTGATCATCAATGATGCCAATGATCAACTTGATGTTCACTCCAGCTGACACGCAACAGCGCGCCGAATCAGCCATCCCTCGGATACAAGAATTGAATCCGCGGGTCAAGGTCCGCTCTGGTGGTAGCCTGCAGAATCTACTCGGTCGAGTCGAGGCATTCTCGGCATACGACTGCATCATCGCATGCGATCACGACCTCATGACTCTCTCCGGCATCAATGCCGCTGCTCGGGTGGCTAGTAGACCTTTCTACGCTGCTGGAATCCACGGCTTCTACGGCTACATCTTCGCGGACCTTGTCGGACATGAATTTGTGGTGGAGCGCGAAAAGTCGAACATAACAACCCAAATGCAGGCTGAAACATTGACCCGTGCCATCGTTAGCGTCACCACGAGAAAGGAAAACAATGGCAAGACTACAGAGATCGTTAAGAAGCAGGAGCTGTACTGTCCACTACTCATCGCAAACTCCTCCGCACTTCCCCAGGATGTGCTCAGCAGTCGCCGGAAGCTGAAGATGGTTCCGGCTCTACTGCCATGTCTTCGCGCACTGTTTGAGTTTCAGCGGGACTATCAGAAACTACCTGAAGCCACTCCACAGGATCTCGCCATCTTCACCACGTTGGCCACGAACAAAGCGCGAGAACTCCAGCTGCCGCACGAGACGCTCCGGGCTGATTTTCTGCGAAGCTTCATGCAGAGTATTGGCGCCGAGATCATGCCAACGGCGGCATTTGTTGGCGGTCGCTTGAGTGAGGACGTTATCAACGTCTTGGGCAAGCGTGAGCAGCCGATCCAGAACTTCGCTCTGTTTGACGGAGACGGCTTGGAGGGCAAAATTTATTCGCTGTACACCTTTACGCCAGAGCTTTCCGCGCTGGGCAGTAACATGTCGGCGGGGATGCCTATGAGCGGACAGATGATCACCGACATGCCGATGGACATGGGCAATGGTGGCGGATCCATCAATTTGGTGTGAGAGGCTGCGGGCTATGATCCGGCGATTTGGTGAGCCGATCGGACTGTGTTTTGGCGGATGGCCAGTGATGCAGGTTCGGGATTGTGTCGAGACTTGGGCCAGACAAGTGATGTGATTAAGGCCGACAAGACAGTCGCGTCCAGGCATTACAGATGGCGAAAGGGGCTCGATCTGACCATGTAGAAAATTGGTAGCAATCACATGAATGATAGTGCTGTCATAAGTCATGTCTCTCGGTTGCATCCACTCGCCGTGGAGAGTTCGATGGATTAGAAGCATCTAACATATGGAGTGTCGATACATTGGAATGAACTCTAGATATGTTTGGACTCTGCAGTTGCTGAACATCATGTCTGCAAATTCGACACATCTTTTCCGATGTATGCCTTGCTGTTTAAGAAACGAAATAGGAAGTCTATAACACTCAAGCTTAGTTTATCCCATCTGGCGGGATGTCTTCACCAGGCTTCATCTCATCGTCGTGGCTAGCTGGTACTACCCCAACCCTAACCCTAGATGTAAAACTCACCCCGCAATCGGAGGGCAATGATCGCCCTCGCGTCTTTTTTTATCGCTGGACCTGATCTGCAAGGGCCGTTGCGCTACGCGTATCCACGCTGTCATTCAACTTTTCCCGAGCTCCATAATAACACCGCAACCATCCATACGCCTATTTTCTGCATAATCCTGTGATATCCTAGACGTCTCACTCCGTTGATTCCAGAGAGCCTAATACCACATTCACCATGGCAACTGAAGTCGAAGCACTTCCAACAGCCGAATCCAGCACTGCCGCCAACGCGACTTCATCAATCAAAGTCACATATCGCGATGATCGATCCATACCGATGCTGCTATTACAGCATTTCATTCGGCCCTTCAACTCAACCATCGTCAAGAGCCGACATGTGCGACCGCCTGGATCACAAAAGCTAGAACCCTCAAGCGTCGTGRAAAAGAAAGTGGACGTATCAGAGCGCGTGGTCGAAGACATGTATCTGTATGATGTGACGCCAAAAGATCAAAGCGACGCTCATGGGACACCAGCAAAGAAACGGATATACTACTTCGCTGGTGGAGCATGGCAAATGACACCCTCCTCGCAGCATTGGGCATTCGTTGCGGAGCTGGCTGCCCAATTGAGGGATACCACCGTGACAATGGTGAGCTACCCACTCGCACCCAACAGTCCAGCGCCTGTAGCGTTCCCACAGATCATGAAGCTTTATCGCACGCTCATGGCAGATGCGGCCGCTGCGAATGAGGAAGTTACACTGGTTGGAGACTCTGCTGGCGGCAACATCATTCTCAGCCTGGTGGCCAATGATCTCATAGCGGAACCCGATGCGCCCTGTCCCAAAGGCGTGATGGCAATTTCACCGTCGACCGATATGCGGCGCGAGAATGAGGCCATCAAAACTGTGGAAAAGCACGATCCAATTCTGCGACTGCAATTCATCAAGAACTCCGCCAAAACATGGTGTGGTGATTGGGATCCGAGCGATACACGCGTAWCGCCGCTGCTGGCCGATCTCACCCCGATTGCCAGGCGAGGTGTCAAGATACATGGCGTTACAGGTTTGTACGTCAGCTCGAAGGGCAGGAGGCATTAACCCGGCGTGTCTCGTAGGATCGCAGCGAGTCTCTCCTGTGCAAGCGAAGGCCAAGGCAACAGCCAGCTTTGCATGTGTTGAAAAACTCATCRCATGTGGGAGACGTCCCTCAAGACAAGCTGGCGACACCTCTCCTGCCTGGTCATTCCACCACTGAAACATCTGCTGATACCTTCTGTCCGTTTTTCTAGGTACGACATCCTCTCTCCTGATGGAATCTTATTCCGGGAGAAGTGTAGGGACGCGAACATTCAGGGAGAATGGCTGGAGTGGAACAAACAGATGCATGTTTTCCCGCTGACGTTCCCATATAAGCTGCCTGAGGGTACAGCCTCTTTGGAGTGGATATTGGACGTTTTGAAGCGTACCTGAGCCGTCGTGCAGCTCGCTCTCACCTATATGTTCTATAACATGCAGCTTTGACCACACCAGTCCCGGGACTTCTACGCATATTCGATGCAATATGCTCCTCACGAGCTTGGCACCCTGATCCTCTGGCCTGGAATGCAAACACAGAGCATCCCACAGCCCTGCTTCAATGAAGCTAGAAATAAAGAGGCTCTGATTCATCTTGGTCGCCAGTAATGCTAAAGAGAAACGGCAGTCGCAGGTGAAGTGCTATCACGCACCCTGTGCCTGTTCACGTAACCTGAGAGGTAGCACGACCATGTGACACAAAGCAGATGCGCAGCTTTCCTTTATGTCCGGCTAGACGCCGGCGGCGATCCGATATTTATTCTCCGGTACTACAGGATTGAACGTAGCTAGGTGGCGATCATGCAGGTTTCCTACAAAGTGTTCATTCCAGTCGACAACACCAGACCGCAGAAGTGACTACTTGCACATTCATCGACAAATGGCATCGATGTGCACAAAGATCAATACTGTCTCAATACTTGATACGAAATCGCCTTGTGGGACTCGGCAGCAACAAGCTGTGAAGCCTTGCAGGACTCGGCAGTTGGAGCTGTGTGCTATGTAATCGCATAGCTGCAGACCGCTCTTGATTTTCGTCACACCGTCTTCAGAAGGCGATGCTTCGAATTGAGATTGACCTTGGAGTCGCGAGACTTGCATGTCCAGTAAGTGTCAGGCTCTCATGAATTTCTACGAGGAGTATGCTAACGTTAGTGTTCGAGTAGTGGACGAACTTAGGCGAAAGCGATTAGGGTAATAAGCGACGATGGATGTTCAAATATTTCCGTGATGCTAACTCCACTTTCCTTCAAACCGCGCTAACGCCCCCGCTAGCGATACTAGACCCGGAGAWGGAAAAATGTCCATTGCGCGTTGGTGAACAACAGGAAAGATTGTCGACACAATGTCCTGCCGTGCACCTGAATTGGACTCATAGAAGTGTTGTGGAAGATTCTCGCTGACCTGGCAGTTGCACAGCGGCCAATTGGAAAGTGCAAATCGAAATGCCGAGACACGTGAGAGCGTCTTGAAAGTCGAATCTATGTAATGCGATATCATGGGACCGAAGATTCTAGCGTGTTGGATGAAAGTTTAGTCTCTATCTCCCTCACATCTTTGACACACCGTACTCCCTCCCTGCTCGTTCGTTTCCACATTGACAGACATCTACTCCTTCAACAGGTCAGGAAATCAGACAGACGCCAATGTCTCTTGTCCAGCGAGTTACATCCATCGAAGGAACTGACCGCGAGCCTGTAGAAGCGGACTCATATCAGCAGCATCATCGTTACGGTACGGTCAAATCCGTTCGATCTGTCCGCTCGCTGCGTCGTGTTATCAGCTACGATGTTTTCCCCAATCCCGAGGAGGAATCCCATGCAGTCGCGCCAACTGGTGGAGTGGCGGCGTACAAGGTGTCAAGTGCAAAGCGAATTGGTATGGCAGTACAATGCAAAATAAGAGTCCACCCGCTAATAATTTGCCACAGCCCAGGTCATAGTCACAATACTGTCTTGTTGGCTCGCCAGCGGTATTGTCTTTGGATTCGCAGCACTTAAACCAGTGCTTGTCGGTGAGGGTGTGTATCGAGAACTATGTACACGTGAAGAGCTTGATCTTGACGTGGAGGTTTGTTACGAACAGGATTTGAGGTGTGTTTCGTCCAGGCCCCCAATTCTCGTCCGTCATCGACGAGGCTGACTTGTGAACRGACTCAATTTATTCTTTGCGATTGCTTCGACGACCTGCAACATATCCGCGTTGGTGGTCGGCACGATCCTGGACAAATATGGGCCACGCGTCGCTGGTCTCATCGGAAGTTTCTGCCTGGCGTTGGGGAGTATCTTGATGGCCACTGCCTTCTCAATTCCAGCGTTTGATGGTTACATTGCAGGCAACGTCTTCTTATCGCTTGGTGGAACCTTTGTCTTCGTACCGAGTTACACGATAGGCAATGCCTTTCCAAAGTATGCTGGTTTGATTGTGGCCATGGTAACGGGAGCCTTTGATGCATCGGTGAGTCGCCTTTTCCATTATTTTGGTTGTGATCTTCCATCGCTGACTTTCGGACAGGCTGCGGTCTTTCTCTTCCTCCGGCTAGCTTATGAAGGATCGGGCAGAACCTTCACACCAGACAAGTTCTTCTATGGATATCTCATCGTGCCGGCCGCGATCTCTCTTACCCAACTGTTTTTGATGGAGCCAGACGGCTACAAAACAGTACCACAATTGGAAGAGACCATTGAGAAACAGCGAGATGCAACCCAAGATGTATGACTTGCCTTGATGATTCGGAAGCGTCGTCAGCTAACCATGAATACAGGTACATTCGTCCGACGATGAGCTCAGTGATGGCGAGGTACGCCGTCTAAGAAGCCGTCGGCGAGAGCATCGAGAGTCAAAGATTGCTCAGCTCGACAAGCTGGTTGGCGATCTCGATGAAAGGTACGAGAAGCAGGTGGAAGTGCATGCAGCCAGCGGTGTATGGGGTGCTCTTCATGGGAAGTCCGCCAGAGAGCAAATGTTGACCCCGTGGTTTATTTTGATCACGCTTTTGACCGTCTTATCCATGTTACGGATGAATTTCTTCATTGCAACGATCAGGTCGCAGTATGAGTACATGCTGGGCTCCGAGTACATTGCCAAAAGGCTAAATTCATTTTTCGACGTGGCCTTGCCTGTAGGAGGTAAGGAGACCTCATTCTGCAACATCGACTCCGCTGACGATGTGTAGGTATTTTTGCGACGCCATTCATTGGACTGTTGTTGGATAATGTCAGCACTGCCATGATGTTGGCAGTCCTCGTGGCACTGACCACGGCCGTTGGGATTCTGGGCTCACTGCCGTATCTGTGGGCAGCATACGCCAACATCGTCCTCTTCGTACTCCTCAGGCCGCTTTACTATTCAGCAATGTCGTAAGTACATTCAACATCTGTAACGAATCCCCTACTGACAACGTCTGTAGTGATTACGCAGCCAAGGTGTTCGGCTTCGCAACCTTTGGGCGTGTATACGGCACAATCATCTGCCTTTCTGGGATTGTAAATTYGTCCCAGCCGTTGATCGATGCGGCAAACCACGAGGTATTTCTTGACAATCCAATCCCCATCAACATCATCATGGCGACGCTTGGTTGTCTTGTTGGTACGACGCTGGTCGTGTTCGTGGCTGTCAAGGGCCGAGACGTTCCAGCAGTGGAGCCCGCGTCGTTGGAGGCAACTGAAAGAGATCGGTTGATCATTCGTGAGGTAGAGGAGCCAGAGGACGACTATTAGTGGCCATTTGAACTTGACTAGCGACTTAGCGTAGCGATGCAAGTGTTGTACTCTGTATAGAAGCGTGTGGGCTTTTCGAAGTAGTAGTTGACTCTCAGGTCTATACAAAAGCGAGCAAAGCAGGACGTTCGAACTTTGAAGGATGCACATGGTGTCGTTGCGAGGAAGTGAAATGACTTCGATCACGCCATTCTTCATTCTATGCACGCCATGCAAGCCGGGCCAAGGGTTAGGGTTGTGTTGGTGTCTAATTTGGGGCYGGACACTCGAACAAAACAGAATCTCGGATGGAGTGGTAGATCCTGACATGACCAACTTACCTGCCATGTTGGCGATAGCCTATCGTTTGAGACCACAGTATCGACTGTTCCGCATAGCTATGAGGCTATCCACAATGGCAAGGTCATACCACTCCGTCAACATCAACGCAATTCACATCAATACATGCACATCAACGTCTTCACATGGATGAATGAGGGACCAGTGGAAGTAAGGCAGAATCAAATTGTGTCCAGTGGTATCATTCGCTCATCCTAATTAAATATCCACGGTGGCAAGACGCCCCAAAGCTACGGGAGTGAGTACGGAGTAAATGCGTACGGCGCCTCCATTGTCGCATAATCATAATCCTCCACATTAAACTTGATATCTCCAATCAAGGCTGGGTCAATCTGATCTTCGGGACTCTCGTATTGTGGCCATGACGCTGTCATGGATCCATCGAAGACATCATCTTGACATATGAATGAGTCTTGAGGAAACTGGAAGCAATCCGACGCATCGCCCGGCAAGCTGTGGTTCCACAGTGAAGGGCTCAATTGTTGAGGCTGCAGCGGTTCCAGATGAGGAGAGTCAAGACCCGAAAAGCCGTCAAGACTTGAAGGCCAGTCCCAATGTGAGGCCTGTGTGAATGCAGGTAATTGCGACCAAGTCTCCTCTGTAGTCCAGCTTTGATCATATGATATGTGATCTCCAGGATCAGAGACTGAGTAGCTCAAATTGCTACCTGGACTTCCTCCTTCGCTAGTGCTCAGGTAAGGGCTGTGTACGGGAGAAATTGTTCCGGCGGATAGTCGTCCTGCTCTGGCTCTGCCTGTTTTGTATGTACAGCAGTGTCCTCCTCGTTGGCAGCGTGCACAAGTCGCGAGACCATCACATTTGGTCTTCAGTCTTGAGCAACGATCACATGCTTTCCCACTTCTTGAGCTGGCTGGTGTAGGTCTTTCGGTGTCATGAATGTGGTGGTGTCTGTCGAGAAGATCCTTCCTTTTGAAGCAAGCACCACAAGCAGAGCATGGGTATCCAATTCCAGACATGTCTAAACACCAAGAGTTAGCGATGTCTCACAAGTCGATGGCAGGCAGAGACGAACGATTCTTCCTATGTCTATTTAGAGTCTCTACGGCTTTGTAACTCTTTCCGCAGTCTGTGCAGACAAATCTTGGAGGTTTGTTGTCAGTCGGCATGGCGTAATGTAGTAAACAGTAGTTGGTCGTTTGGGATTAGAGCTTGTGTGTATCTGTGCGACGTCGATTGAGGCGGCCCCGGACATATATACAATCCAATCGCGACCCGACACAGTGGCTTCGCTCTGTAAGTTTGCGCTCGTAATCAATCTACCGAAACCGCTCCATCGTTAGGCGTGTAGAATCCTATTAGTCTCACAAGAATACTCGTCTGGAAGAAAGCGCGTGGTAGGGCAGGAATGCTGGTGCCTGCTCGAGTCGAAATCATGGAGTCACTCGTTGTTCATTCGTTGTTTCGCTAGCGCGATATGTCGGTATAGGGCAGCACAGAGTGATCAACCATTCCGACTGCCGAATTCGTAACGCATCACCGCGCATGGCACTCCGAGAACCGGAATAGAAGGCGGAACAAAGATCAGCCAAAGCCTTTCGATCCTGCACACACGGCGGCTCCGTAAACGGAGCGACTTTGAAGCAGGTTCCCCCAGTTACCGTTTCTTATTCCATGCACGTCGGTGCATATGATGTATACGTGGGTCCTCCGATCCTGGTGAGGATGGCATGGCTGAGAGGATCCACCAWCGGGGAATCCTGCGAATGCCAAGCAAGTTGGCGAATGTGGCATCGCCAAAAGCTTGTCGTCAACAAGATTTTGGAGCCAAGTTGTTAGTATCCTAAAATCAAAAGCATTCTTCGTGGTTCTGTGCCTTGTGTGTAAAGCACGCAGTATCATGCTGTGACCAGCACTTTGCAAGTCTTGCCTYGATTGGTCTTGGGTTGCTTCACCGGTTTCGTATTGCTTTGCAACCCTTTGCCGCGCTAGACGGCAAGTTCCATAGAGTTTGAGAGCAAGAATCCTTCGTGGCCCCCTCTCGCTACCGAGAAAACCAAAAGAGTAAGGTAGACCGTGCATGAACGTGGCGGAAGATGCCTAGTCTAWCATTGGTCCATCGACAGGTCCAGGAACGTAGGTCACAAGCAACGAACTTCGAGTAAGACTCAATTGGTTAGACGGCCGAGAGATAGATAGGCTCGAGTCAACCATGTGTGATATACAGCATGGTAGAACGTTGGCCGTCAGCCGCGTGGCGATCACCCGTCAACGATTATCCGAGGTCCAATTTGCGCCCACGACCTGAAGACGACCTGACGAGCACGAGGAGCAAAGTACACGAGAAGAAAAGAATGTTCCACGCATGGCGTGTCTTCGCCAGCCCTGCGGTATCGCTGCGTGTATTCAACGACAGCGACACAATCCAGTGAGAGTGCGCCAGGAATAACTCCACGTGCATATGCCACATGTCCCAGATAGGTGTTGTGTGGTGCGCCCGGAATATCCACAATGACCGAAGCGGTCKATCTCGAAAGGGTCTCTCTTGCACCATGCAGCTAGCAATCGGATCTAAACTCTCGCACAGTGATGATGTGTCTGGACGGCGGTGACGACTAGGTGGCTGCCGGTCGTAAGATTATTCCCATGGGAAAGGAGCGTTTGATGTTTCGTCGCAGTAAGCTGATTTCCTTCCTCGACTGAATTGTGCCTCGCGGCGATGAATAAGCTGCCTCGACCTAGGCYACAGAGAGCAGTGCCTGTTGCACGGCTTTTCAAYAYTGGAGCCTGTACAGGAGTGTTGAGCTGCGAGCATCGCCTCGCCGGCTTCCCGACCAGCTGCCGAATGTCAAGTGCGACATGACTGCCGTCCGCAGCTGAGGATCTATACCCTGCTTACGCCCAATCGGACGTTTTTCTCGGAACGTCAGGACTGCAGACAGAGGGGTGTCCCATCAATCTTCTCGATTTTTGGTGACGCACTGCCACCTTTGATTCTCACCAAGGCTGTGTTGCTGCAGGCTGATACATGTCATGAAATTCTTCTCGTCATGTCTCTGCTATCAACCGTGCAGTATTTACAGAAGTAGCCTCGAGCTCTTCCTTGGAGTCGTCATAATCGAGTCAGAAGTGTGAAACACAAACAACTTCATGCTCTTGGTGAATCTGAATCGTCGCGCGGTGACTCCACCCTCGTGCTTCTGCGAGACAGCGTCGAAAGCACTTCAGCAGCTTCCTTTTCCTCGAACTCGTAACCTCCACTGTGCCGGGGGTAAGTAGTGAGCGGTCCTCGTCCAAACAGATTTCCGATTGTGGCGTGGCGTTCGCCAAACTGATTGAACTTGTCCACCATTGCCGAGCATGAGTAGTCGGGCGGCGGCATAGATGAGGTGAGGTTTGGCCGAGGCGCTTGTGAAAGGGGAGTCCGTGCTACCATTCGTGTCGAGCTGGCCATATCCCGACATGCTTGAGCTCTTGCTGGATCAAGACGACATGCATCGCAATTCCCAGGGAGTGTGACGGGGGTTGGAGGTGGAGCGACGGCCTCCTTTCGCTTCGCAAGCTTGGCTTGCAGACACACACAGTTACTCTCATCGGAGCAGAAGCCACAGGTGTCGTCGTCCATGGTTGTGTCCATTGGATCGCTTTCATTGGAGTTGGTGTTGCGTAGGCTGTAGTGGGAGTGCTCGCTACGGCCGAAGTTAGTGTAGTCAGTTTCATAGTAGCTGTTGTCTTCGGGTGGCGTCGGCACGCTGGACTGCGTGTATGAGTGTGAAATTGATATCGGACGGAAGCCGCCGATGTTATGCTGTTGAGCTTGCTGCTCTTCTTTAGTCTGCTGCACCGAGTCAGATTACGTGTCCATATCAGTAAGGGTTAGAAGTGAAGTCGTAAAGCCCGCAAAGGGCCACTAGATCAACTATCTAGAAGGGACCACTGGTCAATGTCGAATGCCTCGAGCATTACTAACCTGACGAGACTGTTGCAGATCGCGAACCTGCTGCTCCAGCTCTGATATACGGGCACTGAATTTCTGGCGCTCGGTCTCTGCCCGCTCTGCCCGCTCGTTGGCCATGTTCAACTGCTGCCGGAAGACCTCTTTCTCACGGGCCATTTCCAAGCGCTCCGCATCGCGTTCCGCCTTCATCTTTTCATTCTCTTCCTGTGCTTCGACGAGCTTCAACTGGCGCTTGTCCCGGAAATTACGCTGGGCCATACGATTTTGTACTCGCCGTCGATCCTGGGCATGTTGGGGCTCAATAGGCTTCCTACCGGGTTTCGGACGCGGCGGGATGGCGACGGAGATACTCATGGGACCCATCGGGACAGACGGCGGTGGTGCGTTAGACCTCGGCAGTTGCGACTGACCTTCAAGTCCCGACGGCGAAGCGTGGGAGTTGTTGCGGCTTTGCGCAGTGCTGCTAGTGTTGGAGGTGGTCGAGTCGTGCCGCCGCGAGATGGGCACGCGGTTGTCCGCCCGGGCGGGAGGCAACAGTGCCTGCGGCGGCGCAACGGCTTGCTGCTGGCTCTGTCCCTGTGGTACTTTCTGTTGCGGCCAAGACGGATCCCCTGCAGTCTTGTCATCRGCATCGTGTGTCGAGGCGGGCGAGGCCGAGGCAGAGGCGGTTTCAGACATGATGAGGTGCAGATTCATGTTGCCCATTCGCGGAGAGTCAGAGATCTAATCAGATGGAATCTGCAGGGTGGGGGAATGCCGGGTGCGGCGTGCAGAGCGATGTCGGGGGGATGCTTGGCAAACGTACCATTCTGGATGAACCGATCACCACGGACAAAGCTGTAGAGGCTATGATCATGATCATTGCCCATGTTGTCCATGTTGTCCATGTTGCCCACGCTTCCCATGCTGCCCATGCTGCCCATGCTGCCCATGCTACCCATGCTGGCCATGCTGCCCACGCTGCCAATGCTGGCCATGCTACCCATGCGGCTAAGATCATTGATGTCGCCAACGCTGGTAACGCTGGCCATGCTGTCGTTCCGCTCCACGTTACTAAGGGCGCCGGATGTGGAAGAACCGAACGAATCTGGATAGTAGTGGTAGCCATTGCTGGCATTCTCAAGTGTAGTGCCTGTGGGAGCGTATCCAGACGCGATCATGCTGAGCGTATTGCCTTTATGTGAGTTAGTAACAGGCCGTTGATGCAAGAGGACAAATGCTTACAATCTGGATAACTCATAGGCATACTGCTCAATCWACGCTCCTCTAGGATGGTATCGACAGTCCTTCCCGGCAGTCCCGTCGAGTCATAAGCTGTGACATGATTGCCTTCATCATGTCAGCATCGATCCGATGATGGGAGTCGAACCCTGACATGTAATGGTCCTTACCCATAGGATGATTGAATTGATCGGCAGTTGGCTCCAACTGGAAGATGAAATTGTCGTCCATAATGATGGCTTGAAATACGCTGACGGGGAAGGAAGGATGGTATTACATAGGTAAACTCCCATGGAAGAGAAAGCTTGCAAATTCGATCGAAGAGATAAGGTAGGAAACACTGCAAGTAAGAAGGGACAGAATGGAGCGCCGTCAAGAGCACTTTCCTGCCAGTTCCGGTTTAATGGGTCTACCACATCTTGATGTTCCAACGTGTCAACGCAACATGACAGACTTACCGCAGACAGCCGGCCCTGCGACTTCTCCTTTCACCATACGTACATTGCACTTGCTATCCCGATCAATGATCAATATCCACACGTAACTTGCTGACTCCATGATACAGCTCCGCACTCCTTTGGACAGGACTGTCAAGGGCGACACGGTCATTAATTAATCGATGTTGCTTCGGTCGTGTATACTTCATCACACGTGGCTTTCCATCTTTGATGACTCTATACTGCGGTCATTACCGCAGAATGGATTCTGCCAAGCCAGTCGTGGGCTTGCAATTCAAGATGACTGTTAGTTTCCCCCTCATGCAAMTCTGGTATCCTTCAGGTCCACGTCAAGAACTTGCTCTCCCTCGCCGAACATCCAGTATTGTACACCCAGGTAGCAATCGCAGCCTGCCTGGAAGAGACCGCAGAGCTTGAACGCCCACGGCACATCTCCATCGGAGAGGAAGAAATATACCATCTTGAAGGCATCGCCTATCAACCAGTTGGCCAGTACACTTAGGCGGAATCCTCGGCAACTCTTGCTTTGTTGATTTTTCAAGATCTGGGGAATAGGTAGTATAGCCTCGACGCTAAGAGCAACATAGCCTTGGGTTGCAATGTAGACATCATTAGAGCCAATCAGCAATTGCAACACGGCAAGAGTTGCAGCAAAATAGGCCAGAAATTTCCAATAAGGTTCTCGACTTCGCCATTGCCAGAAGTTGAAAGGTCGTGCGGAGAGAAGATCGCTTCCTCCCGCGAAAGGGTTGTTAAGGCTGTGCTGCGCTCCAAAAGGTGGCCGGTGGAGCAAGCCAATGTGGAGCAGCATGAGCTGCACGCCAACCATGATACTCGCCTGGACAAGGAGGGGAAAGTCGTACCGCGACCCAAACCAGTAGAATATTCTTCACCACGTCAGAACACCCAAGGAACTGCCAGGCAGAGGTCATGCTTACTTAAGGATTGAGGCCACCAGCATTATCAGGGGAAGATCAAGCGAGAACCCCTCTGACGACCGCTTCTTGTGCATAGACCATATYTGATCCGCATATGATGTGACCGGCGACGTAATAATGAATATGGGAGCAATGTGCGTGACCACCCATTTGATCAGCGACGCCATTGCGATGTGCGAACGTGCGTGCTGTTGAACAATTAGCGCGAGTCATGGCAATTACGCAGGCCGGACGATATGGGCATATGGAGGCAAGATGAATCTGCATGGCATCAAGGCCGCTCGCCAAGATGTTCATGCCAGCGAGCAAGACCAAGACTTACACTGTCGTGGGGAGGGGAGGCCAAGAGGATTCGAGATTGTGTATCAACACTTCATCACGATGATCTCAATCTTTCGGGAGGCAAATTCAAGGCGGCGAGGATATCAAATCCGATGCAATGGGAAGAGCAGAATGTGTCTCCGTGGACAACACGATTTCTCGAATGAAGCAATTTTACTCAGGAGAGGTGAAGCCGGCAGGAGCCACCAAGCCACAACGGCAAGAGCAGAATCCGATCGGCAGATTTTGTGGCGCAGATCTGCCCTATCGTTGAGGCTGAGGATGCAAGTGAATCACAAATGAAATGCTTGTTTGTCCATCCCGAGACCGCTCCGGCATTCTCTGAGACATTCACAACCTTCTGATTGCTGCAAGAGGAAGTACTCACTCCTGACAGACATCCAAGGTTTCCCCCTCTGCCCTACGTTACAGAAGCTACAAACCGTCAATCATGGCGAATTCTACATCGGCCTTTTTCTACGGAACTCTGATGGCGCCCCAAGTCCTTCATCGCGTCTGCCACAACTCCATGGAGCCCGACAACCCAATCTTCGCGACCCATCAGTTCAAAAGTTACCCTGCAGTACTACATAATTTCCGTCGACACCGTAAGTAGGAGGATGTGGAAACTAGCCCGACCAAGTCCCATATAACCCTGACATCTCGCTAACAAAATACTCTAGGTGTGCGTGGCTGTGACTATCCAGCTATTGTTCCAAGCACAGGCGACTCTGTGCGTGGGACATATGTGACGGGATTGACAGAGAATGATGTACGACGTCTGGATCTTTTTGAGGTTAGTTTGCCATGACATCGCATCTCGAGGCTCAAAGGATGATGTTTGCGGTCATCAGCTAATCCTGTGTCCCAGGGCCCAGAATACCGCCGCGACATCGTCAAAGCTCACATCCTAACCACAGTCGGCGACGAAGCCGGCAGAGGCAACATCGAAGGAGACACAGTCGAATGCCAAACCTACATCTGGCAATCCAGTCCTGAAAATCTCGAAGACAGCACCTGGGATTTTGCAGAGTTCAAGCGAGAGAAGCTTTCGTATTGGGCTTCACCTGCTGGCGCGGTGGAATATGAAGGTGGGTGGTACCCCTTCCGCTCACCGTCAGAGTAAGCTGGACGTACTGATATCTTTCCAGACGTGGACAAGGAGTATGTTGATGGTACAGGCGGTAGGGGTGCGAGTGGTGACATTACAAAGGCGCTCAAAGAGGAGCACGAAAGGGCGAGGGAATAGAGGTCTGAGCTGCGAATGAGCATACACAGCCGAACTCACAGCTTACCTCGCATGCGTACATGTTGAATAAGATCAAAAACCGTAGACAGTCATAAGTCAGCGTTTTTGAACATAGACATACAGCGAATCCACCCAAATGCGCCACCGGCTCCTTGCTGAAAGCCAAAAGTCGTCAGAAAGTACTCGATCTCAGGAACGGATGTGGCTTGGCAGGCCAGACGCTCATTGAAGAGATCCACTAGTACCCTCGGCCTTGAGAGTCTGGAATCTCAGTGTCTCCATCACGCGCTTCATAGCCTGTGTTACTGCCGGCTTGGGACGCCCCCGTCCCCAGAGCAGTCGAAGCGCTGATCGCACTAGATGAGGGCTTCTGGGTAAACGAATTGGAAGACAGGTAGCCATTCGCGAGTTTTGGCGCTTCCAACATCTCATCATCGGAGTCTGACGATGCTGAGGAAGCACTCCGGTGTGTCAGAGAAGCATTGCCTGCTTTTTTCAACCCAACTGGAGGCGACACTTCGAGCTCATCTTGATCGTCATCGTTATCGGCAGTCCTCTTGGGTATGGCTAGATGTGGGGTACTTTGCTCCCGCAGCGCAGTCTGTGAGGTGGGAGCTGGCGAGGACGGGTGAAACTTGGGGGCGGATGGAGCAGGTATCGACGTTGAACGCAGGGTAGCCGCTGATGTCTTGTGCGCAGTCTGCAGCTGAGACACAGGACTCGCCGGCTTGCTCTTGCTCGAAGGTGTGTTGGTCGATGCGAGCTTTGTTTTCTTCTGCGCTTTGAGCACCCTGCGTTCTTCTGCCTGCTCATCTGCAGTCTTCAACAGATCACGGCGGATGCTGTTTCGTATAGCAGGCGCACTAAAATTCGGGAAGTCCTTGTCAGGGTCCATTTCGCGCCGAAGAAGCTTTCTCACAAATGTATCGGGATCCCTGGCGAAATGCCGAAGGATCCCGATCACGAACACACCGCAGTCGCAGAAGTTGGGCTGTTCCGGTATTCCTTTGGCATTGAGCCCWTGAATCTGGCCGATATCCACATCCATTTCGCGTTTGTCTTTTGCTTCCGCTTGAATATACTTTTTCAAAGTGCTGATCTCGGCCGGACGCGCATGGCCGAATGAATCGAGCATGATGATGACGGGAGCGTTTGTGTCGTATTTCCTCGTTGGCGCAGTCTTCTTCTTGATCCTCCTACTATTTGCCGTGCTGGCGTGACTTGACGTTGCAGCGCTGCCTACGACGTGCCCATCGTCCGTCATGGTAAAAATTTCACGCTCATCTCCAGCAGATGTTGGTGGCGCATCGTCGTTGAGTTCCTCGACGTCAATGACGCTGCTTCGTGTGTCTTGAATATTTTCGTTCTGTTCGGCGGCCCCCGAAAGCTTTCGATCCAGGAACTGCATGTTGCAAATGATTGCAAAGTACCAATGAAGATCGTGGTTGATGGGCACTACAGTGTATGGGATGGTGAAAATGTCAACGTTCTTGGTCCACCTTTTGACGGCGTCGTAGTCCATTCCCCTCCTGTTCTTCATGAGCGCAGAGTAGAAGAAGGTGTTGAAGAAGTGGACCTTGAGCTTGTGTTGCGGATCCATAGTCTCCTCGATATGGCGGATGGCGAAGCCAAGGAGATTGTCGTTCAGATATTCACCTTCATCCAGTCGAGATATGTCGGAATCGTTCACAGTGACACGTCGCGCGCCCTGCGAAGGATACACCACAGGCTGTTGCCATTCCACTGGAGGATTTATCTCCGACCATCGCGGTGGCGGAGTGGGGGTCCTCAGGTGAGCTATCGTCGGTTTGACCTGGCGAGTCGATCTTCTGTTGTTGTCTCGGGTGAACCAAGGCGATATCTCTTCACCGACACGAGCGGTTCGTTTCTGGGGCACGACCCCACTCAGCGTCAAGTCATCGCTTTTCTCGTAAACAATGTCTTCTTCGCTGYGATCTTGCATCGCTTCATATCCGGCCCTACGACTATCCGGCGCAATTGCATAGCTATTGTTTGCAGACTGCCGTAGTCTCTTGTTAGCTTCCCGCAGTGCCTTGCTCTGTGTCACAAAGCATTTCTCCATATGCTCCGCGCTAGCCGATATGGATGWCATGCCGTCACCAGTGGCGTGCATGAGGAGATTGTAGCAGGCATTCAGTCCATGGTCGTCGACAAATTCGATGATAGCGGTGCCGTTGCTGCAATCAACCGAAGAACCTTTGAGCATGGCTTTTGCAAGATCCCGGCTATGTTGCCAACTGTGCGAAACGTCATTCTTGCCAATTGTGACGAGCTTCGTTTGGTGAGGCAGCCGAACAAAGTCTTGCCCACAAACCACGAAAAATGCATTCTCCTCGTCACTCCACTCAAGTGCCAAATCTCCCTGTTCTCCGACGTATTGCTTGGAAAAGATCGAGCGGATAGGGATCCGTTCGGTCCCGAGAATATCGTCGATGGGACATTCAGATGCAGTTGAACCCGCATACTTTTGCTGATGAACTACAGCAGACGAGGATTTTTGCTGCTGTGCAGTGTTACTCTGGACAGAGCTTTGAGGCAGCTTTTCCTTGTGGGGCGAGCTGTAGCTCGGGATAGTTCTGTCGCCCGCAATCTGGTCTGGACTATTTCTATCATTTCTCGAATCTGCTCGCATTCTATCCTTGGCTTTGAGCGGGTGTCCATGGGTGTGGTCGTCTCGCTTAAACGTATGCCTCAGGTTTGGGGGTTGACGAGTATTTTCGGCTGCTTCTTGAGGTTGTGCACGGTTGGTTTGTCTTGGCGGTTTATTGGTTGGCCTTGTAGTCTGAAGCATGCTGTTTGCGACCTGCAAGTCCTTCTCGCTCCCCTGGGAAGCCTTTGCTTTTGCCTTTGCTTTGGGCGGATTAGGAAGACCCTTACTCAACTCAATAGGAGGAACGCGTCGTGAACCACGCGGATGTGCCGCATTTCCGTTGCTGCCCTCCCAGACGACCACGGGTGAGTGCCTGGCTCCTGGGAGGTCCTCAGTGGAGCTGTCCTGGATCTCGATTGCTGGCGATCGCGCTGATGCATAGACACTCGAACGCTCACTGCCATTGCGCGCAAGATCGTTGCTCCTCCGCTTCGCAGACTTGGACTGCTTCGCTTCGGTGGTGWATGAAGCTGCTTGATGAGACTCCCGCGCTGCGAAATGATCATTGGCTTGTGCCGGCTGGCTCGACCTTGCCGGTTGCATGCTCATTGGCCCGGCGCTACTCTTGTGAAATGGATGCGCAGCGAATACGTCAAAATCCATACTCCCATCATCCGTGAGGTCGACTGTTAGCGAGGATCCCGGTGTGCCTCCTACAGTGGTTGTTCTCTGTTTCTTTGTTTTGGGTTCCCCGTCTTGGTGCCTGTTGAACCTCGTCTCCGCGTCTACCCTGCTCTGCACATTATCTCCTCTGACAGTCTGCGTCGCCAGGGCTGCAGGTCCGCGACCGGCGTGACAGCCAAAGAAGGTACTGCCGTTACCGCTACCCGAAGATTGTACTGTTGGCTGATTCAGAGTATTGCTCGGCTGTACCCCTCGCGCCATCTTCGATCCGTGATCAGGGTTCCAGTCGTTGTCGTGTGTGGTGGGTACAGATATCGTGATAGCGTCCGGTGGACGTGGGCTATAATGCTCAGTCAAACGACCCTCGTGCTGCCCTAGCCTCCTCGCGACTTTCCGCTGCAGTTCGGGACTCCCACTCTCCTCCCGCGCACGTTTTGCCCGCTTCGTGCCTGACCTCTCCGCTTCCCTCTGAAGATCCTCGTTCGACTCGTTCGCATTGATGCTGGCGGGGTCCGGACTGGATTCCTGCGAGTCATAGTAAGTTTTCCAAGCTCTCAGCTGTGCAACCGCACGAAAATTGACGAAGGGGGACGAGGACGGAAAGGTGGTGCTAGAAGCCATACTGCAAAAGGTGATGCACCGGCAATGATGTTCATGGCAGTCTTGAGAAGACTCAGCATCGGACRGCGTTTGAAGTGATGAGTCACTTCATTGGCACATGTGAATGCGCGGAGTGAAGTCGCTACGGGTGGTGATTCTCGCGGTTGATCGTCTACATGACGGCACAAAGAAGAAGAAAAAGTGGTCGGGATGGGGTTGAAGCCTTGTACCACGCTTGCGCGGGTTGACGCGCCGACGATCACGCCTGCTTCCAGAAACAATTTATATCAGTACTCCATAGCACACCTGAAATTCATGCAAGAGGTAAAGAATGTAGTTCTCACTCTTTCACCAGTTTTGCGACTTTGCACCGTGTTACAATCCAAAGTGATGTGTGCGAAACGTGGAGGGTTCAACACATGTCAGGGATCAATCGCACACTTTTGGCAGTGAAATGCCATCGCACATGATGGTTTCATTTCGAATACGTGACACTCATCAGCTCCCACCGGCTCAAATGCACCCAATAGCTTCCTAGTGTACAACGCTCCTCAACCATGCTAGAGAACGCCACTCATCCGGTGTAGTAGACTGATCGTCACAAGACCCCATCCTAGCTACCAATTGCTCCCAACATTCATGTCAACCCATGTGCGTGCACTCGGCCAGAAATCCTGACTTCAAGGAAGGCTGCTACTCAATGCCATCCTTCTCGGTAGCAGGCGTGGTGCGGCGCTTCTCATGGTTGGCCTTTTCCTGTCGCGCTTGGTCTACGGCATGTCGCTGCGTGATGCTTTCGTCGTGACTGCGCCACTGCAGACTGGTATCCGCTGGTAGGCTCAGCACCCGCTTGATCGTCTCACGGATCTTGACATTGCGGCCGCCGTTGTTCTTCGTCCAGACAGAGAAGACGTCCTCGCCGAGACGCATACTCACAACAGCCCCGCAGACCTCCTCTCCAGCTTCCCCAAACTGGTCACCAATGATGGCCATTAACAGCTCCTCCCAATATCTGTCTGCAACGCCCTTTTTGAGACGCATGATCCACTTTCCACCGCGTCTGTTCTCCTCGTCCTCCCATACCGGACGTATGCCCTCCTTGAAGATGTGGTAGTCGCTGACAGTCGGCAGATCGCTGGGTCGTTTGAGGTGTGAGTATACCGTCCAGAAAGCCTGCACAGACTGCACTCTGCAGAGGGGCTTGATGGACTTTTCGTAATCGCTGTTTTTGTTCGTCGTTGGCCTGTAGTAGATGATCCAGGCGTTCTTCAGAGGGTACTCGCCCACAATCTCTTTCGAGGGAGGTTGGACAGTTTCGATGGCCGCCGAACTGGGTCGGCGCAGGGTGGATAATGATTTGCGTGGAGGCGGTCTTGTCCGGCTGTCCTTGCTGTGCTCCTCTGTTGCCTCCTTCTTCTCTCCCCCAAGCTTATTGTCAAAGGCCGCTCCAGGTGTCTTGGGTGTCTTCCCAGCGTTGCCAAAACTTGCAAACGCGCCACTCCCAAGTCCAAAGGCCGCGCCAGCACTGGTTGGTGACGCAACGGCAGAGGTAGAAATGTGACCGACGGAATTGAATGGGCTGCTCTTGCCGTGGCTACTCGCAGCACCGAAGCGCTTGCCCGACGGCGAGTCGTGGTTGTCTTTGTGGTCGGGCTTGCTGGTGGAGAGACTGAGCTTGCTGGTGCTCGCGTGCTGTGTTAGCTTTGAAGATTGAGTGTTTCGAAGCGACTGTGCGTACTGTGATCGACGGGTCCAAAGGTTCGACGGGCTGTTGTCGTTGTTCTTCTCCATTTGGTTGTCGGAGGTTGTCGGAGGTTGGTGGAAGGGCAGAATCGTCTTTCACAAAGCGTCCCGCAGTCGCAGTCAATGTGGAGGAGGCGGGTAGGGTTGGGCGAAGCGACGTTGGTGGGATGAGACGGATGCTATTAGTACAGTGGGGAGCAAAGTATTGATGGCCAGAGTCAAGATGTGCAGCTAACAATCCAGTAGTAGACAGTAAGGTGGTAATACAAGTAGTGGGGGATATTTGTGAGTATGCAAAGCAAGGTGGAAGTCTTCAAGAGGACGAGCATGAAGATCTCAAGATGGTGCCGTAGGTCGAAAGCGGTTAGCTCCAATGCGGTAGATCTTACTGTATAAGAAGTTTTCGCGACTGCCACACCTCTTCTCTCCTTCAGCCGCGCTACACAATTACTCAAACCATCCCATTGCCTGACCATGGTATTGGCGATTCCGAAGCGCGTCGAGACCAATCTACCATCTCTAAAACCATCGTCTCGAGGGTAATTTTTCACGAAATGGCTCCATGACCGGATGATGACCAAATGACTGGCACAACACCTAAAAATCATCATAGCACATGCTGTTGATCTTGACACACGCTGGACAAACTTCAGGCCAAGTCACGAGGTAAGCGGCGCGTCGTACTTTTCTTCCATTCACATGWTGAGCTCCGAGAGCACCATCTGGTAATCCAAGGCTCCAGCCGCTTGCACGCACTGCTTTCTGGTCGGACATGAGGATCAAAGGCAAAGTCTGATTTGTGGACCATGACTGCCCGAATTCGCTTTAGCAAGACCCTGTGATCCATCTTGCTAACGGTCCCGTAGCGCGCGATTTCAATGCGGAAGCTGGTTGTGGATGCCATGTCAGTCATCTCATATCAGAGGATCAATACCAAAAGGCCACAGAACTTCTGCACCTCATTAGAGACACTGTCGTGTACAAGTAATGAATCATTCTGACTGCTGTAACCGCATCATAAAGACTTGAGTCTAGGTACTCAAGCATGCTAGGAGTGTCTACCTCGACTGTCGACGTGAACTCCAAATCGTGATCATGCCGCGTTCCCATCTCGCATCACCCAAGACGCCATCTAACCATTCCTCAGAGGATGAAGCCTTCCCTTCACCTCTCCCGTGGTCGGACTGGTCTGTCTACTATTCCGACCCTTCAGCGCCGGGCTCGCCATGCGTGGACTGCGCGGCACAGAGGAGCCTCGCGTGCCAATACGCCCTCTCCCAGCCTCCTTCAATCTTGTAATCTCCTCATCCTTGGACTTCATGCCAGCTTCACGATCCTTCAGCAGCGCTTTCAGCTTCYTGTTCTCCTTGGCGAGGATCTTGTGATGCTCAGTATTCGTCGCTTGCTGCACTTTCGCTTGCTCTCCTGATGCGTGCTTCTCCGCAGAGCTGAGTCGTGACTCGAGGTCGGCGTTTTGCTGCACAAGGTCTCTGGCCCGAGAGGATGTATTTTGATACATCTCTCGAGAATACTCGCCGTCCTTCTGAGCCTGCTCGAATCGTTTCTCAGCCTTCTCCTTTGCCGCCTTTTCGTGCTCCAGAGCGAGGCGCAAAGTCTCGAATTCGCGTCGCTCTGGGACGGCATGATCGAGCAGCTTGCTATTTGCTTCAGCAAGCAGTCTCTTCAGCTCTGTGCGTTCCAAGCGAAGCTCTGCACTTTGGTCCGCGGCAAGCGACATTCTCGTCACCGCATTTTGCGCCGTGATGATAGCCTCATCACGCTCGTTCTTGGTTTTGGCCAACTCCACGTGCTGCGCTTCGTGCCGATATTGAAGATCAGACATTTCCTTGACGTGCTCCTGTAGTTCATATTGCTTGTTACTGAGGATCCTGCGTAGCTGCTCGACTTCACTCAAGGAGACAGTCTCGTMCAGAGCAGACTGCGTCGCCTTTCCAATCGAGTCGCTGATGTGTGTGAGCTCGATATCTTGAGGGTTGATCGTAGCTGGCATCTGCAATGTTCCTTCTTGAAATTGTACGCCTTCAAACCCGACTGATGAAACCCGGGGTTTCTTGACCGGATTGCAAGTCAAGATGTCGATATCGCCATCAAAAGACCGCTTGCCGCCACTGGAAGAACCTCCATTCGGCGTCGGATCGATGTCCGTCTCTGTCTGACTATCGAGATTATCGATTATCCCGAGTTCCTCGATAGGCCAGTCCGCTGGGCTCGCAAGAAAGCTAGCTATTGCAGCAGCAGCTTCTTGAGATGGCGCTTGTCCAGGAGTGAGTCTCCCGGCCGCTTCTTGCAACTGAAGATTCAGAGCGGTTTTCAGTAGAGTGCGGACGCGGGTCGTGTTCGATATATTCGGCAAAAGAGATCGTTCGATGTGCTCGACAGTGCAGGGTGCGACGAGAATGAGTAGGGGTGCCCAATCGTCGTCTCTTCCTGAACGACGCGCAGCCTGTATTGAAGGATTTTGAGCACTGCAAATGCCATCCATTGCCACCACAACATCAGCACGCTCGTCAGCCGAAACCTCTACATCCAAGTCCAAGATGGAGACACGGAGCCCCGAAGCGTCTGTGTCTTGAGCTGCCACAGTAAGCCTCGCACACTGGATACCCTTCGCCCGTAAGAAATTGACCAGCATCTCTGCAACGATGTGGCCCTTGGCGGTCACGACCACATGTAGGTCACGGTTCTGGGAGCGGAGCTGGTCCAAAATGTCGCGCAAGAAGCGGAACTTGCAACTGGCGTCTAGGTCCCACTGGGCTTGCTCGGGTGTCGACGCTGGTGAAAAGCACGCCTCACTGTTGATCAGATCTGGGTGCATCGTGATGAGTCGAAGCTCGCCTAACGCCTCCTCTGCTTTGACATAAAGCTCGGGGCTATCGTCTCCGTCGACAAAGCGTTGAATTTCTCCTTGATACCACTGCGTGCCATTCTTGTAACTATCCCGCTGAATGTTGCCAAACGCGACTGGAACAACGCGTACGCCCACCTGCTCGGGGTCGTCGTGCGCTGACTTTGAGCTTTCAGACACAGTCAACGCGTTGTGCTGCAGTTCAGATGCCGCGCCGTYAGCAAGTGGCACGAGGGTAGGGAGCCGCCCGGAAGTCCTCATTTCCTCCTTAGTGATGATGCGTTCCGGCTCCGATGCGGGTACAGTAGAAGGCGATCTGGCACCATCTGCTTGACGAGCCTGTGATGCTATCACCATTTCAGCGCTAATCATTGGCGGAATAGCAGAAGCAGTCTGGCCCGAATTCAACACACTTGCCGCAGGCGTGTGCGACCGTCGCGCTTTTCGTCGTGCTCTCCCGGAATCAAGAACCGCGTTGAGCTTCTCAAGAAGCGGGTTGCCAGAAGACGAATTCGGCTCCATGGTTGCGGTCGAGAGAGGCGATGGCGTTGCAAGTCGTGCTGGCGCGCTTTCTCCAATGGCAACAATGGACTGAGAGGGTACGGAGGGTATCTGGCTTGAGGAATGCGGAGACACAATGCGCTGAGTGAGAAGGGCACTCTGCCGTGATTCGCTCTCGATCTTCGTGGGATATGGTTGCTGAGTTTCGAACGGAAACGATGATTGCGTGGATCCGAGTGTCACGTCTGTACGCTGGACCGACGTGTCAATCCCGTCTGCACCCTTGGTTTGCGGGAAATTCTCACTAWACAGAGATGATGGAGGCGGACTGTAGTCAGGCTGCGTCAACAAGTCGAGAGTTGAGGGCTGATCTTCTTCAGCGCTGATGACGATGTAGTCGTCAATATGAGTTGAGTTTTGCTGTTGCYGATCTGACCGGCCAGGCAGATCTGCCTGGGAGTCGACGTAAGACTCTTCAAGTTGCTTTTCTTGTCCGGCAAAAGCCTGTTGGTGGTGCTCCTGGGTCAGATTTCCAGGTGAAGCCGACTTTGGTCTTGCAGGCGATCCCTTGACGCTTAGTGGAATGGCAGAAGCAGCAGTTCTGTCGTGAGTACTGTGTGGGAAATTGGTAGTAGGTTGTCGAGAGTGAGGCTGAGTTGGCTGCGAAACCGAAAGACTGGCTGCGCTAGATTCCTCCGTGGAAAGCTGAGCACGAACAGAGGTATCAATGGGCGACACGGCCTCAGTACGATCCTCTCCAGGGCTGTCGGCGCGTTCTGCACCGCCCGACGTTTGAGCCTCAGGGCTGTCTTTCGCTTGCTGCGTAGATCGCGCGGTCTGAGAAGCGTTCTCAGTCAAGGTAGGACCGCTATCTGCTCGCTGTTCGATGCGCTCACTGACGTTTGACTCGAGCTCTACTAGCTGTAGCTGTGTTGGAGAGAAGCCTCTGAATGTGGATTCCTCGAGGTACTGGCTCTGGGAATCCGGCACGACTCGAGTGGTGATCTCTTCAGAATCTTGCTGTGAAGAAGGTGCTCCAGCCTCACTAATGGTCGGTAGAGGCGCAGATGACTCGGCGAATCCGAGACTCGTCTTGTTACTGCTGGATCGAGATTGTATCTTGTGATAGGATCCACGATCGTAGCTTGATGGAGGATCCGGCACCTGAACCGTGGGCTCTCTAGAAAGTTGCCGCGTTGATTCACCTCTAAATGCCTCGGCAGTTGGAATTYCTTGCACAGTAAGTGTATTTTCAGAACGTAGACTCTGCTGGCTTTCACCAATCTCAGGAAGATCGATGTCGCCGACCCCGTTGCCGTCGACAGGCTCAGGTTCAGTAGATGGCAGATCGGATGAACTCTCGACTATGACGTTGTTACGTTGCTTGCGTGGCCGTCCTTTCGGTCGAGAAACAGGCGTGCTTGTTGATGCAGGCGATTGATGTTGTAGCTGCTTTGGAGCCGCAGTGCTGTTCGCGCGGGGTCTGCCTCGCGCACCTGATGCACATGTTAGCATGCAAATTAGAGAAAATGAGTAAGTCGAGACTCACGTTTGTTTTTGGTCGCCTTCTTCTCCTCCCAGTCGGCGATGGCGAGATCGTTGGCGTTTTCCTTTGGTTCCCAAGTTGGAGGATACGCTTCGCCGGTGTCGGAATCGTCTTCCCAGGCAATGTGATACTGGCGTTTGTTTTCGCCAATGATTTCTCGGACCTTGTATTCCTTCTCGGCGTCGATTTTGCCGTGAGGATGTTGGACTGAAGTCGATGAAGATGGGTTAGTTTCGGCAGCTGCGCGCAAGTCAACACGTTGTATCTACATGTGCGTCTCCTCCGCACGCGAATAGGAGGAACACGCGGAATTCGGACAAAGAAAGTGAATTCGACATACCTTTGGATGCTGCGCGCTTCTTTGCTTTCTGAGGTGTTGGAGACGCGGCGGAGGATTCTCGCTTGCGCTTTGCCATCACTGCGCTGTTGGGGAAGTGCGGAATGTTGGGGCTGCCATTGTTTAGTATATGTTCATGGCATTCAGGTATCTGCTACTTGTGCGCGTGAAAGCGTAATGCAGAGTGAAGTCCGAGCAGCAAGGTGAGTGAACTCACGCTTGAAGTTGGACTTGCAACGCCGGGATGCTCTTGGCGCGGATCCTCGGATGGTCGCCCGTGGGTGGAAGGTTTGTGAGGCTACGCCAATGGGGAGTAACGTAGAGTAATGAATGACATGTGCGTGTTGGAGAGTTGGTGTTGTTCAAGCTGTCGGTACAGTTCTCGAAAGTATCGTAGGCGGTGCATCACAATAGCAAAGATTTCTGAAAATATCACAATAGACATGCAGCTTCACTTAAGGTTTCACTTGAGCCTCGTTTCACTACCTTCGCCGTCTCACTACGTTCAACACCACAACGCCTCGCTTTTCAACATATCAACTCTCGATCTAATCCTTCTTCGCAGTTCGCTCCTTTGCCTCTCTCGATCTCTTCCGCTCGAGAGCCTTGATTTCCTCTGGCGGGCTATCCTCGATCAGTTCAGAGTCCTCGCCCTCATTAATCTTGCTCCACTTGGGTAAGCCATCGGGGATATCCATGACCCGCTCGTTGTAGAACATGTGCAACCGAGGCTTGAAGTTGGCCTTTTCCTGGTCATTCTTGAACTGATCKATAATTAGCGAGATGTCGAGCAGTGTCCGTATAGATAGATTCAACGTACCTTGATCAGAGTCGGAAAGAGAAGAACCATGTTTCGTCCCTCGTCCATGATAGGCGAATGGCAGTAATTGCACCTCACCTTGCAGGGCAACTCGTGTTCGATCGACTTTGATGTGGGATCATACCACTCGAGGTTATGGTGACCATTTGTGAAATTGATATCGTCCTTGTGGAAAATTGCGGCCCATTGAAACGGTGCAGCTACGAAATATCAGTATCAAGCAGCCAGTTCTCATGAGCTCGGTCCCCAACTCACCATGTTGTGTCTGACAGGTTGTACAATGGCAGAGCTTTGAATCCAACGGCTCTTCTCTTGACAGCTGGTATTCCACTTTGCCACAATGGCAACTAGCTTCGTATCTGGCTTCAAACTTGTCCCCGTTGTTGGTCTGATTGTGATGAATCTTATACGGAGGCTGTTTCTTCCATTCTTCCACTCCATTCTCGTCTGTCTTGGGCTTCTTTGTAGGGCGGTGGATTTCGTCTTGGCCCATCGTTGCGGAGAACGGGCGTATAGGTGAGTACTTCAAAGAAGCAGTGATTGAAGGTCGACAAGGGCGAATCGTCCGTGTGAGAAAAGCAGAATTGCACGCAACGCGAAAGACTCGAGTGTTCATCTGGATGAAAGCTGGACTGGAGGAATTGACAGAGCATATAGGGAAACAATGCTGCAGGGGGAAACAATGGAATGAAACATATGATGGCTTACGCTTTGTAGCACGAATGATGTAGATCATACGTCGCGTAACGACACGATGATGCGTGCAATACGTGATTTTCCAACAGCATCTGCCAAGACCATCCCCACAGATCGAGTCCAAAGTTTGGGACGGATCGCGCGCGATTCGGCAATCTGGCGCTAGGGAGTGCTAAATCGGTGGTGATGCTGACAACCAAAAGCCACCCCGTTGGAAATTTCCGACCTGGGCTGCGGACATGGAAGAGGAGTCTTTTGAAATGTTCCGAGCAGGATATCAGCCTCATCAATTGATCTTGTATGGCGCGGCTGTAGTTCCTCTAATGTAGATTTATTGTGGGCTCCGACTACATGTCAATGGATCGAATGGCGGATTTGCTGTCATTGCACGCTCAGCGCTGCAGCAGCTTCCTTGTGGGACAGCCCTAGAACATTTATCAGGTATTCAAGCCTGCAAGAAAACGTTAATCAGTGACCCGACCGTAGAAGAAGACTGCAACTTACTGCACTGCGCGAGCAATCCGCTGCCTCACGCCATCGAATTCTGCCCAGCATTTCTCCCAGATGATTTCTCTCTTGTCCGGGTCAACCGTCTTCACTCGGATACGCAGCCGGCCACTTACAGGCCTGTGGTCGGACACTCTAATTTGGTCCCACCTCCGATAATCTTCCAGCCTGACCTTCCCCAACCCACGATATAAGATCCTATCACACCAGGCAGGAGCTCTTTTCTTCTCAGAGGTATCGTAATCATCAGTATGCACATTGTACTTGTACGTTGGTGCAAAGTTGATTGGCGATTCCTGGAAAGCTCGCAAGCGGAATCCTGGGTTCTTCCTCCGACTGAGTAGAAGCTGGTCTCGTTCGAGAAGTCTAGCCAAGTTCCCTTGTTGGAYGTGCTTGACCACGGTGTCGCGGCCCATTGTGTCAATGCGGTAGTTCAAATCGCCATTGAGCACGCAGATTTCAWGATCCATAATCATGCTGCCATCACCGCCGGAAGCAAAGACGTCGGTATGTTGAGCCACTTCAGTATTGTTGAGTGGATACTGGGGCAGCACATTCGCTTCCAGGATCGCTGCAACGTCGTTATTACGATTCAGTGTTTGCGTTTGGCCTGCAGCAAGATGGCAGTTGACGAAGCATAGACTGCTATCATCGAGTACCAGGCGCACGATGATCGCACCCTTGTTTCCATGCAACCCACCCATACCACGCTTGATCTCGGAAGCATGAACATGTCTTATGCGAGATAGCTCCGTAGATTTCACGAAGATACAGGTGAACAACCCTACCATGCTGGCAGTATGAAGCTGCGTGTAGCTTTGATTGTTTGGCATGTACTCGTCGATGCATTTTGTGAGGTGATCTCTCCAGGCGCGATATTGATGTGACATGTGTTCCTTTTCAGCAGGATCCTTCTTCTTGCTTTTGAAAAAGGATTTGGCGGTCACCTTTTTGTCCTCGAGGTCAACGAGTTCTTGGAATCCGAAAACAAAGATGTCTGGCGGCTCCCGAGCTCGCATGTAATCCTGGAAGAAACCACTATCGTCCAGGCTGTGTTGCAAATGGCTGGGCTTGACGGCTCCAGCGTTCCACGTCAACACCGCTACCGTAAGCTCGCGGAAAGTGCAATATTCGGGCTCGCGTACTTCCATCCGCGATTCGACCCAGTCGCTCTCAAGCATACCGTCCCAAACCCGTAGCAGATTGTCCATACCGAGAGTAATGACATTCAGGCGTCCAATTTTCCACATCGCGGACGGATCTGCAATGATGCCACATATCAATTTATCATGGGCCTGCCAGTCTTTCTTTACCAACCAAGGCGATGTCGACGTATCGTAGATGTAGGCCATGCCAGTGCTGTAACCCGCCCAAAGATAGTCGCCGACGCCTGCTAGGCAGCTAATGCGGTATACACTAACACTGACCACTGCACGACAGGAGAAGTCCTTGCGGCTGTAGATTGTGACTTTGCCATCTGAGTGGCCAAAGTAGATGAGATCCTGCTTGCCGCTTAGACAAGCACCTGCAGTGACGTCGCCAGTGCCTGGCTGCGAAAGAGGAGACTTCAATACGTGGAACTCGGAGTCTGTTCGTGCGCCAGGTCGGAATACTCGAATCTCCTTCCCAGTCGCAATCCAGAGCTGCTTTCCAGAAGCGATCGAGAAGGTGTGCCCTTTGGGTACGCGCCAATTCGTGTTTTGTGAGTCCAAACTCGGCATTCCCTTATGATCGGGCATCCAGACACACAGCTCACCACCGTCGTCGAGGGTCCAGAGCTCCGATGCATAGCGATATATCCGAATGACTTCTCTTCGAGCATGTGCATTCGCCTTTGTCTTGACAACACTCTCGGTATTAATGTCAACCTCGTGAATATCACCAGAATTAGTACCGAGCCATATACGCTTCCCTTCATCTTCAATGTTCGGCGAAGGCTTGAATGCAACAGCAGTGACTTTGGTAGTTTCGCGATGCTCCATATTCATCAACACTTCCCCGTTGCGCACGTTCCAGACTTTTGTAATGTAGCCGGTGGTACACACGTACTCGCCACATACCGCAAAAAGTCGTGTGTCGTATTCGGTAGGAATCTGCCAGGGTCGCTTCTTGAATGTTGGTGCTCTGCGGTTGGCCTGCGTGGCATCGGGGTACTCGGATAGGCCTTCTACTGGCTCGTTCTTGATCTCGACGGGCATCGCATCCTCTTCATCGTCCCGAGAGTGCCCAGCAGTCGTGGGCGGAGGAGGTGGAGGAGGCATCTCTCGCCGTCGATCCACAGACCTGCGGGGTGCAGGTATTGCAGGCGCATTTGACGTGGGAGTGGATCTATCAAAACCAAGATGAAGTGCTGAGCGTTGGCCACCGTTTGAGGTGGTATTCGTAGCTGGTATCCGACGGTGGGAATCCTGGCCAACAGTATGTGCGCGTCTCAAGCCGTCAACAGACCTCATGGGCGGGAGTGCGTGCACTTTGATGGGACTGTTCCTGCCAGATCGAGATTTCGGCGGGCTGGCGCGGCCAGACCGTATTTGCAACTCAGGCCTTGCTGGAAGTCTTGGCCTGTCTTCCTCGACATCCCCTTGTATGCGGCTACTTTGCGTCGGTCTGTGTCGCACAGGCATTGACGGTGCTCTTGAAAGCCCTTGCGATTGCTGTTCTCGTCGAGGTACCACTGCATGGAGATTTGACGGAGGCAACCAAGCGTCAGGCAACGATGAAGCTTCTACAAACGATGCATTCGATCCTGCTCGTGATCGTTCGGCAAGCGAAGCGTCCGAATCTCCACGTATCCGCTGGACCCAAGAAGCGTTTGAATCGTTTCGGACGCGTTGAATCGCGGAAGCATTGGAGTGAGTCCCGGCCCGCTGCGGTGGATCTTGTGGTATTGGATCTGGCTTTTCTTCCGGCGAGGACTCTTCACTGCTGGGCGGRGGTGTCTCAAATGGGGAAGCGCTACGATCGGTCAGATCAGCGCCGGTGTCTGGCGCAGCCAAGTTGATCGATCTCTTAAAAAGGGTGGGTGGCTTGGATGGCACCTTTGGCTTCGCTGCACGGTTGACAATCGGTGGACCTGCGGTCTGCTCTGCCTTGCGAAGAAATGTCTCAACTCTTACATCAGACGCAGCAGTCTCCGCAGACTGCAGAAATGCGCTCCTGCGCGCCTCCAACGTAGGCGTTGCTGTTCTGCTCACGCCAGGAACATGGCTTCTCGTAGGCGAATCTCCTGCTCCTGTCCGACTCGGCGTCAAAGGTCGGATTGAGTTCCCGGTGCCCATGGGCCGCAGGTCGACGGAAAGCGTCTTGTGCGGTGAGCGAGGCGAATTGACGACCAACGATGGCGGCGAGCGCGGCGTAGACGACATTGAAATCATGGATGTCGGTCTGGCAGCTGGTGGATCTGAACGCTGCCCGCTGGCCGGCTTTTGCACTGCTCCGGTCTCATTTCCATTGCTATCAATGACAGTATTGGGAGGCTTTGATATGCTGAAAGGTGTCCCATTGCCATTTACCACCGCTTGTCGAGGTGTCACCGGGGATGACTGGCCTGCTTCCTGCGCCTTGCCCAATTGCTCAAACTTGGTTCGTAGCGATGATATGGGCTTGATCGACGTCGTGTCCGGACCCTCGCTTTTTTCTGTCATGATGTTTGTGGGGAGTCAGGCTGTGGCCTGAGTGAATGTAAAGGTGGCAGCATGCACACCAATGTCCCGCGATCTTGATGTTTATTGTTCATCCACACCGCTACGCTCAGTCGCGTGGCCTCAAACACCAAACAAGATATGGYCCTTGGTCTGGCATGCCGCCACGGATCTTGTGCCAGCAGTAACCTAGGTGATCCCTGGTGCAGCTGACGAAAGGACTCGTGTGATTCGTGCTGGGTGGATTTGCGCAGAACGGCGGACAAGCAGTTATTCTTGGCTCTTGAGTGGAAAGGTCTCGGATTTTGGTCGCACAGTATGGAGCTTGGCTCTCGTCGTGACCGTCGTGGAATACAGGTACAAGTGGGCAGCCAGTAAGCAGGTGAGATATGGCGGGCACTGCAGTTCTGAACTTCTGAAGATCAAACCGCAGATCGTTGGAACACTGCCGAGAAACCCCACAACGACCACGTTCTTGACTTTCAACCACGTTCTCATCCCTCACATCCACAAGAATCATGTGGTAAGTCACACAATTCAAGTAAAAGTTGAAGCTCACCACATCAGTGCTGACTGACTGACTTACAGCAAACACATTCTCAACGCGCAAGTCGCCATCCGCTCCCCATGCTGCAAGCAATGGTTCGATTGCGCCGAATGTCACGCGGAAAAGGAAACGCATACGCTCAAGCAGACGATGGAGATGATCTTTGCGTGCAAAAAGTGCAAAAAGGTCTTTCGCAAAGACATGAGTGAATACGAGGACAGCGACGAGTACTGCCCACACTGTGACAACCACTACGTTTTGGAGGCCAAGGAGCCCAAGGCACGACTGGAAGTCGAGGGTGAGGATGTACGAAAGGACGCGAGAATGCTCAAAGACGACCGCATCAAGCCCAAGGAGGAMCTCACAATCTGGGACGATGAGCTGGAAGCGGCACGGTTGGGATGAGCATCCATGGGGGCGGAATGAGCTTGGCCGACAGGCTTGGACGTAATCACGTCAGTTGGGCGTCGAAGTACGGGCGATGATACGTTATGGCATCGATGAACCTGCATCGTCAGATTGGACTATGCCGTGCAAGCAGTCGACACGACTGCTGCACTCGTTTTGCCATTACGGATGGTCCGGCAAGCTCCATGGATATGAATGACGAACACATCTCTGCAGCACATCCATTGCACATTCGTACACTCATTGTCGTCGTGCTTACCTCGCCGTTTGGGACCTTATGCCTCAGGTCTGGTCAAGTCAAGTGGAGATGGTGCCGAGCGCAGCGATTCGCAACCGAAGCACCAGCTTACCATAACACAACGAACTGCTTATCACCCTGCTCGAGAGGCCCGGGAACAGATCTCCACCCTTGGATATCGAACATGGAAAGCTACACAGCGAACCGATCGACAATCTCAAGCATTCTGCGTGGTGACTGGCTTTGAACAGCACACTACACACAGGACGTCACGGAGTCAGACCTCAGCGGCATGGTTTCGACTTATGATCCTGTCAAGACGCAGCGTGATAAGCCTTGTGGGCGATATCCAAGTCTTACGCACCTTTCCACTACGTTTCGATGGGTGAGGGCCGAGAATGTAGCAGCTACCTTAAGGTCTGCCCTCGGCGGACTAGAGAAATGCACACGGCTGCCTATTATAGACTGTTAGAGACGAACAAGCGCCGGACGATTAACACTGGTCAAAATCCTGGTACGGTGAGGACGCTCAACCTACCTCTTCCAGCAAATTATGTGATCCCTACGCCGACGATTCTAAACAATGCGAATGTTGAGTCGATCGGAGCGGACAGTGGGCAACATCGGGATGGATGTATATGTCTTCGTCAGTCAACGGGTTACGTGGCATGGAACGTAGTGAAAGAGGGATTTTCACCAAACCCGCTCGGAATGTGGTTTACTTTACTTACTTGGTGTGATGGTAGAGGTTATCTACCTACCAGAACTTACACGATGGCATCGCTAGTAGCCATCGGGTTAGGATCTACGCACTGCTGCTACTGAGGTGCTCTCCCTTCTCCTTACCCTCGAGATCAATGCGCTTGGCATCGTTAACGTCACCCTCATCCTCGTCCTCATCCTCATCCGAGACTACAAAGTCCTCCGAGCCATCACTGTCGAAGTTGTCCTCGTCGACATCGCTTCCAGGGCCCACGTCAACGCCCGCTAAGTGGATAGATGGGTCCCAGGCTTCATCGCCATCCTCTTCAGCTCCAGTAATAACTTCATCCTCATCCTCATCGCCTAGGCCAGCAAGAGCAACGTCCTTGCGTATCTCTTTTTGTTCGTCGTCGTAGACAGCCTGCTCTTGGGAAACAATCTTGAACATGTCGATGGTCATTTCTGGGTCGATGTCTTCTCCCTCCTGAAAAGTTTCCTCCTCTATTCCTCCTTCCTCCTTCATTTCTCCTCCTTCCTCCACCCTTTCCCCATCAATTTCCTGTGCAGACTCAGCAGCAAAGTCTTCGCGGGCGTCGTTGAGAATGTCTTGAGCGCGCTTCTTGAGAAGTTCGACACGCGGCGTGGGTGCGAGTTCCTGGTAGAGGGCAAGGGCGCGTTCGGCATGCTCACTGTGGACAGCATTCGTTAGACGAAGTGGGGAAATGCTGCTTTCCTCAACGGAGCAACGTACACGTATTGATCATCGCCAAACGCCATGATCAGATGGAAGCCAGCCCGGTGGAAATTGCCAAGGCGAGGCTCGGAGAGCATGCGTTGAGCCAGTTGGATCGCTTGATCCAGCTTTTGGGCACGGAAAAGCTCCCAGGCTTGGGAATGAGCATGACCGAATACTTGGCCTGTAGGATTGGAGTCGGCCCTGAGACGATCATCGGTAGTTGTGCTACTGCTGGTAGAAAGGTTGGCCATGTTGGTGGATGGCTGGTCGTTTAGTCGAGGACAAACGACAACCTGTTGCGGTAGTTGCAAGGAAGGTACCTCGTTGCTTTGGTGGGACTCAATACTGCGACCAGATGGCACATCGCCCAAGCCACCCGGCCCCGACAGCAAGATCAAACCGACATTTCTCTCGAGCTTGCTCTCTTCGCCAGTTTGTGAAGACGGCATTTCTCCCCATCTCCCTCGTCTCGTCAGTCACGTTGAGCAGACGACATTTCTGGCAGGAGCTCCGGACCCAGCAGTAGGTAAGAACGAACGACATTTGTGCCCAGCGCCCTCTTCCCACCACCTCAAGCAGAACAGCATTCAGGTGCCCTCCCAATATWCACAACCCTTGACATCTTGAGCAAAACGATATGTTTCTCCATGCGCTCGCTCTCCTCAACACACCTTTGAGCAGACGGCACATTATGCCACGCTCCCAATCCCTCATATCGTCGACATGGATGGCAGACGCTCCGTGTAGACATAATTGTGAAAAAGACAAGTCTAATTGCACACACAAAGTGCTGTAAGCGTGGTCTCTCGACACCCGGTGCCTGTATACTACGTAGGCAACAACTTCTGGCAAGCGTCCTGCTTCCCCAGACGATGACAGTGCTGAAGACCGCGCCCACAAGAAGTCGAAGCCCAAGGAGGATGACGATAATGAAAATTGAAGATAAGAATGTCCAAAGTGAGGACGCTCATGAATTCCCTCACCCCAACGAACCCATCCTCAGCAAAAGCCAAAGAGCAGCAAGCATTACCTCTACCCGCTCGTAGGTACTTCACTTCTCCCCTCAGAACTCGAAGCGAACACCAAAACTAGAAAAACGGCGGAGTAGGGGAAAGAGGGGACAACAAGGCCATACCCAGGTAACTACCTACTATTAATATGCGAGCTTTGGCGTTTGAGAAATGTCTTATTTTGAAAGGTCTTGCTTGTATGCTTCGACAAACATTGCCTTGGGATCAAACCGCAGCATGTCTCCTCTCCAGAAGCGGCGCCTTTCTCACCACGGGCAACAGGGTAGATTGTAGGTAGAACGGAGTCCCTCGCGTTTTTTTAACGACCACGCTCGCGAACGGCAAGCCACGATGCCAAAATCGAGACTTTGTAGAGAGAGTCCAAATTTCCCTTCAATCGATCATCTTTCAATCGCACTACGAAAGGACGACGTCCCTTTTCTGGCGGCTCCAGCTTCTTTTTTATCTGGCCCCTGAGATGGTATAGGTTTCGTCGGATGGATGCAGATCTCACCGCCGTCTAGTACTCTCACTGCAGATATGAGATGCTGTATATCATGAGACCATAGCTGAGTGCCCTTCATCCACTTTTTGGACTGCGAGCTTTCCGCTCAGCATTGCCTTTTCCAAAGCACTGAAATGACCAACAGTAAATGATGACACTTGTGTAACATTTACGACCGGGAGACATCCCGGCGTGATACACAGATGATATTGTTGAGGAAGATTCGTTGACCTGGCCTTTCGAGTTCGTGTCTACTACCGCTCAGTCCTCATCCTGATCAGCGTATACCCTCCTGCTCCCACGAGGAGGAAACTTTGCGCAGTACAAAATCACAAACGCAAAGACCGCGACTCCAGCATTGCAGGTAAAAGTGTAATATGGCTTGCCAATGGTCGCAAAGGCCGAAAAGACCAGGCCGAATGCGCCGGTTGATGATAGACGTCCGACCATCTCCATCAGACTGATGGCACTGAGAGCGTCTGCTCTTTCTTCCGGGGCGCACATCATGAGGATAGTGCCCTTTGCCGCGCTACCCGTTCCCGCTGCCAGGGGTAGTAATAATGCTATCAGAAACATGTGCCAGCCTTGCGAGGTGAAAGTGGCAAGACCAGTGAGAATCCCGTCCACCAGGATTGAATAGCGAGTGTAGTAGAGGTCAAAAACAAAAGATTCTTCCTCGCCAACACGCGGTTTGAGCGGCTCGGTGGGCTCGGTGCTTTCACTCATCACACCAGGCTCGAAATCTCCAGTCGCGGTAGGAAGGTCCGGAATGGCGGATTCTTCTCGACTAATTCTCTCCGCGTTGTTTTGGCGACGGCCGATCCATGCTCTACCTCTGGTAATAACAACGGGAAATACAAAAGTCAGGAAGAGCCCGCGAACGAGGGAGTTTAGGCTAATTAGCCATCCATTTTCCGTAGTTCCAAATTGCAGCACGTYTGTGGAGTACATCTKGAGCAAGACAGGAATGTAGCCTGTCGCAAGCACGGCGAGAKAGGCTCCCACGCCCAGGAGAAGGATCCCGTATTCCTTCTGGACACGGCCGTTCTCTAGTACCCATTTCCTTGGGATGAACATCTTCAATGGCTCGAAAAATGACAGCAAGGACCGAGACCTCTTCTCATTCTCGGGCGTGAGATGCAGCGGGACAGAGGGCAACGCAACGGCAATCCATATACACGATACGATGAACAGTACCAAAGTCACCTCGAAAGGAGCAGGGATACCAAACGCGTCGCTGAGCAGTCCACCGCAGAGGTAGCCCAACGCAGTCCCGAAGAAGGAGCATCCCGACAAACGACCCAATGTCGCGGTCCTTTCATGAGGCAGGACAATCTCCGTGGCGAAGGAATTGAGGGCCAGAAGATATCCTGCCGGTCCACCCACAACCGTGATAATCTGCGAGGCTTGGATGATGGTGATTCCAATGCTGTAACCCATTTGAACGCCAATATTTTGTACTGCGAGTCTGACAGCAGGCCAGAACACGCTCGTCAATAACGCCGATTTGATTCCGAATCGCTTAATGGCCCATCCGGTATAGAATAGATTCAAGACTCCAAACAGGGTGGTACCGGCTCCCACCAAAGCAACCGATCTAGCTGTGCTGGCTTCAATCGCGGTTATTCGGCATCGTTCTGGCGTTGGTCCGGGGTCTGGATGTGTTTTGTAGTACTCATCGCATGTGAACACACCAAATGCGTAGATCATGGGAACCTGTGTGATTGAAAAAGACACCGAGACTAGGAATGCTGTAAACAACACCCGAAAAGTGACTGATTTTCCCCATTGCGGTGTGTCATCCCCATCGACTTTTGGTAGGAGAGGTGTGGATTCAAACGGACGCGCATCTGCCGAAGCCGTGGCAGAGGACTTGGTCTTTGTCGATTCCCGGTCACTTTCTGGCATTTTCCTTGGTATTGGCACTTGTGGAGGAAGTGTCCAGCTTGAGAAGACTCACGAGACTGTTGATTTGACGATCTGCAAGGTCCGCCGCCGACTCCGAAGACGGCGTCTCGTGTGGCCCGAGATGCCTGAAGCTGTTGGCCGAGATAGCCGTTGGAGACATACTGTATCTCCGTATGGCGATAAGATGTGCTGTTGATGGTTGTGCATGTCTCTTATCGGCAGGCAAGCTCAAGGCTTCGACCTCTAAAGTTAGTTATACCCTTCGCGCCGCTCAAGGCATGGAGGCGATGTGGATGAATTCCCGCATTGTGTGAGTGGGAGGACCTCTTCCCAACCGTGTGCAAAGTTGCAAATTGACAGGCAAGAACAATTTCTTCAGCCATGAACTCTTGGTATACTCCAACGCATCTTGACAGCGGCTCGTTTCAGATTCTGGTCGGATGTTGTGTTCGAACCCTCAGGATTGTAGGACAACTGACTCAGCGGCTTTCGTGGTCTGTCCACCGCCGCCCTCGACCGACTTCACATCCATTACACGACGAGCCAGTAATTCGCCTCCATGTGAATAAGGCACTCCAGTCCTTGGAAGGGATCTGAAACATGCAGAAACAGTGCGAACAGGTCATCCGAAAGTGGTTCCCTCCCGGAAGCGGCTGCATGCCTTCCGGCGCGRCTTCTCATTTGATTCTTGAAGATCTTTGCTCTGATCTTGCCATCAACGAAGTGCTGTCACCGACACGACAGATCAAAAGCTCGCATCAAGATACTTTCCCCGCGCACCGCAGATTGACCGTTCAGGCCATCGTCCGGGTCGCAAGGGAGTCTGGCTGAAGTACGCAAGGAACGAGCAAAACGCCTGCGCTTCAAGCGGGTTTCTGAATGGGTCGGAACCGCCCAAGACATGGCTCAAACCCAGCTCCCAGCGTTTGTGTCTTGAGATCTTCACGATACGCACAAAGGTAGATTCGGCATGGCGCATGGAGATTGCGGATGGCAGTGCGTGCATTTGACGCGCAGGAGCGTGCTGCTGATTGGCGTCTTTTGTGTTTACACAGCCGCGCCAAACAGACCGGTCCAAACTTGAACTTTGCATTGCGAACAGAGATGATTGCAAAATTACAGGCGCGACACCTCGCGTTCGATGGCCATCTGTCGTATTTCCCAACGGTGGCGAAGTTCCAAGATAGAACGCAGCGGAACCACCACCAGGAAGCCAAGGCAACATTGATACCTTGGTCGGACGGCTGTAGCTCTGGCACGCTCTCACACCGGAGTGGCATGCTCCTCCATCAAGATTACACTGCACGGGACAGTGGTACTCATTCTCCTTTCTGCATGACAGAACATTCACGCCATTCCGTACATATACCACGCTGAGCTTCCTACTACTGTCATTCATTCTCCATCACATCAACAGCTTCTTTTACAGTCCTTCTTTACAGCACTCACATTATCTCTTCAAGTCACTCTTTCATCGATTTAATCATCAACATGCAATCATACATCGCCCTCGCTGGCGCTGTCGGCCTTGCCGCAGCTGCCTACGCACCAAATTACAACGACGACGCCCGAGCGACCACCCAGGCAGCTGCCTTCCCAGGTCAATACGAAGCTCCTGCCGCCTTCCGCACTGTGGATGCCCAACTTCCAGCCTATTCATCTTCCGCCGACAATGCCCGTATCGAGCCATACCATTCGGAGGCCCTCCGGTTAACATCTCCACTCGCATGGTCCACGACAGAGTACATTAGCACGTCCGCTTACGAGACCTACTGCCCAGAGGCCACCACGTTGACCTTTGACACGAATACTTACWCCGTTACTGCCGCCACCACGTTGACCGTGTCCGACTGCTACAACGGCTGCGAAGTCGTCAAGCCACTGCCTACCACAACCATCTATCAGACCGCCCCACATGTTACGACCACAAACTTCGAGACTTATGTCCCGAAACCCACAATCCTCACATTTTCGGCCGAGACTTGGACTGTCACCGAAGCTACAACCTTGACCATCCCTCAGAAGATCACCACCACTTCGGTGTTCAAGACGGTGATTCCCATCCAGCCAACTTACGCGCCCACCTCTTTCGTCAAAGTCACCACGGCGGACAAGTCTCCAGTATCCCCAGTTGAGACGATTGAGCCATATGTGCCAGCAAAATCTGAGCCAGTCCAGACCCCCGAGGCATATGTGCCAGCCAAATCTGAGGAGGCTCCAGTTCAGACAATCGAGCCATTTGTACCGGCGATGACGGAGGAGCCAGCGGCCATTGTGCCTACTACTGCCACTTACGACGCCATCGTTCCACCATACCCGAGCGCTCCTGCTATGACCACTCCAGCCTACTACCAGCCAACTGGCACTGGTTCTGCTCGAGTTTACCCAACWCAGCCTGTCCTATACACAGGTGCAGGTAGCCGTGTCGGCGCTGGCGCCCTCATGGCCGTTGTCGGTCTCGCTGCTTTCTTTTAGAGATTGTAGGGTCTAGACGCGACATATACAAATGACCAGGACGAATGAAAATAGAGGGAATGGGTCGAGCAAGCGGCGTTGGGAGGAGTGTATTGATTGCATCACGGGCATACGCCTTTTTCATAAATTTTCATATAGTCTATAGATCAATCGAAGATCTGCCGTTACCTGTTGTAAAATTGGTCACTCTCTCACCTTTCATGTCCGCATACCAATGGCGATGAGCGTAGGAATGTGTGATGTGTTCATCCTTGCGAGCATCCTCCCCCCGGCCTTCGATAATCATTCTCTTCATCGACTGTCGACGCCCAAGCCGGATCCTGGAGGGGGATCCTCTCTCAATAATCGTGTATCAACAACGTCGATCATGTGAGTGCGAACACCATGTTGTTGCTCGGGATGGCTGTTGCTAACGTCCACCCCGCCGACGTTCTACCCCGGACCGCTGTACTTCGTATGCTCGTGTAGAAAGAGAGTTCTTTGGAGAATCTCCCCCGTTACCAGGGCCTCGAACTCTATAGATCAGCTGCAGGGTTGCAGGGTTCGGCTTAAATATCCATGCGCATGCGCAAGCGCCCGGCAAATGCATTTCAAGCGCTGCAGCGACACATCAGCTGCGTCGACATCATCAATCGCTCTCCTCTTCCTTCCTTGCCAACTCTTTCTCCATCCACCTCCCCTGCGCCGTGATTCTGTAGTCTTTTGCCATGACAATTGAGAATCGCGCGGTTGAAACGCAAACGCCGAGCAAGCAAGCACGAGCCGCCGGTCCGGTCGTTGTCACCTTAGCAACGGATTTTCCACGAGCGGTTTCAACCCCGGCTCATCTGCAAGCGTTGGGCTAGAATACATCATGCCCTCGTTATTATCATCGCATGCAACGCCCCTTTCACACCTCGACATGTTCCTCTTGTGTCCTCGCAATTCATCGTGATTTCATCGCCGCGACCGTTATTGTTATCCGACCATCTCGCGCGTCCGGGCAATCGATCAACAAAGATTGTGGGGAAGCATTGGAGATAATCCGCGGAGAAGACTGTCGAAATGGCCGACAACTATCAAATGTTGGAGGAGCTGGGGAGTGAGTGTGACCACATCCTCCTCACTAATCGACCATCATTGACTGACATTGATCAACAGGTGGCTCCTTCGGCACCGTCTATCGCGCTTTGGACAAAACAACGGGCGAGTATGTCGCCATCAAGCACATCGATCTCGAAGGCAGCGACGACGACATTCGCGAGATCCAACAAGAGATATCATTGCTGGCAACATGCAGCTCCGAGTATGTCACCCGCTACAAGACATCCTTCGTCCGCGGTGTCAAACTTTGGATAGTAATGGAGTATCTCGGCGGCGGCTCATGTTTGGACTTGTTGAAGCCATTCGCCAAGGGCATGGAGGAAAAGCACATTGCAATCATCATGAGAGAGCTGTTACAAGGTCTGGATTATCTGCATAGCACGGGCAAGATTCATCGGGATATCAAAGCGGCCAACATTCTCCTCTCCGAGACGGGACAGGTCAAGATTGCGGATTTCGGTGTCGCGGCGCAGTTGACCAATATCAAGTCGCAACGATTGACCTTTGTTGGAACTCCATTCTGGATGGCGCCCGAGGTTATTCAAGAAGCCGGATACGACTTTCGCGCCGACATCTGGAGTTTGGGTATCACTGCCATGGAGTTGGCTTTGGGTGAGCCACCGCGCAGCGACGTGCACCCCATGAAGGTCCTCTTCTTGATCCCCAAGGAGAAGCCTCCACGTCTCGAAGGCAGTCGATTCTCAAAAGACTGCAAGGAGTTTGTTGCCCTCTGCTTGAACAAGGATTCTGACAAGAGACCGAGCGCAAAAGCACTCCTCAAGCATGCATTCGTGAAAAAGGCTGGCAAGACTGATGTTCTTCAGGATCTCGTGTGGAAGGTGAAGAAGTTTGAGCAAGATGGTCTGCAGCGGGAGAAGGATACACGATACTACGAAGAGACACTTCGGTCGATGGGTCAACCACAGGAAGAGGATGAGTGGGTATTCGATACGATTCGTCCGAACAACAGTGTACGACCTGCAGCCGTGGGCAAGCAGACAATCAAGCGACGGAAGCTGGACAGGATTCCTTCGGGAGATGGATCAAGTATCGCCAACGCAACTGCCGCGATGGAGCAAATGAGCTTGAGGGGGGCGCCATTGTCTGGATCAGTGAGACTCACGCCTGGACGAGAACTGAGCACGATCCGAACCCCAAAGATCAGAGCATCGGGAGGACAGAGAAAGGTGTCCGCTGTCACCGCACGAAAAGTGTCTGCTTTGAATGCTGCCTCGCCCACCGCCCGCCGCGTTARTCGAAAAGTGTCGGGATCTACTCCAACCGCCAGGAGGGTCAGCCAACAGCCTGCACGACAACCACTCGGCTTGGACATGTCCTTTGGGAATAGTGCGTCAACTGTAAGACAGTTCAAGCGAGTCAGCTCTGGAAATAGACCGTCCACTCCACCTGACCAGACCGGAACATCGCCAGCAGACAGTGTCTTTGATAGTGATTCCGAGAACAAGCCTCCAGTAGAAGTGCCCTCGCGTGCGGCGGTACCTGCGACGAAGGAGTCAATTCTGGGCAGACGATGCTTCGCGAAGAGTCTCGATCCAGCATTCCAGGAAGCCCACGCCGCGACGGGCGACCGAGAGAAGAGGGATGCCCTCGGTAAAGTGGCCGAGGCATGGTCGAATCTCGACGAAATCGACCCTGAAGGCGAACTCCTCTTATTGAAGAGTATCATGGACCGCATTCAATCCGACCCCAAACTCGCCAGCGCACTCCTCCCTCAACGTGTGGCAAACGCACAACTCGCATCTCTCCGAGTTTCACCCTCCAAGAAGAATGCAATGGTCTCCGAGAATGAGATATCATCTCGCGACCTCACACCTCAATCCTCGCCGTCAAAGTCCACACTGGTCGGCTCGCTGAGGTCGCCTAGCAAGCGCGATGCGCCTAGCAGCCCCTCGAAACTGGTTCTCAACCCGCAGAACCCACATCTTAAGAAGATGCGGAGCAGTCAGCAGTTGGTCAGTGAGAGGGAGAGGGCCAACATGTCGGAGAAGAGCGCGATGGAAGAGAAGATGCCCGGCGGGAAGATTGAACCGGGAATGGAGCATACGGGGATGCTCGCTGATGTGCTATATGGGAGATGGACCGAGGGGCTGAAGAAGAGGTGGCCAATGGCTTAGGGAGCGAGCCAATGGCAGGAGGGTGGGTTGACCGACGAGCGCAGCGGTCGAAGGTTCTGTCGGAAGTTTGACTGATTTTCAATTCCTTGTACAAATGACCATTTTATTGCATAGCGCCTGGCATTTTATGAAGGGTAAAAAGCTGGACTACTTCCAATGCTTGCTTGGAGCGACATTTGCCACGCGCGGGATGCTCCTGTGGAGTATCATTGCCTTTATTGTACGAACGAGATCACTGCGGGATGGAGTTGGTTCGACGATCTGTAGATAGTACCTTAGTCTCTCTGAATGGATGACTGTTATGAATCATAGTTGGTGCAATCGTGTTATTTCAATATTGCCGTCTGGACTGAATTACGACGAGAGATACCTTACTCCCCGTCGAGGAACCGATGCTGTGTGAGGGCAGTCGCTAGAATGGCATATTGCATCTTCAGACAAAAAAAAAGAAGTCCACCCTAGCTCCCCACTTCCACAGCCCCCTCAGGAACTCCCGCCACACTCCTCAATCTCCTGGAGAAGAATTGCATAATGGGCAACATTTCATCCCTACTATTCGGCATGGAATCTCCTGATTTCCGATAGCGTTTGACTTCCACGTAGTGAAAGACGTGTTTGAGTTTCTCTTCTGCGGAAGATGTCACGGTGGAGTCGTCGTTTCCCGCGCAGATTAAGATGGGGGTTTTGCATTTTGGGGGGTCGAGAGATGATGGGGCTGATGAGGGGAGGGGTGCTCCGATGCTAATTATACCTCCTAGTTCAAGGGGGGGAGAGGCTTGATGGAGGGCGACTGGTTGCAGGGGAGATTAGTGTTTTGGTAAGGAAGACTTGAAGGATAGATGGAGACTTACCAGCGAGATCCAAAGCTGCCATTCCTCCCTGCCCGAAACCAAAGAACATGATTTCTCGTGGTTTGTAGCCGCATTTCTCCACCAGCACGTCTTGGATAATGAGACTTTTCAACACCTCGGTGCTTTGCTTGAAACCTGCGTCCGGGTCTAGTCCGCCGGAGGTGGAGTCGAACATGATGTCGTCGCCCCAGTGGAAACCTCCTAGATCGAGGAGATTCTGGGGGCCTAGGAGGGAGATGCATGCTGTTTCTGGGAGGTTCATTTGTTTTCCTAGGGCCGTGAAGGATTCATGGTTGTCGCCTAGACCGTGGAGGAGGACGAGGATGTTGGTGGGTGGGGCGTCTTTGGGTGCTGTGGRGGGTGTTAATACATTGATGGTATGTTCTTTTGTGGTGTGAATGAGCTTGCTGTCATTATGCTATCGTCAAGAAGGAAGGGGAGAAGTCGCAAGCTCGAAAGGTTTGGGAACAGCCAGATGATCTTTCCTGAGGAGAGATGATGACAGTGCTCCTGGAGTCCACTTCAGCGCTTGGGAGTGCAGAGATAGTACCGCAGACTGCCAATCGCGCTAGGGTTGGGGGAAGAAAACGAGCTTCTTCACATGCTTGAAAGCTAGGTAGAGGTTGAGGCTGGGGTCTAGAACTTACGCGGCACAATGTTCAGCTTGAGCTTCTTGGGGAAGTCCGCGACTGTGGGGAGTCGTCCCATGTTTGGATGGTGGGGAAGGGGAATGATGAGGAATGTTGTCGATCGTGAGGAGCTTCAAAATCCAGACTCTGTTCAAGGAATCCGTTCTGAGACAATATGTCGGCAAGTTGGAAAGATGTCGTTGTCTTGTGAAACATGCAGACATGAGGAGAAGGTGGGGCTCTGTCGCGAACAAGCTTCCCCAAGCATTTGAAGCAATGCTTGGCCATCTCCATTGTGACGACTGAGAAGTGAAGCCAACCGCTGCTGCTTCCTTCAAGTTTCAAGATACTTGCAGTGAGAGGGACTTTAGCATCTGATTGAACGATCATAAGACCTCACTTGAAACCGATGCGGTCTAAGCCTCACGCTTTCGGTTCTGCTGACGACATTGAACACGCGTGCTCGGCACTCGTAACCTTCTGGCCCTGCATCACCCGCCAGTGAACCTGAGCCACTGCAATGGCGGCATGCACTACTAGCGGGGCAGCTGATCATTGGGAGCTCATATATAACGCTTCTCAACACGATCCCTCTTTCCTCCCAAGACCCATCTCTTCAAGCATCTCACCAACACTTCCAACATATCACCCCACCCTCAATCTCAACCGACCAACAACCCCTCCACAACTCATTCAAGATGTTCGGATTCGACGAGGCCCGTGACAACTACAAAAACACCTACGAGAACAACGACAACAAAGCCGAGTTCTCCCACGAGCTTCTCGCCGGCGGAGCAGCTTTCGCAGGCATGAAAGCCTTTGAGGATCACCAGCGTAAAGAAGGTGCATACTACTCTCCCCTCTCATCATCRAGAAGCCATCAGATCACTAACAGTCAAATCTTATGGGTGTGCAGGCAAGCCCGTCTCCCACCAATTCGCCAAAGAGCTCCTCGCGGGTTTCGCAGGCGTGGAAGTCGACCGTCTCGCCGAGACCAAGGGAGCGGATTACATTGATCGCGAAAAAGCCAAGCGTCATGCGAAGCAGAATGCCGAGGAGTTGTATGATTCGCACTATGGTGGGAACGACCAGGTGAGTCTGAACTACTATGCTGTTGCTGTTACTGTTTTATCGATGAAGGGTTCGGTTCGCTGATGATGGTTTCTTGTCTTGTGCAGTATGACCCCAACCAGCAGGGCCCGCATCGGCACATGGAGGAGCAGTTTGGTCGGTGGTAGAGAGTGACTTGGTCGATGGATACGGAATGGCTTGTTTCGGTCGACGGATACTGAGGCAGGGTAGGATAATGACTTTGCCTTCAACATCAGGAGAGATGAGTCCGTTATGAGGGAGCTGTAGCTCAAGACTAGAGATTGCAATTAGCTGGCTAGCTCTGGAAGTTATGCTATGATGAAAGAAATGAAGTCTTTTCATCACCTCTTGTGAAGTCGTGCTTCTCTCTTACTTGCTCATCACTCTGCTGAGTTGTAGCTCTCTCGATCTCGAATCTTCCCCGCCAACCTCGAGATGGCTCTCACACCAACACGATCAAAACGTATTGCATTCTTACCCGCATCGAATCTCATCATCGGATTATTGGCTTTCATATTGAGAGAAATAGTACACAATGAACATACAGAGAAACCTTTTTCATCCAAACATACCTGCTTCCCGCGCATGTARTTGGACAGTATCTCCCTTTTTCTTTTTTCACATCGCACATGCAGGTCTGTCTCATCGGCYGTCTGGTTGGCGGAACACCAAACGGACCACATCCTCATAGACTCTGCTGTCTTATTTGTATGCATGCCTGCCCCTCCAAAACTCCATCCCAAACAAGACGACATCCATTCGTACACCTCCTCTTATGACTTGAGCGAATCCCTCATGCTCTGCGAACTTGCCGAGGTGGTTGGGAGGCTGGTCTTTGCGTCCTTGTCCTTGCTTGACCAGATCTTCGACAGAGTGTAGACGATTCCGCTTACGAATCCCAAGAAGATGGCGCTTACACTGGCCGCCGTCACGGGTGCGTCAAAGAAGATCAGTCCACTGATGGCTATGGGAAGCTTGTTGAGGGAGCCGACCATGCTGTAGGTCGTGGAGGATGTTACTCGCACGCACCAAGCACTGCAATACGAGATGAAGATGCTGCTGAGACCAGTGAAAACCATGGCAGCGACCATGGGTCCCTGACGGCCAGGAGGGAAGTTGATGGCGATGTTGGCCGAGGACCAGTCTTCGAGGAGGAGGGAGCAGATGAGGAGGATTGGAATGGAGAGGAGGTTGTTGTAGTACATGGCTAAGAGGTGTCAGTAATCTCCCCACGCAATGGCATGCAATCCACTCACTGTCAAAGTCCTTGAAGTTGGTCAACTTGATCCGTTTTCGCATGCCGAGCACAAATCCAGCGGAGCAGAAGCAGTTTAATGCCATCCAAATGTATCCCGCGTTCAACGTAGCAATCTTCTCGGCAGCCTCACCCGTCAAGGCATCCCCGCCGTACGCAGCCAAAGCGTGTGYGACATCAGCCCAGGCAGCGATGATACTGCTGGCAATCATCAATCCGAAAGCGAGGAGAGCCATTCCACCGACGGAGCCTCCAAACCATAGCACCTCCCCATATGCGATGAGGATAATGGTCAAGTTCTTGAAGATGGTGTACACGGGGATGCTGAGGAACTGCAGGGCCTTGATCGAGGTGTAGATCATGCCAATGAGTAGGAGGGAGACGGGGAACCACTTTCGGGCTTCATCGGTGTTGAAGTCGCGGTAAGTGATGAGGCCCATTGCTTTGCAAGTCGAGATTGCTATTATGCAGACCAGGGACTGAAGCGGGTTAGTCTTGGATGTGGATGGATCCATGGCTCGTGAGAATGCTCACCTGTATGGCCAGCAAGAAGAAGCTCAAATTCCATCCCGTCCCGCTCACACAGTATTTATTCGCGACGGTCATCAAGATGCTGCTTCCACAGTATGCGAAGATGGACAGCATGGGGCTGTTGAGGCTCACAGTCGACGATTGAGGCGCCATCTTGGGCAATCGGCGGGATGTGGTTGGAGCGACGGGCGCAAAGTAGTCGTCGGTTTTTTTATCCCTCGCGCTGAGCGACGCAGATGCGCTCAAGTTGGGCGAAGTGGCGGCGCTGGAGGGTTGCGAGGTGGAATAGGGAGACGCGGGCTGCCACGCTCGATTCGGGCCAAGGCTCCTGGAAACGCCGATGAAGGAAGTCGTGATGGGCGATTATGCAATGCGCGGGGCGCTGTTTGTTGTTGAAGGGGGGGTTGAATGTATACGCAAAAACAAAAAAAGGCGAGGGGGTAAGGAGGAGGTGGTGTTGAGGGAGAAATAGAATAGAGGGATATGTCACATCGGCCTCTGCGATACGTGGACTCGTTGCGCTTCAAATTTGGCGACGATCCCGCCGTCGATCTTCGCGCAACGTTGAAATACGGGCAGTACCTCCCGGAGATTTCTCCTCATGAATTCTGCCATGATGCGAACGATACTAATACCTTTGGTGGATTGATTGAGATTGATTCAACACACGCTCCCCTTGCAAACAACCTTCATCAATATACCTGCAATACCACCTGTTCCTCCTTGTTCAAGAAGATTGTACCTGGAGTACTAGCGTCGCGCTAGAATAGCCGAGCGAGACCCCTCTGCCTTCCAGAACCTCACACGGGCTTCTTCCAATGAATTCGACGTTGTTGTAACAATCTTCCCAACGACCTCCCCAAACATGGCCACTGCCCTCGACCCCAAAGTAGCTGCCGTGCTCGACCACCGCCGTACCAACAACCACGACTCCGATGACGAAGATGCCCTCATCGCCGAGCTTGAAGACGAAGAAGATACCACATTCTCCGCTCTTCGCGAAAAACGTCTCGAACAACTTCACTCGGAAGTCACCCGTGCTAAACTCATGCGCGAAACTTCCCATGGAACATACAATGAGATCCTCGACGAGAAAGTCTTGATGGACATTACCACATCTACGAAATTGGTCGTGGTGCATTTTATGAAACCGGACTTCAATCGCTGCAGGATCATGGACGAGAAGTTACGGGTGTTGGCGGAGAAGCATTTCGATACGAGATTTGTGTCGATAAATGTGGAGAACGCGCCTTTCTTGGTGGTCAAGTTGAATGTCAAGGTCCTGCCTTGTGTGTTGACATTCAAGGAAGGAGTCAGTTCAGATCGGATTATTGGGTTTGAAGGAATTGGGTGGAAGCCGGATAGCTTCACTACAGCAGAGTTGGAGGCGAGGCTGTTGGGAAGTGGTGTACTTGTTCGAGCGAAGATCACGGATGACGATGATCGGAGAGTGAGAAGGGAGAAGGTCGAGGTGGTAGATGAGAATGATGATGATTGGGATTGATGAGGGAAGTTGTTGACGGGCGAATGAGCAGAGATGGGAGGCATTCGTTCCGGGCGGCTGCTACTCCCTTCATGCGTGCTCGACTACAGCGGAAACAACCGTCTCAAATATGAGTGTCGACGGCGTGGAAACTTGCAACAAGCACATCAACCACGGCCGGTGTCAGCACCACAGGCTGCTGGCTGACGCGGACTTGGGTTTTGCGAGAAAAGACCCGCTGGGGAAGCCAGAACCTACGTATCAACAACGTACGGAGAGACCGTGCAGCATCGTGCCACACCGGAAATTCTCTCCGAGGATACGTCGCAAAGATATATCGGAACCGCCTCTCTTTGCCATCAATCGAAGCGTTGCTCTATGCCAATCAACTCACGGGGCCAAGTTGAGGGTGAACAGGAGTCCATATTGAAGGAGGGGCGTTCGGTTGTGGTCTTTTGCTGCAGCCGCCATACCTTACTACATCTCGTCACCTTCAGGTTCTTMCAACCCCACATCCGCGCTCAGCCGCTTGGAGCTACAAATCTACGACGTGATTGGAAGGTCCGCTCTTTCTAATTCGGCCAGGAAATTTGACAATTCGTCCCTTACTTTATTGGAGCTGTGCGGAATTCATTGAATGCGATTTTTTGCATCGCCCGCATGTCTTTCATCAAAAGACACCCAACTTAAGTCTCCTTCATGGACATCATCCATTCTACAAAGCCACACCTCTCAAGCCGTATATCTACCGGTAGTATTGCTCCTTCAATACGGCAACTATCATACTCATGGAACCCGAAGCAAACGAAATGCTCACTCTGGCATTTCAACCAAACCATGTGGACACTGCCATCCAGATCTTCCGTCCTATCTTGGTCATGGCCATTAGGGTCCTGTGCATTGCTCTGTGGCTCGGCGCCGCAGTGCTGCTCGCATACTCCATTACTGGCATCGGCAGCTACATTCTCGCCCATCGAACTTGCGGCAGAGGGAGACATACCCTTTCTGTCGCTTTGGTCGCCTTCCTCTTCGTCTTATCGGTGCGCTCGCAGGTGGATGATAACGCCGCCGGATTTCTGGACTTTCTGTGGAGAAACTTGCAAATTTTCTCCTCTTTCATAGTCCTCTCTGGCTTGGTGCTAGCTCTCTTGGTATTTGGAACGGCCCTGAAGTGTGCCTTTATGTTCGCGAGGAATGGGGATCTTCCGCGAGCCCTACCACCTACAAGGCGACTGGCATCATGCCTTGCATTCCCTTTGATCATTCACTATTCTGCCGCCTCTTTCGATTGGTCGACAGACGACCCTTCCTGGATCAATGTGGCTGATTTTCGAGCCATCATTCAGACGGCGGTGCTTATGATGTTCTTGGTTTTGGTCAAGATTATCGTCTTCCTTGTCTGTTGGTTCGCAGTGGCCGTCGCTTTCATGTCCATGGCTAGTGTGAGCCTCGATATTCTTAAAGGAACATCCATCAAGGAGTTCCTGACAAATTTCTGGAAGCGCGCACGGGGAAATGATGCCCCCCGCAAGGAAGATATCTGTGTCAGACTTGGCACCGTTTTGTGTTGTATGTTCCATATCCCTGCATTCGACTCTTTGTATGCAAAGAACTCCCATGCGAAAAACCAGATTGTGGAGAAGTTCTGGGTGACGACTGCGCAGGTCATGGCTGGCTGGTTGGTTTTTCACCTGAGTATGGTGGTGCTTTCTGTGATTGCAAGGGTGATTTATCTGCTCTTGGGGGGATGCATTGTGCCTTCACAGGAGGATGAAGAACTGGGCGAAGCACAAAAGGCGGAGGAGGGTAAATGCGAAGCAAAGAACGTGGAAGAAGAGAAGTCCGAGGTAAAAGTGGCGGAAGGCGATGAGAAGCCTTTGGTCGATTTCGAATGAACGACCGTTACGAATGGCATACAGACCTAGGCACCAGAAAGCAAGGGACAGTGGAATTGGAAGGTCACTGCCTTGTCGACAAAGAATTAGAGACGTCGTCGCTTAGACCGCGGCGAAGTAGCGATACTATTCGAAGACACATCGGGCTCTCAGGCTCTCCAAAAGACATGTCAACCCGACAAAGCTTCAATCTCACTGTCCTTCATTCTCCCCTGCTCGCATGCGCTAGCTTTCCATAGTCCTTCCAAATCACGTTCTGTATACCATCATCCTTCCCAAACGCCGGAAGTACTGTAGTATTGTTACAATCTTACTCATCATCCAAAGCCGCCTTGCGCACTCTCTCCTTCCTCCGATCTTCCTTCTTGAAGAACGAGTTCCTCGGCTTAGCCAACGCTTTGTTCGCATTGTTCTTCGCATTCTTCGCATACTCCATATACGCCATGTCCTCTCCACCAGCAAGAGAAGACAGTGTTCCAGCCTGTCGTCTAACCCCAGTTCCCTTCTTCTTGTTCTTGGACTGGTTACGGTCGCTGAAAAGATCGTCTTTGATGTCCTCGACATCTCCCACGGTCTCGGATTGCAGCAGGACATCTGTGAGGAGAGACATGCGTTCGTTTTGGGTGTTGAAGGCAAGGCCGGGCATTCGATCGATGCCATTCAGATGGGTGATGACTTTGAAGGCATACCCTTGGTCGACGAGGAAAGCTTGACGTTTTGAGGAGTAGTACATCTCGTTCGTGTCTTTGCTGACGAGACTGTAGAAGAAGGCATTGAAGCCCTCGTCGTTACGTCGCTTTGCTCGGAGGATGCGGCCGAGACGTTGTGCTTCCTGTCTACGGGAGCCATAATGCGAGGAGATCTGGATCAAGCAGGTGGCTTCCGGTAGATCAAGAGAGGTATCTCCAATCTTCGAGAGGAAGACGGTAGAGACGGCATCGTTTTGTTGGAAGTTCTGGAGCACGACCTCGCGCTCACGCTGACTGGTATCACCGTAGATGTAGGGTTTCGTCATTCCAGTAGCATACTTCTGCAGAGCGTAGACGTTGTCGGAAAATACTATTACCTTATCGCCTCTTCGCTCGTGGAAGTCTATCAGGAACTGGCACGCCTGATATTTTCTTGGGTTCATCGTGGAGAGAAGACTGCGCTTGTTGGTGGTCTTRGCCTGGAGGTACTCACTGTAGAATTCTGTTGTCATRGGACACCAGACTTCGGCGCATTGCACACGAGCAATGTGGCCCTCCTCGCTCAGCTGCAGCCAGTTGGCTTCATAGAGCTTTGGCCCGATCAAGAAATTCAAGTCCTTAATCTTATCATCTTCTCGAAGGAGAGTGGCTGTCAATCCAAGCTTTGAATGCGTCTTGATTCGTTCAGTCACTCGTCGGAACATTTCAGCGGGCACAACGTGCACTTCGTCCAACACCATCAAACCCCACTCGCGGGATGTGATGAAATCCATGACTTGCTTACTGTCGTGGGCACGCTTTGTGTTTTGTGTGACCATGCTGTAGGTGCAGATGATGACACCAGCTTTGTGGTTCAGCTTCTCCTTTTCACCAGATGTGAAGATGGCAATATCTTCAGGATTGATGTTGGACCACTTCTTGAACTCCTCTTTCCACTGCACTGCACTCATGGCGCTTGTGCAGAGTACGATTGCGCTCTTCTTCACCGTACACGCTGCTGTAATTCCGACCAGTGTTTTGCCGGCACCGCAAGGCAGAACAATGATACCACTCCTGGCGCGWCCATTACCGAACATCTTGCTGAGTGCGTGCTCCTGATAGTACCGAATCTGCACATTCGGTCGAAGGTCGATGTCGAGGGTYGCGTTGATGTCGTCTGCTCGGAAATCGTACTCTTCTGTGAGTGGCAAGTTCAGCTTTACATTGCAATGCTCTTGCACAAGTTGAATCTTGTTCCCGTCAATCTCGAAAGAATGGACCTGGTCGAGCTCGTCGTCATCTTCTTCTTCGCGGAGGAATTGGGTCATATCTTTCTCTGCCTCGCGACCTCCAAACTCATCGTCCGAGTCTTCATTCTCTTCATCACGCACCGGTGCAACTTGAGCAACGGCTTCCTTCACTCCAGCAGCATCCTTTGTGCCGGGAATGATCAATCCGCTCATTTTGGCCGCCTTTTCTGTCCGCAGCTCTTCCGACTCTTCCACCCGGCAGGTGCCAATGACGGGATCTCGAAGGAGCATTTGCAGTACCGAGGCGTCGTTACTCTCGACAAAGTACTTGTTGTGCTTCAATACCAGTCTCACCTTTCCGAACGACTGTGTCACTTCATGTACGAAATCGATGATGTTTTGCGGCACCTTTGTCTTGGAGAATAGCTCGAGGTCACGGATGATGTCCTGTTCGGTTAAGCCAACGGAGACCGCAGCGAACAGGCTGTGTGGACTGATGGTGTACTCGTGCATGTTCGTCGTCCGACTCTGCGGTTCGGCGATGTTGATCAAGAAGTTCTGGGCTTGCTTGAAGCTGGGCGCGAACGTCTCCAAGACCACTTTACCATTCTGCGGATCAATCCACAATGGTCGGAGATGGTGATCTGGCTTGAGAGTCTCTTTGAAGAAATCGCGATTTGCTTTGAAGAGGTGACTTGCAGCGTCGCCGGTCGATCTGCCTGTATTTGGCTTCTGGTATGTGGCGGGTTGATATCTCTTTACTACATCTATAGTATACATACATCAGCGCCGTTTCACAAGCAGACAGTCGGGGACGGGGCCACTGACTGTCYAGCTTCCTGGGTGCTGCCCTCTCATCCGAATCATAGTCATCGTCGCTGCCGCCTGAGAAATCGTCGTCGCTGACCGCGCTCACAGGCGTATTCACTCCAGAGGCGACCCTCTTCGTCGAGCGGCCGGCTGCCGCACCGGCTTTGCGCTTCGGCGCCATGGTGATATGGCGCGCGCTGGCAGTTTCGGATGTTGGCGATGTCGATGGCGCGTAGCGATGGTAGTGGAGGGTGGGGTTGATGTGAGGTTGGGAGTCCAGAAGGAGAGTGACATTGAAGTACCTTATGTAAGGTAGATCTTATAGGGCTGAGCGTTGCCGGCCCGGCTTCCGGTCGGACGATCACGGGCATCTGCTGATTGATGTGGAGCGAAGCTTAAGTCCTTCACATTCAACCAATACCTGCATCTGATTTCACGTTCCCATTCACTCACCTTTGACCGACTCTCTACCTCATACACCCTCGGCTTGAAAGTACTGCGTTGAATCGCAGTAAACTACTCTCATAATCGCCAGATCGAGCCGGACACCAACAAACCTTCGACGAACATCATCATGAACACGGTTCGTTTCCCTTGATTCTCCGAGACCGGGCTTCCACTAACAACTATACAGGTAAGATCAGTAGGCTACGGCTGGGGAGTCCTGATCGTTGCTGGAGGAGGCTCCTACTACTTTGCGAAGCGTAGCATCAACGCAGATCGGGAAGAGAGAGCACATGCGGAAGAAATGCGACGACAGAATGCAGAGAAGCAGCGCGTAGCAGAGGCAATGGCCCGGAGCAGTAACATGGCAAAGAAGGCGAAGCGCAAAAGCGATCACCCATCACCCAGTGACGAGGCTGGTGGCGATCCCGCAGCTGTGGAGCACGAAATACCGCAGAGCAAATTCGCCGCCTCGGAGCCTTATAGATCGAAAAGAGGCGATCGATTTAGTTGAGCGGCAGGAAGGAACGAGTGTACAATGAGAAGAGATTCTGCTACGGACAGCAAAGCGAAATCTGCCAAGAGGTCAACGAGGAAAGAATATGGAGACCCGAGGATACAGTGTCTCGGGAATGTACAACACCAAGGAAAGGGAAATACGAGACAGATGCCGATTACTGCTATGCTGTGATGCGGCAGCTCTCTGGATGCTACTATTAAATCAACAAACTTCACTCCACGCTGCGTGCGTACCTCAAACACAAACACGGCGCCAAGTTGCGACCCTTCGATCCAAATGGATATTCCCAGAATGAACAACAATGACTGAAACGCACTCTGAACATTGCCAACCTTTAATCCTTAATCTTAAGAATGCGTAGGCGCCACAATCGTCGAGCGACGAGCTTGGAAGGCAATCGCGGAAGCTGAGAGGCCTCCTAGGCGCTCACATCATCAGAATGCTGCTCTTCTACGCCAAAAAAAAAAAAAGGTAAAGAAGGAGTATCGCATACAGATTTGTATATCGCTTGTCATTGACTGCACTCTGACTGATAAATGCTCGCAGAAAGATGAATAGACCTGATGTCGTAAAAACCTAGTCGCAGTGTGAGATCTTAATCCGGGCTCTGGTCCTTGACAACCCATCGCCATATCCGCCCTTACTTCTCCTACCAGTACTTCACATCTCGCTCGCCGTAGTCTCGCTGTTCTCTGATAGTCGGTCGACTTCTGCAATCTTCCAGAGAACCATTGCTCTTCTCGTCGATCCTTTCTAATCGGAATTGCTCGTAGAGCCCACCCTTGTTGTTTTTTGGTCTGTTCATACTAACAACCTTGTAAAGTCCATCATAGCGGATGCCCACGGTAGGAGAGTACATGTTCTTGGAACCAGAACGTAAGACTCTGATAGGCTTGCCGGTGTGGAAGGAAGCTTTCAGACACTTGGTGCCTGTGGTTGACTCTCTGTGATTTTTGGGATCGGTATTCTCGTGAGACCCACTGCCGGAGTAGTATAATGTCTCTCCATTGTCAGTGTCCAGGTCTTCGTACCTACACAGTGCGTCAGTATTTGTGCGTCTCCTCTGTCTTGTTTTGTGCATTTTTGAAGCCAACCCAGTGAAGGGTCTGGCGTGATATATGAAAATAAAAAGTTGATACTCACGCTCCGCTGACAACGATTGAGTAGGCTCCATTCGCCGTATGTCCTGATATTCCTCCTTGTGACGAGCCGACCGCACCATGGAATAGTGCAGACAACTGTGAAGGAAACCATTGTCCAACGGCCAAACCATTGTGACCGTAGATCTTAGGGTCCCTTTTAAATGAAAGAAGCCTATCGTTGAATACCGTCGCCACTCTACCAGTCTGGAGGTTCTCTTTCTTTGCGAGGCCGTGGAATATGCCTCTTTGGCCCCATATCGCATGGTTAGGAGGAKGATAATGKGTACGAGTGTCTCCCGACCGGACAGTGCTCGCTCTTCTGTTGTTTACAGAATCGATAGGTTCGGCTCCKTCTTCATTATTAGCATCGTCGCTATCGATGTCAACCCCACCGCCGGGCTGTGGTTCCGGTTTTGCTGGGGCACCCCAGTTTTCTGCTTCCCATTTCTCGAAGAGTTCTCGTGCCTTTTGTTGAAATCTCCTGTGGGAAGTGGAACTCAGGTCTTGCGTAAATAACGCCGAGAATGAGTGGCAGGTTTGATTGTTTTTTCAGAGTGGGATTCATATCGACCGACTCGTCCAGCCAAGTGAGCAGCGTTTCAATGTCAAGTAGCCGGCCTTTCGCGACATTGTCTGTCGAGGGATCCAAGGTGCTGCCAGCTTTCTTAGTCGCCTGGGCGTATGCCAGTATTGTCGGTCGGGTGTTGTTGATAAATTTGACGCGTGCATCATCGTTCTTGGAAGCTCTGGGGATAGTCGGTGCTTCCATTGTAGGTTGTGTGTTGGGATGTTATGGAGTGTGGGCGCTCGAGAAAAGTTCTGCTGGGGAGGGATATATATATCACTGCTGCCTTGAGCGCGGGGCTCTTTGCTATTGTGATCGGGAACTTGTAGTGAAGTGAGATGGGAGGAAGATGTGAACTAGTTTTCGCAAGCACCGATCGCCAATCTTCCGAACACAAGATCTGAAAAAGGGAAAGAGCAGTCGGCGGATGGGTTAGCTCTAATATACTTATAAAACATGTAGGAAGTATGTCACTTTGAGGATATCGGCCTTGGAATAGGTGCTACTGCAAGCACAGTGGAGTGTTGTTCGTCCTCGCAGCGCCCAGATAATAATTTACTAATACACTAAGGTAATACGCTAATACACCAATACACCAATATACTAATATATTCATGTATTCATATCAATATATCAATATAATGATATACAAATATACAGATATACAGATATACCAATATACAAATATACAGATATACCAATATATCAATATATTAATATATAATAACATCACCAGCGATATCGGCAATTGGATATGGACTTAAAGCTGGACCAGAGTCCAGACTGCAAAACAAAGATCAAGAATGGCAATAGAAAGCAAGAAGGTGTCGAAAGCTCCGCCGTACTCTCTCATCATTCTGAGCGATCCTGAGTCACCACGAATTCGCTCGTCGATTCCATTGAAGCATCAGAGTTATCACTTGCAATTATTGCGTGGAAAATCCCCATGCTACCACCACACTACCGCTCGACTCGGTACTGAGGCACAAACCACCAGCGTCAACCTTCAAAAGTGCCCGGAAAGTTCGCAACCGCATCTCATCAACTAGCGGCCTGTCCTTGGAGACAACCCCAGTGTAGTCCTGAACGTACAACACGCTGCCATCTTTATCCACATGGCCATTCCAGCCCGAAACGAGCCAGCCTTGCTTGTCGACCTGCACGTGGTTGTTACTTCGCACCATCCAGTGTCCATTTTTTCTGCAGCGATGAGCAGYGTCAAAGCAAGCTGCACATAGAACGAAGCGAGCGCAAACAGAGCAGCGGTAGAAACGCCGAGAAATACGCTTCAGGCAGCTGTGTCTGCTGCAACAGAGTATCTTGTTACCTTGATACCGATGTTTCCATGCTCCTGCTCCGTGATGCCTGAGCTTCACACGTTTCGAAGGGCTGGATTCCTCTTCCATGMCATCAGGACCATCGAATGACGTCTCTCGTGTCTCCTTTTCGTGTTGATACTCCCTCACTTTTAGGTATAACTCCACAAATTCGAACGGGTCGTGCAAATAGTAGATAAGGGTGGTGAAGACGACGATAGCCACGAATGGTACGATGATGAGCCGCCAAACCTTGTCCGTATTATGGTACCATTTGATGTACTTGCTCAAGGCACGCTCGGGCGCCTGCCAGGCACGCCACAGTCTCATGGGATAGCCAAAAGTCATCTTGTACAGCCACGTGTCGGTTGAGGCGGGCCAGTCCTCATCATGTGCGCGTGACCATGCCTTCCGAGCAAACACAATCCCAATGATGAAGCTCAAGATGGGGAGAATGAGGGCGGCAGCGATGGTCGAGAGAGAAATGGCCACCCAGGCTATGTCAATAGGTCGCACGGCATGCTGTTTGATCCTGTCTGCGATGAAGAGAGCTTCTGGGAATGGTGGCAATGGCCAGATCACAAAAAATATGAGGGAGGCCTTGTAAAGTGCAGTGGTACCGTGCCAACCCAGCTGAACGGCAATTATAATCCGCAGCGAGTAGTACATTACGACCCAGAAGCTGATCATAAGGAGGCAAGATCCAAGWCCATAGGCGCTCACCACTATAGGTAATGCTCCTCTCAGTGTAGGCCTCGGTATCAATGGTTGGAAGTGAAGAAACGGATCTGGAGATTGTCAACATTGCCGTATAACGTGCTGAAGCCCAACCTGATACCGGACTTACCACATTTTATCTCGAGTTTCCAAGCCACTCGTGGATACTCCAATATCGTGGCTGGCTTCTCACAGATGGAGTTTTTAGCAGCCAGTATAGCAGACAAAGAGGGACGCGAGAAAGCCACGGGGCAGTCGTAGACAGCGGTCATCCTTATGTGAGCGCCTTTGAGTGGCCTTTTGTTCTTGAAGTTCTCAATCCCTATAGGCAGCCAATCCACGGCTTCAGAGCTATATCCTGGCCAGGTGCCACCGACAAACTGGCTGATAGTTTGATCCGTGATATATAGACGAGCGCCCGAAGTAGTAAACATCTCGGAGGAAATGTTCGCCAAAATGCACATTCGACTTTCTGGAGGCACCTGGAAGGCATCATTCGTCTGTTGTTGGGCAGTTATGCGCAAGTGAGATCCGCCTGATTCTTCGATGTGGTACTCAGCGCGTCTGGTAACATCGCGGCCAAAGATTATGAGTACAGTCGAAGGAGCCGACTCTGCTTGCAGCCAAAGACTGTCATTGTGAAGCAGCATCCGATCTGGCCAGAAGTGTTTCTCCCCGACAAGTGCCTTCGTACGTGCTATGAGCGCATTACTGGGCGCTGATGGAACCCAACGGTTGTGATGGTGCAAAGAGCTGTTGATACGAGGTCCATCATTGTACAACAATCCAACGGGTAGCGTCTTCACATTCCATATCACAGCCTGCATGCGCTCATCGGGCGGATTTTCTGATACTTTGACGGGGCTATACCCCAGAACATTGGCAAATATCAGGGGTATATCGGCGGCCATTGTCGTTGTCCTCCTTGACAACTCATTCCATGTGGTGACAAATCTGTCGTGCATGACATCGTCCTCGTGGGCGCGAACTTCGTCGAGGGGAGCTTTGTATAGCTTCAAGGCGCCATTGATCATCTGCTCTAGATGTTGCTCAAGCATTGTTTCTGCCAGGGTGGGCTGAGCGCTTCTGGATACGAGCTGTATTGATGAGTGACCATCTTCAGATTCTGGGGTAGGCGAACTATTCATCATGGACCAGGCGTCGTCGAAGTCGATTGTCAGATTGAGCGGACTGTCAGCACAGTCAAGCTGGAGAGCACTTGCGAGGGCTGCTTCTTGGAAGGTCCACGAGCGGCGGATCCAAGGCGAAGTCGCAACGCGAGCGTATAATTCCAGCGACTTTGACGGAGTCAAACGCCGAAAATCTGACAGCTCTTGGTCCACTATCAAGACCCTGCTGGCCTCAGCGTAGATATAGTTCATGCGGTCAATCGCCTGTTTCTTGCGTTCCATCACCTCATCGCCTTCCCCAACCGGAATACAAAGGGTATCCATCCAGAACAGCTTGGATTTCTGATCTCGCTTGCCGTGAATCATTATTTGCCAGTTGCCAATRTCGAACTCCACTCTGCCACGCACGATTGACAGTATACGTCCAGCATGATCCTTCCTGCCAAGCACACCCCGAGCTTTTCGTAGCGCAATGTACGGGAAGCGTTGCAGACGCGCTTCCAAGTAAGCCAATTGACACCGCGGTAGGGCGTTGCCCGCAGGATTGCCCAGACCGTCCGCCCAGACGTGCGATATGGCGGTGTAATCATCACTCGCCTTTGCTTCTCGCACTGAGAGCTGCAGGCCATTCAAGCTTTTTGAGATTTCCATCAGCGGAACTCCGCCTTTCGCGATGATCTCTGATACTTTGCTCATGTCCACAGCAACCACGTCGCATTGGCAATCGGAAAGCGCATGCCTAGACTTGTACTCCTGATTCAGGGCAACACTATGTGCACGACACACGTGCTCGTTGCAACCGGTGTGGAGTGCCTCCGGTTTGTTGCGAGTGGTCGACAGCGTGAAGAGATAATAAGCCAGCAGAAGGCCATGTTGCGGTTCCTTCATGACGTACTTGATCACGCTGGGACACCATCCACGGCCGACCATACGCTGCTCTAGGAATCTACATCGCCGCAAGTCCTGTTGAATTGCACTCGCTAAGCGGGCGACTGCAGACCGGGATGTGAACACCCACTCGATGGACTCCTCGCTCGGCTTCCGCGGAGAGGAGGATCTGCGGGGGTCTATGGCACTCACCAATAGATAGTCGCATAGAAGACGTATGGATAGACACACTTTGGCGACTGGGGAGACTGTAGCCAACGGTGATTCTTCGACAAGCAGGCACATGTCCAGAACTATGCCAATGAACGGTCGCTTGCCTCGCTCGCGTGTATGYCTACTTGGCGTTTCAAGCAGTTTGCGCAAGAGTGCTTCCGGCCATTGTACTTTCAAATTGTTCGTRGATGGATCTTGCCGACACTCCCACTCTGCCGAGTCGAATCCAACAGGAGTATCCAGAACCTGGCGAATCAAGGAAAAGAAGCCCCACGATTGGAGTAGCGATGCAAATCGCACTGGATCTTGATTTAGAACAAGCTGGTCGTTATCTCTCGAGGTTGTCATCCCATATCGATGTGGAAAGCCATTCCAGATTTGTGCTCCGTGTTCAATCCGGGAGTAAGGAGCGTCATCGTGGTTTGTTTGGTAGAAGAATGCTTTGTCGTAGTCGTTCGTGATTACGGCGGAAGGCACAACAAGTTTGTAGTATGTCTCTCCCCATGTAGTCAAGCCTTCGATCCAGTGCGGGTAGTCTTCGACCGTTGAAGAGTGCGCTGCGTCAATAGACGCTTGCGGTTTATGACTTCTCGATTGTACATTGATAGCTGTACGAACGCGGTCAGCAGAAGAGTGACTGAAAGGTAAAGAGTGTATAGGTAGATAGTCCAGGAGAGGTACATCGATTCCAGGCAAAGCGCGACCAGGTTTCGGCATCCAGTCCATGTTGCGTTAGTGACATATGGGCATGCCGGATGAGACAGTCGTTCGACAAAGCCATATACGCGTGCGACGCGGGCGTTACTTGAATGAACACGTTCATCGGTCAGAGCAAGCAGCGGGTACAGCCTACACAATGTACCTGTGGAAAAGGGAGCGGGCAGCACCAATCTGCACGCTCTGGCTCCATTACTGGTGCCAGGCAGCGGCCATCTCGGGGCAGTCTCCGGCATACATGCGGCTGAGAAGGTGGTACTGATCCAGCCTTGCCAGAGAGCTACGATATGGCACGCGGGTTGGATGAATGCTGAGCACGGTTTCGCCAGGATAACCCGCCGGGTTGATGAAGCCAAGTTGACGGCGCGACCTGGTCGCGACCTGCCGTGTGGGTGGACGTTCTTGTGATCAAAGCCCAGCCTGATATGAAGTTCATCGGAGCTTATCTGACCACATAGGCTGCATCAGTCCGTGGCGTCCCGCTAACGTGCGCCATCAACATGCAGGCCAGATCGGAGGGTGTGCTTCAGCCTTGTATGCAAGCGAGGCTGATATGCGGGCCGGTGAAATTGCCAAGCTCCGCTCCTCTTGCGGCTTGCGCGCCTCGCAACCCCGGGTTTGTGGCGGCGATTTCCGACATCCTCATGTTGAACGCCGATGCTCTGCGAAGAGCACGATGAAGCCGTACGGAGCGGAAAGAAAGTGTGTAGTCTCTAGTCAAAATAAGAATAAAACCTTTCAAGGACATTGTCCAATTTGAAGTATATGTGATTACTTGGGTCTTGTCTATGTCTCCCATAGCGCTTGCTCTTCTGTTCGGATCGGACTGTTAAGAAGGAGGACGGACATGCTGCTCAGAGTGTAGGTAGAGTGAGATGTGGTAGATGGCTATGCCATTGCGAAGGAACAGAGGTGCAGAAAGGATTGTGAGTTACAAGCAGCTTGCTCTGTGATGCCTACTGTGCGCACAGCGGCGTGTCCGCAAACGCCTCGTCGTCTACACTTCACGGCCATCGTATGAGTCTGCAAAGACATGTCAGTGTTTGCTCCGTGTTTATTTCTCGGTGCAAATGAGGCGGTTTTCTCTCAAGATCAGTTAGGTGTCATTTTCCTCGACATTGTAGTTAAGTAATTAAAACATATAAAATTGATGGTCATCACGGTGAGAACAGGGCAGGGTATGATGGGGAGACGGAGGGAAGGACGAGCTTACCATGTGACACGGATGGTGGTGATAAGGGCGATCGTGGTGCTCTCATCTCGATGAAGTGTGCGATTGTTGCGATGGAGGTGGGAATTTCTGATGATGGAGGAGGGAGCGAGAAGATTTTACTCACACGCGGGACGGGCCGCGTCACTCTGACATCAGTCAACACAGAACTGCGACTCGCCAGCACCAATGTGAGAGCGACGAATGTACCATTGGAGCAGGGATGATATAGCCACGTAGATGWGCTACGAGATACCTACCTTACTGCACAAAGAACACCTGTTTCCCTCCCAGCTCCGACTCCCAAGTTCAACTCCCCGGCCGACTGCATGTGCGCATCGCGGCGCAAAGCGCTTGTGAGACGTCAGAAAATCCGAGACAACAAGCGCGAAAGAKGTTAGGACAAGGAACGAACGGACAATCTCCACGGCCGACGGGAAGGAAAGGGAAGGCAAGGGCAACAATCACGCCTCGAGGCGGACCAAGAAGTGTCTTGGACGAGCAGACAGAGGGTCTTTGTGGAAGTGTACAATGCAGCGGAGTGGGTAGAAGGTACATTTCGCTTCCACCGCTCCCGACGAGCACGCGTTTCTTCCAGCAATCCCCATCTATTTAAGCCACCACCACCCTTCACCCGCCTTCGACGCCATCTTGTCCCCACCTGCCGGTGCTGGAATTCCCTCCAAGACGGAATCGAAGAGCACACGCGAAAAGACGGGCTCCACCAACGCATCTGGCATCCACCAGCAGCGGAAAGCTGCAGCCTCGATGCAGCCGAACCGCAAACGCCCGGCGCCCGGTGCATCGCCATTGGCTCAGCACAACATGTCTGCGCCGTCGAGCTGGGACCCACCGCAAATGCCTTTCCCGACAGACTACAATGCCAACTTTGACTATCCCCTCCCCGACAGCGGCAACCAGTCCTTTGACTTTTCCTCGGACCCGTCACTCTTCGGTGCACAGCAGTTCAACACATTCAACACCAATGCGAGCAGTGTCAACGCCAACAACAATCTGCCGGTGCAGTCCACCGAAATCGTGCGGCGGCCGCGCAACAACCAGCTCGCACAGCAGCAGCACTCGCAATATGCCGCGAGCAACATGAACAACCACTCGCAGACTCCGCAAGATGAAGAAGATGAGCCCGACGAGGCTACTGTTCAGGCCATGGTTGCTCAGGCAAAGAAGGGGGATGGCAATGGCAAGAGGAAGGACATTCCGCCGTTTGTGAAGAAGCTCAGCAACTTCCTCAACCAGGAAGACCGCACCAATCTCATTCGGTGGTCGAGCGATGGCAAGTCGTTTGTCGTGCTGGACGAGGACGAGTTCGCGCGCACCATGATCCCAGAGCTCTTCAAACACAACAACTACGCCTCATTCGTGCGTCAACTCAACATGTACGGCTTCCACAAGGCTGTCGATATCAAAGACGGATCTCTGCATCAGTCAGAACTGGCGAGAAGTAACAAGAAGCCGCCCAGCACGTACAAGCACAAGTACTTTCAAAGAAACCGCCCGGACCTGCTGTGGCTCATCTCAAAACCTAACGCCAAAGCGAATAACAAGCGGCCGAAGCGCGAGGGAAAGGAGGGCTTCGACAGCGACGAAGAGCGCTACAACTCGCCGGTTCCAGATGGCCGGCCTCAAGCTGGGTTGGGAGGCGCAGGTGGAACTCAAGATGTCATGACGCTTCCTCGGAATGAGCTGAATACGTTGAAGCAAGAGCTTGCCAAACTACAACAACAGCAGAGCATGATATCCTCAATGATCACCAAACTCAAACAGCAGAATGATCAATTCTATCGGCAAGCATCGCAATTTCAAAGCCTACACGACCGGCACGAGAACTCCATCAACGCGATCCTTACTTTCTTGGCAACATTCTACAACCGTAGTCTGGAAGATCCAGATGGACAGAATCTGGTGAACATGTTCAGTAACGTCGGTCCGAACAATCAGCCTCCACAAGGTGGTGTGGTTGAGGAGTTCAACGATGGTACCCCGGACAACACAGACACTCGACTTCAGCGATACGTAAAACGGCCACAACTACTTCTCACAGGCTCACAGTCTTCGCCTTCACCTGGATCTCTCCAACCTGGCCAGACTTCGACCACACCAAACTCTAATCGCCGGTCGAACAGCCCGCCAAACAACATAGCCAAACGCGAAAGTTCCGCGAGCGTCCCACCACTTGCGCAATCTCGCAGCCCTGCCATCACCAATGACGCACCAGATGTAATGACAGGCAATGACCAGCTCACCAGCGCTTTTCAAGGAATCAACCAGTCACACGGGCATTCTTCTCAACTTAGTGGCGATGGCAGACAGCAGTTTATGGATGTGCTGAACCAAGTCGGTGGTGGCGGAAATGGAGGTCAGCAGCATATTCAAGACATGCATGATACTGTGGTCGAGAACAGCAATCAGCTCGCCGCCTTGGGCAATCAGCAGAGGAACATTGATGAGGGCATTCGGAATGTGCAGGAAAAGCTTCAGCGCATCGGTTCGGGTTTCACGCCGCCTTTGCTGCCAGATTCTGGGCCGGACTTCGGTTTCCCTGCGTTTGGTGTCGATGGTCAGCAGGCTCCAAATAGTCAACTTGAGTTTGACGACTTCCTCAACAGCCTTGGCAATGACGGGACCGATAATCCTCCCCCAGCAAACGACTTCTTCCCCGAGGGGCAAACCATCGATCCTGCGTTTGAAGACTTGTTGAATGAATCTGCGCAATATGACGGAAATGAGGGTATGTTTGGAGGAGGAAGTGGCCTGGGGTTTGATGATGCGAGCTCGACGCTGGAACCCGGAGCATTGTATGGGCAGCAGGGGAGGGTGGAAAGTCTGAATAGTAGTTCAGCTGCCAGTCCTGCTGTTGGAACGCTGGATGGCGATGGCGATGCACCGGATCGGAAAAGGTTGAGAACTGGGTAAAGCATTTCAATCCGAACGACAATGGTGTCTGCTTTGTGTGTAGATGGTTCACGTGTGGGATGTGGAAGCAGAGCATGTCGGAGATGGATATGATGTCCATTCTTTGCGGACGCGAGTAGATCTTACGAATTTATGATTACGTTGCATACAGGTTGCTTTGGATGGGGAAGAGAATCGAGTCTTTACTCCTAACTAACAGTTCATTCTTTCCTTCACGCCTTCCCCATTTGTGATAGGGAGGAAGTGTATTCCTTGCCCCGTTGATCATCCATTAGCGTGAAGAAGAGGACGGCGAATGAATGAATTGAATGACAAAATTGGACATCTACTGGTGGCTTTGTGAGCGCAGTTGTCTTTTTCTCCCCCGAGTCAAATACATGCTAGGTAGGCTAGTGTCGTGAGATCAAAACACGACCATACTTCGTCCGTTGGATCGATCTACACTCTAGCTTCCGATGCATCGGGTTTCATCCCGTCGAACAGCCCTTGGTGTGAAGAAGAGGACGACGAGTGAATGATGTCGTGATGATTTGAGGAGTTCAAGATTCCCATCTACTGAACAGCTGCTATAGAATTGCCTGTCCTCCAGCTGGACACCTACTGGTATTGGCAAAGGCAGGGCAAATGGATGACCTTGCAATGGCTTTCTCGTTTAGCATGTTGGTCTCTGGGTCACTTCCTAGCACCTTGTTCTACGGCATGCTTCCCGTCCAATGTTAGACTTTCAGCTCGATCGGAGCGAAAGCCGGGAGAGTGAATAGTTTGTAGATTGAGTTGTAGTAGTACAATCTTAATGCGAGACTTTGCATACATCCCTTAGTGCTGGGTAGAATACAACAAATGATGGATAGACTATAGCTAGATGTAAGAATTTGTATCGATGTGGTGTGTAGAAGATCAGTGGAAGAACCTTGGGCTACTTTCACTTAAATGCTAGAGTTTTAGCTAGTTCGGAGTAAAAGCCCGGAAAGTGAATAGATTGTAGATTGAGTTGTAATAGTACAATCTTAATGTGATACTTTGCGTACTTCCTTTAGTGCTAGGTAGAAGACAACAAATAATGGGCATGCTATAGCTAGATGTAAGAATTTACATTGATGTTGAGTGTAGAAGATCGGTGGAAGAACCTTGGGCTATTTTCATTCGAATGCTAGAATGAATTCGCTAGTTCGGAGTAAAAGCCCGGAAAGTGAATAGATCGTAGATTGAGTTGCGATGGTGGAATCTAAAGGCGATGCTTTCTATACATCCCTTAGTGCTTGTGGAAAGACAACAAATGATCATCATACCATTACAAAGATGTATAAGAGAGTACATCAATGTATCGTCTATAAGATCGCTGGAAGGGCCTTGGACTACTTACGTTAGTCCAAACACGTGAGATGGGGCGGAAGGCAGAACTTGGTGCCCCTTTAGTTTACCAGATACAGCTCTCGCTAGATGTCAGATGCTCTCTACTTCGATCTTCAATAAGACAAACGTTCCTCTATACTGTCGAGACTAGGGGAAGATCTCGAGACCATCGTACGGAGTCGCCGATCTGATCTTGACATCCGTTAGTGTCGAGAGGATGTTGGCGAATGACAATCTACACCATCCATTATCAAGGATGGTTCCAAGGTTCGAGTGATTGCTTCTATGGTGTTACTCTGAGCCTAGGTGGGTTGATCGATGTTTTTGCTGTCTTCATCGAAGCGACGGAAAGGGGCTGATTGTCACGGAATCGAACTTTTCGCCTAGCTACAGATCGCATCGACACACTTGTTCATCACTGGATCTTTCGCAATAAAGCATGGGTCTCTGATGTCCGTACTACCTGGTTATGGAAAAAGAATGTGTCGACGAGAGCGACTGCAATGCAAAGAGTCTTGGCATCGAGTACAGGAGCCTCAGGATATAACAGATACAGACAACTGCTCCTCGCGCCGACGCCCTTTGGCGCGGGTCCTTGTCCACGAATGGACAGAGGACCTACACTGATGAGGGTATGAACTCAAGTGGTTTGCCAAGAAAGTTTTCGTGGTCGTACCCTCTTAGGGGCGATGAGATCCGCTGGGCCAGCGTTGCTTCTGAACATCATACACAATTACATCTCGTAATGCAGGAAATCTCGGATGCGAAGCTTTGAAAGGTCGAATCGTTAAAGCCTGGTATTACGTGGAGTATGAGGACCATTGGAAACTTGGCTGCATTACTTGATCGTCTCAATATCTAAACCAAAAGCATTTGTCCTGCAAGAATGTTCCTCCGGTTAACGATACTGCTGAGCCATGACCGGAGCCAGCATCAAATCTCCCCCTCACACAAGACTCCCTTGTACTCAGCATGAAAGTGACCCACGGTAGAATTTCGCGTAGAGGCACAAATCATACCGTGATTGAGACAACCAGTCCAAGGAATCATATTCTGTGCCGCTGTCTGCAACCTCCGGCGCACTCGAGTGGGCAGCCGATGTGGACTTCTTGTTGAGATGGAGCATGACGAAGGAAATCCCGATGATGACGCCACAAACTATGGCTAGAATCGGCACACAGAAGCACAAGATCCGCCGTGCCCTTGCGCTGATTCTTCGGTCTGGTTTAGTGCGGGCAATGTAGTGGGATTGTCCAGACTCCAGGTTTGTGCATGTGACAGACACTTCGATTGCGGAATTGGGTTTCGAGGTTCTGGAGTTCGAGTGCGAGCGGAAACCTGCTTTGAGCTTTTTCCTGCTGAGAGGAGCTAGTTTCGCGCGGAGTTTCTGGCGGCCGCGATGTGGATGTGTTGGGTGTGGTTTTGGTAAGGTCTCCATTGTATTGTTGTTTCGTGGTCCGCTGTGATATGGGTTTGAGGTAGTGCTCGAGGGTAAACGTCCCATCCTCTGGCAGTCATCAGTATGGGGGAAAGACATGGCAATCTGGTTGACTGAATGGGTGGTCTGGAGGGCAATAAAGTTACGCAGAGTAAGTCGGACTGTAAAGCTATAAAGCTGGAACGAACGTGCTTTTTAATGTAGCACTCATGGACGGAGCAGCACAGGCCAGAAACATGGAGAGACCGCTCCAGATTGTTTCTTCCAAGGCGAGAGACGCTGATGGTACCAGAATCCACGGCCATGGGTACGTCTATAGCGATGTAACATTTCAGGTGACCGATGAGCCTTGCGTCTAGGAGAAGGCCTGGTTGATCTCGGCTGCTACTACACTTGGAGGCTGTTCTATTACGTCTTTGACGGGTTCGGTCGGCTCAAGGAGATGCTTCAGCTTCTGGTCGTATCCGCGGCTATCAAGATCAGTGAGCATTGAATCATCCATCTTACATGATTGGACAGTTGCACTTACTGTACGGCTACAATCCAAGCTGTGCAGCCTTGGGTGTTTCGGCTTCTCAGGCTTGAGCCCGCTTGAACAAGAATCTCGACAATTTCCAGCGAGCCAATAACAGCGGCAGCTTCAAGGGGCGTACTTCCCGTMTTGACACTTCGCATTGACGTTCGCTCCTTTCTGTACCAGCATGACAACCGCGTCGAAGTGCGACTTCTCTATCGCCTGAATTCAAGCTGTCTTACCAACCTCGTCTGCAGCTTCAAGATCTGCACCGAGCTCAGCAAGAACAGCGATTTCTTCAACATGACCTTTGAACGCAGCCGCCATCAAAGGTGTCGTTTTCCAGTGCGGCTTGACTTTAACAGACCCAGTAGCATCAATGTCGGCTCCGGCTTCAGCAAGCAGTTTAATGACCTCAGCTCGACCCATTGATGCTGCAATCCAGATAGGAGTGAATCCATCAGACCTCGGTGTTTCCACTTGTGCTTTATTATCAATGAGAAGACGTGCAATATCTGCATGTCCATGATGAGCTGCCTCGGCCAGTGCTGTATGGCCCCAGTCTCCTTGACCATTGACATCAGCGTCGAAGTTGAGGAGCAGCTCAACGCAGCTAAATTTGCCTCGCTGAGCCGCCTTGGTTAATGGAGTGTGACCGCGTTCGTTCTTCCAATGAGTGCTGACACCATGCTCTAACAACACCCGCAGAACATCAGTATGGCCCATTTCAGCGGCCAAATGAATTGACATGTTGCGTTTTGCATCTGTAGCCTGAGCGTTGGCATTTCTGCTCAGAAGGAACTTGATAAATTCGAGATGACCTTGGGATGACGCCCTCAACAGCGGAGTCTGCTTTTCAGAATCAAGCGTGTTCACACTCGATCCTGCATCGACCAGCAGCCTTGCATTTTCAAAATGTCGTCGAACACAGGCTTCCGCAAGAGGGGAGTTCCCAGACTCGAGTCGTACTTCAATTTTGGCGCGCTTTTTCAACAGCATCTGAACCACTTCCAGCCTACCGTCTCTCACAGCCTGCAGGAGAGGATTCCATTCTCCATTGCTAGGCAGCTCGATATTTGCATCGTGCTCCAGGAGTAATCTGCAGATCTCTACATTTCCGTGTCTTGCAGCAACCGTTAGAGCAGTACCTCCCCAGTGTCTTCTTGCGTTGACATCGGCACGCTGACTGATGAAGTATTTGACACCAGGAAGGTCACCCAACCAGGCCATGTGATAGAGTCCAGCACCATCGTCATCTTCTTTACCAGGTACAGTTTCCAGAAGCCAAGCTACCGCGGGACAGTCTACAGCATAGAAGGCAGCGTTCCTACCCGTATCATCTTCGAGAGACTTGTCCACTCCAGCCTCAAGTAAGATCCGCACCACGTCTGGTCTTCGGTACAGAACCGCGTACATCAAAGCAGTGCGTCCTTCATTCTCCTCTGCGTTCACCGTGATACCATGTTCACTCAGGAGCCGTTTAGCAACATCTCCAGTTCTAGCCAGGTGAAGCGCAGTGCATCCTTGTTCGTCCTTTGCATTGATGTCTGCCCGGCTGGAGCGTAWGATCTGCCTGACCTCGGAGATATCACCCTTTTGGGCCGCCGTGTGGAGCTCGGTCGTTTGACGGACTGGGCTCGCTGATGAATATGATGGTGGCGGCTCTGGATTCCACGCTCTTGCACTCACGAGAGTAAGCAGCTTATCTTGACCGGTGAGAAGTTGCGCCAGGACGCCGGCTTGGCTTGTCAGCTGAACATCGAGATTCTCGCTGCTCTGTAAGACGGTGCGTATGACTTCTTGTGCTCGCTCGTCAAGGGCTTTGAACTGTTCACTGCTTTGTAGATCAATACGGTCTAGTCGTGTTCGCAGGCCAAACAAAATGCGTGWATCGAGCTCCTGCTGAACATCAGTAACCGTGCTGGCTCTAGCAGACATAAACCGACCTTGTGATATTTCTCAAGTCGTGCAGCAATCTTATCAATGTCATCTTTCTGCCATACGGACATCAAAGCCTGCCGATAGCTCTTCCATCGCCGATGCTTTCCTTGAACTTTCAACTTGTCTAGCCGCTCTGTCAATTCGCTGSCAATGCTCGCGCAGTGAGAGCTGATGATCCGTAACCGCTTTTCATCTGGCTCAAGTGGTTGGTTGGCTAGGCACTGTGCTTGCACCTTTGACAGCTCATGGGTCATGTCTCTGAGATCTTTTGCAACATCCTCGGCTGCTTTGTTTTGAATAAGCAGTCCGTCAGAAGCGTGGAAGATCTCATTTCCTGCAGAGACCAGCTCCGAGGCGAATTGTATTACTTGAATGACTCCGCACGCCAGGGAAAATGCGCTCAATGGATCCATGGCAGATGGGGAACGACTTTGCGCCTGACAATCTGAAAAAATATCCTCGCAGATGTGGGATGTGATGAAGGTGTTGTTGAAGACGTGCAGGACTCAGCCGCAACTAGCTGCATATCTAGCGGGGATCATTCTTCCTGCGCAGGATTGGCCCATCCCATACAAAATCTGCACTCCCATACTGACCTGGTTTGACATGTTGAATGAAGCGAGTGCCAGTTTATTACTCTGTGAGTTGAGTTCCTCTAAACTGTCTTCCAGTAACTTCCTTAGGCAAATCAACGTTCAAGCTCGCGTTCGCATGGACTCCTTTTCCGAAGTAGGGTATCCTTGGGAGTTTGGAACTCGTGCTCTTCGTTGCCAATACCAGACTTGTCGGATTGTCACAGTTCCAGGCTTTGCAACTGCAGGTCCATCTACGCGAGAGTACTTCATCAAGCCGATCAGATCGATGAGTCTGCGTCGCAATTAGCAACGCTTATCTACCCATGCAGAAGTAGTCGTCGTAGATTGTGCACGGATATGGTCGAAGGAGGTTGATGATAGTCAAAGGATGATGAAAGAAGATGGTGATGTGGAAGGAAAGTCAGAACGTGCCAAGAATGCCAAATTCGTTGCGATTCGGATCTGCAACACTGACTAGAGTGTGAAGTGGATGAATCTAGCTGAATTCGTGTCAGGAACGGCATGTGATGCGATGTGATGAGATTGAAAATGTTCAAGTCTCATTACTTCAGTCTCCATTTGGACTCTACTTCACCGAGGTGCTGCGCTAGAAGCTGGGTAAAGCTCGGGCCCAACAGTACAGGTTATTATGTACAGTGCTGAATTTTCAATTTGCCAAGCCGTTGTAGTATAGTGGTTAGTACTTTCGCTTGTGGTTGAGCACAGCTCCTCTGCAATCCGCGAACATCCCCTGTTCGAATCAGGGCAACGGCATATAACCGCCGATTCATTTTTGCCATTTTGATCCTCATCAACTGCCTCTGCTCGCCTGTCAGTCAGGTAGTCTAGGCTTTTGTACTCATGATACATACCTTCATGGACGTCGGAAGCACATGAACATCATATTCTCGATCGATTGCCTAATTGGGAAGGAGCGACGACGTTGAGTGAATGTTTTGTGCGGAAATGAGTCGGTCTGGGAAGTAGCAAACATTTTGTTTGTTTGAGCCGACGTCGTGCCGGTCCAGAAACAAACGACGATGGAGACGCACTGGGCCTTAACGCCGCTTCTCATTTTGAAGATATCGACTCTGGTGGCAAGTAAGTTGTGACTTCATGGTCGGTCCGAATATGTTCGTGACGTTGTGGGCAATGAAATACCCCGCACGAAAGAGTCCAGGCACATACAGCCTTTCATCGCATCAGGGTAGAATGACGAGAGGACGAGCCTTTGTCCTTCTCATACTCGTCTCCGTCGCATTGGCTGAACACTCCACAACTGCAATGACAACATGCCACATCCTGACGGAGAAGCCGCTGATGCTCAACCCCTGATTCTTTGCGAAGAGTCTATTTGACAGCAAGACCGCTCTTGGTTCCCACTATGCTTACGACATCCTCGTCTGCGACTACATGCGATCTGTGAGGAAGGTCAGAAATCATTCACGAATTGCGGAATCCTCAACAACTTACAGTCCGACACGTTGGGGGATATGTCTTGCACTTGCACCCCATACCAACGCATACTTGAAACTGTCCTTGATACTCCGATGGATCTGATCGCAGACATCCTCAATCGTGCTGTTATTGCGAACGATTAGGGCCTCACTGAAGTCGGGATCAATTCCCTTGCGTTTCGTGTAGATTCGAATGAGGTGCAGCTCGTCCCAGCAACGATCGACCACCTCGCTGATACCAAGATCAAGCTCGCAGCTCATGACGACCGTGTTTGGTTCGCGAGCGAGGCTGTTGAGGAAGTCCAAGCTGATGCTATCGATCTTGTTGTAGACATACAGACACTTGATGTACGTCCGGTGGTCTTTCATGATGACATCAATGAACTGGTCGACCGTGGCTGTAAAATATCAGCAGAGCTTCAATGTTGAATGATGTTTAGACAATACCGTTCTCATCTCGCACGAGCACTTCGCAGTTGAGAATCTTGTAGTCGCGTAAGATGTTGTAAAGCATCTTCTCGTCTAGCTTCTTGGGAGGCGCAGAGAATGTGATCTTCATGCCACCAGCTTTCTTGGGTTTGAGATAGATGTTGGGAGGTTCCTGATTGAGTCTGATACCGACAGCTTCGAGTTCAGCCTCGAGAAGTGCTCTTTGCTCGGCCCGTTTTGTGGCGTCCAAGACCATGAGAACCATATCGCTTGTCTGAGACTGTCAGCTCTCTCCTCACCACAACGGTTCATATCCTTACCTTCGCAGCTGAAATGACCTGCCGACCACGTCCCTTCCCTTCAGAGGCACCCTCAATGATACCGGGAAGATCCAGCACTTGGATCTCGGCGCCACCATACTCGAGCACTCCGGGAATGGCAGTCAAGGTAGTAAAGGAGTATGCGGCAACCTCAGACTTGGTCTTCGTGACTTTGGACAAAAATGTTGACTTGCCCACCGACGGGAACCCAACAAGAGCTATTCGGGCATCTCCAGATTTTTGCACATCGAATCCCGTACCTGCAGCTCCTCCCGCTCCCGGACCTGGCTCGAGCAATTGCGCACGGTATCGGGCAAGTTTACTGTCGATTTTCAGTGACGTTGATTGTGCTGTTTGAAGAAATACTCCCCCGCTCACCCTTTCAATAGTCCAAGATGATATTCTGACGATTCTCAGCATGATCTCGAATCTAACTCAAGTAAGCAACGTACCGGTGGCCTTGTTCTCTTGGATCGGTTAGCGATGATCAACACGTCAAGTTTCGGGCATTTGTACTTTGTGTCCTCTTCATCTCATCCTCAATCCTGACCTCACCATCAGCGTCAATTCTTATGGGGCCCTCTTTTTCAATGCTTACTCCTTGATCTTTTCCGTGATGTTGACCATCTTGCCGGTAGTTCACTCGCACCGGCGAGTTTTCGATTTGCTGAATGAGCGACGGTTCGACAGAGACAACTTTTGCAAGATGTTTGCTCGTGCTGTTCAATCTTCGCTCGACCCGCCATCGGCACTCGGAGTTGAATGTGGCGGGCCGTTCCTTCTCCCGCTGTGTGGTATGGCCCGTGCTCTCGATCTCGAGATCGATCGCTGGAAACGTCACCACTCGACTGGTGCCGTGGCCACCACAACGAATCTTGGACTATCTCCATCATGTTCACCTACCAGCCTTGCTCGACCTCGTTCTCGAGATGGGTCACATCTCATCATCGACAACCAGCATCACTTGACGACACATCACTTTACTCAACATGCTTCCCCCTGGACTCGATACACCTCGACAGGTCAAAGCATTCTACGATGCTCGATACGCGTCTTTGATTGAATCCGGCGAATATCAGCCATTTCTCTACCCTTGGGCTACAGTGGGAGCAGGGCTTGTACTCTTGTACCTCCTTTTGGACCATCGAAGATCGCCTACATTACAAGCCGTCCGACTGCCACTGTTTGGCTTCTTATGTGCGTTTTCAACATGGTGCGTATTGACCAACAAAGCGCGGAGTCCGCCTGCCGCATATGGTGTGGGGCTTCTCTCTTCGTTCGGAACACTGTGGTGCGGAGCAATCATGTGTTTCAACGATTGTCAAACGACGTTCCAACGGATTGAACGCGCGGAGGACAAAACGCACGACGGTTCATCAAAGCGTATTTCGAGCACATCTGTGTCCAAACTTGGYCCAACCGGTGAGGTTTCCAGCAGTCAGCAATCTGGGAACATGTCACTTTCAACACAAGGACCATCTCAACGTACCGGCTCATTGATGTGGCAATCATACCCCGCTGGACCGTTTGTAGAGCGTCTCGATTGGGTGTTGGACATTTTCTGCTCATTCCGAGGCATTGGATGGGACTTTCATACTGCTGGGGTTCCTCCACCTCCGGACTTTGTACAGGCAGAACTGAATGGAACAGAATGTAAGCCCGAGGTGTCGCTCTTCATGGTCGACAGCAGAACGGGCACTCGACGTTTCATCGATCGAGCCGCGTTGCTGAGGCATGTCTGCATAAGACTAGTCGTTGGATACTTCGCGCTGGACATCGTCAAGACAATCATGCATAATGATGCCTACTTTTGGGGATACATGGATGCTCCGTCGCCGGAGTTCTTCCCGCACTACATTCGTAGCTCGTATGCTCTCGTCAAATCTTACAGKCTACTGGTCTCGTTAGCAGGCATACAGATCGCACTCTCGGAGATCTTCTGGATGGGACCTCTCTTCTTCTGTGGATTGTTGGGCACAAGCAGAATAGGTGTGCGAGGGGAACCATGGATGAACCCACCAGACTTCTTCGGAAATCTAAACCCAGTATTCAACCAGGGCTTAGCAGGATGGTGGGGAGGTTTCTGGCATCAGACATTTCGATTCGCATTCGAGGCACCTACAAAGTCTCTCTTGGAGTTTTTGAATATCGACAAAAAGACAACAGCAGGCCGAACGGTTGCACTATTCACGGCATTCTTCCTTAGCGGATGTCTTCATGCCTGCGGAAGTTATACACAACTTGGCGACACAAGACCCCTTCGAGGCCCGATGACGTTCTTCYTCATCCAGGCTGTTGGGATTTTCGGCCAGACGCTCTTGGTCGACCAGCTCAAAGCAGCAGGTCTTGTACAGTCAACGCCTAAGCTGTTGCGACAACTAGCGAACTTTGCTTTTACAATTGTATGGCTATACTTCTCTGCTCCACTTCTGGCAGATGACTTTGCAAAGGGCGGCGTTTGGTTATACGAGCCCTTGGCTTTCAGCCCATTGCGGTGGCTAGGATACGGCGCAAAGGACGACAATGGATGGGATCTCTGGTATGGTCTCGTATGGTGGCGGAATGGTGATCATTGGTGGAATACAGGTCTGGCATTTTGAGAGTGAGAGATTACATGTAGAACGTACCTGGATTAGACTGTGCGCCAGAACAGCATCACTCGCGGAACGACAGTTCTACTTTTACCACCCTCCTTCTCAGCATTTCGAAACAGCAAAGGGCTATCGGGGAGTGTTAGAGAATGAGCACGAGCGTCTGCCGTTGGGAGAGCCAACTCCATTAACGTTTGCTACGTCGAATTGGTCTCTCGAAATCTGAGTGAGCTTTCAATGCACTGGCTTCTTCGTACAAGTTCTGCTTTTGGCTATGATACATCTGATGCAAAGTCTGTTCCATACTCATGTCACTTTGATAGCGCTGCCGTTCAATTCGGCGACCTTCTTCACCTCCAAGCCTTTGGGAGCCTTGAGTCCTCCAAACACAAGCCCGCATACAGCAACCATTCCGGATCCTCCGATAATGTATGCCAGATCTCTGCCAGCCCACCAGTAGAGCGAGCAGAAGATCAACGGGCCCAGAGCACGACCAATTTGTCCGAAACTTCGGTGGTTTCCGAGCTTCTCGCCACGATCATCCACACTGGCCTCGAAGCTGGACAGACTGTTCAATCCAGTGACTACAGTACTGCTGGTCACTGCAAGCAGTGTCGCAGCAACGTACAACTCCTTCTCGGTCGTCACTCTTGACAGGAGAAAGAATGCAGCTGCTGCACTGGAGACGCCCAGCTGCACAACACGAAGCGGGTGCATTCTCCGAGTGACGCCACCTTGGAGCAAGCTGGCTACCAGCCCAATGTATCCGAGAAGCTTTCCAGTATCTTTGGAGGCGTATGAGAACAGATCGTAGGTCATGAAGGGCAAAGAGAACTCCATTCCACTGAAGAAGAGAATGAAGGAAAAGTGCGTCAGGTTGAGGACGAAGTGAGAGTTGGTCCTTTCTCCCTTGACGACAGGAAGCTTCTCTTTTCCAGTGGATCCGGCCGCGTTTGGCTGACTCCTAGGGTGAGTCTCCGGCAGAGCGTAGTAGAGGTAGATGGTCTCGGTAACGATCAAAGCGAGAGAAACACCTGCAGCGGTGGCGAATGGATTGGCCGCGACGGTGGTGATGTTTGCTAAGAAAGCACCGAGAGCTGGTCCAAAAGTGAAGGCAACAGAAAAGCACACGCCCACCAAAGCCATGGTCTTTCCACGGTCTGCATCAGTGCTGATGTCGGTGGCAATAGCCATTGCAAGCTGAACATTTCCTTCACTCAGACCGCCAACAATCCGACTGGCCAGGAAAGTTCGAAAGTCCGTTGCAGMACACCAGAGAGCCACCGAGGCGATGTTGCCACACATGGACCACATCAAAGCCGTTCGTCGACCATAGCGATCGGAGAGGGTTCCGATGATGGGAGAAGCGATGGCCTGACAGATCGAGAATAATGAGCCAAGTGCTCCTCCGAGTAGGACAATGTCGTATCTATCGTTGATCGGCCTTGCAAAGCTGTTCTTGTACGTGTTGAGTCCGTACAGCACTTGAGACAGCACGGTGTTGGAGGACTCGGTTTCAATATTCCGGTAAAACTCCAGCAGCTTGGGAAACAGCGGCAGGATGAATGTAAACGAGATCTACGGCGCGTCAGTCGCGTGTGAATCCTGCAGCTAAGATAACCTGGAAAAGGGGTGTCCGTTTTCTTACCAGGTCGAGAATCAAGGAGATGACCAAGACTTTGATGACCTTCTTTCGCATCGCCGGGGGGTAGGGTGCTTGTGCCATGACTTGGTGATGTTGATGTTGTCGGGACTCTGTGTTGAAAGCCGGCCTGAATAATAGACTCGGAGTCGTCTCGATCAAGTATTTATACCAGGAAATAAGCCGACATACGTGATCGCTGGATGGGTGGCTTATATTGCTGCTCCTTTCCTCGGCTGTCGAAATCAATAGCGACACGACACCTGGCCGGACTCGACGCGGAGTTGCTCGATCCCGCGCTCTCTGAAATGAGTGTGGCGCCCCGCAAATGTGGCGTCAACGGCGGCAGATCGTCCTCCATGTTGTACCCTGACAGCGACTCCGATGTTCGGCGTTGCGATGACGAACGATGGTGGGTGAAATTCTTTCCCACCAGCCAGCCAAGCGAGACACCGCAAACACCGTAACTATTGTATTGTTGAGAAGTGAGGATACAAAAAGACCCTCCTCAACAACAGACACTGCCCCCAAACAACCTTCACCAAACATCAACAACCACAATCACAGATATCCCCGCAATCATGGCTCCTCAGTAAGTGCATTGCCTCACTTCGGCCGGGCGTGTCTCGAGAATATACCCCACCGAATCACATGCTGATATGCCACTAGAAAGGTCCTCCTCCTCGGTGCAGGCTTCGTCACTCGTCCAACTGCCGTAGAGCTGGACAAGGCGGGTGTTGAGGTTACTGTCGGTGAGTTGCAATGACAACCTCCCACAATGTGCATGAGTCAATGCTGATGATCATCTCCAGCTTGCCGCACATTGGAGAGCTCCAAGAAGCTCGCCCAGGGCCTCAAGCACGCCAATGCCATCACCGTCGATGTCTCCAACGCAGAGGCATTGGAGAAGGAGATTAGCAAGGTGGATTTGGTCATCTCCTTGATCCCCTACACCTTCCACGCACAGGTCATCAAGGCTGCCATCAACCAGAAGAAGAATGTAGTCACCACATCCTACGTCTCCGAGGCCATGATGGCCCTCGACAAGGAGGCCAAGGAGGCCGGCATCACCGTCTYCAACGAGATTGGTCTTGATCCAGGTCTTGACCACCTCTACGCCGTCAAGACCATTGACGAAGTCCACAAAGCCGGCGGCAAGATCACCGGCTTCTTGTCGTACTGCGGTGGTCTCCCAGCACCAGAGAGCTCCGACAACCCACTCGGATACAAGTTCTCGTGGTCTCCCCGTGGTGTGCTTTTGGCCGCCCGCAACACCGCTACCTTCTTCAAGGACGGCAAGAAAGATTCCGTCTCCGGCGCCGACCTCATGAGCACCGCCAAGCCATACTTCATCTACCCAGGCTACGCATTCGAGGCCTACCCCAACCGCGACAGCACCCCATTCCGCGAGCGATACGACATCCCAGAGGCTCAGACTCTCATCCGTGGAACTCTTCGCTACCAGGGCAACCCAGCTTTCGTTCAGGCTTTCCAGGAGCTCGGCATGCTCAGTGATCAGGAGCATGACTTCCTCAAGCAGCCAATCTCATGGAAGGAGGCTTTCGGCAAGATTGTCGGTGCTACCAGCCACACCGAGCAGGACCTGACTTGGGCCGTCAGCTCCAAGGCCAAGTTCCGCAGCACAGAGGACAAGGACCGCATCCTTGCCGGTCTCCGCTGGTTCGGTCTGTTCAGCGACGACAAGATCGAGCCACGCGGTACCCCTCTCGACTGCCTCTGTGCGACACTGGAGAAGAAGATGCAGTACACCGAGGGTGAGCGTGACTTTGTCATGCTCCAGCACAAGTTTGAGATTGAGTGGGCCGATGGCAAGAAGGAGACTCGCACCTCAACTCTCTGCGATTATGGTGAGAAGGAGGGCAGCGGTGGTTACAGCGCCATGGCCCGACTTGTCGGTGTTCCTTGCGCCGTCGCTGTGCTTCTGATTCTCAACGGCGAGATCAAGGACAAGGGTATCCTCGCGCCAGTCACACCTGCGCTGGCCGAGCCTATCCGTCTGAAGCTTCTGGACTACGGTATTGAGCTCACAGAGAAGACCCTGGCTTAGTCGGCGAGAAACTGATGTGTGAGCCGAGCTGTGATTTGCCAGGGAAGGTGTTCTTGGTTGCCTGACTTGGAATGCCGTCAGGGCAGCAGAAGATAGAGTAGTCGTCACACGACGACAAGGAGCCAACCCAGCTGAACTGGTTCCCGGCAAAGGCATCACGAGTATGATGCAAATGACACAAATGACATAGACGAAATGAAGCACCATGAGCTTTGCAAGTTCCACTATCATCAGTTCTGTATCATTGACGCGGTCGTACAATTCTCGTAGCAATAACAGATCTGCAAACTCTAGCTACCTCGCCGACGCTCAAACAGTGAAAGGATCATCATCGTTCTATCCATTGTCCCTCGTCCTCCAATCAATTGCATCACCATATGTCCAACATGCCCGCAAGTACCAGCCCTCAAGATCATAAACAATACGCAGGCTGCTGACCAAGTCCATCGACAGCATCATGGTACTGTGAAGCAGCCCTACGAAGCGGCTGGACAGGAGGAGGAGGAGGTGGTGGTGGCAACTGTTCTCTCGCGGCGAGGTCTGAGTCTCGATTACCCTCGAGCGCATTCAACGCATCATTCGGCCCACCAGTTCGTCTAAGAAACGCAAGTCAGCGCCGAAATCAATCACACACATCTCTCTCATATCCAAAGACACTTACCCGAGATCAACATCCTCCAATCCATACGACTTCATCTTAACATCAGACATCTGCGCCTCTAGCGAAGAAGTTCGAGAGTCTCTCTTCAGCGGCAACAATAACACATCCGTCATTTTCCGCTTGGGCTTCACATCGATCCCGGCCACCAACACCCGCCTTTCTTCTTCCTCCCTCTGCAACGCCGCTTTAGCAGCCGCTTTAACAGCCTTCCTCTCAGCTTTACGACGCTCGTAGGATTTACATCGACGGGCTTTTTCATGGCTGTAGGACCACGTTGCACGTTTCCCGTCCTGGCCCATTCCGGCCATTCCGGCTGGGTTGAAGCCTGTGAGTTTGTAGTGCCAGTATTCGAAACCTTTCATGTCGTCGTCGTGGGTGTGGTCGCGTTCGTTGTCTGGGTCTGCGGCGTAGTCGTGGTTCCAGTTTTCTTTTAGGCGGGCACGGAGTTTTTTGAACCATTTGAATGTCATGATTGTTGGTTGTTTGGGAGAAGGTTGATGGGGGAGAAGATGTTGATGGGGAAGACGATGTCAATTGTGTTCTTGTTAAGAGCAGTGAGAATGGGTAGATATCTGTGAAATGTGCCAGTGTGTATTTCCCAAGCCATGCTAATGACCCAAGAAGAACGTGATGCCAGCGTGCGCTGTCAATGCGATCAACTGACCGAAAAGCTGGTGACATGCTGCTGCTGTGAATACAGAATGATCGACGTGGCAGAGATCAGGTCATTTGATTGCTGTACAAGGACACAGATCTCCACCTTGAAGAGTAGCGCAGCGGCCTTCAACCCCCTCGAACACCTCTATCCGTTGGCGGCTGCTTCGCTGAGTGCCATGTTCATTCATCTTGGACATCGATTCTGCGAGACCTTCAAAGGGTGAAAGGGAGAGTTGTGCCTCTTGCATGTCGTGAACTTCCTTGTGCGAACATCGGATCAATAGATGGTTTTGTTGAATAATCGCTGGGACCCATGTGAAATCTCGACGCTTTGGAACGGTCACAATTTCCTCATGCTTGCAATGCACTGCCGATACAGACGGGCTTCCATTCTTTCCATGGCGTTCATGCCGGATGAGGAGAGTCCAATCGGAAGACAAATCGCGGCGGGTCAGTCTTCTCACTACGCAGACTTCTCGCCCAACTTACACAGACTCGGCTGAATGATTTGCACTAGGTGTTGAGCCAACACATTGAACGAATGCATTCAATCGCTCCAAAACAGGCCGTATATACATCCATCGTTGATGCCTCATCATAACCCTTCCCAAATGCAAAGCCAGCCCCGGTTGATAGTCCATACCCAGAAATGCCGTCCTTTGATGCCGTGATCTCATAGTCGCCGTTCTTCCCCGCAGAACACATGACATGAAACTTCTCTCCATTTCCCGGAGCAGTAAATGTGAGCAGTCTTGCCGCCGCTCATTTCCTTTTGTTCCGCTTAAATGATGCAGTCATTTCCCGCTGAGCCCATTCATTTGAAAATCACTTTGTTGGGGTATCTGCTTGCCTCGCTCGCTGAACGCTCAGAAAACTCCCGCATGACGTGAAAGGGTGGAAGGGGAAGGGGAAGAAGAAGTGAAAGTGTGGGTGTTGGAAGAGAAAGTAGAAGCTAGAGCAGAAGAAGCGAAGTGGGCTGGAGTAGAAATCTCATCACCACGGCGAGTCTCTACTAGAGACCCTGCTCTCCAGCCTTGCAAAGCTTGATCCCCTTTCCCCACTCGGAATTGAGCACTTGATGCGCACTGATTCTGCGACTTGCGTTGGGGTCGAGGATGCTGTAAATGACATTTCGACAGCGCGCCTATGATTGAGATGATTAGCATGCGTTCCGAGAGCACAACAATATTACTTACCCGATGCAAAGTCTCAATAGGAGCGTAGCCTTCCTCGCTCTTTCTCCCACGAATGTAGTTTTCGTAGAATTCGTCCTCGTCCTTTTTTGCCACACGCCATAGATGTCTGCCGGTCCGCATGGCCATGTAAATGACACCGCAAGCCCATACATCGACAGCACGAGGGTCAAACTCCTTGTCCGTGTACTCCTCCGGAGCAATGTAAGGAGCACTGCCACAAAGACCAGCCGTCATGTGTGGTTCTGTTTCCCACGCCATGCGGAAGCACTCGCCGTTTCCAAAGTCGGTAATCTTCAGTGCGCCATGTGTGGTGAGGAGAAGATTCTCCGGTTTTAGGTCGCGATGTGCGACGCCCATTTCGTGAATGTACTCGACGCCACGCATGAGTTGGGCAAAGTAGCAATCGGCCTCGGTGACTTCCAGCTTGCCATTGGCTAGTACTAGTGAGTACAGATCGCCGCCAGCGCAGAATTCCATGACTTCGCAGTAGTCTCCCTTTGCATCCTCAAGTAGGTCCAAGGTGTGGATAACATTGGGATGCCGTAATGATGAGGATATGCAGAATTCCGAGTTGAGTCGTTTGCTGTACTTCTTCGAGTCTTCCTGCGGTCTCCGGCGGAACTCCTTGACGGCGTAGAGTTGCTCTTGTTTTGAGTTGTTTGGATCTGCCTTGTGTGCTATGCGAACGATTCCAAACGCACCACGGCCGACAATCTCCTGACACTTGCCATACTTTTGGACAAGAGACACGGTCGCATTAGGACCATCCCTCTTCTCCCTGGCCATCTTGTCCTTTTCATTCTTGATCTGGTCGACCCAGCTTGACATCAGGGACAGCGGCTGTTCCTCGCCGTGCTCCTTCTTCTTGCCGAGCATCAAGTCACGAAACATGTCGGATAACTTATCCTGTCGTTTTGCGCCTTTGAGCTGGTGGAAGTGTTCGCCGTTGTCATCCACCCAGAATCTCTTCGAAGCCGCAGTCTGCGCCGCATCGTCACGTTTCTCCTTCTTAACATCAGATCCGTTCCGAGCGGCGGAGCTCATCTTCTCCTTCTTTGACGAACTTCTAGACGGCAAGTCCGGACGTGCGTCTGATCCACTGCCTGTATCCTCCAGTGTAGACTCGAGTATCTTGTCGTTGGCTTCGCGCTTTCCTCCGTCCCGAGCAACATCGTTGGCATCGCGCTGTGAGAACATGCGGGTGATGCGCGATGAGAGAGTGGGGCGCTTCTGTACAACCGGCCGRGCTGGACGGTCACTCTTTTCGACGGTGGTCAACGTGTCCTGCGGCACGGACGATGATGGCGGTTGCACGGCATCGCCCTGCTGGGATGAAGTAAAGGATGATGCCGTCGAGGTCGAGGCTGTGGGTGGTGGCGAGACAGTCGCATCCTTTGCGGCGTTGGCATGGGCCGCGGGAGTTGCCACCGCCGGCGAGGTGGTGGTGTCCTCCGCCATGGCCATGATTGACAGGCCTCTGGGGTGACCGCTTCCGGGATTCGAGCGTCGGACCCTTGGCAGCGGGCAAAGGCAGGCAGAAAAGTGGGCTACTGTAGAATGAAGAGGACGTGTTTGTCGGTGGTGCAACGCAGAGCTCGGCCAGAGCAGAGCAGAGCAGAGCCCGGCGGCCTGACGACGGCGACGACGGCGACTGGCAGCTGACGCAAGATATTCCAGATGCAGAGTGACTCTGAGGTACCGCTGGAAAGGCGAGAAGCTTTTGCCCCAAGCAAGAGGGTGCTTGGCGCAGGCTGACGCCTCGTTAATCCCTCGTCTGGTTGTGCAGATCGTAACGCGGGAGGGAAAAATGGCGGTCAAATTGCTGGCAAAAGTCGCCGCAGCTGACAAACCGCACCCACTCAGCAAAAGCGTGGACGAAATGGAAGGGATGTGGGTGGAAGCTGGCCGGTCAGTGAGAACTAGCAGAGAGAGAGAGAGAGAGGTCCTCGAGGCGATCGAAGCTGCAGCCGCGGTTAATGGATGCTCAGGCCATTGGTGCCGTGTCGAGAGCTGTTGTTGTGCGGATGTTAACACATGATGAATAATATACGCGGACACGAGCGATGACAACTGCGACGGGGATGTGTGATGAGGATGATGCAAAGGTGAAGTTGGCGGTTGGAACGGCGAAAATATGGTAGTTCTACTGTGGAAACAGACTTTTGCAGAATAACAAAAATCGCTCAACTGGCAAGCGAGCCGCAAGCTTCAAAGAGGGCGCGGGCGTCTCGCATCGTTTTATTAATAACCCTCAAAAGGCACGTCGAGGCTCGAGGGCGGTCGAAGGGCTGGAACTCATCTCACGCGAAAGTAATGCAGCCGTGCGTGAGATTGTGAAACGCACAACAGCTCATTCACGCGTCGTCCACGCCGGCAAACTGTGAACCGTGGTGCACGCGCATTCTGCTAAAATTGACCACAMCTCTTCATGAACAACCTTGGAAGCACCTCTACAGCTTGCGGCTCAAAGGACCGGTCTCGTCTCGTGTAGTCACACATCGAGCCTCTGCGGCTTTCCCCACGCCACCAATCCTCATGAGAATCCCTCATTTCCAACAGTGATGAGAGAGGGGTTGCATCAAGCACCCGCCGAGCTCTCTCTCAAGTCCCACTCCCAGTAAATCCCGCATCCAAGATTCCTTGTGGCTGCCACGATCGTTGCCAAGTACTTGACATCCTACGCCGAGATGCTGGTGTTCATCATTGCGGCTTGACCGTTCGTCATCATGCGAGTCGCTACTTGGGTAGTTTCGAATTACAAATCCGTTTTGCCAGCTGTCGTGGATTTCCTGTTCGGCGACTTTTCGCCGCAAGCTTACGCCGTGTGATGRTGTGTTTAGTGCGATGCATAAAAGGCTGCATTCGTGGAAGTGGATGAATCATGGTGAATCAGCTCCTCTTCTACAAAGATTATGTMTAGCCAGGCCTTCGGAGGCTGGGATCCTTTCCACTGGTGGATATTGACCATCCTGCAAAAGTGCAGCATCCGAGAGAGCGGGGGTCCAATGTTGATGTGTGCAGACGCCTTCCGTGTGGTCTAACTCCGCGCCCTGTCGCATCGGACATTCGCTTCACAAGAAGAAAAATCCCCTGTCTCCTGGGGGTTTCGAGCGCTGCCAACGGCTCCACAGTCTCGTGGGGGTCTAGTCGATGTGGACGCTTTGAGTCTGCTGTGCGATGACGATGTAGCCAGGTCTGATCCGGTTGTTTGGCAGAGGTACAGATTGTGAAGAATGCTGCTCTTGGGACTGCTGAGCACTAACCGTGAACTGCTGTCTCACTCAAATGCACCTGTCCTGTGAGTCGTCGCACCTACTTGGTGTCGGGCTAGTGGATGTCCTTTGTCAAGCATGTCCTTTCCAATGTTGATTATCCACTCGCTTCTTCCCAATCTCACCAATGTGCATCATGGACAGCTGCTGAATCCGAAAACTTTGAGTTGGAGATTCTTTCCTTGCTCTCTACATATGAGAAGCCTATCTGGCCAAAGACCGATCATCGTGTCCTTTCTTCCTGTACGGTATGCACTGTCCCATCACCATTCAGCGCCAACTCCTTGCTGTCGAAGCCCATGGGTATAAAGAAGCACTGAACATTGTCCCTTGGAGGCCGACATTCGTCTACTCGCTACCCTCTGCGGACCCGTCGCGAGGCTTGCTGGAGAGGGTTTCGAAGCTGCCTGCTACGTTGTTAGCAATCCCTCTAATCCTTGTCTTCAAGGATAGCCTACGCTGCAAGAGGTTGAGCGCAGTACGCTTCTGACCATCCTCCGTCTCGTAGGAGTCCATTCGTGCCTCCGCCTCAACATACAGCTGCGATCTGAAAGCACTTGTCAGCATCTCCCATCTGAATTGACGTCTGATCCTCATCCCATCAATTGACTTACCCCTTTGGCAAGCTCAACAGCAATTCTCGCTGAGGGCCCTCCTGCATGAAGCTTGCGACTCTAAACCAGCTTGTGCTTCGGTTACCCTGCTCATCTCGTGGACCCGCGCTGACACCAAGGGCATATCGCACAATCTGCTTGCCAGATGCGGTGTCGAAGAGCTCAGGCGTATCGGCGAGACGGCCAATGATCTGCATCTTTGCGAGTGGGCGGGCGGCCGTCGTGGAGAATGCGCGGGTTGCTGCGCGTGGCAGGCTGTTGCGGAAGAGGGCGAGCATCGTGGCGTGTGTTTATTGGGTGATGAGATCAGTAGTGATGTGGCGAGGAAATTGATGATGAGTCTGGTGAAAGAGGGATTGGGGTGGTGTTCCTTGAAAGCTGCAATGCGACTTCCTCCAGCTTCAGCTCCAGGGGTGCGAAACGCGATCAGGCGCGACCAACGCGCCCAGCCAATCAGAGTCTTTCCACCTAGATCCAGTTGCATCAAACTTTGAACCCCGTGTCTCACTTCTGTAGCGTACCTCACCACGTTCCGAAACATCGACCCTGATTGTCGTTGGAAAGCGACGGCATTTCCATGTTCTCGACATCATCCATGGCGTCTCCACGCAGGGTTATCGGAGAAGAGGTCCCTCGAAGTCGATGACTTGGCCAGATACTCGGTCGATTGGATGGTGCTTGGGGACGAACGTCAGTTTGCTCTTCCAACACTCCTGCTCATGCTTCGCTGCGTCGGTCTGCCTGAGCCGGGAATAGCTCACTACAATCACCGGAGGCCGAGGGTCTGCTAGGGAAGACTCACATCTAGAAACGAGCTCTGTATCTGGGATCTTGGTCCGTCCGGGATCTTCCACCTTGGACTTTACTCCATCCCACCACGAAGATCAATCTGGAGTAGGACAACTCCAAGGTCCTGATCCAGATTTAGAAGTCATCCAGATGATAGCTCAGGGACTTGCCGGAATGTCATGTTTGAGAACATCACGTGTACCCGACCGGGACTCACAATTCAGGGCTGTATGGTATACGGGCAGGGTGGGGCCACTTCCAGACTCCGGAAAGATGGGTTTCGCAGCTATATCAAGGACGTCTAAAATAAAATTCGAGCCTTGGACGACGCATGCTGAAATTTCTCCTCATGTACACCTATCCTCTCAACAGCCTTTTCACGGCTATCTTGGATCTGTGTGATCAATCCTTGGGCGACGTTCTGATCTTGCAACCAAAGAGAATTTTCGTTTTCTCCGGTCCAAGGAAAGGGAAGAAGTTGCACGACGGTCATGATTACGACAATTTCTGCAGACTCAAGGTAGTAGAGTCCGACACATGCCACCTGTGTGTTCGGATGAATACGGGCATGAGTTGATAGGACAAACGAAGAATATCTTATGGTTCAATCCATTGTCAGAATCTTCATTGACTCATCACGAACGGTATACATGGTATCCTCTATGTCCTCACGGAGCTCGCGGAAACAAGTGACACGCAATCTATGCACCGATCCGAAGGGGGTGCCTACGGCGCAATCGATGTATATCTTCCCGTTTGGTAAGTTGACGGCTGAGCAACAGCCTAGAGTAGATGGCCCAGAATTAAACGCACAACCTCCATGTCACCTTTACGTGGGAGACCTCGGCGCTTCTACRAAAAATCTGTTGTGTGAGCTTGGCCGACCATATCATGTAGCTCGGGCCGTTATGTTTTATGGTAGAGGCTGCGGCGATGTTATGGTTGACGCACAATACAGTCTGCAGCTGCGATGCATAATGTCGGCGAGATTCGTTTGGGATAGGAGGCTGCTGCCGAAAGGTACCCACGAGTAATAAGGCTGGCTTCAACATCACCTCTTTGACTTCCAGGTTGGTTTAAGAACGCCGGCTTTTGCCAAATTTCCACTCTCCAATCCATGGACATGCTTGTCCTGTGCTCTGTAGGAGATGTTGCATCCTACACCAACCCTAACCCTAACGGTATCGGACACATTCCCGAGCGTTCTACCAATTGCCTCCATGTCATTGGCGTCTCCCGAAATATTCTTTGGTCGGCTAGAAATCCTTCCTCCATCAATTACCTGCCCGGTGTCTACAAGAGTACTATCGTCGCCGGATGTGGCGATGACATTTCCCTTCCCAATCAAATGGCCACTCGAACCGTGGGCATGAGAACTATCTAGAAAGACCGGAAGCCTTGGGAGGGCACACGGCATCTCTAAAAACGCTCTGCTACTACAGCCGGATTGAGAGAACCGCTGGATCCCTTCCAGAAACACGAGTCGTCTCATGCCGGCAGCTCTAACCATAGTCACCGAGGAAAGGAGCGGAGCGTTGCAATTCCCAGTTAACGCTACCCACTCGAAATACACATGCCGATCTGGAACTACTACTGCAGCGTGATCAATTTCCCAAAAGCGCAAAATCAGGAAGTATGCCATCCAAGGTTCAGAGACTAGCAGGCATCATCGAAAGCCGAAAGACGAGGGAGGTTGAAGCAGAGAGCTTTTGTAAAGAGATGGATCGTAATATTTGCTCAATCATCAGATCTGAATGGGAGGCGGGAAAGCAGCTGAGCTACTAAGCTTTCTTCAACTCCTTCCTGCTGGTCACCACGCAAGGCAAAGTGAGGTTTGAAACCAAGTCAAGAGATCAGGTTTGATGAAACGCGACGGCTTTGCTCTTATCTAGCTCGAAATCTAGTACATTGTGGTTCAAGCAGCTCTTTTCCTGCCCTAGTTCGCTCTGAAATCGCGGACGGTGAATGTCTGCAGACTGCGGTACATGGGAATTCGCGATGCGAGGTCATCTCGTCGTTCCCTGGACGCGCGATCGCGGATGAGAAACATCATCATTCATCACGACCTCCTTATCAGTGAATCTTGAAGAGAGGCCACAAGATAGATATGCATGCCCGCCCGCTCCAGTCCAATCCCAAAGTGGAACGATCCAATTCACGCGGCTCGACTAACCTTTCGAATAGACTTCACCTAGAGTGAGGGGTGCGGCGTGCGTTCGAAGCACGCACATGTGACGATCGGACGACGGAGTCAAGACCTTTTAAGCGAACTAAAAAGGCAAGGTACCAATATGGCTAGCATATATGCACTGTACATGATTGCGGCGCACACTGGGTGGAGACGCCGAGTCGGAGTCGGCCATCCCAGCCGCTGCTTCTTGGGTCCCCAGGGCTTCACAGAATGTCTGTTCCCTCGGCTGCCTCCCTCTCCTAGCAGACCAAGCGGACCATTCACCCAGCCGCAGTTTCTTTCTGTGTTTCGCTCTCTCAAGTGTTTCTCAGCCAGCACTCCCACGGCTGCCTTCCTCTCCTATCCCAAGCTTTGCATCCAACAAAAGATGGCAAACCAAACAGCTGTTTCCCGAAAAAAAACGCAAAATTTCCGTGCCAAGATCATAATGGGGTATCAATCCAATCATTATCCTCATAAACTCATCATTCCATAATCATTACCAGGCCCACAGATTGGGTCTTAGTCAGATCCATCATCCGAGCCTATCAACAGAGGCAAAACCCGATCACATCTCAAGCTTTTCCGCCCGTTAGAGACTTTCCTATTACCTATTTCTCCATTCAGCAGATACCTCGGTCGAACATCCAATTCAGCCGACGCCATAAGACCATCTCGCAGGTGTACTGAACTGAGATGGGGTTGTCGGAGGGCCCATCCCAGCATCCACATCAATTCCAGAGCTTTGCGTGCTTTCCCGTCGTGTCACGTCAGTGACCCTCCTATCTTTCCCGCGTCCCTTGATCCCCTTGTTGCAGTTCTTGTATAGATCGACGAAATACGCCCACATTTCCCTCTCCCATAACTCCACAACGTCGCCGTCTTGGTATGACTCAAAGCGCTGCTTCAGCTCGCGAATTGTTCTTTCGTGGAACTTATTCTGATGTGATTTCAGGTTTCCCAGCTGGCTGAAGGTTTTCATGCAATTGTCCAGTTTACACGTGAAAGGCTTGGCGGATGTGTGGACGATCTTGTGAGCGCGGACGTTTCCGTGCTGTGAGAATGTCTTGCCGCAGATGTCGCAGTGATAGGGACGCTCCCCTGTGTGGCGGCGCTCGTGTGTCTTGAGGTTTCCTAGTTGAGAGAACCGCGCACCGCATCCTTCCTCCTTGCACAAGAAAGGCCTCACTCCCGTGTGTGACCGAGTGTGGATCTCTAGATGTGTCTTTTGGAAGAAACTTTTCCCACAGTCGGGCACGGTGCATTGATATTTCTTCCTCGCTTTGCTGGGACTTGGCGCGATCGAGGTTGAACCATTCTTCGACCCTGGAGGCTTAGTTGGCTGCTGTGTCTGGATTGCACGCATGAGGGTATCAATGTTGGTATTGAACACAGCAGGCTTCTGTTCACTCAAGCCTTCAGACCCTGCAGGCGATGCAGAGCAAGACTGATACTGCGCTGCCTCGTATAGAAATTGTGAAGGGTGGACAGGTTCTTCCGTCTTGATGTCCCCTGCCTCACCGTCCCCTGAGCGATAGCCCTCGTCAGTGGGCATTCGTCGCATTGTAGGATGTTGCATTGAAGGTTGCATGGGAGGCTGCATTGAAGGCTGCATTGGAGAGGGTCGCATCTGTTGATACCTCTCCGGAACAACGAAGTTTCCGAAAGTGCTAGAGTACGGCATGTCATAATAGGTGTTGCTTGGCAATTGAGGATGATTGTTGTTCAGCATCTGGTAAGGATTGAACATTTCGATAGCAGGGTCTTCGAAAGTAGTGTTGAATGCGAAGCCGAGCTGCTGTTCCTGAAAGTGAGACCCAGGCATCGTCTGAGAACCGAAGCCGGCCATTGGCAAAGTCGAACTTGACATGATGCCATAGGGGTTTTCGTGCGGACCGAGAAGGGGCTGACTGATCCTTCTTCGTTGAAGTAGACCCGATGGCATAGGATTCTGTCCATTTACGATGTTATGGCTGTTATGGCTATTCGCCATGATGTCGATGCTTCGTTAAACCCAGCGATTGACAGTACATTTACGACCTCTCGGGGATGTTGTTTCCTAGCGATAGAGAAGGAACAACATGAAATGAGAAAGAAACACACGGAATACACTCGGGAGCGCAGGAACCTGAAAGTATAGTCATTGCATGGGTAGGAGTCAGCTCCTCTATACGCACCTCAAGCTTCCCGTTAACCTCCTACCCTCCTACCCGGCTGGTGTCTACCAACCGCGCGAAAGTTCGACTTGGAGATGACGGAACAGATCTTGCCTGCATTTGCACCACCCTCGGCGGGCAGGTGCAGCTGGGAGATGCCCAGCAAGGTAAGCTAGATTAAATTCGGGGCGGGAGTGAAGAGCGATGCAAAGTTTAAAGCCGTTGGTTTGTGGAGAGATCTCGATCTCGTTTCGAATCACCCGTCTCATCGTTAGTCCATGCCTTGCCGGCGCGGGTTAGCAGGCGACATGTGCTGGATGCATCGCATTTTGGGCATGGTAAGTTGCAGTTGAGGGTCTGATCCGCGTCGGCATAATAGCTTTCCTGCGCATGATGATGAGTGTCGCTGACCGCAAAAGAAAGGCGACCTGCCACCAGATGGTCAGCCACTGGATTCACCCGTCGCGGTGGTTGTTGAACATTCAAAACCACCGGGCTGGCCAGCCAGGATGCAGCTGATGCAGAAGAAACATGGCGAGCAGTGGTGGGAATCATCCAAGGCCGCGAGTGACACGGGGCGTGACACAACAAGCCTGGAGCAGCATCCGCTGGTGCGCAATCGTAGAGTGTTAACACACATTCGAAGGGCCATGCGGACGGCTTCCACCATGGTACCACTGATACTAAAAGCCTCGAGGGCGATTTCACTCGTGCCTGCTAATCGCATAAGCGTGCCTGTCCTCGGCGAATGCGGGAACGCGTTGTCTTTCCCATCTGCTAAAAAATGCCGATGGTTCATTAGTCCGTGATCTAATGAGCTTATCCACGGTCAGTGGACTTGCCAGTGTGTCCAGCGCCTCCAAGAAGTGAGTATACTGTTCAGAAGTTGGCTTCGATGATCTGAACGCCGGTGATGTCTGGGACCTTTTGGCTTGGATCGCGGTCTGCAGCAGGCCGTMTTCGGGGAGATGGCAAATGCAGCCGCTTATGCCTTGTGCCGCGTGCGTCCGACTGTGGTATGTTCTATCCGCTAGCCAAGGCCTGCAAGGTGATGAAATGCGCGGTTGCGCATGTCCGAAAAGGTGAAAAGTCCAACGGCGGAGCACCACTGGATGACAGGAAGGACGGTGCTGATGTGTAGCGGATCAGATGGCAGAGACATAAGAAGACCTACGTGTTGGCCGGGGATGGATTGTCGGATGAGGAATTTTCGCGCGAAAGTCCAAAACCCAGAGCCATGGTGCTGGCTTTGGACGATGTGGCTTTTCAATGTAACTTGAGTCTTGAGGTGTAAAACTAGTTAATGCGATGGTTCCGAAAGTCCCATTCAGCCATCAAGACAAGGTTCATCACCGGCTGCTTCACTGCAGCCTTACTGCCTCAGACATCCAGGTTGAGAAGACAAATTATGATCTAGAAGGAGTGCATGCCTCCAAGTGAGAGGAGTTGGTCGTAGGCGAGCTGATAGGTACCTACATAGTCACAATCATTGCTTCCCTCGCGATTATGTACATCGTTAGCAGGGATTTCTGCATCACCACCAGTCCAACTTCACTACATACTTTATCCAGTCAAGCTAAGTACATCAACAATCCCCAAACTCGCGACAATGCCGCCCAGCAAATCCCATGCCGATCCATTCACCACAACCTCCAACGGTCCGCCGCTCCGGAAAACCAATGCAAGCGCCGCGTCCACGCGCACGCGTCAACAACTCTTCGCTCCCACTCTTTCCCGTAGACCCACAAGTCGGACCACACCTCGTATAGACGATGATGTCTTGCCAGACTCGAACTCTGAGCAAGAAAACTCCACACGGCAACGAAGACATGCAAGAAGATTACGAGGTGGGTCGCCCGTGGAAGGCAGAGGTGGAAGGGCAAGGTCGAAGCAGCAGGTAGAGGAGTTGGAGATTGTGAATCGGCAGCCTGATGGGACGTATTTGCTTGATGGAATGTCGATGGGTTTGCTTGCAGCACCGACGCCGGTGTTCGGACAGGATATGGCTGATAGTGCCGGTAATTGAATGTCAACCACCTGGGTCTACATATTGATGGCTAATATTCGAAGCAGACGCTATGGATGCTGCTATTGCAAGACGATATTTTGCATGTGGAGCACATATGAGCAGCAATCGGAGAAGTACCAAGCACGATGAAGACCGTAAGTACATGGTCAGCCGCATTTCCAACCCAGCTCTTGATGGAGACCTCCACGTCCGTTCCGCACACAGAGCACACAATCTAGTTGCTGACATGCGACAGTACACGCAGAATTTGAGCGTGAACGTCCTGAGATTCAGCTACGGCTCCGCGAAAAGGCCCTCGCGAGGCTCCAAGATGCCAAATGGATGTATGAGCCAGTAGATCGATTCCAGTCATCTGGTGTGCCATGATGTAGGCTTCATCGTCTCAAGACCGCCAGCTTCCAACATCCGACTGGTTGCATCCCTTCTTGGATCTGTTCGCAGCGGGAATCGCTTAAGTGGGATCTACCACGGCACTGTCGTGGAAACTTCGAAAAACTTCTCCCCGTGGCCATGCTCTACCAAGCTTGAATATCTACAATTGAGTATTCACATCTGGGAGACCTCTGAACTCAAACTGCCATAAGCATCTTTGCTGAATCAAATCCGCAGAAATAGACGATTTTACGGTTCCGGGCAACTGCGGCTTAAGGAGAGTGTAGAGACTACCATGATGAAGGAGGGCGGCAGAAGAAACGACGACGAAACGACAACGAGAACGGTAACCTTGACTAGCGACTTGCGGTGTGGTCGAAACGTATCGCGTGAAGAATCATGGTAAATACGCCGTAGTAAGGTTGGAGAACCGTATCGCGCGGCAACCCGCGGATGAAGACCTGCACTATCTCGACATAAATGCTGGAAACATCAGATGTGACCCGTCCTTTCGGACACTTCAGCATGCAAGAGGAAGGAGTGGTGGACTAAGCAGCGTTATTTCAGTGGTTCAGATAAAATGAGATGTTCGTATTAGTGGTGATAATGCGTACAGGTGGATGGAATGTCCAGAGTCCTCAATGAACTAAGATCAACTATACCACACGCAGTTGCTCCACCACTCCTTCTAGTTCTTACTTTATTGATGACTCTGTACATCAGATCAACCTGTATACATCATGACCGCCCACACGAACATCCAATTTCATTCATCTATGCAGTTTAGGGCAGTCGGACGCTTCAGCATGCAGCTTGAAGAGTAAGCGGAGACGGTAGACATCTGATTGTCTTGTCTGCAAGAGGACGCCATCTTGGACTCATCAACAAGAAAGGGACCGAGACTCTAGTTCGTCAGATGTATACACGGTAGTACCTTATAGGAACACAAGCTACTTGGCTTACGCTGCCCAAAGGCTTGGGCGGAGCCATTTTCTGAATGACACAATCTTCTCCACGATACTAGTATATTGTAACGTTGGTGTATTGATCCCCGACGTGTTGGGCAACAAGCGACGCTGTAAATACGATAGCACGACATGCTGGAACATTGCAAATCGGAAGCTGCGTTTCTGCCAAGAGGTGAGGACGACCCGCCCTCGCTAATGGAGTTCGGGCAGCGGCAAGGCTAAAGCCAGGGCTCGACGCTCCACCGTGGAGAGTTTGAGGACGATGAATAACACATCGGTTTGGGTCCGTAGGAGCTCGTTGAAGTTGATGCTGGGGAATGAGTTCGAGTTCTGATTGCATCAAGATGGAATCAACGCTGGAATCGTTTCCGACGCGCTGCTCGCGACACTTGGTAACGTCTTCATCGACCCGAGGACTGCCCTCGGACGGTCGATGTGTAGGTTTCAACTTTTAAGCTTCTTCCTCGCATGGGTGTTTAGTGTCTGTGCTACAACGGCGGGTAATGTGAATCTGGCGCAAAGTGCGTTGGCTTCTTCTTCCGCGCGGGACTTGCTTCCTGATCGCTGCCGTTCATCCATTGTTTCTWCCAATCTGACATTCCATCCTCGAAGCCATCACCCATTCACAACGCCGCATCTCGACGCACGCCCGCACCAATCGCAGCTGGTTGCTCCCATCACTCTCCGCCGGGGAAGCAGGCTACCGTGCTACTGCTGTCTCCCCGCCATCTATCCTCCGAAACGAACTGGAGGTTGAAGAGCGCGTCGCAGCGTCATCGCAAATTTGCCCGCAAGAGTCGAGCCGACTGGAGATCAATCGAGACCGGACAAGATGTACAATGCGCATCGAGGCATGCAGTCGGGACCTCAGCCCGGCAGTCGCTTGACCGAGCTGCTGGAGCAGGTGCGCGGCGAGTTTGATACCCAAGTCGGGCGCTCCGCCGAACATGAACACCAGCGTAAGTCGCGTCAGTTGATGGACACTCTGTGAGCGTGTAATTGTGTCGTGATTGCGCGCAGGGTATGCAGTGCGGTTTGTTCGAGAGTACGTGCTAACGCGTCCCTGTGATGGATGATAGTGCATCAACAGCTCGCGGAAATGGATGTGATCAAATCCAAGATATTCCAACTGGAAAACACCCACATGCAGATCAAGAGCAAGTGAGTTACATGTGATGCCCTTCAACATGGACCATGCTGACAATCCGCAGATATGAAGATGAGATTGCCCGTTTGCGCCATGAGCTCGAACAGCGAGGCGGACCATCTCAAGGCCCCCACTCGGGTCCCTCGCAACCCGCTCCACCAGTCATCGGCCATGGGCCTGCCAACCTCTTCAACGGTATCATGGCCGGCGGGGCTGGTGGACCTGGACTCGCGCCTCCCCCACAAGAGCAGCAGGGCCAGCCTGGTATGCCTGGCCACATGCAAGGCCAAATCCCACCCGGTTTGAATGCACCACCAGGCCCACCTCACAATCCATTCCAGTATGGACAAGCTCAAGGCCCTCCTCTCAATGGATTCAACCCTCAGCAACCACCACAGCCCACCGCTTCCCCGGGTGGAGCCAAGCCGAGAATGGGTGCACCTCCAGGACTCAGGGGACCCGCTACGCCACAGCAAAACCCAGCTTCTGCCTACCCCGGCTCACCTCAAGTCGCTCGCCCTACTCCTCCACCAGCGCGGGATAACAACGCCCAAATCGCCACGGACTTCCAATACTCTCACGCCGATATTGACAGGATTGGCAACCAGCTCTCCGAGTACGATCCTGATAAGCTCCCACCCCACCTCAAGCGTCAGGGTGAGGATTGGCACGCCGTGTTCAACCCAAGGGTGCACCGCAGGCTTGACGTCGATCTCGTCCATTCCCTCCCTCACCAGAGCGTCGTGTGCTGTGTGCGCTTCAGCCACGACGGAAGGTTCGTAGCCACCGGATGTAACCGATCCGCCCAGATTTTCGACGTGAACAGTGGAAAGCAAGTCTGCCACCTGCAGGATCAGAGCACCAATGCAGAGGGCGACTTGTACATTCGCAGCGTCTGCTTCAGTCCTGATGGAAGATTCTTGGCTACTGGTGCAGAGGATAAGATTATCCGGGTCAGTATTTCCATCAACTCGCTCCGCAATACAATACGTACTAACTGTCGTCAAGGTATGGGACATTCAACGAAAGACCATCCAGCACCAATTCTCCGGCCATGACCAGGACATTTACTCGCTCGACTTTGCTTCTGATGGTCGGTATATTGCTTCCGGGTCGGGAGATCGTACGATCCGTCTTTGGGATCTCCAGGAAAACACCTGCGTCCTCACCCTCTCGATTGAAGACGGAGTAACCACCGTGGCCATGTCTCCCAACGGCCGCTTCGTTGCGGCGGGTAGCTTGGATAAAAGTGTCCGAATTTGGGACACCACGTCCGGAAACCTCGTGGAAAGAACGGAGGGTGAACAGGGACATAAGGATAGTGTCTACTCTGTCGCTTTCAGTCCTAATGGTGAACATCTGGTGTCGGGATCTTTGGACAAGACCATCAGGATGTGGAAACTCAACCCGAACCCAAGAGGGAATTTCAGTGGTGGCGGGTCAGGGGGAGCTCCAAAGAGTGGAGAGTGTATCAGAACTTTTGAAGGACACAAAGATTTCGTGCTTTCTGTGGCGCTTACACCTGATGGTAGTTGGGTCATGTCGGGATCCAAGGATCGCGGAGTGCAGTTCTGGGATCCCGAGACGGGTGCTGCGCAGCTGATGTTGCAGGGCCACAAGAACTCTGGTAAGTTTACAGTTAACCGTGTGGTTGATGAAAAGCTAACCATAGACTCTAGTCATTTCCGTGGCGCCAAGTCCTATGGGACAACTTTTCGCGACTGGCTCTGGAGACATGAAGGCCAGGATCTGGCGGTACTGCCATTACACTGGACCTCTGTAGTGCGGGAGGGTGTGATGCGCGAGTTGTCTGGAAGGGACGGGAGGGTGCGGCTGCGGGAGAAGTTTCTGCCAGATGGTGAATGGTGCAGGGATTTGAGCGTCGGCCGTGTGATGTTGAGAAGCGAAGATGCCCTCTCCGATATCCTGGACGACGCCATCGCTTCTGGGGAGGAGTGCAGACGGGAGAGGAGCCGAGATTGTGCGAAAACAGCAGAATATTTTGAGGTAAGAGCGCGGCGTTTATCCTTCTGATTGAGATGCGCCGAGGCATATGCGGTCCTGTTGGGGTCGGGAAGGAGAGCGAGGGGGCGGGAGTGAGGGAGAGCAGGAGGGGCGGGTCGCTGAATGTTATAGACGATGAGGATGAAATTAGGACGATGTTGTACGGAACAATAGATAGTTAGCATCCATGCATACACAAGTATGGCTCTCTCCCGTTGGGTGGATTTTGAGCCTACTAGCTTGGCCATGATTATTTTTGGCGCGTCTCCCCACAAAGTGAATGGGCGGCTGCGCGTCACCTCACCTCACATTTCCGACATCTTTCAAACCACAGCACCACATCCATCACCACCACCGTCACAATGCCTCCCGCACCCCTCGAACTCGCTCTATCAACCCTCCTCCCAACCATTGCATTCCTCCCGCCCGAATTAATCCACCTCGCAACCTCATTGCTCGCACAATCCCGCAGCAAAGCCGGCCATCTCAAACCGGAAGAAGAAATTGGACGCAGTTATGCTTGTGCGCATATTGCTTGCGAACGACTGGCGAGACAACTCGATTTGGAAATTGGAGTGGCGAGACCGCCTGTGAAACCTAGTGTTTATACGAAGTTGAAGGGGTATTTGGATGGGGTGTTGGTTGTTGAGGAGAGAGGTCGACGAGGAGGAAGAGCAGATGCGAATGGAGTGGGGATGGGGAGCAGTCAAGCTGCAACACCTGTAAAGCAAGTCAAGACGCCTACGGGATCGGTCAAGAGGGGTCTTGCTGCTCTTCCTACTACTGCTGATCTTGGGGAGACGCCGATTACTGCCACGAAAGGACGGGAGAAGGGTGACGATGTCCCGGAATTTATTATGCCGATGATTCGGGCTATTTGCAAGAGTTGTGCTATGCCGGCTGCTGTACCGCATATCAATGTCGGAGCGAAAGAGGTGGTGGAAGAGATCATTTCGAGAAATTTCAAGCGTATGCAGGATAGTGCTGGAGGGGAACCTGCTAGTAAACGAAGACGGAGGACACCGCAATCTGCTAAACGGGTGGAGGMTTCTCCTGTTCCGCCGCCTGTTGTTACACCTGCAGACGCGATTACACTGGGCAAGTGGCCTGCTTTGTTGGTTGCGTTGTTTGTGGTTACTGCCAAGCGGATGGAGGGTGAGGATGCTGATGAAAGAGAGCTGAGGAAAAAGGCCACGGCCGCGGTGAGGAGTTTTTGTGAAGATGGGAGGAGAGTTCTGCCTGAGGAGGTCAAGGCGTTGGAGGGATTGGAGGGGAGCATTACATTCTACATGCTCGAGGCGGAGGATTGTGGATGGTTGGAGATGGAATGGTTTGCGAATGTGCCGGAGGGCGTGTTTGAAGATGAAGCGCAGGGAGATGGCAGTGAGCATGGCGGGCGGGACAGTGAAGATGAAGGGCCGATGACGCCGAGAAGGAGACCTGCGAAGACTCCGTTGAGGAGAAAGGAGAAGAGAGGTGGAAAGACGGCGGATGGAGTGTTGGGGGAGGAGGTGGGTGCTGCTGGATTATTTCCAGGGTTGGGGACAATGTTTCAGCCTGCAATTGATTGGTTGAGTGAGGAGAGACGAGCGGATTATGTGCAGTGGAAGAAGGGGATGTTGAGGGAGATTGCTCTTGTCGAGCAGAGAGTATAGCACGTCTTCAATGTTGATGATTCAAATCAGAAATTGAACTTGAAGGACAAGGTAACAAGTCGATCTTCAAAATTGACTACACTGGAAATAGCTGCCTGGAAATAGCCCCTGTGGTATCATCGCTCCCATAAACGCCAGAGTCCGCTGAAATCGCTCGATCACTGTGAAATCGAATGCCTGACGTTATGCCACCTCCTCTTCATCTTCATAATCCGGTGAATCGACTCCCGGATCAGCGATAACAAAGTCCATGGACATGAAACCCGTGGTTCTCAGCTGCACCAGTTTGACTTCCCTGCCCTCGGACTCTCTCTCTCGATTCCACCTCGCAATGAACCGCTCCAATGCCTTCTCCCCCGCTTTCGCGCCCGTCCATCCCAGATCCTCCCAGAGATATCCCGTCGCGACGCCGATCAGACTGTCTATCCATGCTCGTGTTGAATATGGGGAAAGGGACTTTCTCAAGATGGCGTTGATGTTGGAGATCAAGTAGCGGAATTCGGTATCGCTGACGCAAGAATCGAGGATCTCGGGATAGAGATTTGCGTATTGAGGGTAGAGGTCTCCGCTCGCTAGCCAGTCCCGCCTGACGCGAATGACACGGGTCAAAGAGGCTTCCGGGCTTCGGGGATGGCAGTGAGGATTTGGATGGGGAAAGCACGGATGAGAAGGTCCCCAGGGGAAGTCTTCATCGTCTTCTTCTTCCTCTTCCCCCTCCTCCATGCCCTCATCTCCTGGCTGTGCTTCATGAGTGGTCCCATCGGCACTCGGACGCGGAAGAATCATGTCGGGTGGCAGATGTGGCGTGGGAGGGACGGATTCCGAGGGGTTGTACAGGCTGTTTGCGCGAGAAGTGGCCGTGGATTTCTTGGAGCGAAAGGAGCGATGCGAGGCGCGGCGCCGGAGGGGAAGCGAACTACGATTGCCTCCGACACCGCTGTGGGTGCTACGTGCGTCTGAGTAGTCCATGGGTTGGCTGGGGTCGTTGGGGATTGGCGGAGCGGAGGGCAGGTCTGCGCGCGAGAGCTGACGGGTGGGTTCCGTCACGTCCGAGGCCTCTTGCACGCCGGCTAATTTGTTGAAGGTCTCCATGGTGAAGGCGCGAGCGAACAAGCGAGCGAGCGGGCCAGTGAGGAGAGTCAGGAGGGAGATATAGGAGGGGATGGGCCGTGGGTGTGCTGGGGTAATCCCTGGGCACTTGTCGCGAGGTGAACGCTTTCGACGTTGTGGATTGGAGAGGTTTGACGGATCCGAGAGCGTCGACAGGGACAGGGGGTGTCCTTTTTGAGGACTAGCAGGGAGCGTCGGACTGGGCTCCTGTAATGTCCGTCCTCCGTGCTCCGTGCTTCTCCTCCCTCCACAACCTCACAGCAATCAGCATCAATATCAGCATCAATATCAGCATCAATATCAGCATCAATATCAGCATATTCTTCAATCTTTGCACCTCCATCTGTTCTTGGAATTCATGGCATGGATGGTCAAGATTCATCAAAAAGTACTTGATGCGCGCTCCCTCATTTCTGCCTGCTCGCCATGGTCTTGGAAGACGACCGAGACTTGCCATGAATCCTATTCCGGAGTTGCCAGCCTTGCAAGGACGCGTCAACCATGCAAGATCGTGTCAAGTCGCTTTCTTCCGTCATCTCATTGCATACCACCGCATCACTCTTCACGTGACAGTGTAGCCCAATTTGCAGATCATTGGACCTCTCTCTATCTCGACTGCCAAGAGAAGCCGAGCTTGACAGAGCCCACGTATGGTATCGTAGCCAGAGGAAAGTGACCTATCACTCGCGTTCGTGCTCACCGAAAGACGTATTCACAGTATCCAATGCCAGCCAGACCATGTGCGGTGAGTGCATGGCTTGAGAGCTAGTGTATACCCGCAGAAACGGTGAGTGGTATTTGGGGTTGTACAAGATCATGTTTCGCTGAATGGCTCCATATCACCTCTCCCCGTCGGAGCTCCGTCAAAGTCAAAGAGCTGCAGCTCGTGGAAGTCATACATTTGAAGACTGCATGATATACTCGCGCTCTTCTTTGATGCCGGTCCTTGAATCGTCGAACAGATCTTAGGAGCAGTCGCTGAGACGACGTCTTGGGGAGTCCTCTGATCTCTTTTACCATCTCCATACACATCTTCAACACAATATCTCCCACCATGCCTTCAACGGAAGACTCCAACGATTCTGAAACCAAGATGTCAGATCACATTGAAAACTCTGCGTCCCGAGATGCAGCGAACATGGCCAATCTAGGCATCAAACAAGAAACTCGGCGACGTTTTGGCTTTCTCACCATTCTAGGTTTATCAGCTTCCATGATGTGTACTTGGGAAGCTGCTCTTCCCTTCTTTACCACCGCATTCATCAATGGTGGAGGACCTGCAATGCTGAGTGGATATATTACCGGCTTTCTGGGTGCGCTAGCGACTTCTGCGAGTATGGCTGAGCTAGCTAGCATGTAAGTTGCGAGTTGCTGGGAGATGTGGGCCTTGACTGATGCCTTGCAGGTATCCTGTCTCTGGTGAGTCGGGGATGATGTCAACTTTCGTTTGACAGAGATGAAACTGGACATTAGATGGAGATCTTCACGAATGATGTGACACTGACTTCCCACAGGCGGCCAATACCACTGGTCTGCGTTACTGGCTCCCAAAAAGCATGCTAAATTCCTCAGCTGGTGCGTGAGATCAGAATCTAAACGAGCCGAGCATGCTTAACATCTTCTAGGCTCACCGGCTGGATTTCAACCCTRGGCTGGGAAGCCAGTGCCGCAACTGGAACGTACCTAGGAGCACAATGCATTCAATCCATCATCGCCATCAACGACCCCGAATACCCGGCACCACGATGGCAAGGTCTGCTATTGATTCTCAGCGTTCTAGCTCTGACACTCCTCATCAACACCGTCCTAATCAGGATCCTGCCGGCTCTGGAAGGGGCCATTTTGGTCTTGCATGTTATTGGATTCTTTGCCCTTCTCGTTCCGGTTGTGCATCTCGCGCCGAGAAGTCCGGACTCTTTTGTCTGGAAGGATTTCAWTGTCTACTCGGGATATGCTCCGGGTCTTGCTTGGCTGGTTGGTCAATCCAGTTGTGCGATTCTGTTCATTGGGTATGATGCCGCTTGCCACATGGCTGAAGAAGTCGTCGATGCGGCGGTGAATGTTCCCCGGGCTATGATCAGTACCATTCTTATCAATGGTGCTTTCGGGTTCGCCTCCTTCCTCATCATCCTGTATAGCTTTGGCAATCCCGAGGATGTGCTTGCTTTTCAAGGGTTTCCTTTCGTGGAGATCTTCCTCCAGGCTACCAAATCTGCCATTGGGACGAGTGTTATGACTGCGATGCTATTGACAATGTTTGTGTGTGCGACTTTTGGAGTTGTGGCGAGTGCGAGTAGACAGGCTTGGAGTTTTAGTCGGGATGGCGGACTTCCTGGGTCCAGTATTCTGAAACGAGTAAGCTGGTGGAAATCTCTCATTCTGCAAGGACACCTGCTGACAATTCCAGATCGACTCCCGCTGGTCTATCCCCCTCTATACAATTGCTCTCACAGGGGTCATCGTCACGCTACTCGACCTCCTCTACCTCGCCAACGTCGTGGCCTTCAACGCCGTCGTATCCCTCACCACAAGCTCCATCCTCACTTCCTACCTCATCCCCATATGTCTGATGATCCTTCGAAGAATCCGCGGCGAGAAGATCCCATTCGGACCCTGGAGGCTTGGGAAATGGGGAATGCCCATTAATATTTTCGCGGCATTGCATACTTTTGTCACGGTGGTGTTTAGTTTCTTCCCTCCGGATGTTAGTGAGGGGATTTCGACAAGGAATATGAGTTATTCGTGCTTGGTTTATGGAGGGGTGATTCTTTTGGGGGTGGCGTATTATGGTGTTGTTGGGCATAAATGGTATCAGGGACCTTGTTTGGATGTGAATTTGGAGGATTGAGAGATGCGGTACTTGGGATTGATGCATGGGGGAATTGGTATACACTTGTTCAAATGGGGCTCTTTCTTACGATCTGCTGTCATCTCTGCATCACAAGCGTCAGATTCATTGGCATGCGAGTATTCCAACTTCTCAGAGCTTTCCACATGACTCTAATATCAATCTCTCCCTCGATCTCATATCACTTGTTGGCCTGATACGGATCCCGAACCATCGCGATATATTCTCGATCATAACCACCATCCCATTCCTCAGCTTTGACTACAGCGACATCTACCTCTCGAAAGCCCATTTTCCGATAAAGATAAACTCCCGCCGGACTGGCTTCAATATGAACAGGCAAATGTACTTCATCCGCGAGCTTCACTCCCCATTCCATAAGTGCCTTCCCTACTCCCATTCGTTGAAAGTCCTGATGAACACATAACAAATTGAGCAAAATGTACGGTCTCCCGCCCCATAATCTCCATCTCAAATTCGCATTCATGGAGAGGAAATTGGTGGCGATTTCCTTTTTACGTCCCTCACACCAAGTCACCTCGGGGAGTTTTGTCCATTCGCTTGAGGGACGTTGGTGGGGATAGACATTCCATAATGCGAAACCTAGGATGGTGTTGTTGGTTTTACTGTCTAGGCAGACTTTCCATTGTGCTGTGGGATCTGTTTCTCAGTATGTTTCTGTGCGTTCACGGGCTTGTTGATGGATTGCTGGGCTGGGTTTGATCGCCTGGGAAGAGAGATTCTTGATAGGGGTCGTTTTGGAAGGCGGAAAATTGGATTTCTACTATGTGGGGGATGTGGGAGGATTCTGCTGTGAGGATTTGGAAGGGAGAGGTCATTGTTTAGATGATGTTTATTGTGATTTGTGAGAAGAGGGGATGGTTATTGTATGGAAGAAGTGTGTAGGGATGGGCTGTTTATTACACCGGTGTATTACACAGCTTGTGTATACGGTGTACACAGGGTCTGTGAAATAAGGTGCCTGTGTACACCGAGCGGCCTTCCTAATTAGGCAGGCCGTCGTAATATACCGCTGTATTTGCCGCACGCTAGGGGTGTTATTTCTTTGTCCGTTTTACTAGCGGAGAGGACGGGTAGTATAGATAAGGACCTAGAGAGCCTTTTCGGACAAGTTAGTATAGCATTAAGAGTAGCAAAGGCAGTAAGGGTAGATATATCGTCGTATACTACTCCTTTTATAGAGATTCACGTACCGCTATACTATTCTTAGTTAGCGCGACCGTTATGTACACACCTATGTACATAGTATACATACGGTATACATAAGGCCGAAAGTTAAATACACCGTGTACGCCCATCCCTAGAAGTGTGGAACGGTGCAGGGATGTCCTGGTCGGTGTCCCGAGATGGTTAGAGTGGTGGCTAGGGTTAGGTGCTTCCTGTGACTCCACCCCTTCGTCTCTGTTCATGTCATCAACTACACGGTCACGTTCATCATCCGGACTCGCAAGATATTGTTATTAGCATGTTATTGGCAAAGCACACTTCGAAAGGAATCTCCGCTCATTTGACTCGATTGAAGCATGAAATGTCCTGCAACTGCTTGCTTACTAAAGTTTCTGTCGAGATAACCACACCAACCTAGCCTGACATGCAGCCTAGTAAGCAGCACCAGCAGCGATCAAAAGTGGCGAGAACACAGCGCAAGGTGCATCGCTCGAGATAAGATATCTAGTCTCCTCACCACTTGGAGCATTCTTCCCACCCAAGACACCCAGCTCCTTGCCCAACGCACTTCCAAGCTTAGGCCACGGAATTCCAGTATTTGGGCTCTTCGCAAAATCAGACCATACGCCTTGCATGTATGTACTCAAAGCGATTTGGTCTTGGGTGGCGGAACCGAATTCATTCTTCAGAGGATAAGTTCCAAAGACGGATGGGATTTCGCTGGTATGGTATGCGCCTGCATTGGGGAATAAATGTAGGTTGGGAAAGTCTCCTGCGTAGCTGTAGCGCCAGATGGAACGTCCTGATATCTGGATGGCGCTTGAGAGGGTTTGAGTTGAGCAGGTGAAGAGGAGATCAGTTAGGACTTGGCTGGCCAGCGCTTTGCCGCTTCCTATAAGTTTTGGATATCTATAAGGAGTGAAGGATGGTCAGCGTGCGTTCCAGATAGCGCGGGCTGGGAGGGAGAGTATGCTCGYGATATCTTGCCATCTGACTTACAAGGCGTTCACAGTCGAGTCGGGCATCCCGAAATCGAAGCCATACTTGGCAAGAGACTGGTTGAGAGGAGTGTTGTCATCGATGCCGAGAAGGTCCACAAAGACGGTAGCCTCGTTGGCGTTCGTTCCAATAAGGATGGGCACGTTTGCGAAGCTTCCTGAGAGGAGGCTGGTAATGGCAAATTTGCCGACTGAAGTGCCATCGCCGACCTAAAAGAAGAAAGTACAACAATCAGCAACGTCGCAGACATAGAAGGGCTGGAAATCTCAAACGACTTTCTTCGTGACTACCAGGACATCACGAGGATCAGGCACGCTTGTTCACATACCACTTCCTGGAATCCAAGGCCTTGGGCAGTAATATACGATTGGATGTCTGTTGCAGAGACTTTGCGAAGGCAGGCCAAAGTGGAGGAAGCACTACCACAGCCAAAGTGGTTCGCTACGTTCGCATAGCTGGCTGGACCATAACCAGTCGGAGCCTGGTTCTGCGACTGCATGATAGCTCCGTGGAAAGGCAGGGGGCTTGGTGGGTTTGCCAGAAGTTGTTTGATGTCGTGGCCTCCAGCACTTTCTCCAAAGAGAGTGACTCGAGTTGGATCGCCGCCTGAAAAGTGTCAGCAAGTGGAATGACATGACATATGAGAAGACACGGCTCACCGAACTCCTTGATATTGTCTTGCACCCACTGTAGTGCCAGACGTTGGTCCAGGTATGCGCTATTCTGCTTCCCAAAGGGGATCTCAGGTGAGTTGGAGAACCCAAACACTACAACTATCAGTCATCATCCAGCCATCATGCACGATGTACTGAGACTTACTGTTGGTTCTATAATTGAYGACAACCACCACGACATCCTCGTTGGCTGCCAAAGAGCTACCATCATAGTATTGCAACGAAGCCGTGCCGAATGCATTGTTCCCACCAAAAAGCCAGAACAAGACCGCTTTATTGTCGGATGGACTCGCCTTCTGAGGAGCGAAAACGTTGAGGTACAAGCAATCTTCACTCTCGGCCGGAACTGGATAGCCCGGGTTGTTGAAGTATGCCTTTTCTTTCTCTCCAGCTGCACCACTCACTGGGGTGGGGGAAAGTCAATACTGATCCAGTCACGCCATATGGGGAAGAAGATGATGTTTACATACCAAACTGCTGCAGACAAGCCGGTGGGAGACTCTGAGCTTGAAGAGGTGAAGTCCAGGATGTTGGAGGCTCAGGAGGTGCGAATCGAAGGTCACCGGTTGGGGGTTTCGCGTAGGGAATTCCCAGGTATGATTTCGCGGGCGTCACGTTTGGCTGGTTGGGAATGGCTGTTGCGGTACCTATAATGACACCATTGCTGATTGTTACCGTAGGATTATTGGCGACGACTTGTCTTTCCTCCACTGGAGCGGCGGCGCTGACTGCTGACAGTAGGCTGATGAAGAGAGCGAGACGAGGAAAATGCATTTCAACAGGTTAGGTTGTACGACCACAATTCCCATATTATTGGCGTCGAGTTCCTATCTATATYATATATAGATACATCGACACGCTTTTTCGAGACTAGGTAATAGCGCCAGCCAACAAGGTGCAGCGTCCGGATGTCCGAAAACGAACTCCCCGCCTGACTCTAGGCCCTTGTTATTGTGTGTGTGTACGAGGCCGCCAACTACAGTCAGTGGAGAATTCCGCCCTACGCCACCAGAGTTCACACTAAGGATCTTATAGGCAGGTCCAAAGTCCCAAAAAAAAAATTGTAGATCAGGCCTTGATTTGGTCTTTGCGGCTGGACATTTGAATGGACCAACACTAATAACACATGATGGACGGTTACACCAACCGCCACCATTTTTCTGCTAGTGTGTGTAAGGTCGTCCGCCAAGACGTGGTGGCATTCATGGGAATTCCTCATGCGGTACTTGCATTTCCTTTCCTTCCTTCAGTTGCCGCCGCCCGTCGCCGCAACGTCGCCGCCATTGTCACCCAATATCCTAGCCTTACTGTATCCCCGCTCATGCATCCTCCACGACTTTTTGGAAAAGATTAACATGTCCATCTCCATTTTTTCCCCCTCAAATTCGATCCAAATACCCTCTCAATTCCCAACAAACAGCCAAGACAAAAATTCCAGCCGTCCAGACTCCAATCGCAATAACCATGACTTGCGTAGATGAAAGAGTACGACAGTGATGGGTATCTGGATGCGCGTATGACAGTCTTCCTGGACGGCAGTAGCAGGTTCGTCTCGTATATGCCGATCTTGTGTCGCCGTCGTGGTCGTGGTAGGGGGGAGGTGGGGCGCCGCATGTTCCGTATGATGGAGGACTAACCTCGAGGTATGCTCGGTTTGGATTTTCATTCGAGTCGAGGAATCGGGTGGTTTTGGTTGGTGGGCTGTAGACTGGTGGCYGAGTGGCGTGAGGAGACATGGTCGGTAAGATGCGGGTTTGGGTAGATTTTGCTGATTGTGCGTGCAAGTGGGATGGTCGAGTGGTTAGATTGTTTGATCAAGGGAGAAGATGTATGTGTTGAGGAAGTTGTAAATGTGGGTTTATACCAAGCCAACGATTTGCAAAAAGTGAATGTTATACCATGGTTTGACATGTGAAATCCTCGACTTGAAAGAAAGTTACTGATAAAGGTTCCAGACATCTTCTTCCGCGCGCGTCCGCTGTACACGTTGCAATAACATCCCGTCCCAAGTGAGCGACTCAATGAATGTGGAGTCCATACCCAAAGGGACAAATAGGCTCCACGTTTGAGCAATCATCCCCTCGTCCACCGCACTGAGCCCTTTGGCACTCCCAAATTCCCTCAGTAGTGTCGTTGGAATCTTCTCCTTCCACTTTGCAAGCCGCGATCCTACCGGTCTGGATTTGGAAAAAGTCAGCAGCCATCAATCAGGGCCAGAAGTTACTCACTGGATATGACCATGCGTTCCACTCATCTGGCCCGCAAAGACCAGCCGTAACACATGTCATCACCTCGGAATCGCAGGAGAGAGTCGAGTCATGCATCTCGCACTGTTGCGTCTTGTTAAGGTCCAGATTGCATCGCAATACGTCTACCACGGATATGAGAACCAAGATGGACAGTCCAAGACCTAAGATGGTTGCTATGATAATGCGGATGCACCTCCGGTCCTTCATCAAACTTGCCACTCGACGCTACCTGGGGAATAATGGCTGTTTTTTGACAGGAACTGGATCAATGAGTGGGACCTGTTGAAAGCCGCCGTATGCCGGGAGGGAATCTCTGGTTTGGTGTGATGAAAAGCTTGATGTTGGGTTGGTCTGTGAGAATGGTTAGTTTGGATGGGAAAGTAGAAGGTGCTGGATTTGGAACCCGGTAGGATGGCGGTGGCTTTGATGCGATGGAAGGTCGAGCCTCCCTGGACATGTCTGGCAGAGGCACATTCAATGCCAATGGTATTGTTGATGAAGGTCTCCAGAACGGATACATGTTGTATATCTGCTATTGACGAAGGGTATGATTGTGGGTTTCGATGATGCGAGAAGTATATGCCAGAGACAAGGCTGGTTCGAATTGTTTCGATACGCGGTTGGTTGTTGTTGATGTACAGACTTCGAATAAAGGAAGAAACTCCTCTATACAGGACACAGGAGCTTTGCACCACACCTTCCCTCCTCTACACCATACTTCTTGCCAAGATTATCCGCGCCAAGATATAGGTAAGGGAAGGTATGGTCGTAGTAGAAGTCTACCAGGTTAGGAACCAAGCGGAACCATTCAAGCTCAACAAATGACTTCCAATATCCATCAATGAGAACTTGAGCTTATCCTCTTACCGCAAGGTATACGTGGTTCGATAGGAGATACGCGGCACACGACGGCTGCCATCATTTTTATTTACCTCTCCACAGTCCTCTTCCTCTCAACTCCTCTCACAAAATTCATTCCATCCCATCCGATCAGAAAAATTCCACCACCAGATCAGAAATATTCCACCCGATCAAGAAGAAATTCCACAAGAAGACAATACTGCTCACCCCCTCAAAATGAGCATCACAAAGCCCTCCCCAACACAACAACCCCGTGACACCCTCCCCTCCTCCTCCCGCGCCTCCGCCTCCTCACAGCAAACAGACATGGAACTCCCCAGCTACACCACCACCACCACCTCGCAAGCCCACCCACCTCCCCCTTCATACGACAACAATCCCAGAGCACCCACAACCTCGCTCTTCCCAGGCTACCGCGTCGACAAACAAGGTCCCGAACCCGCCGAACTGGAAGAAGGACAAGGAGGAGGTGGAGGACGCGACAGAGCTCCCCACGCAGCTTTCGAACCCGCTAGAGTCGCTGCTAGAGCTGCTCGGGCTCAAGTCGCCGCTGCTACTGCTAGAGCTAGTGCTGCTGCTGCTGCTGCTGCTGCTGCTGGCAATGCCCAGGGCTCCGGTCTCGTTGCTGCTGCTAGAGATCAACGACCGCCGCTTACTGCTGCGGAACTTAGGCGCGCTCGGTGGAATCTGACGTATATCATCATGTCTGTTGTGATGCTTATTATCATGATTTCTTTGACCGTTATGGCGTCTCGGTGGGGGACGGGAGATGTTGTTGATGGGAGTGATGGTAATAATGGTGTGTATGAGAATACGAGTTCTGCGGAGAAGACGAATGAGGAGATTACGGGGTTTACACAGATTATGAATGGGGGGTGGTGGTGGTGTGTATGAGAGTACGAGTTCTGTGGAGAAGACGATTGGGGAGATTACGAGTTCTGTGGAGAAGACGATTGGGGAGAGTATGAATTCTGTGGAGATGACGAATGGGGAGATTACGGGGTTTACACAGATTATGAATAGGCCTGGTTAGAAATCCTTGGAGTGAAGGGGATGGAGGGATGATTTGGGGGATATGATGTGGGACTTTGCTTTCGAGTACGTGCGAAGAATAAGAGGACTTGAGAGGGAAATACTTAGTTCTACTGTCATCGCGGACTGGGGAGAGATATCACCATCATAGTGTCACTAACTCCATCCTTCAGATAGCATACCATTCCAGCAACACACCTTCATATTCCATTCGTAGTAGTAGGCGTCCCAATACAATTCATCCAGCGCAAGTCCCCTCTTCTTGCAAGAACCTCAACTCCGTTCTCAATCAAGCAGGCGCTCGAGCAATCCGACTCCTAGATTGAAATTTTGTATATCGCGGAGTTGAGGATTGTATTGGTATAGATCGATTCTCTTGCCACGTTGATGTTGAATGGACTGGAATATAGATGAAGATGCTTTTCCAACCGCAAGTAACCTTCTTCCGAGTTTGCCGGTGGTTTATTCATGAAATTCTGACAAGATTTCCAGACTTTGAGGTGAGCGCTATCCGATCCCGCCTTCGAAGGTAGCTCTATCCCATAACTGGCCATTATCGGTATCAAGTCCCTTTTGGGCAATGTCTCCCCATTTTGGAGATCTTTCTGGTTGTTTGGCAGACGGCTACTGATAGATTTGAGAGAGAAGCTGGGTTTGACACCCTCGAATTTCGCCATGATCCTTCTCTCTCTTTCTCGTGAGAGGGCACGCGGAACGGAAGACGAGAGGAACGCTCGAATCTTCCCTCTCGCCAGGGAAAGATTCTCAACTTCCCACCTTCTGATTCCACAGATGAGATAAGTGAATCTCAATTCGAACGTGGTGGTTTGTAATCAGCAAAACTCCTCCTATGCCATCCCATCCCACCCCAAATCTCACCTAAACTCCCGAAAAACCTCCTCCCCAATAACCTTCCCCCTCGAATCAAAAACCACCCCTTCCCCCCTCAACAACTCATACTTCTCTTTAGCAAATTCCCCCAATTCACCCCAACTCCCCCCAAACCCTCCAATCCTGCCATCCCCCGCGAGAATTCTATGACAGGGGACTTGTGGTGCAAAAGGATTATTTCGAAGGGCTGAACCTACTGCTCGGGCGCATGTGGGTGACGTCTGGGAGAGGTGGGAGGAGAGGGCGCCGTAGGTGCTATATCTCCCTCGGGGGATTTGGCAGAGGAGGGAGAGGACTTTTTTGCGGAAGGGGGGGGGAGGGGGGAGGAGTTTATGAGGGGGAGTTGTTGGAGAGAGTCTTGTTGTTTTTCTTGTTCTTGTTCTTGTTCTTCTCCTCCTCCTTCTTCTTCTTCTTCTTCTTCTTCTTCTTCTTCTTCTTCTTCTTTGGGATCTTTGGGTTCTTTAGATTCTTTGGTGGCGAGGTTGGGATTCGAATTCGGGGCTGGGTTAGGAGGGCAAGGTTGGAAGTATTTCGACACCGTCTCATTTCCCACTTTTACTTTCTTGACCATGTTCCTCTTCCTCTCCGCAGGTTCAAAGTCGGCACTTCTCTTCCTCGACAATTTCCCTCGCAATTCAAGGCTCTTTTCATTCAATTCCCTCAAATCGACTTGTCCAGTAGCGATTTCTTCCGCGAGTTCAATAGCATCTCTCAGCTGATTTGCACTCATATTCTTAATCGCCGGTTGCTTGAGGATTTTCGTCCAGGGTTGATCTTTGCCGATGGCATTGTCGAGGATTATGCGGGCGAAACAGTGATCTAGGTGGACGGGCCAGTTTTTTTGGACGGGATCTTTGGATTTTGCTAGGGAGGGGAGGTGGTTTTGATAGATTTGTTTCCAGCGGGTTTGTAGGGAGGTCATGTTGATGTTTGATGTTGATGTTGTTGATGGTACTTCTTCTTCTTGATGATGATGATGACGGCATGAAGGAGAGGACGAGAGGAGACTCACTGGGTTTGAGCTACGGGGCACGGACGTCGATACATGTGTATCTAGAAGATGTAGATGTTGATATTATTGCATACTGGGCATTTCCCACGCAACTCATGTATCAATACCCGCTTATGTACAGTAAGTACATCAAATTATAGAAGGACGCACGTGCAAGATGCATGTTGATGAATGGGTGGGTCCGTCCTCGGCGGAGCAAAGGAAGGGAAGGGACGGGACGGGAACCTAAGAAATGACGTGCGAGGGGTCTTTGCGTCTCTCCATCTTGGTTGGGGGCACAAAGTTTTGCCATTTCCCGTCCTGTCCAACTCATATCCCACATCCTCCAATCTACCACCTGAACAGCAACATCCAACAACAACATCATCAAGACAAGCCTAATTTCCAAAAAATGAAAGCCTACTACTACGACAACCTCCCCGGCGACCAACGTCTCCCCCACGACTCCTCCCGCCCCGTAACCCCCTCAACCCTCTCCTCCTTGGGAATAATCCACCACCACACACGCTCCCTCTCAGAAGTCGACGCCATCGCCTCATCCCGCGCCTACAAAAACCGCGACACGATTGAAATCTCCCCCGAAACCCTCCCGGACTACGAAACCAAAGTCAAGAATTTTTTCCATGAACATTTACATGAAGATGAGGAGATAAGATATATTTTAAAGGGAGGGGGATACTTTGATGTTAGGAATTTGGGGGATGAGTGGGTGAGGATTAAATTGGAAGAGGGCGATTTGATGATTATGCCTGCGGGGATTTATCATCGGTTTACTACTGATGAGGGGAATGTAAGTTGATTGATATTTTCCGTTAATGTGTGCACGGGATGATGAGGTTTGCTGATATGATTGTAGTACACGAAAGCCATGAGGTTGTTCAAAGAGGACCCGAAGTGGACTCCGTTGCAGAGGGGGGAGGAGACGGATCGGAATGAGTATCGCAAGGAGTATTTGGAGCAGACTTGCAAGGCTTGAGAGGGTTGGATATCATGAGGGAGGAGAGGGTGTTTGATTGATGGTGTGACATGGAGGATGTTTCCTTGAGGATGACATGGAGGATGTTTCCTTGAGGATTACATGGAGGGGTTTCCTTCAGGACGGGAAGACTGGAGATGGCCTCTATGACTTGRAATGCAGTACACTGCTGTGATGAAATTTGCGGTTTCGCCTGTTCTCTTACGTTTGATCCCATAAATACCTTCAACGCCACGCTAATCACGGCCAACAAATGCTCCGCCTGATATATTCACGCTTTCCCCTTGGCCTTTTCCATCATGCCAACTCCATTCCTCACCACCCCGACTAACCCACCCGTCTGCAAATTCTCACTTCCACCTCCACTCAGTCGATACTCTATATCCGCCAATCCCTCCAACCATGCCACCCTCGTCTGTGCGGGTACTTCCAACTCACTCAACTGCTCTCCCAAAGCGGTCAAGATGTCAGCCAAGGCCAATCCTTTGGTTCTCTTCAATGTCGTGATGGTGGCCAAACAACTCCCCACATTGCTGGTCGTCAACAACGTCTGCACAATCGTGGCAATGTCTCCGGGATGTGGCGCGGCGATGCAGTCGTAGATGGTCTCATTGGTGATGAGATCCCGCACGATTTGATCTGTAGGGGGTGCCTTTTCCCCGGGGATGGTGAGGGGTGTGGATGAAGCATGACACGCTTGCAAGACATTCAACGCGCGTCGCATGTCTCCCTTTGCCAGCCTCACCAGACTTTCAACCGCATCGGGAGCGATGTTGACCGTCTCCTCGGCGATGACTTTATCCACCAAGACTCGAATATCCTTCTCTTTGAGAGGGGAGAAGCGAAAGCGGGTGCATCTTGATAGCAGAGCGGGACTGAGCTTGTGGGTGTAATTGGCAATGATGCAGAAGCGGGTGTTGGCCGTGTACTTTTCCATGATGCGTCGCAAGGCCATTTGTGCGGTGCTCGTCATGGCGTCCGCTTCATCGAGGATGATGAGTTTGTAGTTGGCGATGGTGGACTGTTGCGCGGATTTGTCGAAACTTCCGGCGAAGATTTGCTTGGTGGAGGAAAAAGTCTTGATCTGTTCCCGCACGACATCAATCCCGCGATCATCCGAGGCGTTCAATTCCAACACCATCTGACGCATGTTTTTGTTGCCATAGATTCGACGGGCGAGGGCCAATACGGTCGATGTTTTGCCCGTTCCCGGAGGCCCGTAAAGGAGGAGATGGGGCAGGCGATTGGAGTCGACGAATTTGTTGATGGTCGAGAGGATGTCTTGATGTCCGCTGACATCGGCGAGGGAGTTGGGTCGATACTTTTCCACCCACGGCAGCGTGTCTTCGGCTTCGATGGGTAGGTTGGCCGCACTTCGTTTGCCTTTGTTGTCGGTGTTGGAGGAGAAGGTGATGTCGTTGGAGGGCTTGGGGGGGATGGGGGCATCCACATCCATTTCATCTTCGTAGTCCGACATGGTGGGATGATGTGTGGTGGTGATKGTGGGGAGGATTGCGATGGAATACCTTTCTTGGAGGTATTGATGCAAGACGCGACTGGAACGCGTAAAGTGGATCTTCACTATCTTCCCACCCCACCCAAAGAGGAATGGCGTGTCCTGCAATGCCTCCAAGGGTTGATTACCTACTACTTATCAGTGTGAGGTGGGTTATCTTTCCAACCTCACTTCTTCTTCCTGCTACATATCATCGTCTTGATGTTGTCTTATTGCTCCTGCATGCTCTGCCTGTTGTTGCCAACTATTAAACATGTCCATGTTTATCTGAACCGCCGATGGAGCACGATGGGTTTCCCGATTGGCCCACCACGGCCATTACGTACAAGTTTCCGAGACACTTCCGCAATTTCTGGGGCCACGAGCCTCCAACGAACGCATCGACGTCACCGCGTGACCCGCCTTAAGTTAAGAATCATCGACGCGAGCTCAAGGTACCCACGACAGTGCACCTTTCTTTGATGCCACGGACCTTTTGGGAAGAACCGCCAAAGAGGCCCTTGAGATGGAATTTGACGGTGGATGCATGGCACAATTTACACACTTCATACTATTCCTTCAAGACGCACCGCAAAATGTAGGTTTGAAGATGGGTGCGGAGCGCGCTGGTCCGAGGAAAAGCAGCAGCAGCAATTCGACGCTCCGATGCAGTGTGCACGTCACCCGCCGCTCATCTCTCGAGTCTCTCCCTCTTTCGCGAGTCTCCTCTTTCCCTCTCTCGCGCGCGACGCTTGTGGATGGCTGCAGCGCTGCAGAGTCTTTGGTCCAAACGCTCTGGCGTGAAAGATCTCCGCTCCACCGCTCCACTGCCGCATTTTCCGTCTTCCCTGTATTATATGCATGCTGATGATTCCCGTCCATTCTTTTCGTCGGAACAACGTCACCGTCTATGTTTATTTTTCCCGTCACTTTTCCACTTTGCTTGAATCCCTGAGGCATCTACAGTAGATACTGCAGCCTTCATTCTAGCAGATACTCGCCTGACGACTTTCACCTCTATAACGACACATTTCTCCAACCCCGCTATACGACAACACAATCAACTCCACCCAACGACAGCACGATCAACACCGCCATACGACACCACAATCCACACCGCCCAAAATGGGCCGCATAACCTCCTCCCTCCGCCAACACCTCACCAACTGGAACATTGACACATTTCTCAACCCCTACATCCCTCCGAATCCCCTCTCCCACCTCCCCACACCCATCTCCCATTTCCTCGGCTACCGCTCGCACCCACCGAAAGAAGCACCCTCCATCATCCAATGGCCCGTGACCTTCCTCGCCACCGTCGCCGCCCTCTGTCTCGTGTCCGGAATTGGAAACTACGGCCCGGAGATTCTCAAATACCACCCACCAGTCATCATCGCATCCCTGGGAGCCAGCGCCATTCTCGATTTCGGCGCCATCGCCTCCCCATTAGCACAACCCCGCAATTCCATTATCGGAAATACTCTCGCGGCTTTGTGTGGTGTTGCGATTGCCAAACTCTTCCAACTCAGTCCGCAATTTGAAGGTATTATGTGGGTTAGTGGTGCGGTGGGATGTGCCGTCGCGGGATTGGTGATGAGTGTTACGGGAACGGTGCATCCTCCGGGTGGCGCGACGGCTGTGTTGGCGAGTACGGAGATGCATGTGCTTGCTATGGGATGGCCGTATGTGGGGATTGTGTTGATGGATAGTACGTTGATGGTGTGTGTTGCGTTGCTGTTCAATAATGTCTTTCGGAGGTATCCCTTGTATTGGTGGACTCCGGGGAGTGTGGGCGGGAAATTAAGGGAGGAACGKGCTGAGAAGGCTGAGATGGAAGTTGAAGAGATGGAGAAGAAGAATGAGAATGGTGGGGATGAGGAAAAGGGTAAAGTGGGCAGTGATACTAGTTCGGATAGGACGTTGAAGAGGGAACTTTCCCATCGCGTGGAGGTTGTGGAGGGGTTGGAGGGTATTCTTGTCAAGTCTCATTCGATTCAGGTCCCGAAGCATGCGAGGTTGAGTGAGGAGGAGGTGGCCGTGTTGAGTCGCATTCAGGAGCGGTTGAGGGTTCGGATGGAGTGATTGAGTGAGGGAGCAAAGGAGGGTTGGAAAAGGTGTGGACGAGAATCACAGAGATCGATGAGAAGGCCCCATGGAGAGGTTTCTTCGACGGAGGAGTACAGAGACCGAGAGTGATTTTCTTGTGCAAAGCGGTCTATTTTTTGTTCTTTATTGCGAACAAACAGGTATCGTTCGCATATGGAGATTTGTGAGGCGAGTATACCCAGATATGATTGATGATTTTTCTGATGCTTGTGGTTTCTACTTTTCTGTTCTTTTGTGTGTGTGTGTGTGTGTGTGTGTGAGAGAGAGAGAGAGTACTGCTGTTATTATTGATATCCTTGGTGTGAGATGGAGGAGATGGAAGACCAATACGTTAGGGTAGGTGGCTTGCTTGTGAGTAGGGATGGAGTGGAGATGATGTTGAAAACGCAGAGAAGTATTCTCTTGCCAACTTCTGTTGTTGATGTTGTCGAGGTTGGATTCTTCCTACTGCTTTATTGCGTTAGTGCGTGTTTCCTATACCAAGGGCTGCTATATATTCAGATGAAGAGTTCAAAGGACACCGGACACCGTTCTACCACCTACGTCTGCTGTGCTTTTGTGGAAACTTTCTGTATGGATGGAAGAGGACGAGGTCGTTGCTGGTTCCTGTTCTGGTTTGTTGGGTATTCTGRTTCTGCCTCGACGTGTCAAAAAGTGCTTTCAGTATTCTGGTGAGTAGTAGAACGTCAGACAAAACTTGATGCAGGTGATTGTCTCTCCGATCGACCAGTGCATGCTTGATGTGTCACAAAATGGGATGCAATCCATCTCAAACCCAGTGTATATTGACCGACCGTATTGACACCTCGCGGTATTACTGAAAACGCCTCATGGTTATGCCTTGCCTCTCCTTTCTATACACCTGCAATCCAGCTATCCCTATCCTGACCGCCTACCACCCTCGCTTGGCAAGCTTGTCGCTCTCACCCATCGACCCACAGTTGATACCAACCATGGCCTCACCCAAACCAATGCTGACCTCCATCAACACCTTGGGGTCGTTGAAATGCGTCGTGGCCTGAACGATAGCCTTGGCTCTCTTCGCGGCATCTCCCGACTTGAAGATTCCACTTCCAACAAACACCCCGTCGCAACCCATCTGCATCATCAACGCCGCATCAGCAGGAGTAGCAATACCTCCAGCGGCAAAGTTGACCACAGGCAATCTCTTCAACTGCGCCGTCTGTCGCAACAACTCCAAATCACACTCCCAATCCCGTGCCATTTGACGCAGCTCGGCATCCGTGGCGGCCGAAGCCTTGGCAATCTCGGCATTGACCGTCTGCATGTGTCGCACCGCCTCGACGACATCTCCCGTCCCGGCCTCGCCCTTGGTGCGAATCATGGCGGCACCCTCGGAAATCCTCCGCAATGCCTCGCCCAAATTCCGACATCCACACACAAAGGGCGCGGCGAAGACGCTCTTGTCGACGTGGTGTGTGGGGTCGGCGGGCGTGAGCACCTCGCTCTCATCAATGTAATCCACTCCAATGGCTTGGAGGATCTGGCACTCGACGAAATGTCCAATGCGTGCCTTGGCCATGACGGGGATGGTGACGGTGCGCATGATTTCTTGAATCATTGATGGGTCCGACATGCGGGCCACGCCGCCTTGGGCGCGAATGTCGGCGGGTACACGCTCGAGGGCCATGACGGCCACGGCACCTGCTTCCTCGGCGATGCGGGCTTGCTCGGCGTTGACGACGTCCATGATCACGCCGCCCTTGAGCATTTGAGCCAGACCGGCTTTGACGGCGAAGGATTGGATGTCTGCGGGTTTGGTGGTGCCATTGGTGATGGTGACGGGTACGATGGGGGCCGACATCTTGTGAAGGTGAAGGTGGCGGTGGTGTGGTGAAAGGTTAGGTGGGGGGTAGCACGCGAGCCGGCAGTGGTGGAAGATGTGTCTGTCGGTCTTTTGGGTGAGGTGATTGAAGGTGATGTGTATGAGTTGTTGTGTTTCCAACTCTTGGTCTCGAAGGTGTTGTGAGTCAACAGAAACCGATTGATGAATCACGCACGGGTAGACACGGCGAGAAAATATCGAGTACCTGTCATTGAAATGGCGAACTTTGTTGCTCACTCCCTGGCTGGACCCTGGAAATGGGAAGGGCGCGTGCCCCGCGCTGCGATCTAGAAGCCAAATGAATGCATCGGCTAGGTTAGGGCGATCTCGGCACTAAGAGAGGTAAGGTATTCCTTTGTGGCCGATATCGGAGTTGCTGGGATAAGATATTCTCAGGAACAGGTCCTTTGTGCATGACGAAAGAGGAAGTTGGTTCCATCGAATAGGAACGTCGAGTATGTCATGAATGGCTCGAGGAATCGGGCGACTTTCTGATCGACTGGGAGCTCACCGCTTTACTTGATCAAAACTATTCACGGCAAAGACAACACTATTAAGAAGACACCACTACACAGCCGCTCTTTTTTTTTGTGCTCGTAGTTACCTACTCGTGAGCATCGTCGTCGATTCCCTCTACAGGGAGCAAGTGGCCTTTAATCTCACCAATTCTTGGTTGATCTACTATGTTTCTGCGACAAGGACTATTACAGTGTATATCACATCTCCACCGCCTGTCCTGTAAATCCTATCTACCMTATCTTATCGATAGATAGTAAGCCTTCTCGCATAGTCGAAGAAAGTATTTGTTAGTATAGCCGCTACTATCCTTAGTATCTTTCTCCCCGTCCTAAGACCTACCTAGAGTTTACATAAGAAATGCGAGTATTAGAAGAAGTAGAGGATAAGGGTGTCGTAGAGTCGAAGAGCAAGGTTATTTCTCCTCTCGTGATCTAAAGGCGTTATAAGGTAGAGGGTGGAAGCTTTCTGGATCGAGTACATTCTAGCTAAGACGAATCCCCGTCGATTTCGTACACGGTGAGCCCGTTTAAGTATAGAGGGTAGTCCTTCTCGATAATCGCGTTACTCGCGGGCTAAGATCCGGCTAGAGATTGAATGGCTCTTGGCCAAAAAATAAGCGCTATTAGTGACGAATGCGTCGTAGCTAAAGGTATCTTCTTGTTGTGGTCCTATGTCGGATAGATCACAGGTCTTGTACGCGAGATTGAAGAAACCGAGAAAGATTGCTCTCTTGTTGTTGACTCTACCTTTCCCCCCAAGTCAGCAGTCTGATCGGATCAGCGTAAAACGGAAGCGGAGTTTAGCACTCTCTGCTACAGGTCGAAAGTCTCGCAACGTAGAGTAATCGATAATTGTATTCAGGATTGTGGCAGGAGAGGAGCATATCACTTCGACTACGTCTAGAGTGTTACGAAAGATTTCCCATCAGTACTTTCAAGTCCGATTGCTGCTGTGTCGGTCGCTCCTATGTGACGGCGAGGCTATCACGAAGCCGTCAGTTTAAGAAATCATCGACAAGGAAAAATGGCGCCCTGAACTGCTCTCTCGATTGATGAAGTCTGCTAGTAGTAATAGTTCTAGCAGGCCCAGAGTCGTCGATTCTGGAGAGAGTAAGGCCTTGGGACACTATAGGTATGACTGAGGAGATCGTATGTGGATGAATAATCCTCATATTGATAGCTCTAAGCCATCGACGACAAGCTGAACGAAGATGAGCCAATCTTAGGGGAAGGAGATCTATCGTTCTCGAGCGGACGTAACGTCTGCTCGACCATCTCACGCCAGAGCAGTGCATCACGATCAGCCGGTTGGAAAGATGGTCATTGATATGCCATTCCTGGTCGGTTGCTTGTCTAGCAATCATCTAGTTGTCGCCAAACACGAGCGTACTCATGTCAGCTAAATGTATGTGGAAATGAGGTTTGTTCAAGAATCGGAGTTTTGAATTGCTCTTTTGTACGCATTTAACACGTTGAACCTGCACAAGAGACATCACTCGCCAAGGAATCGGCCACCTTTTGGACGGATAGATGTGTCGGGCTAGTTTCTATATGACACGCTCTTATATTCTGCGCTTCTACCGCGTTGAGAGAAGACAGGAAAAGGTTTAAAAAGGAGGCAAGAAACTGAACGTGAAGCAAGTAGTTCTCCCTTACCTCATCCCCTTTCCAAATCCACCTTGACACCGTGCCACGTGAGCTCAGTCCCACACCGTGGATCGATGGAGAACTGGACGCCTTTCCTACCCGCAGTCAAAACTTTCAGACTCGGCCTCAAAGTCTCAAAGTACTCCACCCATGACCGAATCCTTTCCATYCTCCTCGATCTTTGCCTCCTTAACCTTCACCTCCTCCATGCCCCACGGCAAATGTTCCTCGTCAAACTCCACACAAGTCAGGTAATCGACAATGCCTTTGAAATTGGTATTTGTCTCAACCAAAGGCGCCACCAAATCCCTCGCTGCATTCTTCAAATGGTGGAGATTATCCTCCACACATTCCTTCCAGTTCGATCTGTCGGTGTGTCTGAAATTAACCCGATTCCAATCGCGCAAGACCACATCAGGGGCTAGGTATTGGTGTTGGTCGATGCGTCTATAGAAGCCGGCGACGGTGAGACACTCTCCATCGTCGGGGTGAGTGCAAAGTGCGGTGGGCGTGGCTCGTCCATCTGTGTCATCTTCGAGAGCCGCGAGATGGTTGACGACCCAGTCCCGCCAAATGTTGACCACGATCCAGGTGGTGGAATTGAGTGTTGCGCTGGCTGGAAGGAGAGAGCTCGAAGGGTCGCCTGGATTCTCGGAGCAAGCGATGGTGAGTAGCATCAGCTTGAAATCGATTTGGCGGCGTTTGTCTGTCAGTTGAGAAGATTTGATTTCGACGGATTCAAGGAGGTCGGTTGAAAACGAGCTCTGCGACACACTCCACGGCCATGCTGGATAACAACCCGCAATGTGGATGTATGCTTCCTTGAAGATCATTCCGTTCTCCAGTTGGATGGCCAGTAAAAGCCACCGAGCGGCATCCGCAGAAATAGCTTCCCACAGCGTCTCTTTGAGCTGGTAGTGCAGGAAGACCATTAATCTTGTCGGTAATAGGAGAATGGGGTCCGACGGCATTGTAGTAGTTTGAAATCTGAGCGACAGTCTCGAGACTAGGCATAGTCGAGTTGACGTCGTTGATATTGTGAGATTTGGGACTGAAGCGGGCAAGTAGGCAGAAGAAGTCTTCGTAGCCGCTTTGCCAATCAGTGAAATTTTGGAGAGGCTCTCCACGTGGCACCTGTGATGTGTGTCCAGACGTCTAGTCTCCTGACGCTGATCTTCCCGCAGACTCCATATCATCTGAGGCGGTAGGAAGTGTGAAGATCATGTCTCTGCAGTCCTCCATCGTCGTGGAGAGACGGATGCGCTCTAATTTAGGCATCTCTCCATTGATCGGCTTCAGTAGGAAGTACAAGTGACGCACTCCCCGAACCTCAAGTGAACCATCATCTGTAGCAGTCAATCTCGCCTCGGCGATTGGCATAGCCGCATAGAGATCAGTGAAGTTGATACGACAGTTCCTGCCCAGATTCACGCCGTCCAGGACGACAAGAGTATTGCCTTCGTCCTGACGTCCCCTGTTCGTAGGTGCAGGCATGGTGGCGTATGCATCAAGAGCTTCGTCGATAAGAGTGCACGGCTTCGCTTCGTCCTGGAGGGACTGAGAAGCCTGTTCAGTAGGCTTATGAGCCACTTGATCCTTGCGGAAGTTCCTCAGTGCCTTTGACAAGGATCCTCCGGCAATGAGATACTGCAGAGCCACTTCTTTTGATTTGGTGTGTGTGAATGATAAGAAATCATCGACATCTTCTTCATCGTACGGAGTTGCGGGAGGTATCATGCTTGACATTTCCTCTTGCTCGATGGCTGGTGTGCTTTGTGGAGGTGGGATGTTCTGTTGATGTTTCGAAGCATCCACTTCACTTGGAAGAGCTTCTCCATTTACAGCAGCGTTTTCTCTATTCTCTGCTGGGAGCATTTGTTCGAGAGAAGCCTCCTGTTGAACTTCCATAATAATCGGAGGGGCAGGCAGAGTAGTTTGCTGGACTCCTTCAGCGGTCGCTTGAGCAGGTGATCTCTCTTCTCGAGTTTCTACAGGAGTTGCCATGGCAGGAACTTCTTCTTGGTGAGCTTCAGACGCTTCTGCTGGGGCAGAACTCGCCTCCTCTAGACTCATGGTCGATGTGGAAGTTCCGATGACAGCTGCACCCTGTGGATCGATATCATCCTCTGCGGATCTGATAGTGGCGGTATGTGAACCATGCTGCACGGCACGGTCCCCAATAGGATCGGTGGCAGATAGCCCTTTTGTCGTCTCTGATGCTTGTAGAGGGGGTGAGGTTGAGAGAATCTTCACGGGCTCGCCATCCCTTCGCTGCTCACTTGGTTGTGACTCTGTGACCATGGGCTCAACTTGGTCAGTCGTAGCCTTCGATTTTGGAGAATGCGTCGGTTCAAACTCGTCTTCTTGTGTGAGACGGGAGGTTGCCTTTTGGGCCACTGTCTCTGCATCAAACTCATCGAGATCTGGCCCGCTCCTCACAATCACATCGCCATCCCCTGCTCGTCTGATCTGCACGCCTTGCGTTTCGAGCTCGGCGAGCACATGACCTGCTGCTCGCTTGGCAGCGAAGACCGTTATTTTAGCTTTCAAATCTCGCGTCGACATGTCTCCAATCTGCTCAATCCCATAGCTCCCGCGGGCAGCGAGTTCCAAGTTGTGTCTAAACTTGGTGCTGTGTGTATCTACTAGCAGCTGCCAGAGAGCGCTGGAGTTGGGTATGCTCAACCAGCCAAACTTGATCATGTTCGAATCGTAGACGTCACAGGAACGTGCTCCTATGCAATGGTATAAGCTCACAGGGAGCCAGTTTCCAATTTCGTCCCGCGGGGCTGCGGGCACCCTAAATGCGAATATGTTCGACATGAAGTAGCCCAGCTCCTCGACCTCATCCCCATCCTCATGCTCGACCATTTCTTCGCCCTGAGCGGTGCTAGTAGTATCCACTTTCCGGGTAGCTGGAAAAGTTGGAACATCAAGAGGTCGCTCTGAATGCGTCACCGTGCCGGCAGGTGCCGGAAGCGAATTTCGTGGTTCGTGTTTGATGGTCGCATCCTCTTCTTCATCCTCTGGAGCTGCCGTCACAGCATCGCCTTCCTGCTCCTCAGAAGGTCCATCGCGTGGTGGGGGTGAGCCTAGAGATTTTGCTGATGATAAGGAAGAACAATGGCTTTCAGCGTCGCTCTCCACGTCCATAGTCTCGGCCTGCTTCACCGCAGCTTGTCTCCTCGCGATTTCCTGTTCTGCTTTCCTGTGCTTCCTCGGTGGTTTTCCTCCAGTACTGCGCCGTGCCGTCTGCTTGGTTCTCGCCATTGCGAGCGTGATGCGATGAGGTAAAGTCAAGTTGAAAGTTGGACGCAGAGTTGTTGATGTTGATGCAGAGGGATGTTGATGAGTCAAAAAGGTGACGTCGCCGTCAGGAAGAGAAACGTGCCGTGAAGTGGGTCCAAGCTCATGAATGATTGGGTGCAAAAGTGAAGTGAGATGTCGCCGCCGAACATCCAAATCAATGGCTGATGTTTCCGCAGGAGCGCTGAGGAGCAAATTGCCGTGTGCATGCGTGGTCGAAGAGTTGATGATGTTGGCGAAGAGTAGAAGTTCTGAGAGTGGTTGCTGGCAGAGGAAGAGATTTTGAGCGGGTGAGGAAGCGCTGGCTTCTGAAAGTCAATGAAGAGAATAGTGAAGAAAAGAGAGCTATCGCTGCGAGAGTGAATGAGAGAAGCACATGGTCAGATTCTCACCACATCTCATACCCATTATGGGTCTTTTTTACAATACCCGCTGCRTTCTTCAAGAAAGCTGCTGAAGTATACTTCCCTGTCCTTCCAGTATCCTGTCTTCCCATTGACGAAGGAACATATCTCCTTTCCCATGGAAACATACCTATGCCCGTCTCCATGTCTCCTCCAGACGCAGAGCCATAGCTGCGAGATGCGACGATGTCGAGAAGAGATTGATTGTCCGTCCCTCCTATCTCTTGTGCACCCACTCATGCGACTCTCTCATGCCCCTGGGAAACCCACCCATCTCTATCCCTCCCCTCAACACCTGACGTGAGTCGTCAAGTATCAGCCATTCAGCCCCATCACCATGTTCGACGAGTCGAGTTTGAGTCAGCGCAGACCAGGAATCAGTCGACGGGGAGAGCTTCTACGACCATCCCGCATCCACGGACGGCCACTCCGACTCTTTAACTTTGACCGCTTGCAGCGCTAGCTACTTTGAGAAGTCGTAGTGGTTGCTTTCGGGCAGGACTCAGACGCATGTAAACCACGTTTCTCGTCACAAGCTTCCATATTGGTACGCGACTGGGCACTCGGGAGCAGCTCCGCTTGGACACAGGGGTGGTGCTGCTGAGTGGTGAAGTCTGGAACGCAGGTTTCTCCGCACCCGACACTAACTGTTACTGTGGTGGAACGTGGATGGCTCTAAATGGAGGGTCGAGAGCTCGGATGGTATCCGATCCAGGAGCGACATCCTGGKAGAACCGATGAGGCGTTCAATTATTGTTCGGGTCCGACTCGTTTACATCCAGATCGTTCAGTGTCTGCCACGTGCGAGATTCTAGATTCGATGCCAAGYGCGCCACTGAGCGCGCTAACTACTTTGGGATGCCGCATGGAAGGTCTTTGGAGATTATACAAAAGGGAAGAAACACTTCTGAAGTTCTTGGGTGTCGTTGTTGGGTTTGTGGATTGTACGGTGTTTCTTTGCACATCATAGACTCGGTTCGAAATCGTTACAATGAAGACCTTTGCTGTTCTCGCAGGATTGGCTCAAGCATGGACATTGGTTGAAGCAACTAGCTGTCGAGCTGTGAGCATATTTTTTGATGAGAATTGTTGTGTCGATTGATACTGATTACTTCCTATAGTCGAGCTGTAACACAGGCATCGCAAAGGCTGTCAAATGTGACACCAACAAACCCGGCCAATGTGCAAATGCAATTGGTTGCCAGTACTTTTACAGCACTACGGTCTACAAGGGATGTTCCACGACGACAATCACAGTATACAATCCTCCAAAGACGGTCACGACCACTCGAGCAGCTCAAAAGACTGTGACCACAACGAAGAACCAACCACCTATCGACCAGACGACTGTCAACACGATCCGCTCGACCGACACCATCTTGAMAGAGACCAGTTCGGATACCACTGTAATCGCGACGGATTTCGAAACAGTTACCACGACGTAAGATATACATCTGCCGAAACAATCATCATACAAATTCTGACAGACAATGTTCTTCTTTACAGTGTGGCCACAGAGACATCATTCGACACTCAAATCACAGCAACAATCACAATCGCAGTAACCGACACAACCAGCACCACGACAACAGATTTCAGAACCACCAGTGTCGCCCCTCAAGTCGGTCCAGCATACCCCGGAAACCGCAGACGTTCCACTCCAGAAGGCACCCTCATCACCTCCCCAGCAGGAAAATCCTTCCTCGTTCCTCTGGGAGAGGATGTCTCCAAATATGAAGCCTCCCCTGAAGAATCCCTCCCCGAAACCTCCTCAAAATCTCGAAGAGGACTCGACAGCTACGCAATCCACTACMCACAAGGCTACCAACCCGCCGCCGTGAAATCCTGCCTCAATCCTCGCTCCTACTCAGCAGCATGTAATTGTTTCGGCGCACACGCCAAAACCATAACGAAACCCTCACAAATCAAAACCGTCAAAGTCACAAAGACTAAACCCGCAGTAACGCTGACTGTACCTCGAACGAATACCGTGACGGTGACGACTACGAAGCCTCAGATTACGAATCGCGTGACGCAGACGACGACCGTGGTGGAGTTCGCTACTGCGAGCGTTACGGAGACGGAATCCATCACGAGCACTGTTACTGAGACGGAGGCCACGACTGCGGAAGAGACGGTGACGGTTCCTACGGATACTGCTACGACTACTACTAACACCGTTACTCGGACTGTATGTTGCATCCAATTCCTCCCTTTCCATATCGAAAGACACACACGCTGACCCCTTGCTTTTTGTTCTTCTAGAATACCGAAACGGCCATAGCAACAGCAACAGCCAACCCCTTCAACCCTGGTGGGTCCTGTGGTTGCCGACAACCCTTTATTCGCGGCATTCGAATCAACGTGCAAGGCGTCTTCTACAAAACAGGCGTCTTTGCCAGCTTTGTCGAATGTGGGAAATTTTGTGATGATTCCTTCAGTTGTGCGGGGTTGGACTATAACATTGGGACGGGAGATTGTAGGTTGTCGAATCGGGCCAACCCGGCGACGATTGAGGATGCGGATTATTATTATGGCCCGCAGGCTGTTTCGCCGCCTGGGAGTAACACTTGTTCGGGAGTTTGTACTCTTGCTTGATGATGGGAGGGAGAGGGGGAGTTGAGGACCTTTCCTTTCAATGAATGCATTGTTGCATCTAATACCACACGAGTTCCTTTCGCTGACGATACCGTTATGAGGGTAGATGTCCCATGTTCATCTCGCTGACGATGATGCTTGTCTAGGAGTGGAGGCCGCATGTTCCTCTCGCTACTGATGATACCGGCCCAAGTGTAGAGGCCACATGGTCCATCTGTCCCGTTGGTATCACTCACCCCAATCCATCAACACGAAGCGATGAATGATGAGAGTGAACCCCCGACAATCTTCCGCCGCGGCCGAAAATTCGGTCTTATGTTCGTGTGCTGTGTAGCAGGCTACTTCTTCCATGGAAACTCCGGTGTATCAGTCAAACGAAGCTCGCGGCGAGTCGAATTGGATGGAGATTCCGCTGTGCTGAGAGAGATGGCTGAACGAGGCAGTGCTGCTGATGCACCTTTAGAGGCATCAGCGAGCGGCGTGCAGACGGAGTGAGGCCGCCCGAAGTCCATCCAACGATTGCATATGGAGTGTTGGCTGTTACCATAACCGCAACTCCACCCGGCGGATGCCGTTTAGAAAGCCGACAAATGCCGGTCAGGTGCGAGACACATCTGGAGTCCCCTCTACCATACATAACTCGGGATATCATATTCGTGATGAGTCTTTTCCGTGGCCTCAAAATCGAATTTCATAACTCCCCGCTCTGGTCATGTACCTCACCCACTTGACGCTCTGATAGCCACCCTTCTCAAACACCTTCAAATACCTCACCAACAAGCCACTTGATGTAAACATCAACAAACCGAATTGCATGGCAATAGGCGGTCTGGACCAGGCTTTGTAGGTCGTCATACTTGTCAGCGCCGCCTCGGCTGACAAGACGAATTCACTCTGCCCGYTGAAGCGAGCAATCTTCCATTCCAGCAGATTCTCACCCGGAAGGTATTTAACCTTTCCTTGGGAAGCGCGATGAGTTGTGGAAGCAGTGTTGAGAGGGACGGGAATGCGKATGGAGACGTTTGTGGCGAAGAGTTTGGCGCCGAAATTTGAGCGAATGGCGATGCTGTATTCGACCTTTGACCTGCCGACTTCTGTGACGATGGCGTGGACTTTGAAGGGGAGATTGACATTCTCCGAGCAGCGATATGACATGAGTTGGAAGGAACCATCGGGAGGGATAAAGGAGATGGTCCGATCTTGGGTAAAGGAGCCGAGTTTGACGCATTGATGGAGGGAGACGTCCTCCAAGGTGACGGATCCTGCCGCAGCTTTGGTGGCCTTGTTTCCCCCGAGGTTTCCTATCTCTCCCACGCCTCCCGCAGCGGATGCGAGGGTGAGGGCGTCGTTGAGCCCAAACTTGCATTCGGGAGTTCCAGAGAGATATGCGCGCATTTCAATGGCCCCATTGACGTCTGCTCGGAGGACAGTTCCCGATGCGCTCACCAGAAGATTCACATCTTCAATGACATCCACAAACGCCTCATTCTTCCTGTATTTGATTCCCTCTCGCCGCCAACTCTGGGCGCCCGTAGCTTGCATTGTGATACGACCTGCGTCCTGAGCGCTGGAGCTGGGTTCTGAACGCACTCCATCGGTGGTGATGTACATTTTCAATGTTTCGGCGTCCATTCCTTGGGGATAACCAAAGTCCAAGACTTCATCCAGCAATTCATAAACCATGACAAAGTTGCTCTTGACGGCATCTTCGTCGAATCGACCAAAGTAGGATTTCCCCAACGCCGACAGACGGTAGAGGAATTCAAAGACCATGGCAGCATTGACATTGCCTTTGGAGACGCCGACCAGGTAGATATTCTCGGAGCGAATGTGGGAGAAGGTGGTGCTGCCTAAGGTGAGGATGGGCGAGCGAATGGAAGGGTTGGAGATGACTTGAATGCGGAAGACATCGGCGAGGCGTGGGCGCATGTCCTGGCGGAAGGAGCGGAGGATGAGCAGTTCGCCCTTTTGATTGAAGAGGAGGATTCCGGAGAGCATGATGRGGGKGGGGGTGGATTGAGTGGTTATGTGAGGGAGGATCGAGGCATTGGTGGTGGTGGTGGTGGCGGTGGGAGGAAGCGGTGGATGTTGTGTTGTTGAAGGGGGAGGTGGTTGATCGCGCGATGAGGTGATCAATATTCCATCAATGTTGGCCGTGAATATAAGATCAATATCCCATCAATATGACCCGTCAATATTCCGTCATCACGACCAATCAATATGCAGCACCCAACGCGTCTCCCCATCGCGTGCCCTGATTGTCCATCCCGCCGTCCAATTTTCCCATTCTCCCATTCTCCCCATCCTTCTTCTCCATCATGGTCAAACGACGCAAGATTGATGATGAAAATGCGAGTGACGATGGCTCCACTCCCCGCAAATCCCGACGAACCGACAATCCTCTCATGGGCAGCCCAACACCTCTGAAATCCAGTTTAAAAGCGACGCCCAACAGGACGAATGGCTTCTTGTCGGTGGATGCAACGCCGAGCAGTCTACGCAAAGTCTTGTTCGCTACTCCATCCCAACCACTCCATGAAGATGACATCGCCGTCGACACGCCATTGGCGGCCCGCAACGATCGGTCGGCGCATAGAAAGAGTCAACAGACGTTGCTCCATCGGAATGCCAATGATGATGATGACGATGAGAGGGATGATGAACGGGATGAAGCCATTGCGAACGCCATTTTAGGTCAAGAAGATGGGGAGGATGACGATGACGATGAGGACATTGATGAGGATGGAATGTTGGATGTGGGAGAGATTGATCTGGCGGCCACTCCCACCAAGAAGAAGCCCGGTCGACCACGCAAGAAGAGGAAGAGGGAGAGAACACCGAGTCCACCGCTCAATCTACCCCCTCATGAGCTCTTCTTCTTCCAAAATCGAACCGGAGGGAATAAGACATCGGCCAATACTCTGCCTGCGGGCACATTGCTGACCCATGAGGACTACTTCTCCCACATCCAATCCCACCAAGACTCACATGCCCAAGACATCTCCCGTCTTGCAAATCTTCACGCTTTGGCATTTGATCAGTGGGAGTTTGAGCTGTCCACCAACTTCAACCTTTGTCTCTACGGGTACGGGTCGAAACGAGAGTTGGCTCACTCGTTTGCAGAACACCTCCACTACGCCCAGCCTTCGCACAAGACCGTGATTGTGAATGCATACGCCCCAGGCCTCACCCCAAAGGATATTCTGCACACCCTCGCTCAGATCATCTTTCCACCCAACAAGAAGAACAATGCGGCCCTGTCCAACCCACCATTGTCATTACTTCTCGATAATCTAACAATCCCTCTCAACCTCATCATCAACTCCCTCGACCATCCCAATCTGAGAAAACATCAATCATTCATCTCTCAACTTGCCTCTCATCCTCAAATCTCCCTACTGGCCACGGTAGACACCATCACATTCCCCTTGTTATGGGATCTTCAAACGAGCGCACAATTCCGCTTCCTCTATCATGACGCCACCACTTTCGCACCTTGGACTGCGGAGATGGAAGTAGTCGAAGACGTCAACGCTCTGCTGGGGAGAAGTGGAGCTCGAGTGGGAGGAAGGGATGGAGTGGCTTTCGTGCYCAAAAGCTTGCCCGAGAATGCGCGTGTACTATATCGTATCTTGGTCGGCGAACAACTCGCTCTTCAAGATACCTCACCTGCAATCCTCGACGACGATGAAGATGATATCCTCTCGGATGATTCTGCTCCAGGCAAGCGGAGAATCAAAAAGGGCAGGCCGGCGAAGAAGAAGAAGATGGCCACGCCGAGTAGGAGAGCTGTGGAGAAGTTACCCGAGGGAGTGGAATATAGGACGCTCTACCACAAGGCCGTCGAGGAGTTTGTCTGTTCTAGCGAGGTCAATTTTAGAACTCTGCTCAAGGAATTCGTCGATCATCGTATGGTGGAGAGTAGAGTTGATGCGGTCGGGACGGAGAGATTGGTCGTTCCGTTTGGGAGGGAGGAGTGTGAGGGTATTTTGGAGGAGTTGGTAGGTTGACCAAGATGGAGGATGAATCGCCGAGGAAACAATATACCGATATATGCATAAGTGGTGCATAGGTATCTAGCATAACATCAAAGAGAGGATTCTTGTGCATACCCCACCTTTCCAGAGTGGAGTGCCTCGATCTCTGTCACATGAAGAACACGAGAACGGACGCAATCCGCTGCGGGGTGAATTTCCTCTCCCTCCTCCTCGGACCAACTCGGGTATGGCATGACACGACACGACATGACATGCCGAGTTCGTCAATAAAGTCTTGGTGTGCGATCGATCACAGTCTTGAACGGCACGGAGACTTTTTTCTCTCTCTAATAAAATATCATGATCGGTGGTTCTGTCTCACCTTGTAGTAGTCAATAATTCAAGAAGCGCTGTCTTTCGAGTCAGTTGGCATTGTTTTTTACCTTTTACTTCACCTTTTACTTTCCCTCGAGCGGTGAAGTTCTGATAAACTGGTGCAGAGGAATTGAAGTTTATCATCATCATCGGATATCATGGCGAAACAATTCTTTATTGAAGCGAAGGATTATGGGTCTTTGAAGGAGCAGGTGGTTGTTATTACTGGTGAGTGACATCTAGAATCAAACAAGATATTGTTTCTTTCCTTTCCCTTCAATCGGATTTGCCTCTGTTCTGCTCTACTATTCTCATCATTTATGAAATTAATCTTTTTTCTGCCATACAGGCGGCTCCTCAGGAATCGGCCTCGCAACAGCCAAAGTCCTCCTCGAAACGGGGGCGCGTGTCGTTGTGGGAGATCTGAATCCTTGTCCTTTAGAGGAGGAGGAGGGTGAGAATCTTGCATTTTGCAAGACGGATGTTACGAAATGGGAAGATCTGTTGGCTCTCTTTGCGCTTGCGATGGAGAGATTTGGACGGGTGGATCGTATGTTCCTATCCCCTTCATCCATCCATGCTTCTTCTGATCTTGACATTGAGAATGACATTAATAATGATAGACATCTTCGCCAACGCAGGCATCAGTGYCCGAGCAGATTACCTCCCGGAGATCCTCCCCGACACTTCCACTTTACAAGAACCCAGCACATTGACGTATGAGATTAATCTGCGAGGATGTATCAATACCGCTTACATTGGATTACATCATCTCCGTCAGCAGAAACGGGCAGGAAGTATCGTCTTGACGGCCTCGGCGAGTAGTTTTCAGGCCTTTGGCGTCGTGGATTATTGTACCGCGAAACATGGCGTGTTGGGTTTCATGCGTGGTTTGGTGCCCAATTTGCCTGCGCTTCCGGAGAGGATTCGGGTGAATTGTATTGGGCCGAGCTGGACTTTGACGGGGATTGTGCCCGAGGAACTTTGTAATGCTGCGGGATTGGAGACTCAGGATGCGAGGGTCGTGGGGGAACAGGTGGCGTTGTTGATGGCGCAGGGGGAGAGGAGTGGGGAGTTTATCTATAGTGTTGGTGGGAGATGTTTTGAGGTTGRGAAGGCGGTTTTTGAACCTGCTGCTAAAGTTGTGGTGGGGAGTGATGGTGGGGAGCAGGAAGGGTGGGAGAGGTTGAGGAGGGCTTCTGGGGGGATGACGACGGGGGATTTGAAGGATGCTACCAGGTAGGTATGGGGTGGGGAGGAAAGTTTGATGCGGTGAAGGGTGTAGGATGGGTTTGCAGGTGTTGATGATGTTGGGATGTGTAAATGGGATACTTTGGTAAAGACCATCAGTCTGTCTTAGTCTGCAGTCTGTGGCGCATACCCTATTCGGAACCTGGAAAGCTTCGGCTCGACAGGAATTCTGCCCTATCTTGGCAGCTGGAGGTGTAGAGGGCATACCAAAAGAAGATTGTTGCCCTATTTCTCACCATCTTCATTCGTGCCCATGTCAATTCGGAGAAGCCGGAAATGGCGGTGGACTGTGGAGGTGGAGATGTGAAGCGCCTCATTAACAAATAGGCGGACGCGGCTACGGTGCGCTTTTAGCGACAACTCTGCAACAATCTTTTTTTAGTAGAACTAAGGTACACTACTTACGCTACCTCGGAATATAACCGTTCCGAGAGGTTAGCGGTAATTTTTAGTTATTATACGGGCGCTTCCGATATAGCCTCTTTATCTAGTATATAGATATAGTTCTAATCGATAGATTAATTATAGAAGTAAAGTTGTCTAAAGCCTATATCTATAACTATATATTAGGTACTCCCTTTATATAATAGATAGATCGAGAAGTAGATATACGCCCGTATAATGCGTTTACGACTATTAAAGTAGTACTATATAGATATCTATTAAAGGAACGAACGAAACTACTAAAAATAACTCCTCTCTAAACTTACGAAGTAYCTACTATCTTTATTCTTATCGCAACCTTTTAGATTAAYRACGCTTYRACCGATTACGCGTATAATTTACGKGTAGTTTACTCGTRTTCTTAGATAATTACGAAACCTTCGAGATCGTCYGCTTATAGCTTAAACCTCCTAGGGTAGGATATTATTACTCTACTTCCTCGGTTCCTAGCTCTCCTTTAATTTCTAGCTCTCCCTTAATCTATAATCGAGTAAGTAGCTATCTTTAYRATTATATAGGCTAGAAACGTATAAACATCTTACTAAACGAAGGTAGCGACTCGTCGTTACTATTATCGGTAGCGTTATACTCTATAGTAGTATTAACCTGCTCTTTACTCTCCTATCGAATTTAGTATTAGATTTTATCTACTAACGTTTATACGGAAAGATAGTATATATACTTCTAAGGTCGGCTTTACTTTAACTACTAGCTTTAACTCTACTTTAACTTCTTACTTTACCTTCTTCTTCTTCTTCTAAGAGCCCTTACTCTTTAGAGTAGTAGTAGCCTTAGTAAGATTTACGTTAACCTCGGCCTTATATAATAGGTTATCCGTAGGCTACGATATAGAACGTCTCTTAAAGATAAGGAATACCTTATATTATTTTCGAGATAGCTAGCCCTTTATATTAATATCGTTTAGGAAGATACGACTTAGCTTCCTATCTTTAAAGTCTACATCTAGAGGTTAAATAGGCCTATCTCGGTTATTATACGACTACGTAATATATATATAAGTATTATCCGGATATTCTATCTCCTTAGTAATATACGGTTTATTACCGAAGCTACGAATAGTAGCTACTATGTCTTTAATATTATAATCCGGTACCGCGATATCCTTAGGCGTTCTTATATCCTATTAGCGATTAATTATACGGCGGTATAGATAAATGTAATAATAGTATATAATATATATAGTATACTTAGAGAACCCCTTACCTTTCTTTAACCTACTCTACTTTAGTATCTTATCTAGATTATCTAGGGCAATATAGTATCTTGTAATAATAATCGTAATAATAAACCTAACTTATACGGTTGCTATTATAGAGATAGCCTTTATAATACTATCCTTCGACCGTTAGCTAGGGGGTAGATTACCTATATAGTACTTATRCTTCGGTAGATTTATTACCGCTTCCTTTTCGATCTTAATCTATCGTATATAGGTTGCCTTTATACTAGTAAGCTACGCTTTATCTAGGAGGCTCCTACTAATATATCCGTTAAGAACCTCGTCGTCTAATATCTCGCTTTTATTAGAGTTAATAATAATTAGCATAGTGCTTAAGGATAGCGTATTCGTCCGTAGCGGTATTAGTATCGCCCGTATAATCGGTTTATTCGAAGGTGCCGGCGGTATTAGGTTATAATCGCCGTAGAAGTAATATTTCTTATTATCTAGTATATACTTTATATAGTCGAATTAGGGCCGAGTAAGATATATACGCTTCTATACTTTCTTTACTTACTTCTTAGAACCTATTAGTATAAAGCGGACTCGTAGATATAGCGTCGTATACGTTCGTATAAAGGAAGGAATATCGTCTATAGGAAGGGGATTAGAGGAGGATTTTAGTAAAAGGGTAACCCTTTATCGCTCTATAGGTATAACTACGTAAAGACGGGGGATAGAGCGTACGCTACTTAATAAGTATTATATAGATATATAGGCGTATAAATTTATTATATAGTTATTATAGAGTTCTTATAGAGATTATAGCCGGGGCTACTAATACTAGTAGGGATAGAAGCATATTAGCTATATATCCCCGGTATATATAGTCCTATTAGAGCATTAGAACGTAACGTAATCCTATTATACCGATAATCTATTCCGACTTATCCGACTAATAATTAACCTCCGATATATCGCTATTACTACTTTCCGAGTTTATAAGGGGACCCTAAAGGAGCGGGATACCGCCCTTTAAACCCTTACCTAGGGAATCCCTCTTAGAAAGAAGGAGGGAATTACACCCTTAGTAGGATCTCCCTATACGGATACGACGGCTAAAGGATAACTCTACGGTACCTCTACGGCACCGCCGAGCCTAACTAGCACCGGGCGTAATCCTATAAAAGGGCGATGTCCTTATTACCTATTCCCTTTCGCTCCCTAGGCAATATCGTATATATCTAAGAATTACTACTTAGTATTAAGACCCCCTATTTATAACACYCTTATAGAATATTGCCTCTTATCCCTACTAGGGAATAGCCGTCTTAAGTACGAAACAAGCTCTCGATTCGAGTCTAGCGCTACTATAAAGCTACCGTAACGGCTCTATAGATCCCTACTAACCTATCGAAAATGTCTTTAGTAGGAAAAAGAGCCGTACGACCTAAACGTACCGAGGCTAATAACCCTCTAGGGTTTATTATCGATAAGGAAGATATAACGCCTAGTAGYAGCGCTAGACTAGAGGATTAGCTCGATCTAGACGGAGGTACCGTAAAGGCACCGTAAGGCAGCCGCGAACCTCCTAGAGAAGAAAACCCTCCTTCGGACACTATATTATAAAAAGAACTATCTATTAAGGAGGGCATTAATAATAATAGTATCCCTTATAACCTATACCGTATAATTACTACTCTATAGGCTATAGACCCTATTAAGGCCTCGATCGATTAGATGTAGAGGCTAGAGCTGCTCGTCGCCTAGCGATCTAAGTATTAAGAGGTAAGCTCTAATAAAAGAAAAAGACAAGAATCTCTTAGGAGTTACGCGGAAGACCGAAGCTACTATAAAGGTACCGTAGAGGCACCTTCGTAGGACGTCCTCCGCGAACTAGTAAAACGCGACCCTCCCGTACTAGACTCCCTAAACTAATAGAAGTATCTCTAGTAGGTCCGCGACTACGAAAGCCGTTTTACGGTTACTCGCTACTCTAATTAGGACTACCCTAATATAAGCCTCTCTAACTAGCACCGCCGTAGTATATAGGTAATCTCTAAAATTACCGAGAAGGAGATTACTAACGCCCTTATACGCTAGCGTAGCAACTATAAGGTTATAATATAGGAGGATGCTTAGATAATTATTATAGATACAATCCTCCCTAAGGTATTATAGCATACCTTAATACACCGAACGTACTAGAACTATAGCTAACGTAATAACTAAACCGTAGGCTAGTTCTAGTCCTACCTTATTAACTAGGAATTAAGGCTAAAAGTCTCCCCTATAAATAATAAGGAGGAGATAGAGAACCGTATCGGGTTCTACTTCTTACGGTTATAGAAGGACGTTTAAGATAAACTCCTAGAAGCTAATAAGCTTATAGAGTCGAAGATAGCTAAGGATCTCTTTAAT